GGTGGCAGCGGAAGCAGCGACGAAGAGTGGCTGAATAATTTGACAATGATAGATGACATTTTGGGGCAACAAAGCTCTGGACACGTGTGATTCTTGAGGGATGATGCTGATGGGTATGTAAATAATCTGTGCAGGACTAAAAAAAAGAAAAAAAAGCATTTACAATAATAATAATAATAATAATAGAAATCCTCCCCTTCTTAATTAACTTGCCCAACTAACTCTTCACCTTTCTCCCAGATTTTTCAAATAGCGCTGTATATATAGTTGAATATTTTTTGTAAATTATGTTTTCCTAAACATTAAATATGGAAGTATTTATACTTCTTTGCTGGACTCTTTGTAAATATCCTATAGACTATTCTCTCCCTTTTCTCTTTCTCTTTCTCTTTTTCTCTTTCTCTTTTTCTCTTTCTCTTTCTCTTTCTCTCTTTCTCTTTCTCTTTCTCTATTTCTCTCTCTCTCTCTCTCTCTCCTTTCTTATTTTTTGGTATATTAGAGGAGTTGAGTTACATCTTGTTCTAAATATGCAAATGTTAGTTTCAGTAATACTGTGTATTACAGCATCAAATATTTTATGTCCAGAAAAACAGAGTCAACGGGAAGCAAGGACTGCCACATTCCTTGCCTTCCCAAGCCCATGTAAATTTAAGATGACAGATCAACTGAATTAAAAATCAGTTTTGATCTGGCCAACAATAATTCAATCCCTACCAGGCCCAGGAATTCATCCAAGTAAATTGCTTAATAAAGGAGCTCATTGTGGCAAGCTCTTTTGCTGGACTGAAGGTGCCAACAACCTGTACACTGTTCTTTTGCTCTTTCTATGGCTGTGGTTGACCCAGGTCTGTTCCACACAATCAGTGTTTGTGCTGAATGAGTACAGCACCAAACCATGAGTTGCCCATACAGACGAGCCACAGGCTGAGCATCAGAATCACCTCAAGATATAATATTTGCCGCTTGCATCAGCTACAAGTCACCAGGTGATGAGTAAGCAAGCAGTGATGTAAGCGCATGTGTGAACTGGTCCACAGGGTAAGAAGGTGGTTGATCTGAAAGACTGTGACAAATACCAAGTGTTTTTGTAGAAAATTATCTGTGTCAGAAGCGCATGCAAGCCTGAAAGCATGAATGTCGCCTTTCAGCAATTAGAAACACTTTCTGGCTTGCGCACCTCAGCAGTGTATAGTTGCAGTTTGCAGTGTATAGTTTGCAGTTTGCAGGCTATCTGTTCCTAGTTCTAAACAACTTTCGTATCTTCTTCTCTGTTTTTGATGAGACTGTCCTTCCTGCCCCCCCTTTCCATTTCTCACCTCCCAGATAAAATGTCTATAAACGCTAATAGCTTAGCTTTTGATGTTTTTCCTGTTAAATGTATATTTAAGAGTCTGTTTATAAAAGAATTCCGTTCTACTGTAAGCTTTCTTCAACAATGTTCATACTTTGTGTAATCCGATTTTAATGGCCACATCAGCATCCATTTGTATGACAATGTCCACTTCAAGCACACCAAAATGTTCTTTTTTCCTTCATACCATAATAAACTGCCAGGGAAAAATTGCAGTCACTGCATGTTTTCATTTATTCTTTTTGCTTTTGTTTTTGTAGAAAACAGCATTTTAAGTAAGCTTGCAACTGGAATGAATACTAGGCAACTTGCAGGCATTTACTATTTTTGGAGAGGGGCAAGGTCACAAGGCTTGCAACTCTTTTGGGGAAACTGAATCCCTGTTGCTAGAAAAAGGTTTTGAGACCTGCAGGACAGAGAGACTGTAGTAGTTCACCCTTAACACCTTTTGGAAGCCCTGGTACACGAAGCAGGGAATTGGTGCCTGATCTGCAGGGTTTCCCGTTGTTGCCCTGCAACATCTACCACTGTAGTGACACCATTGGTTTCTGCCACAATAGCACAATAGTGCTGGCAGGAACCTACCAGTTTATGGGGAAGGGCCATATCTCAGTGGCAGAGCACATGTTCTGCATCTAGAAGGCTCCAAAAGAATCAGGTAGCAGATGATGAGGCAGATATTTCTCTCTCTGGGATCTGCTGCCTGTCAGGGGAGACCAGGATTTCCCAAACCTTGTTGGCCTCCTTGATGAGCTTATAAACCTGCCATCAACCTCAACCCCAAGGTCTTAGGGATGTCAAGAATGTAATCCAATATATAATAAATATTTATTAATCACCAGTTGCCATTACAAGCAACCGTAAAATCTAAAAACAACAACAACAACCCTGTATTATTAAATATAGAGGTTTCTTATTACTAAGCGAAATGCATGCACTTTATTTCTGAAGCTCATATTTCCTAACCAAATTTTTGGCACTAAAGCTCACAAACCTCTCACCTCCCCCCCAGATCTTCATTCACCACCTCTCCCATTGATTGTAGGCAGCCTACATTAATTGTAGGCATAAGAACCATCTCCTAGGCCCCCTCCAAAATATTTGAGGGGGCCGCCCAGCAGAAGTTGATGGGCATTGCCATTCAAATGGAATGTGTGTGTGCTGTGTATAAGATCGATTATGCAGAGTGGGGATTATGTCCATCCGCCCCCGAATATTTTATTCAAGTTGCCACCCCTATGTCAGCATGGCCTCCCCCAAAAGAAAGCTCTCTTCTCAGTTATACTGGTATTTACTCCGTGTGAAATGCGGCCACAGGAAAGGGGAGCCCCCTAAGCATACACCTAGAGGTACGTCACTGCTCTACTCCTGGGCCCACAGAGGCACTTGTAGGAAAATGGGGCATTTTAATTTATTTTCATTATTTGTTTATTATATTTCCACTCCAATGTCCCTCAAGGTGTTCTCCCGCTTCCTCATGTTATCCTCACAACGGCCCCATGAGGCAGGTAAGGTACTTGCCGTAATCTTACACATTGTCAGTACTCAGGGCCGGCCCAAGACTTCATGGCACCTGAAGCAGGCCACAAAATGGCATCATGGAAGAAGGGGTCAATGGTTGAAGTGGGAATCAATGGCCATTGACTCATGGTGGGCGGGTGCAGACACCCCGTAGGGCAGCCCCTGCCATTTCCTCCCTAAGGGTAGGCAGAGACCAGCAGCACCTCCTATTCACCAAGAAGCCGCTGAAGAGGCAGCATGGGGGGCACTGCCGAGCAGGCAGCAGCTCCAACCTTTATAGAGTGTATGGCAGCCATGCCTTCCTTGGAAGCTGGGTCTGCTGCCCCCACAGATCCTGCCACCTGAGGCAGTTGCCTCACTTTTCCTCAAGGGTGGGCCGGCCCTGTCAGTACGTCATCGTGGTGTGCTTGCCATAATCTCGGCTTCTGTTCCATGAGAGGAGGGAGGATGAGCTTGTGAGTGGGGATTCTCTTGAGATAGCGTGGCAAGGGCCTCAGAGGAAGGTGTTGCTGCCTTGGCTCAGGTCTCCTCACATGCTGTGGGTGCTTTCTGCTCCACACTCCAGCACTAGCACTCTCCCAATGCTTTTCCCTTCCCCACTTTCTGCCCCTGCCCCCTTTTATACAGGGATTCTTGATGTGTGTGGGTCCGGCCACCCAGCACCTCCCACTAATGCAGGGATGCGGGAAGCTGGCCATGCTGACTTGGGGGTGGGGGGGTGGAGTCCAATAACATCTGGAGGGCTACAATCCCCCTTCCCAGTAATAAATGCAAACAAGAAGCCACAAGGATCGTTTAGTTGCCTCCTACGCCACCTTGCATATCCTCCGACATTCCTCAGATGGCATTTCTCATTCCCCGCCTCCAACTGACCCTCCTTGAACCCCAGTTTTTCAGTGTGTCCCCCTCAGAGCATTTCCTATCAGAAGAAGGGAGACTGCTACCAACGGGACCAAGCATGCACGGCCTCCACCGTTCTGAAAAAACAACCCTTAATCCCTACTTTATTTTATCATTCAGTAGATTTACAAAAAAGAAAAACACACAACAATAAATAAATTTTAGAAAGGGGCGATATTAGACACAAATGCACAAAGCATAAAAAATAAATACTTTTTGCACTTTGCTCCCCCTTTCCCCCCATCCAACATGGCCCTGCCGTCTACGTGTCCCTCCAAGCTGGCACATCACCGTGGGGCTGGGCCTTGGTGGTGGCAGCCTCTCCTCCTCCTCCTCCTCGCCTGCTCTCCTGCAGCCGCTACTAGCTGCCCAAGGGAGGATGCTGGCAGCAGCCGTCATAGAGAAGCCATGCAGCAGCCATTGCTGCCACTGCTCAGGACAAGTGCCGGCTCATCCTCAAGCTCAGTACTGGTGGCATGGTGGGGGAAATAGGGACATTCCGGGATGAAATCAGAAGTTGGGGTGGCTTTCGTAATTCTGGGACTGTACCTGGAAAATTGGGACACTTGGAGGGTATGGTGTCGCACCCATTGCATCTGGGCCCATGCACTTGGAGTTAGGAGCAGATTGATTGGTTGATTGCATGCATGCATGATTGTCTTCCATTACTGCCTTGGTGACTCTGCCTGAACCTGCACCTCTGCACCAATTGAGTGGAAGGCATGGGGACTGACATCTGCAGAAACAGGGGACCAGCTAGAAGCACCAGACAAAAGCTAAACGTCCGATCACTCGAAGTTGCACTGGCTTCTGAAAAGCTTCGGCTGGTCTACACACACACACACACACACACACACACACACACACACACTCTCACACTTTATCCACAATATTTTATGGCTAGAAATGTGCTTCTTTTCCAAACTAAAAGCTGGTTCTTGGGGCGCAGGGTTTCTGAAGAGCTACCTGGCTCCATGCTAATATGTGCAGGCATCCCTGCTCATTTGCTAGATGAGCTTTTTAATTCCTTCCATTGCTCTGAGTGCAAATGGTGGTTGGTAATGAGGAAGTCCTCAGAAGATTACTGTAAGTACTCTGATCTGCCAAACCCCAAAGAGAGGTCACTTTGCAATAATAAAACACATTAAAATACAAATGAAAAGAAATCATGTAATTCCACCCTCCCCCCATCGAGAATTATCCCCTAAAGAGCTGCGGGGAATAAAGGATGGATGTAAGTACTGTACAGTAAAAAAACGGATAATTCTCAGAGGCAACTGCCCAGAGCTTTGCTAATTGACTGGAGAATCCTATTCCACTAGCCTAGGGGAATACACCAGGTTTCTGGAAAATATTCATTGGTCACAGGGATTAAAGAAGTTTAGAGCTGAGTATTTGGTGTTCTCCTTCAGTGCAGGACTCTTCTTTTAACTGTAACACTTTATTGAGCATTTTTAATAGTTTTACTCTATTGTTTGTAAGTTTTTTTCCCCATTGAAGAAACACAACACACATTCATAAAATAAAAAATTCTGTCGCCTATGTGGCAATGCAGAAAACAAGGGCTGTAGCTCAGTGGTTTTGCAGTGCAGAAAAACCTCAGTTAAATCCCTGGACTCTCTAGGTAATTGTACACCAGGCGCTGTGCAGACCACAGGCTCGCCTGATTTACTTTAGGTGGCATCCAACTAAGGCCTACTCACAGGAGACCCATTAATTTAATCATAGCCATTAACTACAATGAGTCTACTCTTGAGCTGGACTTAGTGTTAGATGCAACCCATTGGTGTCATCCCCACCCACCAGAACTGCATGCAAGATTCCCAACCAGAGCCCAGAGCCATCTGCAAAAGGCATTCATTAAAATTAATACAGTGTTCGTTTCAGACTAGGGATTTGTTAGCAGCACTAGAACTGAACCAAGTTCACAGTCCATTCACACAGAAATCCACACCTGGTCAGTTTTCTTCATTTCAGCCACCTAATTTAGGTGTGGAAAGTTGGTAGTGTTAAAGGCAATTGGGAGTCGGAATCCGCTTGCCAATGATCTACTGCAAATTACTCAGAAAGCTATCTTCTGGCCACCTCTCTTGAATTACATGGACTGGTGTTCTGGCTCAATAAGGCAGCACCCTATGACCTCGGCCAGACAGAAGTACTGTTTCTGGGGGACGGGGGGCAGGCAGGTGTGGGGGACTTCCTGTTCCTGAAGTACCAGATGCACAGACTATGGGGTCATTTTGGACTCACAGCTATTCATGGCAGTGCAGGTTAATTCTGTGTCTACCAGCTCCATCTGGTAGGCTGGCTGAGACCCCCTACCTGTGTCAGGTTTCACCGGAATGGTACATGCTCCAGTTATCTCCCTCTTGGATTACTACTAATAATAAATAAATAAATAAATTTTATTTATACCCCGCCCTCCCCAGCCAAGGCTGGGCTCAGGGCGGCTAACAACCAATAATAAAAACAAGTTGATTGAATACAACTTAAAAAACAAGATTAAAATACAACATTAAAACGTTAAAATGCAGCCTCATCATAGGAGGAGAAAGGAAAAAAAGAAAGAGGGGGAAGGAATCAAACTGACTCCAAGCCAAAGGCCAGGCGGGACAACTCTTACAGGCTCTGTGGAAAAAAATCAGATCCTGCAGGGCCTTGGTCTCAAGAGACAGAGCGTTCCACCAGGCCGGGGCCAGTGTTGGCTCTGGTTGAGGCTAATCTAACTCCCTTAGGGCCCGGGACTTCTAGGGTGTTGCTATTTATGGACCTTGAGGCACTCCGTGGGGCATACCAGGAGAGGCGGTCCCGTAGGTATGAGGGTCCTAGGCCGTGAAGGGCTTTAAAGGTCAAAACTAGCACCTTAAACCTGACCCTGTACTCCACCGGGAGCCAGTGCAGCTGGGAAAGCACTGGGTGAATATGCTCCCATGGCAGAGACCCCGTGAGGAGCCTCGCTGAAGCATTCTGCTCCCGCTGGAGTTTCTGGGAGAGCTTCAAGGGCAGCCCCGCTTAGAGCGAATTACAGTAGTCAAGCCCGGAGGTGACCGTGGCATGGATCACTGTGGCCAGGTTGGGGCGGGAAAGGTAAGGGACCGACTGCTTGATGCAGCGAAGGTGGAAAAATGTCACCTTGGCTGTTGCTGTAACCTGCGCCTCCATGGAAAAGGAGGCGTCAAGGATTACACCCAAACTCTTAACGGAAGGCAATGGCACTAATTGGGCCCCCGCAAGAGAAGGGAGTTGATCCCTCATCCCCATACCATCCCGACCCACCCATAGGACCTCTGTCTTCGAAGGATTTAGTTTCATTCAGCTCCCACAAAACCATCCAGCCACAGCTTCCAAGCATCTGGTCAGTGTGATCGTCTGCAATGCGCTTTACATGGGGCTACCTTTGAAGGTGACTTGGAAATGTGGCAGCTAGGCTAGTGACTGGGAGTGGCTGCCAGAACCATATAACACCTGTCCTAAAAGATCTATATTGGCTCCCAGTACATTTCCGAGCACAATTCAAAGTATTGGTGCTGACCTTTAAAGCCGCAAACAGCCTCAGGTCTGTATATCTGAAGGAGCATCTCCACCCCCATTGTTCATCCCGAACACTGAGGTCCAGCTCCGAGGGCCTTCTGGTGGTTCCCTTGCTGCGAGAAGTGAGCTAACCAGGAACCAGGCAGAGGGCCTTCCCGGCAGTGGCACACGCCCTGTGGAACGCCCTCCTGTCAGATGTCAAACAGATAAACAACAACACAACTTTCGGAAGACATCTGAAGGCAGCCTTGTATCAGGAAGTTTTTAATGTCTGAGGTCTCACTGTGTTTTTATGTTTTGTTGGAAGCTGCCCAGGGTGACTGAGGAAACAAAATTATTATTACCACTACTACAAGTAATTGTTGTAGTAGTATGTTCCTTAATGCAAAAATTAAAATTAAAAAATACAGTGGATGTTTACCAGAAAAAATGATAAATGCTGAACACAACTCATTGGGCTTTCCAATGCAGCTGTACTGTGAATACATAGAGGAAGAGGAAAAGGAGAGAATTACTAGATGGTGGCTATGCCTTAGGTGGCTATGCAGAGTCACTGGCCTTGTTTGCATGCCATGCCGAGCCATGATTTTGCTCCGTGTGAATGTGCAGGCTCCTGGAGCAGAGTTTTGCTTCTTCCTGGCAGTTCTACTGCTGAGCTTAGCTAAACTATGGCTTTGCTTGGCTGAGTTTGTTGTTCAAACCTTGTGGTTTAGTCAGACAAACCACAAGCCGTAACATACAGGGCAAACCATGGTTACAGCTCAGGGTTTGGGGAGACTTAAACCATGAACCCAGATTCAGATGCCATACTAAGCAAAGCCATGGCTTTGTGCAGCGGCAGAATGGCTGAGGAAGAGCAAAGCAGCTGCAATCTCCTCTCCTGGTCCTAGCGACAGGCTTTGGTCTTTCAAATTTCAGTGACACACTGCGCGAGGCCAAAATTTGGCACACACATCTGCCTCTCACCTTCCGTCAATTCACTATGTTATAGTTGCCAAGTCCTGTAGCACCCTCTTGTGTTGGTGGCCAGTGAAGCAGAACTGGTTGCACTGCCCCAAAACCGCCTCTGCTGGACCCCACCTTTGTGCTAAGCCATGGTTTGGCTTGGTGTGATGTCCGAACCAGGCTACTGAGTCGTTTTGACATCTTAAGATAAAGTAACATTTTGGTGACACCCATTAGCTTCATGTTCAATACAGCTGCATAGGAGTGCAGAAGTTCAGTCTCAATTTGAAAAAAACTTTCACACAGGTTCGTACAAGGGAACTGTAGCATATGAAAGGGGAGAGGGACCCACAAGCCAGAAAAGGGTATGCAATAAATAGAGCCGGTGTGGTGTAGCAAAGGGTCAGACAAGGTAGACCTGGGTTCAAGACACCTCTCGGCTGTGACCCTCTTTCTGTGAATGAAGTTTTATTCCTGCCCTGGCACTGGTCAGGGAGGATCCGCCCTCACCTCCCCAACTCCAAGCATCTGGAGCTGGGTCTAGGGAGGCAGCAGGTCATTCCTTGAGCTGCCCTTCTGAGGCTCTTCTAGCAGAGGTAGGTTTAGGGGATCACATCTGGTTAACCCATACTGGGTGTCGAGCCAAGAGGGTGCTGCAGAGGGCACCTCGGCAATGGACGTTAGTAAGGAAACACTGTTTTGAACGCGCTTTAAAAATCCAACACCAGATGGCACCAGAGAGTAAAAACAAATTTCTACACAATTTTCCATAGCGGTTTTTTTTCTTTTTTGTTATAATAATTTAATTTCTGAGTTATTTATAGCGTTGTAGTCCCTGTCCCCCCATCCCCCGTGTGTAGTTCCACCCAATGACTTAGAATGGAAGGCAAGAGGTGGGCGGGGGCTACCAAATTTTTGGCATTGCACAGAGCACTGCTGAAATTTGAAAGCGCGAAGTCCACCTCTTGATTCTAAAAAGGAGGACTTCTAGGGTGACTCTCCATAGCCACCCCCTCTCCAGGCCCATCCTTGAGAGGAGATACAGTACATCCTGCCTCCTCCGCCTCCAAGGCTGAGACTGGAGCTCCTCACACTTGGTGGAATATTTGCCACGGTGAGTGTAGCAATCAAATTGGGGGCACCGTACACAACTTCAGTGTGTCTCTAATTTCTAGCACTGTGAGAGAGGGAGAGAAATTATTCTCTTATTTTTGACAGCATGTATGGCAGGTCTGATGCACTTTACTGCTGATAGAGCAATATGTGCCATTTGAGTTTGTGCTTCTCGCTGGCAATTTCTTTCACTTGTCCTGCCTAGGCCTCAGGCTGCTGCCTCATTTTACTGCAAGGTAATGCCTTGCTCAGCTACGGAGATATGGATTCAGCCAGCAATCTGTGCTGTAAAAGGACAAGGTGGGGAAGTGGGCTTTAAATAGGACGGAGCCACCGCTGAGGAATTGAGGTCAGCACACAAACATGAGTCTGAAAAAGGAAGCAGGGATTGGGGGGGGTGCGGAGTGAGCAGTGCAGTCCTTTTTTTTCTTTTTGCAAATGGCAGTGTGTGCATGCAAAGCTTTATGGAAGGGGGAAAGACAAAAAGAGAAGTAATAGAGCTCAAAAAGACATTAGCCTGTTTTATTGTTTTAAGGAAGTATTCTATACTTATTTTACAAGAAGACTCCGGGCAGGTATTGGTATGAAAATTTAAAAAATCAACCACTAATGTAATTTTTTTTAATACATACAAGTTATCTGCTTCTTTCTTTCCCTTCCACCTTCCTTTTATGAAGTCACAACTCTCTCCAGATGCAGAATGGTGTGAACAAACGTAATATGTGAACTAGTGCCACACAAACACTCTTCCTAGCGTTTTCATCAGTGCTCCATCACTACTGCTATTAGGGATATTGCCAGAAGCTATCTGTGTAGAACCCACATTCCAGAATGGAAGATGGTTGTGTTCTCTGTAAGAATTGTTTCTTATCTAATGAAGTTACTCTGTTAGTACTGACAGCATTCAATGCCTACTTTTGATTGATAGATAGATGTTGCTATGTGAAAACCTATCTATGATTTTGTTCTGTATTCATGGAAATAAGTCATAAACTTTATTTTATTTTAAAGGGTGCACTTACAAACTGGAACTGGAACCAGTCTCAGAAGCGATGAATGAACAAAAAAGTGTTACTGCATCAGTAAGAGTTTGGATATCCTGTAATAAGGCTTGCCTATTGCTACAGCCACTTGGAACGTCAAGTGTTTTTCAAGGTGTGGGTGTAATTCTTACCTGCACCAGGTGAAATCTACTTCCAACCTTTTTTGTTGTTGTTTAGTCGTTTAGTCGTGTCTGACTCTTCGTGACCCCATGGACCAGAGCACGCCAGGCACTTCTGTCTTCCACTGCCTCCCGCAGTTTGGTCAAAGTCATGCTGGTAGCTTCGAGAACACTATCTAACCATCTCGTCGTCTGTCGTCCCCTTCTCCTTGTGCCCTCCATCTTTCCCAACATCAGGGTCTTTTCCAGGGAGTCTTCTCTTCTCATGAGGTGGCCAAAGTATTGGAGTCTCGGCTTCAGGATCTGTCCTTCCAGTGAGCACTGATTTCCTTCAGAATGGATCGGTTTGATCTTCTTGCAGTCCATGGGACTCTCAAGAGTCTCCTCCAGCACCATAATTCAAAAGCATCAATTCTTCGGCGATCAGCCTTCTTTATGGTCCAGCTTTCACTTCCATACATCTCTACTGGGAAAACCATAACTTTCAACCTTACACAGGACATTACAACCCACCTTCTCTACAATCCCCCAGCCAGGTAGTGCCATCAGAGCAGGACTTTGTGGTAGAAATCCAGAACCCATTCGGCAGTATGTAGATAAGAGGGCCCCCACCTGCAGAGAGTGTGTTGGATGAGGAGGGTCTTGGGGAAATCAGTGTTCAAATTTCCACAAAGCTATGAAGTTCATTGGGCGACCTTAACCTATTCACTGCCGCTTAAACCAAACCTACCTCACAGAGCTGCTCTGAGGATACAATGGGTATGCCACCTTGAGACTAGTGGGAGGAAAGGTGGGGTATAAAAGCAGAAATAGATAAATAAGTCTATCTAGACCAGAAGTTATGGGTGCATTTCAACTGGTTTTTTGTTTTTTAAAATTTTACTACTAATTTTAACTGTCTTTTGGAATATTTTTAATTACTTTGATGGATATTTTTAATATTTTATTTTTTTTGTCAGCCGCTTAAAGAGGTTGAAATTAATTCATTGTGTAATATTGCTGTGGTACCACCAGATGCTGCAGCATCGATAAAGCTGCTGGCGCATTAGCGGGGGAGGACCCTAACGAGATTCCTGCATTGCTCGCGGGTTAGACTAGATGACCCTCAGGGAGCCCATTCCAGCTCTCAAGGTTCCGTTTCCTTAAACAAAACAAATCATTTTAGCCCAGGGTCCAGAATCGCCCCTTGAAAAGTCGCAGCCACCAGTTTCTGCTCTGAAGCGGAGGTACGGCAGAGTGCAGATTTTGCTTTATAAAGAGCCTACATCTCCCGACAAGCACCGGGAGGGGGAGGGCGGGCGGGCGGTGAGAGAGCGAGGGGCGCGTGACGTCAGGGCGTAGGCCCCCTCGGACTACAGCTCCCGGCACCCTCCGCTCCTTTCCCTCTTGTCCGTATAAACTATGCCTCGCTCGCTCCGACCCCGAAAGAGGGCGGCCGTTTCCTGTCAGCTGTTGTCACGTGACCCAAAGGGGGGAAACAAAAAGCGGGGGCTGGGAGGAGGAGGGCGCGGGACGCTGGCGACGGAGACGACGAGGCCGCTACAGCTCGGTGAGCCTCAGGGCAGCCCTTTCCCCCTTCCTTGGAAGGTGGGCGGTTGAGGCCTGCCTTGCCCGCGGGGGGGGGGGGGGGCGGCGGCGGGGGGCTGACGGGTTTGAGTGGGTGACGACTGCTCCACCTCAGGCTGCAGCTCGTGGAGGGCGGGGGGGGGGGGCGAAGGGAATACAGGTTTAAATCGCCTTGAAACGGCAACAGAAGCGCGCCCTCCCCCGCAAGCAGAAAGCGGCACATCAGGGTGCGTGGGCAAGTACTAGCTTTCCTCATGCGAGGGGAGGGGACTTGTGGCTCCACACACACAAACATACTGTACTGTATATGTACATGTGTTTGTATTTGTATATGTATATGTATATGGAGAGAGGCCTCCCCAGCTGCCCCCCCCCCGTGGTCCCCAACCTTCTTCGTTCAGGTTTACTTGGCATGGTGTATTGTTGTGAGTTTTGGGGAACTCCAGAGTTCTTTTTTTTTGTGGCCGCCACCACTTTGGCACAGATTTGCCTCCTCTGAAACCGTCCCTCGGTTGGGGCACCAATGCAAAGGGAATTTGTGGAGCCCGCAGCCCACTTGTGCAGGATTCTGTGGGCCATTTGCAGGTGACAACCCACAGGTTGGGAAACGCAGGTATAGTAGTAGCCCCCCTGGGCTGCCTCGGGGCCCTACTCCATCTTTATGCTACTGGCCGTAAGTCAGGCTTGGGAATGCGGTGGTGCCCGTTGAGACCTGCTGCTTCCTAGCCTGTGCTGTTGGTTGTCTTCAGGTTCCCCCAATGCATTTATACAGCTGCCAGTTAAAGGTCTGCTCTTGTTCCATTTAAGGAATTTTCCCCTTCATCCCACTCCAGTCCCACCTTCTTTTTCAAACACAAGTACCCATCCCACACCTGCCTGCTTTCATGCACACACATACTCAGCAGGTTCCCCATGTGTGTTCTGTGTGCTTTAACATTTTAATATGTTCGCCTCTCCCTTTACACACATTTTTCCATATGTCCTTGCATACCGCATGGATGAATATTCTCTATATATAGTATTCCCCCACTAAATGAGAGCTCCTTCTAATTACCGTATTTTTCGCTCCATTGGACGCACCGGACCATAGGACGCACCGGATCATAGGAGGGGGAGAACAGGGAAATTTTTTTTTCTTGTTCTCCCCCTCTAAAACAAGGTGCGTTCAAGGTACATTCACCAGAGCTTGTGGGGCTGGCGGTGGGGGGAAGCGCTGCTTTCCCCCACCGCCAGCCTCAAAGATCCCTGAAGCCTTTGGAGCGCAGTGCCCCGCTGCCCTGCACAGGTTTGCGCGCAGCCGTCCCCAAGCTAGAGGAGCGAGACGGAGCCCTCCGTCTCGCTGTTCTGGCTTGGGAACAGCCTTGCTAGCTTCTGCAGGACAGCGGGGTGAAGGCACCCCGCTGCCCTGGAGAGGTTGAGCGCGCAGCTGTCCCCAAGCTAGAGCAGCGAGACGGAGCCCTCCGTCTCGCTGTTCTGGCTTGGGAACAGCCTTGCTAGCTTCTGCAGGACAGCGGGGTGAAGGCACCCCGCTGCCCTGCAGAGGTTTGCGCGCAGCCGTCCCCAAGCTAGAGCAGCAAGACGGAGCGCTCCGCAGTGCTCCATCTTCCTGTTCTGGCTTTGGGCTTAGCGGCGCAGCCTGCATTCGCTCTATAGGACGCACACACATTTTCCCTTAATTTTTGGAGGGGGAAATGTGCGTCCTATAGAACGAAAAATACGGTATATTGTTTTCACTTCTACATCAGTATAGTGGTTTGACTTACCACTTAATTTTTTTTTGCAGTTCCTCTAATTATGATTTTCTCCTAAGTTTCATTTCTTCATACCCCTAAGGTTTCTACAGTAGCTACACCCCTGTAGTTTTATATCTCTGTGATGTCCCTTGTATTAAATAGTAGTTCCTTAGTTATTTTCCGTTTCAGTCTCAACCTATGATGGGATTATCTTCTTTTCTTTCTCCCACTCTCACTGTTTCCTCTGCTAGGGGACGTTCACCTCCTGGGAACATAGGAAGCTGCCTTTTAGCAGGTTAGACTACCTACCCATCTGTGTGATGCAGCAGCAAAAAAAGCTAATCCTATTCATCACCAGAGGTATAGTGTCCTGATCAAGGGAAGTAATACTTCCACACTATTCTGCCTTGGTCAGACCCAACCTGGAGTACTTTGTCTAGTTCTGGGTGCTACAATTTATTTTTTATTTTTTTGGCGGGTTTTACAATTTAAGAAGGATGTTGACAAGCTGGAACGTGTTCAGGGGAGGGCAACCAAGATGGTCAAGGGTCTGGAAACCAAGCTTTTTGAGGAGCAGTTGAGGAACCTGGGTATGTTTAGCCTGGAAAATAGGAGACTGAGAGGAGATACTATAACCATCTTCAAATATCTGAAGGGCTGTCACATGGAGGATAGAGCAAGCTTGTTTTCTCCTGCTCCAGAGTGTAGCACTCGAACCAGTGGCTTCAAGTTACATGAAAGGAGATTCTAACTAAATATTAGGAAGACTTTTCTGGTGGTAAGAGCTGTTTGGCTGTGGAATGGAAGGTGGTGGATTCGCCTTCCTTGGAGGTTTTAAGCAGAGGTTGGGTGGCCATCTGTCCTGGATACTTTGGTTTAGATTCCTGACCAACTTCCAACTTTACAATTCTAGGATTCTCTGATCTATCCCAGTGTTGTCCACTCTGACTGGCAATGACTCTTCAGGGTTTCTAGTCTTTCCCATCACCTGTCACCAGACCCTTTATCTGGAGATGCCAAGGACTGAACATGAACAAAGCATGTGTTTTGCCACTCCTTCATCTCTCCTATTGTTTTCCTCCCACAAGCTTTTAGAAGGCCTCACTTTGGCCCTATTTTAGATGGATTCAAATAAGACTTTGTGCAGGAGCTTTGCCTTTTCTTTCTTAGCATGCTATGTGTAAGTTCTTCTCACAGTATGGTGGCTTTCCTGCTTAGGTTCAGCCTCTTGTTGGGGAAATATTGTAATGTTATGCCAGGTGATTTCTGAACGCATTGTATTCTGAATTTTGAGCATTGAGGAATATTGTAGCATTCTACGTTTGGGGCGTCTTCTTTATTGGGCTGCGTTGTCTACATAATTCTTTCCCTGACTCATGTATTGTTTCATATGTTCTTTTATCCCTGAATAATAGGTGTTGATTTCATAGCCATAATCTAATTCCCAGCTACCAAACTGAAGTCATGATCTTGCAAATATATCTTGCATTTAAGCTTTGCTCGCTGGTTTACATGTTTGCTTCAGGTTGTGTCCAACTGTGATCTTTAGGCTACTTGGCATTCTCATGAAATGAATGCTGAAATGAGTCTCATGTCATTGGTGCAGAGAAATGAAGTGTGAAGCCCCCCAAATTTTGCTGTCCTGCAATTGCAATCATCTCTGATCATTCACTGTGCTGGATTGGGCTGATGGAAGTTTAGGTCCAACAAAAGCTTGACGTCACCATGTTGGCTACCCTTACATCAGTTGGAGAATATAGTAATAATAATAATTTATTAATTGTAATAATAACTTATTATTTGTACCTCCACATTTGACTGGGTTGCCCCAGCCACTCGGGGAGGCTTCCAGCATACAGTAGTATCTCGGTTAAGCACTTAATTCGTTCCGGAGGTCCGTTCTTAACCTGAAACTGTTCTTAGCCTGAAGCAACACTTTAGCTAATGGGGCCTCCTGCTGTCGCTGTGCCGCCAGAGCATGATTTCTGTTCTCATCCCGAGGTATTATTTCTGGGTTAGTGGAGTCTGTAACCTGAAGTGTATGTAACCCGAGGCACCACTGTATATAAAAACATAATAACACATTAAACATTAAAAAACTTCCCTATACAGGGCTGCCTTCAGATGTCTTCTAAAGGTTATATAGTTATATAGTTACTCATTTCCTTTACATCTGGTGAGAGAGCGTTCCACAGGGTGGGCACCAGTACCGAGTAGGGCCTCTGCCCAGTTCCATATGTTCTCAGTCATATATTATAGGAATGGTACTTTATAGGCAAGAAGGAGGCAATCAAAGTTTAAAAATTTAAAGTCTGCTTCTTTAGGCTCTTTAGTCCTTTGGTCTTGGCTGGTTCACAGGCCTGCAGAGGCTCTGTGACCCTCCTCCTCCCCTGTAGCATCCATTCAGGAACTCAGTAGGCACAGTTCTTCCTCCTCCAGTAAGGAACTGGGAGAACCTGCAGTAATTACATGCAGACCTCTGGTCCAGGAGTCAAATGTGGCCCTTCAAGGCTGTTTGTTTGGCCCTTGGGGCTCTTTCCAGAGCATTCCTACTCCCCAAGCCACACTCTTCACTGTCCCTGTTCTGTACACTCTTTAGATGCTTTTGCCTGGCTGGAATGGAGAGAGGTGTGCCTGTGTGTTCATGTGTGTAGAAAACTTTGGCTTTTGTAGAGGCTGGAATGTTGCCTGCTGTACAAAGGTAAGAGTTGCACCTATTGCTCAAGCCTCATTTGCCTTTGGCTCCTCTTCTACTGGCAGGTGGCACCTGGAAGGTTGTTGCCTATAAGGAAATGTGGCCCTTGAGCAGAAAAAGCTCCCCCACCCCCCGTTGTATAGCATTACTTGTGATGGGGTGCTCCTTTGAAGCAGGAAGGTTATAGTGGGCAAGCAGGTGATCTAGCCCACTGTTGGAAATAAGAAACTGACCGCAATTATGATGACTTGTTGCAGGTGCTGCATTATAACAGCTTTGTTTATTAGTGCCACAACTCTTAACGGCGTCGTGATAGCAAGCCAAGAAAACTTCAGGTGTTGGTTGGTTTTGGGTTGGTTTTTTTTTAAGCTGCCCCATAGTGTTACCTTCCACTGAGTTATAGAGATGGTTGCAGTTACTATTGTTTTTTATATGGAATCTGTATTAGAAGTTACAGTACTTTCATGCATGTGTGAATATGTAGTTGTCTTGTATACTCCTGCATGCGTTTGTCTCCCTATGAGACCATTCAACTTTACTTGCCATTTGGATGCCAGAGTTTTGAAGTTTCTTGATCTCTTTGAGAGCGTGTGCATTTATGTGAGGCAGAGACTCTCACACAGGAAGTTCCTTTTTATTAATATTGCTGGAATCTGCAAAATAGGCAACACAAGAAAAATCTCTTAAGTCCTTGTACTGAAATAGTTTACACAACATAGTTGTGTGAATTTGGATTCTAGCTTCAGTTTCTTTTGGCCTATTTTTAGCTCTAGAAAGTTGTTTCTTCGTAAACGAACTGGATACTCTGTAATGTTTTGACTGGATTAAAATGTAGTAGTGTTCTAGGAGGAAATTCAGAAAATTAATAGCAGTTAAGGGGAGTTGTTCTAAAGCAATCTTTTGGGGTGTGCTATTATTTTACTCATTTTAAAATTTCATTTTATATATGTTTTCCTGAGGCAGCTTAGTACTGCCTTCCAAAATTGTGAAAGGCCTTGCAAATTGTTATGATTCAACTGTTGCTTGAAATGGAACTATTTTTGTAAAATTGATTTTAGGATTTGGTTCTAAGGCTTGACAGGACATTCCCTTTTCTCTCTGTGTGAAACTGTTTCAAGCAATAGCTGAATTAGATGTATGAGAAGTTTTTCTCAATCACTTTTAATTTTTCTGTTGGCTTATTGAGAGAGGCTCCGGGCTGATTCCCCCCTCAAACACCCCCCCCCAGTGTATTTTCAATAAATAGCATCCAGTTTGCAGGCAGACCCAAATTACAGGAAAGCCTTGGGTTTGAGTCTACAGAGGTAAGGGTCTCTTCACTCTTGTCTAGGTGAAGGCCATCTTAAAAAGAAGGCAGTAACGTCATCTTTCTACCTTCTTCCCATAACTCAGTTATAATAAATGACTGCTCCCTGCCTGCTCTATGCCAATATAGGCTCTATTATAGACAGACAAATGTTGACTGTAGTATTTGGGGTTTTTTTAGATTGAAGAAATGTATTAACATTGCACCTTGAAAGAAGCCTTTGCCTGTTTATAAGGACTAAAAATACTTTTTAAAAGCAAGTACTTATTCATTACTGGTGGAAGTTACTGATGTCAATGATTCTTAACAGATGGTTGGAAGCAAATGTTGGATTGCAGAAAATGTCTGCTGTGCCCCCAAACTGTTGGTAGTGGGTGTTGAGAACTACAGTGTAGCCTTTTAGTTCAGAGAGTTTCTGGCCTGAAACTGGGCTACTGGACAACCCCACATTTGTTTTTAAGGCATTTAGGTTTGAAAGAAAGAATAAGCCTTTGAGCTAGGTTGTTCCGGGGCAGCCATATTTTCTCAGCCAGCCTAACATTACCAGCAGGTCTGAGCAGGTCTTCCAGAACATTGAGGCTCTGTAGCCACTCTGAAATATGCTGATGATACCCTTCATCCCCCTGAAACAGGCTAGTTGTAGGAGAGCAAAAATTTGGAGAGTGAGAAAGTTGCTGCTTTTGCATTTGCCTTTGCACTCTCCTCCACTGCCCCTTTTTTTTACTATCAAGTTTCATTTCAACTTCACTATATAGGGAACATCCAAGGGGCATGAATGGAGATAAAATAAGCTAGCAAAAACTGGAGAATTATTAAAATACGTGGCTACAATGCTTCTGAATTGTCCAAAACATGACATATCTACAGCTGAACAAGCTGCTCTCAAGAGCACTGGTTCCTAAAGGACGGCCACACATGACGGAAGCTAAAAGAAGAAGCATCTGTCTACCTGCCTCAGGCTCCTTGGCATCTCTAGCTCATGCACTGATATAATTTTCTCCGCAAGAGGTTTGGTAGGAATCATGCGGAGGCTTGTGGGGTTGGAACTATTCCCGGCTGAGTAAATATACAGATTGATATAATACCTCGGGTCATTTAGCTCCTGGGTCACAGTCCCAAAGTAAATGTTTTTTCAGAGGCATTACTGCATCGTCATCCTAAAAAGATGGGCACAAATTCAAGGGGGGGGGGGACGACTTGTCATTGCCAAACAAACAAAGAGGTTCCAGTGTACACATTGGTAGCAGTACAAATTTCATTTGCCTGCAGGGGTGTTTTGTATTCCAGAAAACTTTGGATTTTGTTCAGGATCCACATCTCGTTCCAGAATTCCAAAGTGATGCAGGGCTTTATCCCTTAACGTTGTTTTCTTTATGACTCTTATCTTCTGCCTGCTGTCTCCTGCACGGGGTTTTGGTCACTGGTCATATCCACACCACACATCTGAAGCACATGGCTTCACCCTACAATTCCTGGAAACTTCAGTTTGGTAAGGGTGCTGTGAATTGTAGCTCTGTGAGGAGTAAAGTACAAATTCCAGAATTCTTTAGGGTAAGTCATAACTGTTAAAGTGGTATAAATGGGCTTGAAATGCATGCTGTAGATATGGCCAACCCTCTCTTTGGTCCTATTTGGAATCCTTGTCTTTTTGCCCAGTGGCCTGTTTGAGGTATTCACTGTGTGTCCTGGGGACTCCTGGGAGCTTTCATGGGGCTGATTTCAGAGACATGTTGCTTTCTGCTCCCTCTTTCTCATGCAATGATCAGCTTCAGGGAAGCATTGGACCTCTTCTAAGCTGCATATGAAGTCCATGCATGGCAGTGTTGAGCCAAGTGGACCTGGGCTCTGGGGTATCTGCCATGAGAATTGGCTGTGCACCCTTGGTTAGAAAATGTGCTCCAATATTCTGCAATGCACAGGGGTTCCAGAGCAGATGCATGTTTGTGTTGTGTGATATGCAAGTCAGTGTGGAAATGTTTGCCTGAAGGTAGCAAGCTACAAATCTGCATGAGTAAGAAATTAACAGAGGTCTTGAGCTTCGTTGCTGCAGCTGGATCTTCCCATGAGTATCACATTTTATTAAATGGCATCTAAGAAATGTTGGCAGCTAGATTTTGAGGTATATTACTAGCCTTGGGTTTCAGGAAAAAACATTCTGAGTAGTAGTAAATAGCTATCTTTTCATGAATAGTTTATAAAGTACATTATTTGAAATGCAAGCAGTTTCTGCTGAAGGATATATATTCTGGGGATTCCTGAAGTCCCAAGTAGTGATGATCTAAAGACAGGGATGCACAGCTCCAGGAAACCGGGTTAAAACAATAGAAACAAACTCTGTCATGGCAATGACTGCTGCTTAATAATTGGATAGTTTCTGCTATTTTAAGACTCTGGATAGAGTACCGTTTCAGGTTCTGCTGCAGTCTTTCTTTGGCAGCTTTCCAGAAACAGCTCATATAATCGGTTCTATGGGAAGAAAAAGTGGGTGTTTTTACAATGCAACATCTATATTGAATTTCCCCTTTTAAGATGGCAAAACTCCCAGGGTGCTATTTGGAAATATTATTCTGCTGGGCAGGTACTGTGTTTAAGCAGAAATACTACCCACTGAAGCATTGTAGTCTTAGCTTCAGAAGTTTAATTTTAGATATGTATTATCAGTTGCAGCCCACATCTTTAGACCAAAAAGGGCTGTCAGAATGCCTAACATAAGATAGAACAGTGCCAGATATGAAAACAATTAAGCAAGCAGTTACAATAATAACAATAAATTGACCGCAGATTACCAAGTTGCAAGTGGTACAAAATAAAACAATAAGAGAGAGTAATGTTCAGTAACTTGACATGCAGCCTCAAAAGACCTGCTCCCCCACCCTTTCTTCAAATAAAGCTTGCTTCCATCCGAGGTAGGTGGGTGTAGGATTGCATTCAGAATCTTTGAGAGCAAAGTGTCGCCTAGTGGCTAAGAAACTTGAGCTATGAGCTAAGTAGCTCTTGTTCAAATATTGTCTGCCCCATGCGCTCACATCTTAAGCCAGTGTTCTGCAGCATGGTGCCTTTCAGGTATGTAGGAGTCCAAATCCCAGTGGTCAGAGATAATGGGGATTGTAGTCCAAAACATCTGGAAGGCTCCAGGTTAAGGAAGACCGCCTTAAGCAAACCACTGTCTTTCAGCCTTGGTACCCCATCTGCAGGATAAAAGTGCTATCTTACTGTGGTGATACCTTAACAGGGATAGTTGGGTTTCCTGTGATGTCACATCGCAAGTGTTAAATAATTGTTTTAATGTGACAGTGGTTTGTAAGTTAACTACTGTTAGTGTTGTTATATCTCTGGAGCTTTTTCGATAACCACTAGTGGTGGTGGGGGATGAGTGTTCAAACCCCTGTGAACTCACTTGTGGGGTGCCTCAGGCTTCTGTCTTCTCCCCCATGCTTTTTAACATCTACATGCAGCCTCTGGGAGAGATCATCAGGGAGTTTGGGCTGGGTGCCCATCAATACCCAGCTCTACCTCTTTTAAATTGGAACCAGTGAAGGCAGTGAAGGTCCTGTTTGAGTGCCTGGATGTGGTTGGAGGATGGATGGCGGCTAATGGATTGAGGTTGAATCCTGACAAGATAAAAGTACTGTTCTTGGGGGACAGGGAGTGGGTTGGTGTAGAGGACTCCCTAGTCCTGAATGGGGTAACTGTGCCCCTGAAGGACCAGGTGCGCAGCCTGGGAGTCATTTTGGACTTGCAGCTGTCCATGGAGGTGCAGTTCAATTCAGTATCCAGGGCAGCTGTCTACCAGCTCCTTCTGGTATGCAGGCTGAGACCCTACCTGCCCGTGGACTGTCTTGCCAGAGTGGTGCATGCTCTAGTTGCCGTATTTTTCGCACCATAGGACGCACCGGACAATAGGACGCACTTTGTTTTAGAGGGGGGAGAACAAGAAAAAAAAAATTCTCCCCCTCTCTGCCCAGCGCCCCTTCAGCGAAGCGTCAGGAAGCGCTGCGCAGAGAGGGGGAGAACTTTCCCCCTCTTGTTTTCCCGCTCTAAAACAAGGTGCCGTTTAAGGTGCGTTCAGGCGGCTACCTTGGAAGCCTGGAAAGCAAGAGGGGTCGGTGTGCACTGACCACTCTCGCTCTCCAGGCTTCAGGTTCCTTTCGACCTGCTCTTTGGGGCTGGCGGGGGGAAGCCCATTACCAGCCCCAAAGAACAGGTCAGGAAGCAGCGGAAAGACGCAGTGGAGAGGCTCCTGCCATAGCCGCGCGTCACCTCTCCAGCCGGGAGAGGGTCGCGGGGCTATGGCGTCTTCGCTCCATAGGACGCACACACATTTCCCCTTCATTTTTGAAGGGGAAAAGGTGCGTCCTATACAGCGAAAAATACGGTATCTCCCGCTTGGAATACTGTAACGTGCTCTACGTGGGGCTACCTTTGAAGGTGACCCGGAAACTACAACTAATCCAGAATGTGGCAGCTAGACTGGTGATTGGGAGCGGCAGCCGAGACCATGTAACACCGGTCCTGAAAGACCTACATTGGCTCCCAGTACATTTCTGAGCACAATTCAAAGTGTTGGTGCTGACCTTTAAAGCCCTAACGGCCTCAGCCCAGTATACCTGAAGGAGCGTCTCCACCCCCATCATTCAGCCTGGACACTGAGGTCCAGCGCCGAGGGCCTTCTGGCGGTTCCCTTGCTGTGAGAAGTGTCGTTACAGGGAACCAGGCAGAGGGCCTTCTCAGCAGTGGCGCCTGCCCTGTGGAACGCCCTCCCATCACATGTCAAAGAGGTAAACAACTACCTGACATTTAGAAGACATCTGAAGGCAGCCCGGTTTAGGGAAGATTTTAATATTTGACATTTTAATGTATTTTTAATCTTTGTTGGAAGCCGCCCAGAGTGGCTGGGGAAACCCAACCAGACGTTGTTGTTGTTTAGTCGTGTCCGACTCTTCGTGACCCCATGGACCAGAGCACGCCAGGCACTTCTGTCCTCCACTGCCTCCCGCAGTTTAGTCAGGCTCATGCTGGTAGCTTCGAGAACACTGTCCAACCATCTCGTCCTCTGTCGTCCTCTTCTCCTTGTGCCCTCAATCTTTCCCAACATCAGGGTCTTTCGCAGGGAGTCTTCTCTTCTCATGAGGTGGCCAAAGTATTGGAGTCTCGGCTTCAGGATATGTCCTTCCAGTGAGCACTCAGGGCTGATTTCCTTAAGAATGGATAGGTTTGATCTTCTTGCAGTCCATGGGACTCTCAAGAGTCTCCTCCAGCACCAGAATTCAAAAGCATCAATTCTTCGGCAATCAGCCTTCTTTATGGTCCAGCTCTCACTTCCATACATCACTACTGGGAAAACCATAGCTTTAAGTATATGGACCTTTGTTGGCAAGGTGATGTCTCTGCTTTTTAAGATGCTGTCTAGGTTTGTCATTGCTTTTCTCCCAAGAAGCAGGCGTCTTTGAATTTTGTGACTGCTGTCACCATCTGCAGTGATCATGGAGCCCAAGAAAGTAAAATCTCTCACTACCTCTGTTTCTTCCCCTTCTATTTGCCAGGAGGTGATGGGACCAGTGGCCATGATCTTCGTTTTTTTGATGTTAAGCTTCAAACCATATTTTGCACTCTCCTCTTTCACCCTCATTAAAAGGTTCTTTAATTCCTCCTCACTTTCTGCCATCACTGTTCTGCCATCAACCAGATGAGCGGGGGTACAAATAATAAATTATTATTATTATTATTATTATTAACCAGATCAGGTTGCTTCTTGAGGAATCGGAGAGTTCCCAAAATTTGCTGTCTTAGCAACCGTATATTCAGTGCTTCCCAACATCACCACCCCGAAAAATAGGTGCTGCAACTCACATTGAAGTTGTTACAGTAAGCCGCCAGGCGACTCAGGGCAGACTTGAGCAGATGCGTTCACCACATGCAGAGGGGATAAAAACTACGGCAAGCTGTCTTCCTGGCTGGTTTGAGTCCCTGATTCTGGTGCAGGTCAAATAAATACACTCCCACCTCCCTTGTTCTCTTAGATTCAGGTGGATGGTGAGGGCAGCTCAGAAGAGCCCTTGTGTAAATGTGCGGTCATGCAATGGTAAGCACCTGGCTGGAAAGCTTAAAGCCCGCTGCTGCTACACAGGAATTGGATTGAAGGAAATAAGAATTGGCCCTGCCCTGTAGCTTGACCAATTGTGGCTAGGAGCTAGGTGGAGTTAGATCTTAAAAAAGTGTAGACTTGCACATGCTGGCCAGCTTCCGTTTTGACTTGAAATGTTCATTTTGGGCTTCTCAGGTGTACGTAAAGGCGAGAAGTGGGCAGGGGGAGTGCTGGCCTGCAATGGTACCTACCTGAGAGGTGCCGGAACCGCTCCCCGGCTGTAAAAAACAACAACACTTCATCAGATCATTGGCAGATAGGTACATTATGATCCTGGAACAGCGAAAAAAGCGCACTGCCAGTAGTGGAGGCTGTTGCATCAGGAGGAGGAGAACTTCAGCCTCTCCCACCTCAATCCAAAATCCACCAATGCACTTGCTATTAATCAAAACTAGCGCAGCAATTTAAAGGAGTCCCATCAAGGAGGTGGAAGCACCCATCTTGTAAGTGCTTCACTTCAGGAATCAAAACTGGAAATTTACTGCTGTTTTCATTGTCTTCTGTGGATGTGTTCAATCTTGCTAAAATGGATTGGTGAAAGCGGCTAACTCTTTTTTTAAAAAAAACTGATTTCCACCAACACTCAACCCCAAATGGAAACTTCTGCTTTTTAAGTATTCTGTTGGCTTGGCTGGCTACCATTGTTGGAACCACTTTTAATGTTCTAATTCACTTTCCAAAAAACTTTGAGTGTACGAGCATGTGAGATCTTTGGAAGCCATCCAGTATTGTGATTATAATGAGTAAAAGTGGAGGCATTTATTGAAATGATCTTTTCCCCCCACCCTTGAAAGTGTTGCATTGGAATATAATAATGTATGCAATCCAGGTAAATTTTACATAGTGTATGCTTGCTTTCTTAACAGATCCCCTCCCCCCCCAGCATGGCGTCCTCATCAACCCCTAGATGTAACTCAAATTCCTTCGAGGGCTCCTCGGTTAAAAAGGCAAGTGTATTTTCTGGTTTAAATTATCTTTCTCTTTTTGTTTTTTTGTTTTTTATATATATCAATAATATTTCTGGACATCTATCTCTGAAGCCCTTAGCTGTCATTAGTTTTGTGCTTGAGGATCTGGATTGTTCCTAACATCTTTAGGTTTGTAACGTCTGTTTCTCTTAAAACTTCAAACTTAATACCTGAAAGGAAAGGTAGGGAACACCAAGCGTGTACTAGAGCTCTGTAATTTCTCAGCTTCCTCTTCTGATACGAAGTTTGCAGGTGCAGGGCCATGACAAAACTGCATGATCTAATCAGTTCTTCTTTTGATATTATTTTCCCCTTAGCCTGTGAAAGATGGAACTAACTGGGAACGCAATGAAGAAATACCTCGTCTACCAGGGGAAACCAGAGGGACAGGTAAAAACACAGACCAACAGTTGTGCATAATCAATTTCCCAAGAGCCAGTTCAAATGTGCAGGAAGATCCATGAACAGGGCAAGTGGAGGATAATATATTTTAGCGTCCCCCACTAAAATAAACTCCACTGTGTCAAGAGCTAGCACTTTCGGAAGAATCTAGGCTGTCCTTTATTTTATTATCTGAGTATTATTATTTTTTTAAAAGAGCATCTAGCTTGCAGGGTGGAAACGTGAGTGATAGTGAGGTATTTTCAGCTGAAAAACAAAAATGAGCATGATGCTGTGATTAGACTACTACTAGGGACAGACTGTCTCCAGCACATAACTCCAGTGCTTAAGAGCTTGTACTGCCTGTCCCTACACTACTGGACCAGGTTAAAGGTTCTTGTATTAATTTGCAAAACCCTTAACAACTTGGGTCCACAATACCTGATCCCTTATATCCCTGCTTGATCACTGATGCCTTTGAGGGATCATTTAGCTCATTGTTGCCTGCGCTGACTGGCAGTAGCTCTCTAGGGTTTCAGATGGGATCTCATTCAACCCTACATAGAGATGCCTGGAGGGATTGAACTGGGGACCTTTTTCATGCAAAGCAGATGCTCTGCCTCTGAGCTAAGAACCATTCCCCTGTGTCCGCTGCTCTTCTCCCTACATCCCCAAATCTTCTGGTCCTTCTTTCTCTCTCAAGTTGTCAACAGTGGCTCCTGGTTCTGTATAATGCAAAATAATAATAAACATAAATCTGTATTGAGTTCAAGTTACTAACTGTAACTTGACCAATTGGACATGTGCTGGTAGCTGTCCATTCAACCACAGCCAGGTATTAAAAAGACCTAGCAGAAGCCAATATTCAATTCCGGCGTCGTAAAGCAATGCCCATCTATGCCTGATAGACAATACTTTCAGAAATAATCCTATCATAATTGGACTGTGGTGGCTGTTTTCTCTTGTGCAAGTTATCACTTTGTGCAGCTGCTAATGTCCATTTAACAGTCAGGATGGGTTCCAAGTTACACTAGGGGCACTTTCAGCCATTTGGATTGTCCTGTGGACAGTGTTAGAAACTGAGATATGAAAGCTAGGAACTAAATGGCACCTTAAACCTAGGTAATGGGCGCAACAATGGAATGTCTAGGCGCACTTTTTTAGAACCAGAATACAAAGCTGAAAATGAATGAACTGCAGCTGAAATATTATGTTCATTTTTCACATGGTCTACTCCTTCCCCTGCCCACCTCTGTAATATTCTTAAGAGGCTCTCTTCTCCAGTCTTCAGAGAGTAGCTGAAAGTGGGGAGGCAAAAAAAGGTCCTTTCCTTTCAGCAGTGGCAGTTTTAATCTGAAATCTTAGGCGCAGTATTGCGCTGAGAGCTCAGAAACTGCTTGCGCTAATGAAATTCCCTTTTGCAAAATGCGCCTAGAACAGGGAGTTTTGAACACTGCCTGTGGAACTTCACAGATCCTGCTTTTGAAAATCCTGTGAGCTTCAAAACTCATGTATTACAGTATTTAGGGTAGAGTAAGGCTGCTCATGTGCCAAAAGCTGCTAAAGAGTACTATGGAGATATGGATTGCTTGTGGGAAGGGTATGGAGAGATTTTTAAAAATTCTTCAGCAGTATGAAAGCGCTGTACTTGCCTGTTCCTTTTTTGTATTACCTCTTTTTTGAAAATAATATAGATAGGAATATTACAGCAAGGGGCATAACACGGCAGTAGAGCATTTATTATTTGTTAAATTTATTTTCATCTGTAGATCTTATGGTGATTTACAGCATAAAAATACAAGATCAAAACATGAAATACATAATAGAAAGAGGAACAGAACAAAAGACTGACACCTCCTCCCCCAGCAGACAAACACATTTTAAAGTATGCAGGATGTTAGTCAGCCCAAAGCCTGGTTGAAAAGGAACATTTTTGTTTGGCACCTAAAGGTGTATAATGAAGGCACCAGGTAAGCCTCTCCAGGGAGGGCATTCCTCAAACAAGGAGCCACTGCAGAAAAGGCCTATTCTCTTGTTGCCACCACTGGACCTCCCGTGGAGGAGGCACAGGAAGAAAGGCATCAGATTATGATCACAGGATCTGGGTAGGTTCATAGGAAAAGAGGGTTTGCACGTGCTTTGTATGCAGAAGGTCCCAGGTTCAGTGCTAGCAAAAGTCTCTCTCTGGAACCCTGGAGAGTGGACCAATAAGTGGACATGGCAACTTTCTGCATTCCCAAACACAAAGCCTTATTGGGCACCTGGAGCTATTTAGGTGGTTATTTCCTTCTTGTCTGGTGTTTTGGAAAGTGTCAAAGCTCAGTGGCTTCTGCTTTGAATGCAGAAGGTCTTGGGTTCAATCTTTGGTATCTCTAGGCAGGGCTGACAGAGACTCCAGCCTGTAGTTGATACTAAGCTGGTCTGATTAAGTTCAAGGCAGTTTCCTGTGTTCCTATTTTCAATTTCCTGCTTTAAAGAGGTATGGCATATTGGTATAAGCAAGCTCTGCCACTTATCTGAATTGAAAGCAAATCCTTGCTGTTTCGTCCCAAAGAAATAAATATGATTTTTGACTGTGTTGCAATATTTTAAATGTATAACTACTGTTGCTTCCACAGACAAGGAAGTCATTTACATGTGCCCATTTAATGGACCTGTTAAAGGAAGACTATACATAACAAACTACAGGCTGTACTTGAGAAGTGTGGAATCGGTAAATACTCTATAGCAGCATATCGTGGGATGGAAGGGATTGGTTAAAGTGGCTTATCTGCTGGTTTAAATTTGATTATAGTTGCAGTTTGCCATGTTGAATTTGCCTGATTTACAATTATGAATTTGCCCAGCTTGTATTGCTCAGATGCAATGTGAAGCAAACACCACTTTCCCCTCACTACACCAGTGTGGTGTAGTGGTTAAGAGCGGTAGTCTCATAATCTGGTGAACCGGGTTCGCTTCTCCGCTCCTCCACATGCAGCTGCTGGGTGACCTTGGGCCAGTCACACTTCTTTGAAGTCTCTCAGCCCCACTCACCTCACAGAGTGTTTGTTGTGGGGGAGGAAGGGAAAGGAGAATGTTAGCCGCTTTGAGACTCCTTAAAGGGAGTGAAAGGCGGGATAGCAAATCCAAACTCCTCTTCTTCTTCTACAGCTCAGAAAGCAAAAGGGGATTCTGCAGAGGGTGCTTTTTGACTTAAACCTATTTTTAGTTCATGCCTTAGACACTAGCTAGTAAGGTAAAGGATCCTTGGACAGTTAAGTCTAGTCAAAAGTGACTATGGGGTGCGGGACTCATCTCACTTTCAGGCCGAGGGAGCCAGCGTTTGTCCACAGACAGCTTTCTGGGTCATGTAGCCTGCATGACTAAACAACTTCTGGCGCAACGGAACACCGTGACGGAAACCAGAGCTCACAGAAACACCATTTACCTTATCACCGGTACCTGTTTATCTACTTGCACTGGTGTGCTTTCGAACTGCTAGGTTGGCAGGAGATGGGACAGAGCAATGGGAGCTCATCCCGTCATGCGGTCTCAAACTGCCAACCTTCTGATCTGCAAGCTCAAGAGGCTCAGTTGTTTAGACCACAGTGCCACCCGCTAGAACTTACATAGAGCTAAGCAGCTGACTCTGAAAAACATTTTAAATCCCCAAGATGGGTGTACCAACCTGGTGATGCTCCAGAGTCTTTGGGTAGAGGAGCTGTGTGGCTTGAGCCTCCCTGACCCAAGCAGGCTCTTTTATCTGTGGCCTCTGTTTTTATGACCTCTTCAGCTGACAGTGAGACAAAAAGACTTGCTCCAAGATCTTGGGTGTTCAATGCAAAATAACCTGTCGCAGGTATTTGCCAAAAACTTCCAAGCTCTCTGAGATCAGTGGCTGGGACTTAGAACAAATAAAATGGAAATAGACAGATTTATCAGGTGCAGCTGATAATTGTAGTTAATTTAGAACTGTGTGTGTGTGTGTGTGAGAGAGAGAGAGAGAGAGAGAGAGAGAGAGAGAGAGAGAGAGAAAGAGAGAGAATTTGCCTCACTTCACAGTTCTGTCAAAACACCTGCAATTGAAACTAGGTCGCCAAACTCAATTGAGATGAGATTAACAATAGATGCTTGCAGTAGTTTGTTCAGTTATCTTTGAGATACACTTTTGTATTTCATTCACCCAGGAGTCTTTTTTTTCATTGTATTGTAACTGAAGAGTGTGACAGAGAGAGGATGTGGTGGTGGCAGCGACGGCTTGGAGGTGACTTCCTGGCAGCATTGCTGAGTTGGTTATATAGGAAAAACTTAAATCTGCCCCCCCCCGCCTCTCATACATACTACATTTGCATTGAGTGGTGGCATCATGGTCTAAACCACTGAGTCTCTTGGGCTTGCCGATCAGAAGGTTGCTGATTTGAGTCCAAGCGACGAGGTGAGATCCTGTTGCTCTGTCCCAGCTCCTGCCAACCTAGCAGTTCAAAAGCACGTCAGTGCAAGTAGATAAATAGGTACCGCTGCGGCGGGAAGGTAAATGGCATTTCCGTGCACTCTGGCACTCATCGCGGTGTCCTGTTGTGCCAGAAGCGGTTTAGTCATGCTGGCCACATGACCCGCAAAGTTGTCTGCGGACAAACACCGGCTTCCTTAGCCTGAAGTGAGGGAGTTTGACTGGACTTATCCATAGTCAAGTTTGACTGGATTTAACCATCCAGGGGTCCTTTACCTTTTACAAGCGCTACTAGTCTGACTGGCAAATTACCGTATTTTTCTGTGTATAACACGACCCCATGTATAAGACAACCCAGTGGTTGTGCTTCTTTTGTTAGTTTGCTGAGCTATTGAGCAGCTTTTTGACGATCCCCTGCTCTGGCTGACGAAACTGGTGCCGTAATACCCTGCATACTGGCACTTCCTAAGCTGGGAAGAGCGAGTATGCAGCCTCCTCTCTGACATTTCCCTGCTGCCGCTGCAGCACCAGCCCTTGTTTACTTAGCATATGTATAAGACGTCTGTCAGGGCTGCCTCAGGTCTCAGCTCACAAAAGACCAACGCCAATTTCTTCTTATATACAAAAGTGTTTATTGGAGTTCATTGTTTGCTTCACATCCGAGGCGCGCAGCCCCACGTCTGTTACGCTTAGACCGTTGAAGTCCCCTCTGAGTCAGTCCCTCCCCTGCACCAGTTTAAGAGGCTTGCGCTGCTCCACCTCTGATTCTGTGTGACAGTGAAATATTTGAAAGATAGACATATGTTTTGCTTAAAAAATTAATGTAGCATGTTAAAAATAATCTGCTTTATCATTTATCTAACTAGGATCCAGTGGTAATAGTGGATGTCCCTTTGGGTGTCATTTCAAGGATTGAGAAAATGGGAGGCGCTTCCAGCAGAGGAGAGAATTCCTATGGGCTAGATATTACTTGCAAGGTAAGATTCAGAACAATCCTTTGCCATTTGAAATAGTAGTCATTTTTGTTCTTTTAGGCAATAGCACATCTTATTTTGTTGATTCCTAAATTTTGAATACAATAATATGTTATTGCAGTAGTTTTGATTTAAAATGTGTGATCTGCCAGGGCTCTGAAGGCAGGTGTCAAGGCTTGTGTAATAAAAGCATTACTCTCCTGCTCTCCAGCTAACTAGACTCCCATAGTGGCTTACAGAAGATCAGTAAAAGTGGACAGTCCCTGCTGTCATAAGCCTGTAGTCTATAAGGAAAAAACAATGCGAAAGGAAGGTGAAGGCAAGCAAACTCAAGCCTGATTCCTTCTTGCATCATAGTTTCTATAATGATCCATTAGAATGTAAGTAGTTCGGGAAGGAGAGGGGCCAAATAAAGTTGGCCTCCCAGCAGTAAATGGTGGAGTGGGGCCTGTTATCCCATCTCTCCTTGTATTGTATGTTAAAGTGGAGTGTTGAATACAATGTGCAACGTATAGTTGTATATTACATAGGCTAAGTATTATACAGCAGTATAAGAAAAACACAAGTGCATGTAAAAGCAACTTCTTCTTAATGCATTCTTTTCTTTAATTTTGATGAGCCTTTTAGATTGTCCTTTGTAAAACCGCTTAGGTCTTCTGCTCAAATAAGTGGTGCATAACTTTGGTTAAATAAGATAAAGCATCCAAGATAAACGCAAGATAGGAGTGAAATCAATCCAAGGCCAGTCAAAAACTGAAGTGAGCGAGTCTGGTGGGTCTTCCTTAGGCAAGGATTTCCGGAAGGAAAGTCCCTCTGCAGAAAAGTCCTTGTTTCTTTCTTCCTGCCTTCACCAATAAGAGGCTGTCCCTAGGATCTTGGGAACATAAGGGAGAAGGTATTCCTACTGCACATGCTCTGTTGCACAAAGCTATGCTGAAAGACTCAAGTGAGTCTTCCTCACTCATAGGAAGGAGCTGCCTAAGGAAGGCTGATGCCTGGGATTTGGAGTGTAGAAATTTGTTGAAACTAGCTTGTCTCCTTCTGCAGCTTTGCAGATGGAGCTGGCAATTTGTGGATGGTAGACATGTTGGCAAGATAGAGATGAAGCAGGAAATCCTGGCTGAATGGGCGTAATAAAATTGCATCACTGTTTCACTATGGGTGTTCAGGCTGACAGGATCGTTGAGATGGGACTGCAGTACTGCTCTGTTCATCTAGTTATCAATCATCCATTTTTTAATTATAATTTTAAAAAGATACCTGGGGCATAGGAAGCTACCCTCTACTGAGTGAGACCATAGGTCCATCAATATTGCCTACTGTATGTTGTGTCTTTCCTCAGGATTGAACTTGGGACCTATTCCATACAAAGCAAGTGCTGAACCACTGAACTATGTTCCCTTGCTCTAGGAAAAGGATTGAAGTACTTTATTTATATCACCAGTGTCAGTTGATTTCAGAAACTTAAAGCATAATGGATTCTGTTAGCCTGCTACTATAAAAGACCAGTCCTTGAAACTTGATAAATGTCTTATGATTTGCCACACACACATATCCACAAGATGCCTCATCCACAAACTAGTTAAACCACAATATTTGACTTTGAGGCTGTTCAGAAGGACTAAACCAAATGAACAAATAGAGAAGAGGCACTTGCAATGCATAGATTTGTCTGGAATGCGTGGACTTGTCTGCTCATCTCTTTGTGTTCACCTTGTGTTTTTAAATTTTAAATTTTCTGATTTAAATTTTAGGATATGAGAAATTTACGCTTTGCATTGAAACAAGAAGGTCACAGCAGAAGAGATATATTTGAGGTCCTGACCAAATGTGCTTTTCCACAGTCATATAACTCGGTAAGTTGTTCCTATACTACATTTTTAATTTTTTTTAATGAAAAGTAGGGGGGGAAAGTATTTTAGAAATAATAGTCTGAGTCTTGCTATCTGTTCCTAACCACATGTACTCAGAAGAAAATCCCACTGAGTTAAATAGGATTTATTTCCAAGTAAGTTTGTCTTAGAATGCAGTCATAATGTTCCATAATCTAATGCAGGGGAATGTATTATTTTAGACACACATATATATGTGAACTTCGGTAAACTCCTGTGCCATCTTAAAGGCTGCTGGCTAATTTGGTGGAGTAGGAAAAGGACCTTGAGAGACCGGAGTTCAAATCCCAATTTGGCCGTGAAGCTTGCTAAGTGACCATGAGCCAGTCACTGTGCATCAGCCTAATCTACCTCAGAGTTTTTGGGAGGATGAAATGATCAGGAGGAGTACAATTTACCTTGAGCTCCTTGGTGGAAAGGAAGGATGCAAATAAAATTCTTGAGACTTTAATTTTCATGGACCCTCTTCATCAGAAGCATGGAATATTATCCCAAGTTGAGTGATACATATACATGAATAAAATGGGGAAAGCTGGTGAACAGGGACTAAAAGACCCTGAGTTTTGGAAGATGTTATCTTGTGAAATGTATACAAAATAATCACACAGAGGGCCAATTTTTTTTAGCCTGGTTCACACATCACACTGAACCCCTAGGTGAAATGAGCAATGGTTTAAAGTTGAACATAGTGTCCTATGGCACGCTGCTGAAATTCTTTGCTCTCCATTCTTGCTGCTGCCATGCTGCTGGGAAATGAGGCATGGCCTGGTGCACTGCGCGCTCCAGACCCTGGCCTGTGGTTCATTTCCACATTGCTGCATCTTGTTTCAAGGCCCTACTTATATGATCAATAGTTTCATTCTTAAGATCTTGATCAAACATTGCCAACATGTGGCACTTTTAAAATGGAAGGCTGTTGGAAATTGTACTGTACAGCATGATTGCACCTTGGGCACAATTAACCTGCATGATTTCAACCTTGGGCGTGGTTAACCTCCACTATTTCAACCTTGTGCAGTGGAAAGCCAGCTGATTGGAATCCCACAAATTAATTGCACACTAGACTTAAAAGCTTAAAAGCTCCTTTTGTGCCAGGCTTGCTTACTGGGATCTGGGAGCCTTTTGCAGGAACTTGGATGGCCCTGCGAGATCTCACGAGAACCTACCAGAGCCCGTGAAAGAGCATCCCAGAGCCCAGTAAGCAAGGCTTAAGAGAGCTTAAGAGGTATATGCGTTTATGCATATATGTTCCATCTTCAGAATGTAACCCTTGTGCACATAACTGTGTACCCAGTGTGTACCCACACAGAGATTGCGTACAACTTACAAATACATAAGAGAAAAAATCCCAAACTGATTTCTCATTTTCCTTTATAGTGTATAAATGCTTCATGTATTAACACTATCAGCATGCCAGGTGATAGCTGAAAAACATGATAAGTTGATTATCATCTGATCACTCCTTAGTTTCTTGGATGTTGGTGCTTTGCTTTGGGTAATCAGGATACCTCTTCAGGTGTTAATGAGCAGTGCTGTGTGTTGAGCAGCATATTCAGGCTTCTTCAGAGACACAAAGCTCAATATTCAGCTGTGGATTGGGCATTTTGTTATTACTGTTGTATATTGAATAAATTTGTTCCCAAAGCATTTCCTCCTATTTTGTATTCTGAAAAACACTTGAGAGCAGCTAATGAGAAATAAATCAACATCGCAATATAATTCCAGAAGCTAAAAAAATGCAGGTAGCCCAACAATGAAAAATTGGACTGCACTGTTAATGCAGCATCTTCGAAAGCCCTCTTAAAAAAATGCATTCAGGCTGCCGGCTAGGAGGCAAGTGCAAGATGGGCCTAGCAAGGGTGTTGCATAGTGTTTGGGCAGAAATGGCCAAGGGATGCATCTCAATCTTTAGCCAAGGGGAGGCAGTTCTTGATGCCGCTTTTTACATTTACTCTGCAAATACACCGAGTTGGTTGTTTTCCAGACAGTGTGGCACTGTGCAGCTTTTGCAGAGCACAATATGCTGAAGCAAATGTTCCAAAGATTACAATGGATGTAGTCCCCTCACTTTAATTTTATTCAAAAGTTGAATATACAGTTGTATTAAGAATGCACCAGCCATTCAAAATGTGCTATATAATTCTAATCAGAATAATAAATAAAATCGCAAGCATCTCTAAATTACGACACCAGGGCAAAATACTCAGTACTTTTTCTTTATAGTCAGGACTGTTGGTATTTTCTTTCTACCACCTCCACTCTAGTGGTTTTAAGAGATTCTGGGTGTTTTAAATACCCCTGTGTGGATAGTATTGTTTCGAGGGCAAAAATCCTGGCACCCAGCACACTAGCTTTCCCATCCATTTGACTGATAGAGGCTGGATAATTTCCCTAGATAACAGGAGGCTTTCTTCAGGGACAGATGCAAAGAATATTGCTACTGATTTGCTGTTCTTGCTTGTAAGCATTTAATACAATTTTAAATCATTTTTATGGAGAGCATTTTGCTTTCCATCCCACATGTTCAGATAGACTAGAATTTGAGCGAGAATGTTGCTCAATGTTTTCTTGTAAGTCCTGTGGTCCTGGAACTAGTCTGTTTCAAAAATGCTTTTGTGATTATCATCTCCCCCCCCCCCCACCCTTCCCTGGAATTAATTTTCTTGCCTTTGTAAAAACAAGAATAGAGAAGCAGTTTGTGGATTTTAATGATGCCCCGTTTCTTCAGTTCACCTTATTCTGTCATATTTTAGCAGCTCACTTTTCACTAGCTGCATGAGATAATTCTAGTAACATCTGCCAAGGTTTCCTGTACCTCGTGGGATGCACTTCATATTCAGTTCACCTCACTTTCACCCTTCCTTGCCAATTCTTATACAAACCAGAGACCATTTAAAAGTTGGCCATATGGGTGGAGAGGGCTCTTACATCTGTGACGAGGATTTAAGACTGAAGTGTATTCTTGCTCTCCCTTTTCCTTCAGGCACAAAATCACTGGTATATTCGCAGACATTAGTCCACCTTTGGAGGTGTTTCTAAATAAAAGATGCATACCTAAAATATTTGAATTCCCAGAGTAGGTGTAATTCAGATTACTAATATTGGCAAGAGCCTAAATAAACTGAAACTTGAGATGAAGTGTTTAGAATTGGCCCCAACATACTGTATACCCGCTCCCGCATGCTTAATGTTATGTCTGCACTGTTATTCCTAACCCATAATTTATAACCAGTTTGAAGTTGAATAATATGGATACAGAAACAACTAAATGTGGTCATAGATGCAGTTTGCATTCCCACATTCCTTTCCTGAACCCATAAGGCTTAGACGGGGTAAATCTGCACCTGAATATTTGGGTGGAATTGCTTCAGGAGTCATTCTGCAAATGAGCAATAAGCACCTTTTTTCTCTCATTGATGGCAACTAATCTGTCTTACACAACAATGAGTGTTATTGGATAGTCTTCAGCTTGAAAAGACATCTCTCTCTGTTTGATGGAACAGGGAACTGCATATAACTAGGTTTTAAAGATAAATCCTCTTCTGCATTTACATTTCAAAATGAAAATGAAAGCATGTTTTTAATAGGAGGGAAGCTGCTTGAATTTCAAGAGTGACTCTGATAGGAACATGTGCAAAGCAGTCACTGACTATTTTAGGGTCGTAATTGAAGACAGCCTTGTCCCCTTGAAGATACTTTTGTCTGTTTCAATTGCGAGGACTAATATTTCTTTTCATTCCTAGCCTTTTTTTGCATTTGCAAATGAAGAAAAGTTTTCTGAAAATGGCTGGCTGGTCTACAATCCCATGGTTGAATACAGGAGACAGGTAAGTCTTTTCTTTTCTTTACCACAGCATCCGCAGAGCTGTTTTTCTGTGTGACATTTTGTTTATACTGTGGGGTTGAATCAGGTTAAATGAACAGAAAAATAGGATACAGAGAAACTCTTTTTAAGTTACAAAACATTCGAAGCTGACTCATGAAATAGTTTCCGACAGGTGTGATGTTGAACCATCTCTGGGGTGTTATGGGAAGGGTTGTACTGGTGGGGGACATGTCATCCTCCTTCTGGGGGTAGTTTGTCCATCTTTGGTCCCCACTCTGCATTCAGCTCTCACCTGTGGCTACTGGAAGCTGCCAGTATGTGACCACACCCTGGGAAATGTCGTTAACTGGCTGGCTAAACCAGGTGAGAGTAGTTGATGGGTCTCAAACCCTCAGTGACTTAGGGACTTCCCCTGCATGTGAAGACAGGCTCCTGCAGATTGAGTGGACGAGATCGATAGTGGGTCCAATGGTCAAGAACGCAGTTAGTGCACGTGATGTAGAGGGAAGTGAGGGTCAGGTGGGGCTCATCAACCTGGGAAGGTAGCCCATTTATGGGAAGGAAGACTTTGATCCTAAACATCTGCTGCCTTGAGGCTATACTCCTTTGTGAGAAAGGCTTTGGGAGTAAACCCAAAGGAAAAGTCCTTACCCAGGAGAAGAAAAGACTAAGGAACAAACCCTACACAAATTCAAAGTGGAGTCTCGATAACACAGTTGGATGGCATCTTGTATGCCTCCTTCCAGCAATTCCTGCAGCCAAACTGGTGCCACATGTATTGCTCAGCAAGGCCAAGAGGGAGGCCTTATCATCTGGCAGCCCAGGACCTCCATACAATCTGCCACAGAGAAGTCAGTTTGGTGCTACGAATGCAGCAGAAACAATGTAGGAGGCAGCAGTTAAGGAGTTACTCTTCGGCCACAGCAGGTGCTGTGATTTTCCACCCGTTTGACTTCACCCCCAGAGGTGCACTCCATTGTCTTTTGAGACGACAACAACAACTGGCATCCTATATTGAATCCAGAAGAAAAATATTTGTTAGTAAAGCATTTCAGTTCTTAATGGAATTCACTGTATAGGTGTGTAGGTGTTTTTTCCTAGCCTTTGGATTTTTAAAAAACCTTTATTTAGACGTTTCTGACATTACTGATCTTTACAGATCATGCATCCAGCTTTTTTGCTGCTTTTATTCCACATAATTCAAAACGATTTGTGCAGTTAGGGCACAATTTAAGTGGCCTCTTCTGTGCACATCATTTCAAAATACCACACTTCAGTTTAAAAAGAGAAAATGACAAGATGAAAAATAGGTTCAAGTAAGATGCATCCAATTTAACCTCAGAACAATCCCAAAGCCTCATTTCATACTGCATTGTGAGAATTACAAACATAGATTTAAAAAAGTTGAATGCATGTTAATATAAATAATAACTCTCATGGATTTTTTTCCTCTTGTAATTTTTCTGATGGAATATGGAGTATTCAGATTCAAGAATGCATCTGTATGGTCCAAGGTTAGAGATCCAGATCTTAAGAAAAGGTGAAAAAATACTCAAAAGCCCACATAAATCCCAGTTTGCATGCAAGTGCAGATGGGGATCTAGTCATCCTTTCTCAATAATATGGTGGGCTTTGGGGGTCGTCCTCCAACATCCTGTTAGGTCAGCAGACTCCTTGCAGAAATTAATTGTATAATTTGAACACAGAAGCTGCCTTCAACTTCATTGACCCTTAAACACAAGTAATGGATATTTGGGAGTTATAATGGTGAAAAGAGGTTGTAGAAGGAAGCTTCCTTTCAGCTGCTTTCCATTGCCATTTTTGGTACCGTTTTTGGTTTACATTTTAATTACTGATTTTTCTGTAGGACAACAAATACCTTCTGACAGAGCAAATTCCAAGTACTTCTGTTTTTTTGTCAAATTTCAGAGAAGAAAAGGGTTCTAAGGTTCCTCACTGTTTTTATAATTTTTAAGATATAGAGAACACCCTATCAGCGGCATCTGCTCACATGTGAGCCTTTATCTTCTTCACATCTCCTGTTCTGATGTTTAGAGCTATCCATGGTAAATTGGTAGGTGGTTGCCACCCTGTGGCCATAATAGCACACCAGTTATGTTCCTTGACGCATGCTTTTAAGCAGATACAAGAAGGTGACACATAAATATTATCTCTTTTCTCTTTAAGCGTCTGCCCAATGAACAGTGGAGGATAACGTTTCTCAATGAGCATTATGCACTTTGTGACACTTACCCATCCCTCTTGGTAGTGCCATATAATGCCACAGATGAGGATCTCAAGAAGGTTTCTGCTTTCAGGTCCCGAGGTAGAATTCCTGTAAGTGATTTCATCTATCAATTGTTTTTTGAAGTTGAGAACTGCTGAGCAAATGAGCATTTGAAAACAGAAACCTGTTTGTGTATTTCAAAGCAGGAAGAGAGCTATTATAAAATGCCTCTAAGTTGCTAACTATTCTTGTCCGCTTGTGATCTTACATTTAAATAACCTCAGCATTTTCTAAAGCGAGAGTGTTGTATAATTGACTAAATAACGTAATTGTAAAGGTGAATGATACCTTAAAAGTTGTTATCTAGTCTTGAGCAAAATTAAAGGCCTCAGTTTGAAAAAGAAAAAAAAGGTAAATTAATTAATTTTCTTGTGAACTTCAGTCGAGCTCTTGTCAATATTTGGAACACTCCTGTTATCTTCCTTGTATGAGTGAAGGCTTCTAGCTTTGAACTGGTTGTTGGTGAATGTGTTTTCAGAACTATTAACTTCCCATCCTCGACTGCGGTGCCCTTTCAAAAGTTACCTTATCATCTTAGCATGCACTTCCCTTCTTCAGGAAGGACTTCCATGATTGGCTTCACCCATATACCTGCAGGCCTTTAAATGTCACATGAGTGTCGTGAGATGAATCCACAGAAATATGCTTTCTGTGGTGCTCATGTAATATTGAAAAGGGTGTCTAACATTAATTCCAGACTTGCTTCGAGAATTGAACTTCAGCAGATGCAAAGTACATTTTCTTCCGATTTTTCTGCAATTGGGCTCCAACTGTATTTCTGTGCCACAGGTGTTGTCATGGATCCATCCTGAGAACCAAGCCGTTATCACACGCTCTAGCCAGCCACTTGTTGGTATGAGTGGCAAAAGAAACAAAGATGATGAAAGGTATCTGGAGCTCATCAGGGAAACAAATGGCCAGCTCTCCAAACTGACTATTTATGATGCAAGACCCAGTGTTAATGCTGTAGCCAATAAGGTAAGTGAATGTCTTCGTAGCACCACTATAACAGTAGCTAAAGAGCTTTTTATTTGCAATGTATTTTGTAGATATTAGAAATAGCTGCTACTTCAGAATACTCTCTGGATTTGTCATTTGTAAATGGCATCATATTCTGCACAGTCAGCTTTGGTAGTTGACCAGAACGTTATCATTTTGTGTCAGCCGCAGAATCTGCTTCAAGTAAGCCTTTGTGGTAGGAGTTCAAGTTCCTCCTAACAAGATTTAAACTTGGCAAGCGGGGGATGGGCATGGCATCTCCAGATCTGGTTTATTTTAAACCATTCTGCCCTGCTTCTGTTAACTGTAAACCCTGTGCGACTTAAAAATAACTGAAAAATATATGGGCAATGAAATGCAACCAGCAGGAATGCTAAAATTCCAATAAACCCAGCAGGAAACCACAAATAAAAAAATAGCTAGTTTAATCCACTTTGCCCAAATGCTTTGATTGAAAAGGGAGTACCAAAGGTGAGCAGGTTAGGACTCCCTAATGGGTAAGAATTGGAGTAGTGCCTTGCCAGCAGATCTGAATGGGTGGGTAGGTTCATAGAGGAAATGATAAGCATACAAATGCATTCTCTTGGTTTTGTGTGTCTGCTTTCTTCATGTGCAACTTTTATGATATCCAGGACTGCGTCTGGCAGCTCTTTCCTTAGTCTAAGAAGAACAGTGTTTCTGACCTTTTAAACTTTGGAAACAGTGGGGGAATTGTCATTGCTTTAAATGGAGAAAAATGCAAAATTTGGAAATTGTTTATGATAAGTCTAGTGGTTGCATTCCTTCCCTCCTGCACTCTGGCTATTCTCTTTGCTTTGTTATTTCTTGACCCACACCCCAGGATTACTCAGCCCCTCCCACAGCTAAATTTAACTGTCTCCTTTTGCTCCAGACAGACAGGGCCTAGATAGGCTTCTGCAGCCTAACATACTACATAGCGTTGATTAAAAAAAAGAAGCACTTGCTTTTCCTTAGTTAAAAGAACTTGGCTAAACTTTGCTCTGCTTTGGGAAATGTGATGACAGCAAATGCCTTGGAAAGTCTGTTCAGAATTTCCATAACTCCTCAGGGGTGTGTACTTTTCGTCTCTTTACTAGCCCTTGCCATGGAGCAGATTTAGCAACTAAATTACGAAGACTGTTTTCTTTGTAGTGCCATTTGCTTATTTTTAAGTTGTGCTTGGCCAAAAAAAAAAAAAAGTTATTAGGATGCCAAAGCTTGAACTGGAAAGATTTTATTAGAAGAAAGGAGGCTTTAAAATGGAATTAGAAGGCCCTGGGGCTGTGATTAAAGCAATACTAATTGGTCAAATGCTTATGGTGCTGGAAACTAGCAAATTTGGACTGTGTTACATAATACCCACTTAGATGTTTGATGTTAAACATACTATTCTTGTGATAGAAAGAAATGCCTTTTGAACCATGTCCACTTACATAAACCCTTAGTAGTTCCTTCTTGCTCTGTGTACTGATACTATCTATTTGGTAAATAGATACTGCTGCTTAGTGGAAAGCTTTGAAATATATTATAAACTGTCTAAACTCAAATTTACTTTCTTTTTGGTGAGAATATGGTATGATGTAACCACTCTTTATTTTTTAAGTTGCCAATTGTGTTTTCCTTGGGGGGGAAATATTGTAGTAATTGTGCAATGGAGGCTAAACACACACACTTCCTTTTTTTGACTCTCAGGCAACTGGAGGAGGTTATGAAAGTGATGATGCATATGCCAATGCTGAGCTGGTTTTCCTAGATATTCATAATATTCATGTCATGCGGGAATCCTTGAAAAAGCTTAAGGACATTGTTTACCCTCATGTAGAGGAATCTCACTGGCTATCTAGCCTGGAGTCGACCCACTGGCTTGAACATATCAAGGTATGGATAAAAAGAGCACTTGACTCATTGTCATGGACTGGCTGGATGCAGAGAAGTGGTGGGGGGCACCAGCTGGGGAACTCCCAAGGGAATGGTGGTGGGATGACAATGTGTGGTAAGAGGGAGCAGACTGGGAGGAGGAAGTTACGGAAGCTGAAGAGGCAACAGGGTTTGGTGAGCAGGAAGAGGCTGGCGAAGAGAGTGGTTCAGACTCAGAGGAGGGAGAGGAGGGGGGGCCAGGTGGCAGAGTGGAAGCAGGCAGCTGAAGAAGCCAAGGAGCCTCCCCCTCCTGCTGTGACCAGCTTCTCTCCCCCCTGGACTCCCAGAACACAGAGAGAAATGAAGAAGGTGGTGCAATGAGAGACCAGGCAAAGGAGCCTTAGGCTGCTGGGGAAAGAGGAAGCTTAGAGAGCAGTCGGAAGGCCTTCGGTCTTTGCAAGTGCCTCATTGGGGCAAGACCTACTGGGAAATGTTGCTGTGATCACTAGCCCTGCACTGTTTTGGTTACTTTGAATAATGGATTAGCTTCACTGACACTGGGTGCTTTTTTATTTTTATTGCTGACCTATGCCTGACACTTGTGCACTTATGCAGCACAGGATTGTGCTCTCAGTTTTTTAATTAGAACTTTAGTGTTACCTCAACTGTATTTTTGTTCCTTTCGCCAGCTTGTTTTAACAGGTGCTATTCAAGTAGCAGACAGAGTCTCCTCTGGAAAGAGTTCGGTTTTGGTACACTGCAGTGATGGTTGGGACCGTACAGCACAACTCACCTCTCTAGCTATGTTGATGTTGGACAGCTATTACCGGACGATTGTGGGCTTTCAAGTTTTGGTGCAGAAAGAATGGATAAGCTTTGGACACAAGTTTGCTTCGGTGAGAACAAATAAGAACCAAGCTGAAGGGTCAATGTGATAAGCCACTATCTGTCAGTCACAAGTTTCCCTGTCTGTAATATGTGGGTGGCTAGTCAAACAGGATTATTGTATGGGTTTTTGAGTGAGTGCATTTGAAGCACTTTGAACATTAAAAAATGCTAAGCATTGTTGAGTTTGGTGCTCACACAGAACACCAAGCCAAAACATGAGTTTGGTGTGAAACACTGTCAATCTCAGGAGGTGGCAGGGAGAACAGAAATAATCTGTGGGATTTCGGGTTTCATGTATGTATGCCGCAATCATATGAGCCCCCATATGAGCACATATGGGGTGTAAGTGCAACCACACGTATCTCTTGGACAAGTGGACCTTCAAATTTTGTCCAAGCTGTGGTGTAACATTTGTCTTAGAGACTGAAATAACGAACTAGGAAATTTCCAGTTCAAATATCTCCTCTGCCATGAGCTCTGTGTATGTCCTTAGGCAAGTGCCACTTCCCCCTCACACGCCCCCCCACGCAATCTATAACAGTCTCTCAGAGACTGTCTTAGAGGTATTCAGACAGTCTTAAGCACCCCCACTGACCATCTGTAATATGTGGGTAATACCAATCTACCTCATGGGGTGCATTTAAGCTTTGTTGAGATATATGTAATGTGAGTGTTTATTTTTCTGATGCACAGTAAGGCAATTTTGGGTGCCAGTTTTGGTGTGTAATTTTAAGGCATTATGCTTTATGCTCTTTTGCTTTTGCTATGGCTCTTTAATCATGAGTACTGTTCAGCAGCCTATACTTAAATGTGTTTTGCAGACTGCCTGACACTTGATTGGATATACTAAACTTGCTTTGACACTTGGAAGAATCAGTTCAGTTGCAGTCAGCCTATATCCTATGCGTCTTCTTCCAGGAACATTTTGATAGTGACATTTTTATACATGTGTTTGAAGTAGTGCTTCTCTGTGTGCAATATGGCCCAGAAAGACATTAGTTCATCACTTCTTAAATTTTAAGACTCTTGCGTGAAGCTTTAAAGTACAAAAACAATAAAATCCATTATAAATTAGTAATGAGATTAAAACCATATTTGGAAGAGTAAAACAGTTTCACTAGCATTGTTGGTTTAACACTGATCTAAAGCATAGTGTTTTGTGTCAAGCAGTCATGTGCACAAACTTAATTTACCTGTGTTCATTTACCATTAGGCCTTTACAGCAAACTTGGGCTGTCATACCTGTGTATGTGAGCAGATTTTCCCAGACCAAAGAGACATGGCTTCTAAATCTTTGCCCTAAGCAAAACCACATTGTTGTATAGGAGCATAACTGAAAATTTGGCAGCTAACTGCTGCTTCAACAATAAATTAATGTGTCCTTTGAAAACGGCTCCAAGTCCATTTTAAAAGCCTTTGTTTGTGCCATCTAGTTTCAAGTTATTTGGCAAATGGGGCCACCTTTGAATAAATGAGCTGTCACTTTAGCAGTGTGTGTTGTTCAACATTTGGAAAGTGAAAAATGATTGGGGGGGTTGTAACATGGGGGTGGTCCTGCAAGAATTGTAGATGATAGACTTATTGTGGTTCATATTAATGCTCCCCTTATTATTCATAATGTGGAAATGGGTAATGCTTGTGAAATGCATATTCTTAAACAGAATAGGTTCACAGTTTTCTGTATAAAAATACTTGGGGTGCTAAACTGAGAGAAAAAGCTCCAAATTGGGGACATAATCCCGCTAAGCTTAAGCTTGTGCTTTAACTACCTCTTGAAATCACTATAACTTAAAAGCCCATTGGTCTTTTAACTGTGGTAATTCAAGGACACAAGCCAGCCAAAGTGTTCTGAGCCACAGGACCAAAGGAGGGCTCGTGGGGGTGGTTGGATGCAGGGGTGCCAAAGAAAGGGTGCCACCTTTGGCTCAACACACAAAGCAGTGCAACTATAAAATCTCATTGAGGTTTTATAAAGAATGAACTTCATCCTGGACCATTAATTCTCATTTAAATTCACTGAAGAATAGTCAACATTGAGTCAATCCTACATTTGCCACCTGCCATCTTTCTGTCTCTCTGGAAAGAACCCAATTAATGGAGATTCCTATTAATGGAGATTCCCAAGACAGAGTGAACTGACTCAAGTGAGGTTTGTGTGATTCTCATTTCAGAGAATTGGTCATGGAGACAAAAATCATGCTGATGCTGATAGGTCACCTATTTTCCTCCAGTTCATTGACTGTGTGTGGCAGATCTGTAAACAAGTAAGTTGTGTTGCCTAAGGCTAATGTAACGAATGCAATCCTGTCTGGTTATACCTAGTAAATTGACTGGAAGTTGTTCTCTAAGATGACCTTTGTGAGGTCATCCAGAGACTTTGTCTGTGGCATCACCAGTATGACAATGAACCCAGCTCTCTCTTGTTTCCTCTGACTAATTTTGGAGATGCAATGGAAGTTCTGACTCATTTCGGGGGCGGTGGGATCTATGAAGGTGAACAAACTGAATTTGTGGAAGGTAAAATTTCATTGATTAGGGGTTTTGATGACTTTGAAGTAACTGTTCAGCATGTTTTGCAACGGGATGCTCTTGAATCCATCTCTGCTTATGCATGTTCAGATGTAGGAATGGCTAAGGGTATATTTTATCAGCCGCATCTGGTTTTCCAACTATCTGCTTTCTTGGGGAGTGTCAAACCTGGCAATAGTCTTTCATACTCCATTCAACTCTTTTGTAGTGCACTTTATGTGGGGCTTCCTTTGAAGACCACCCAGAAACTTCAGTTAGTCAAGATGCAGCAATCATAGTTTGTTCCGGAGTTAGCAGGATGGAACATATTCTGCCAATGTTATACCACTTTCACTGGCCAACAATTTGCTTTCAGGGAGCTGGTTTTGGCTTTTACATCCCTGGTCTTAGGTTGCCTGGAGTCTTGTGTTTTGTGCTTCTCTTTAAAACAGCATTTTTGTAGGGAGGAATTCAGTGACACACTAAGGCGGTTGTTCTCTCAGGGCAAGCATTTTTTGGCTTGCCAGATGAACAACCCCACCCCCTGCCACTCCTTGCTCTGTGTGCTTCTCTGGGGGTTCCCCATACCCTCTTGAGCCAATGGGGGGTGGGGGGAGAGAAGCCCTGTAGAACAAACAGCTTGTGTAGGCCTACTGTTGTTGGGACCCATTAGTTAAATCCCGCCTTCAGTATTATACAAGCTATTGTAAGCTGTGTTATATCTGCATTGCAGAGTAAGGTGGGTTATAATTTTTGTAAATTAATTTCAAAGTAGTGCATGAAAAATATGTTGAAAAGGGGGATAAATGGCAAATAAATAAATTTGACTTGTTACTGTTGCCATATGAAACAGACACCTCTGTTATTCAAAAAGATAAAAGATAACTTGCTCTTGATTTCTCTTCCTCTTGTGTCTAGTTCCCTACAGCTTTTGAATTCAATGACCAATTTTTGATTACAATTCTGGATCATTTGTACTCCTGCCGTTTTGGTACTTTCTTGTATAACTGCGACTCTGTAAGAGAGAAAGAGGTAAGTTAGTGCTCAGGTGATTTTGGACTGAGTTTGGAAAGGATGTAAGACTTTGTGTATGTTTGTATTATGCTTCATGTTATATGCACCATTTCATGTTACTTGGGGTCTGTTATTCCAGTCATATCTTACAACATCTCTAGGTCCATAAAAATCAATCTGAACTCAGAGTTCGCAATAGTGATCATGTAAGATGAAAGCTGCATGCCTTTAATAACTTTATTTATAATTAAGCTCTTTGCATAGTTATATTTGGTTGCAGCAATGAATGGCTAAAATGAAGTTGGTGACAGAAGAATACTAGCATTAAAACATATTCATCGTTTACATGCAGTTAGAAAATGAAGAGGTTGCCACTTTGAAGGGCCACTTTTGAAGATGCTTTTTAGCAAAGACACTGTATATCTATCGCCTGTGTGATTCTATGAGATAACAGCTGTGTGAAATGTAAAAGCTGCATCACATTCTTCTACAGCATGCCAAGTGGTTTAAATTAATGCTGACACTTTCGTTTTCTTTGCAGAAACTGAGCGAAAAAACGTTATCTCTGTGGTCCCTGATCAACAGTGCAAAATCAAAGTATATCAATCCCTTTTATGCTAAAGAATTAAATCGTGTTCTTTATCCAGTAGCAAGCATGAGGCACTTGGAACTTTGGGTCAATTATTATATTAGGTGGAACCCAAGAATCAGGCATCAAGTAAGTTTATTATGATTATGATTATTTTAACGTATTGGACAGCTGCTGAAGTATTTGTAGCACTTTATAGATTTGTAACCTGTTTTCTCTCTCACTCCCCTTCAAAGCTGCATGAAAATAGGGAGCTACCTCATGCCACATCAGGCCACCAGTCTGTCTTGCTAACCGTTCTGTATCCTGCTTCTCTTCAATCTGGTGCCTGCCATATGTATTTTTTTACTGCAACCTCCATCATCCCTTACTATAGACCATGCTGGCTGGGGATGTGAGCTGTGGTTAGTATATCTGGAGGGTACCAGGTTGGGAAAGACTGCACTGTTCCCAGGCTCCTAGTTCAGCTGGCTGAGATCCTTTTCAGTGGCAATGCTAGGGATCAAAATCTCCCTCTTCGGATGTCACATCTGTAGCTATAATAATGATGATGGTGGTGGTGATGATGATGATTTATTATTTATATCCCGCCCATCTGGCTGGGTTTCCCCAGCTACTCTGGGCAGCTCCCAATCAAATATTAAAAACACAATACAGCATTAAACATTAAAAACTTCCCTAGACAGGGCTGCTTGCAGATGTCTTTTAAAAGTAGGATAGTGGCTTATTTCCTCTGATGGAAGGGCATTCCACAGGGCGGGTGCCACTACTGAGAAGGCCCTCTGCCTGGTTCCCTGTAACCTCGCTTCTCACAGTGAGGGAACCACCAGAAGGCCCTCGGAGCTGGACCTCAGTGTCCGGGCTGAATGACAGGGGTGGAGACGCTCCTTCAGGTATACAGGACCGAGACCTTTAAAGGTCAGCACCAACACTTTGAATTGTGCTCAGAAATGTATTGGGAGCCAATGCAGGTTTCTCAGGACCGGTGTTATATGGTCCCAGCGCCCACTCCCAGTCACCAGTCTAGCTGCCGCATTCTGGATTAGTTGTAGTCTCCGGGTCACATTCAAAGGTAGCCCCACGTAGAGCACATTGCAATAGTCTAAGCAGGAGATAACTAGAGCATGCACTACCCTGGCAAGACAGTCTGTGGGCAGGTAGGGTCTCAGCCTGCGTACCGGATGGGGCTGGTGGACAGCTGCCCTGGACACAGAATTGACCTGCGCCTCCATGGACAGCTGTGAATCCAAAATGACTCCCAGGCTGCGCACCTGGTCCTTCAGGGGCACAGTTACCCATTCAGGACCAGGGAGTCCTCTACACCCGCCCACCCCCTGTCCCCCAAAAACAATACTTCTGTCTTGTCAGGATTCAACCTCAATCCATTAGCTGCCATCCATCCTCCAACCACATCCAGGCACTCACACAGGACCTTCACCGCCTTCACTGGTTCTGATTTGAAAGAGAGGTAGAGCTGGGTGTCATCTTCGTACTGATGGACACCCAGCCCAAACCCCCTGATTATCTCTCCCAGTGGCTTCATATAGATATTAAAAAGCATGGGATCTCTGAGGCACCCTACAAGTGAGAGCCCAGGGGTCTGAACACTCATACCCCCCCTTTTCTGTAACAGAATTGGTAATAGATTGGAATTGATCCCATATAACATGACTAGACAGGACTCCAGCACTCTCCTGCTCCCCTGCTCCCACGGTGGAGTCTACCTTCTTCCGAATCTGAGCGACTTTATCTGCAAAAAAACTTTGCAAAAAAACTTTCAGGAGATCTTAGGGTCCCTACCAGGCCCCAGTGATGAAGGTGGTTCCGATAGATTGTGAACCACCTGAAAGAGTCTCCTGCTGCTGTTTTGTGCAAATGCAATAGAGGCGGTGAAGAAGGTACTCTTCACTGTTGGTAGGTTCAGTGTTGAGCTCTAACCTGTGTCTGGTCCAATTCAGAATGAGTTTTCCGCCATTGGCGCTCTAGCCGTCTCGACGATTGTTTCATCGCCCTCAGCTCCGGGGAAAACCATGGGGCTGTCCGGGCTCCATGTAAACTAGGTGTCTCCAGGAGAACATCTGCCACGACCTGAAGCAGCTTGGGCAGGGAATCCTTGGTGCAGCAGGGAGGTCAGTACACCAAAAGGAATCCTGTACTGCCCCTATTGCCCAACTTCCAGAACATGCACTCAGAAAACTGGGTCTTCCCAATAGGACGCCTGGTGCAAACTAATGACTTCCTAAAAATCACTGCAACCCCGCCCCCCGCCCACATGACCTGGGTTGCTGTGCGTAAGAGAAACCTGGTGGACAAGCAGCGGCAAAGACAGGCCCATCTGCTTCATCCAACAAAGTCTCTGTCATACATGCCAGGTCAAGTCCTCCATCCACAACCAGGTCATGAATGGTAGTGGTCTTATGAATCATTGACCTGGCATTTCCCAGCAACACTTTCAGGTCATGTGGGTTTCCCTTGCTGATTCCAGTATCCTTCCGGTCAGGACCCAGACCCGGAAGCAGGTTTAGTTCTTAAGCAACGACTAAGCCTGCCTCTTTGGTAATGACACATCTGCATACACTAATGGCTGTTGCACCTCAAAAAGGACCCTTGTAGAGCTGGAAAAGTTGCAGAAAATGATTACATATTAAAGTATCACCCATACAGGAAGTCACTGGCGGGATCTGAAATAAAAGCAGCAAATTAATGAAAGAATTAACAATACTGGAGTTTAGATAGTAAAGTTGTATGTTGTAAAACAGGTAATGAAATGGAGTAGAAACCAAACACATGAGGAAAGGGGGGTGGGATGTCAAAAAGAAACTTTCAAGGTTTAAAAATGTATAATGTTCTGGGAGATTTTGGGAGATTTAATAAAAATGATTTGGAAAAAAAAAGAAAGGAAAGGTGCAGAAAAGAGCAATCCAAATGGTCAAGTGGCTGGAGGAACTCTTGTTATAGGCTACAACATTTGTAGCTCTTTAGGGGGGGGGGGAGAAACATGAATAAGGAGGGATATGATGAGTATAAAAAGGTGCATGGTGTTGCGAAAGTGAGGAAGGCTATGCTTACTAGAAGCTGGGAATTATCCAAGGAAGCTGAATGATGGGAGATTGAGGGACAGACAAGATAAAGTACTTCTCCACAGAATATACAGTTAGACTGTGGAATTCCCTCCCACAAGATGCAGTGAAGGCTGTCAGCCTGTCAAAGATTCAGGGAGAATGTGGCTGCTAGTGGCTATTAGCCATGAGGGCTATATTAAATCCAGTATCTGAGGCAGCGTGCCTCTGAAACTCAGTTGCTGGCGATCGCAAGCAGAAGTGTGCTGTTGCATTCATATCTTGCTTGTTGGGCTTCTTGTAGTTTGTGGGTTGACCGCTATGAGAACGTAGATCGGCCCTGGTCTGATTTAGCAGGACTTATATTCTCTGCTTCCCTGTTTTGGGGTAATACTGGAAGCCAGCCATAAGAACATTTATTGGGAAGTACGTGCCATGGGAATGTGCTTGGGGTTGGGGAATTAGAAAGCTATAATGAAAGGTGAGTAATCCCCTTTTCTGCCTCAGTATTGAACCCCTTCTGGCTGCTCTTCAAGCATTCCGTATTTCTCTTCCTGGTTAACTACTGTGTAAAAGTCGATCTACTGAGGAGAAAAAGATGGGATACACTTGATACTTCTTAGCCTCAATATTTGGTACAACAGCTGGGAGCAAAGAGAGAAGAGAGCTTCTGTGTTTAACAAGCAGTCTTTATCAGCAATCCACTGGAAAGCAGCAGCAGCCTCAAGGCAGCGCTTTTCTGTACTGTATCCCCAGTTGTGTTTACAGCATGCTGGGGGCTGGAAGAAAGCCAGGCAATGCTCTGTATGCCATTCAGAGTTGCAGACACTATAAATCCAGTGTGCCTGCTTTGAAGGTCTTTGCATGGATAGAAAAGAAATGCATTCTAGAACATAAAAACACACCTGTAAATTAGTTTACTGGGAGAGAGATATGTAAAGTTGTTTCCTTTTAGCCACATACATAACCATAGCACTCGGAATGGGGACATTTAAATATTTTAGGGCAGGTGGTGCAGCCCAGTTCACTGGAATGACTGCCCAACCTCCGCAAATGGCGTTAACGGTGAAGGTGTGCTGTATATTTGGTCTCGTTTGTGCTCTTCCTTGGCTTGATAGCAAGCAGATAATGGGTTTGGGGAGGCAGATCAATGCTGGACTTAGGCTCTGCTTTAAGAGATTTGTTATTGAAAGGGCCTAGGAAAGCAAAGTGCTTGGAGAAATTTAATGTATTGCCATTATTTGTATTAAGAGTGTGTGAGTGAGTGAGTGTGTGTGTGTGTGTGTGTGTGTGTGTGTGTGTGTGTGTAAATGCCACCCTGAAGAAAGACCTCATTGAAAGGTGGAATTCTGGTGTCATTCTCAACTACGATCAATCTAACCTGCTCCAAGGCTTATGCAGATCACCTTCCCCTCTCCTCCTGCAGGGCTAGGACTAGGAAGCCTGGAAATTTTTGCTTCTGCTCCTAGTCAACTACAGTTTGTCATCTCATCCATACTAACAAACTGTGGTTAATTCATTATAGTTGATTTAAAACAAGTCTTGCTTTCGGAACCATAGAGAACTAACTACAGGCTGTTATAAGAGGAGGGAAGAGAACAAATGAGGCGGCATCTTCCCATCCCCTGTTGCCTGGCAGCAACAATTACAACAGGCTGCAGCGGAGGAAGGAAGTGGGAATACTCTGCTGGCACAGCTGAGAGATGGGCAGTGTTTGGCAACTTTTCTTGAACTTGTCCACCCGAGCCAGTCATTGCAACATTAGAATAACTTGTTCCTCAGTTTACTTATCTCCTCTCCCCGCCGCCCCATCTATTTTCCCTTTGTGTCTTGTCTTTTTAGATTGTAAGCCTCGGGGCACGTACTGTCTTTTTAAAAAACTGATGTTGGAACCTTTACTGGTGAAAAACAAGATAAATAGTTGATGTTAACCATAGCTCTGAGTGGGTGGCGCAGCAAGCTACTCTTAACAAAAAGCAGAAGTTTTTGAATTCTTCCTTGAGCCCATTTGGGAGGGAAATGCATGAACCTGCTAAATCTTGCTAAAGCATAATATCTGAATGCAGCCAGTCATCTCTACACATATGGACTTGAAAATGGAGGTCTTGGATCTGATTTAGCTATCAAATCTTGGATTATTCTGTATCTTCAGCGAAGTCCAAATAACATATTTTAAAATCTTTCAACTGTGTCTAGCAGCCAAATCCAGTGGAACAGCGTTACATGGAGCTACTGGCATTGCGCGATGACTACGTGAGACGACTAGAAGAACTGCAAATTGCGAACAACTCCAGATTTCCCAATTCCTCCTCATCTTCTTCACAGATGATGTCGCACGTGCAAACTCACTTTTGAAGGAGACTGGTTGGATTATTTTCTTTGAACATTGTTATAAGTGGTGCTTATTCTGATGTATTGGACAAGAGGAAAACATTGATGCCTTATGTAGAGTTTTTTCCTAAAATCTTTGTCCCTATAGGAGAGGATTTGAACACAAGTGGGCTTTTAAAAATAGATTTATGTGCCTTTCACAAACTTTTGCCTGGGAAAAATGTCATCCAACTAGCAGTTATAATATCTTTAAAGGTGTTTTTTCCCCTCCTACTGCAATCCAAATAGATATAGCTAACGCTTTCAATAATAGCCATCATCTTTTTTTAAAGACAGTATGAATTCATTTTTGTCTATAGGCTCTCCTGCTCAGACTTAAAATGCATGTTTAAGTTCATATATTGAGCAAAGTGCCATTGATGCCAATGAGAAATTTGCTGAATCATATGCACATGTAAGAAGCCTGTGGTGTAAGAAGCAAAGTTGTTAAGGGCACATGCTCTTGAGGATCAATTACTGTGTGGACTAGTTTTATATGGTTTCTTACACTGAAAACTTATTTCAGTGATAGTGGTAAGCTATCATGACTTAAATTTGTGCCTATTCAGAGCAGCAGCCTTATGAGATGGAACATAATGTGTGAGCTTGTATAACTTGTTCCCATAATAAATTAGTATTTTTCTCAAATATATTAAACAATATGCAGAAAATAGGGAGTGCACTGAAAATATTTAAATGTTGCAGATCACTCGGTTTGCTGTCTGCCTTCATGTCAGTTTTTTGTTAAATTTTATAATTCCTTTCAGGAATCATTTAAAAACATTACAAGCACTTGTGAAGTCAGCACAGACCTTGCAACTTGATATTTTAATCCACATTTTATTTAGGATAAACAGTTTATTAAGTGATATTTGGTCAGTTCAGAATATCTTGAAGAATAGGATTTGTGAAGAACTGTTTGCAGCTAATGTGACTTATTTTCAACATATTTGACACTTTGAGGGTGTTTGTCTACCATTTGTAAATTATTATATGTGTAATTTTTGATCTACAAAATGTAAGGTGGCAAGGATATCCTAGGAATAATTTGTAAATTAATTTGAAATGTTTGGAGTATTCTTTTCTTTGTAAAGTGTAAATATTCTCGGTTTCAAAGACTGAAGACAAAGTCCATAAAATACTATAAATTTATTAGTTTTAGAGGACATTGGGATATTTTAGAAATAGTATATTTTCATTAAAAGAAAAGCAGAGCACATTAATACGGTTAATAGTATACTGATAAATTTGCACTACTTCTTCAGGGATAGACTGAAGTACTAGTAATAAATTCCACTAGTTGATGCATGATTTATTTCCTTCCACTTGATACCTGTCCTCTAAATTTCACACACCTTTGATTCTTTTGTCTTTATCTCATTGCACATGTACATGGCTTGTTGTTTTCTGTAAGGGTAACAAATCTGAGATGAACTGCATAACTTGAATTACAAGGAAACTCACGTATCCCATCAGCCTATTCTAAATGACTGAGCATAAAACTCTGAAAAACTATGCAGACTGATATAATTGCCTTTTGTTTGCCTGCAGTTTTTAAGCATCTCATTTTTCACGGGAACCCTTAAAACATCATGTATGTTTCATACTGTCCAGTGTGGATTAATTGCTATCTTGCTTGTTTTTACTAAGTAAAACACTACACGCTCAGCTGGGGGTGGGGGGTTGCGGCAAAGCGGGGAGTATTGTAAAACAGATTTAAATACATTTGCCTTCTCCTTATCTGCATACCATTGATTGATGTTTCTACCACCACAGGTGATGCTGTGTCCTGAATTTTAGAGAATTTAATGTTTGAGAAAGTATAACTTGATTTTTTAATACCTGCTTAAGTCATATGAAATAAAAAAGCTGAACATTTCTTTATGCCTCTTTTCTGGGTAGCAAACAGCCCAATCCTATACACCATTCCTAGGGGCCCACACTGTACGGAACAGAATTTATTGAACCAGCTCCAAGGAAGGTCTGAAGGGTGGTGATAAAGAAGAGGCCTTCTCTGTAGCAGCCCCAGTTTATAGACTGCTCTTCCCAGGTGCCTTGGCCCTCCCCACCTTACGAAGAACTGGAACTCCAAACTTCCATTCTTCCAAAGGCTTTAATGCTCAATCAGATCAGTACATTAGACAAACTACAAGTTACAAGGTTCAGAACGTACACCAGAGGTAATATACATGGCTAAGTGCAACCTTAATACATTGATCTAACAAGCCAGGGGTCAGCCCCACAAACAACCCAGAGATGCATTTTAAATAAAAGGACACATTCTACTCATGTAAAAACACACTGATTCCCAGACTGTCCGCGGGCCGGATTGAGAAGGCGATTGGGCCGCATTCGGCCCCCGGGCCTTAGGTTGCCTACCCCTGTAACAAGCAGTACACCCTTCATTACCTTTCTTTTGGAGTGTGGGGCAGAGTGTTTGCGCGACAAGAAGCTGGAGTTCTGGGACTGGACACTCCTTCACTTGGGCTGTGTCTGCAAGGTTGCTCATGCTGGCTCTGACATATCTCTGGAGGTGGGGTCAGGATCAGATTTACTGCTAGTTGCCTCCCCAGAAGGAGTTGTCTCACGGAAAGGAGCAGGCAGTCTCCCATCTATCCGTTTCTAGGGAACCACCCACTAAGAGTATACTCTCGGGTTGCCACCCTCCACATCTCCCTTGGAGAGGGCCCATGGAGAAGGACCTTGAATGGCTAACGCATGGTCCAGATTGGTTCATATGGGGAGATGTAGTCCTTGAGGTATTGGGGTTCTGAGCCACAAGGCTTTATAGGTCAAAACCATGTTTCTTGCTGTAACATTAATGATCACCAAGCTTTGTAAGTTTAAAAGTTACAGCTATATTGGGCATTCTTAATTTGGTTAGTGGCTTGCTGAATTGACGGTGGACTGTGAAATGGGCTAGTATATTAGACATTTGATTTTTAAGTGCCTGAATTCATTTTGAAGATGCAAGCCACCTTCATCAAACAGTTAAGCGCATGTGACTAGCAGCTGTGAGTGCTGTTTATTTTTAGCATATGCGTTTCCTTTCTGCTCTGCCACATGTAAAGGAGGGAGGATGTTACAAAATCTAAGGGGTACAGTGCTGGTGAGAGGTACATTACCTGTTGTTTTCACTAATAGTATTGTGGTGAGGAGTGCTCTTATTTTAAATCAAGGATTGGTAGCTCCCAAGAGCCTTGACAGATGGATCTTCTGTATTAGCTTCAGCATCTCAGGCAGAGAACATCAACAAACTACCTGGGGATTCTGATGGTCCTTTCTGATTTCCACTATAACTGGTTAGCAAATTCAGGAAATCTTATGAAATGGTAATCTCCCTTCCCCTCCTAATCTGCACCTTTCTTATCCCCTTTATATTTTCAGTTTAGTGCAGTGATGCTGAGCCAACCACCTGGTAAGACCCTTATTGGAGAACTCCCTCTGCTTGCCAAAATCTGAGGCACACTCTACATATTATAAATCATGGAATTGTCTAGTTGGAAAGGGACCCTGACAACCCTCTAGTAGTCTAGACCAGCCCCCTGCAATGCAGGAAAATGCAGCTGCCCTATGCAGGGATAACCTGCAACCCTGGAATTACCTGGCAAAAAGCAAGTTCACACTTCTCATTGAGTTTCTATACACATATACACAGTGCTTTTTTCTGGGGGGGCCGCAGGGGTACGCATACCCCTAAATATTTTGTGAATCTAAGTTTGGCCTCATTGAGGGGCAGTATTTCAAGATGAGTAGGATGTGCCCCTAAACATTTTTTTAGAAAAAAACACTGCACATACATACATACGTACATACACATATGAGGCTCGTTTATTGATATATTTTGGGAATCGTTCATGTTCTTATGTAGCAGCATTGATTTATACTTTCTCCAATGTCAACCAATCGTATTGCAAAGCAGTCGTGTCCTGTGTTATAAAGCAAGTACTGCTGGGTTGTGTCTTCGTTTCCCAATGCTTTTCTTACCAATAAATTAAAAATCCGGCGTGGCAAATTTTCATTCTGAAAGTGTGCCCCAGAGATGGGAATTTATTAAAAAAAAAAAAAGTTTTAGAACCGCTGCCTTGAGAGAAATTTAAGGAAACCACCCTCTTGCTCAAATTTCCCTTTCACCACAAACAGGGTGGAGATTTCGAGAGTCCCATTTGCGCACAGCAATTGTCATCCGCCGATTTAAAAGGCATAAGGGAAGAAAGGGGGGGGGCTAAGATGGGACGAATTAAAAGCGAGGGTGGCGGGAACCCATCCCAATGGGATAGAAAAGCGAGAACAATGATCTGCCGTTCCAATCATGCTCATGGCCAGAGGAAAAACACCCGAGAAGCAGCAGGCAGACACGTCGAAGCACGGGGGGGGGGGGGAATGGATTCCAACGGGTCTACTCCGAGTAGGGACTGGGCGCAGCCGGCGCGGGGACGCACAAGCGCCGCGTGAACGGGGCTGAAATCTCGACGGCAGCCGCGGCACATTGTTCCCCCCTCATGCAAACGCTCCGTCGGCTGGCTCCGCCCGACCCGCCCTTTTCTACCCCCCCCCCCAGCTCAGAGAAGGATCGCAGCCTCGGCCGCCTCAGCAACCGCCTCTCGTGCTCCTGCCGCGGAGGCCTGTGGGTAGGGAGCTCGCCGCGCGCTGCCTCGGCGGCCGCCTCCGCCAGGTGACAGTTGGCTTCCCGGCTGCCGCCGCCGCCTCGACGCCTCCTTGCTTCTCCTCACGAGCCAGGCCGGGAAGCGAGGACGGAGAGCAGGAAGCCCCCGCTGCCCGCTCGCCCGCGGCCGCACTCCACGGCCACCGGCAACATGGACGGCAGGGCGGCGGCGGCGGCGGCCGAGAGCGGAGCGGGATCCGCCGGCCCGCTCAGGAGACCCACGCGCCTGGCGTCGGTGACCGGGCCCGGGGCGGCCGCGGCGGCGGCGGCTGCAGCGACTGGGGCGGCCTCGTCGTCGAGCGCCGCCGGGTCTCGCCAGCCGAGTGTGGAGACCCTGGACAGGTGAGGGCGGGGAGGGAGGGTCGGGCCCCGAGAGGAGGCGGCGGGGGTGGCAGCGCCGCCGCTTTGTGCTCGCCGCCAGCCTTCTCATTACGCTCCGGGGGATTGGCTTGTGTGTTGTCGGAGGGAGGGGGAAGCCGCTCCCTATTCCTGGTGTCCCTTTCGTTATAAGAGCATCGGTTGAGGAGAGAGAAGGGGTGGGGGGATGGGGTGGGTACGTGGGTGCACGCGTGCAAAGGTGTCTGTGTATATGTCTGCATGTTTATATACGTGTGTATTTATATGGATATGTGCGCATATACGTATGTGTGTATGCATATATGTACGTGTGTATGCCTGTGTGTGTGTGTGTGTGTGTGTCTGCATGCATGTTGTTCGGATGCCTGATTATCTTCTTCCAAAGCAACTACTCTATTACCAACTTAAGAATGGAAAGTGTAAAGCCTGTGGTCAACAACAGAGGTTTAAAGACTCTCTCAAAAAAAATGCAACTGACAGTTGGGAAACATTGGCCTGCAAGCGCTCCAATGGGAGAGCAGCCTTTTCCAAAGGTGCCCATGGGCTTTGAAGACGCTTGAAGTCAGGACGAAAGGTGCCAAGAGGAAGGCGCGTTTGGCAAACCCTCACCATGATCAACTCCCACCCGGAAACTTATGTCCCTGCTTTGAAAGGACGTGTGGATGCAGAACTGGCCTCCATAGCAGTGGCATAGCGTGGGGGGTGCAGGGGGGGCCGGCCGCACCGGGCGCAACATCTGGCGGTTAGGGTTAGTGGGCGCAAATCCACGGGTTAGGGGGCGCAAATTACTTTCCTTGCCCCGGGTGCTGACAACCCACGCTACGCCACTGCTCCATAGTCACTTACAGACTCGTCCTTAAAACCATGTTTATGGAAGAGAATCTTACTCAGCTACAAGCAATTGCCAGAGAAGAAGAAGAAGATCTCTGTATACTATACATGTATTTTTACATTTTTATACAGTCATACCTCGGGTAAATGTGCTTCAGGTTGAGCATTTTCAGGTTACACTCTGCAGCGACCCGGAAGTAACGGAGCACGTTACTTCCGGGTTTCGCCACTCTCGCATGCGCAGACACTCAAAATGACGTCACACGCATGCACAGAAGCGGCGAATCGCGACACGCGCAGTCGCGGGTTGCGTTCGCCTTCAGGATGCAAACAGGGCTCCTGAACGGATCCCGTTCTCATCCAGAGGTACCACTGTATTATAATCTGCCCTGTCATCCTTTGGATGGAGGGTGGTATAGAAATAAATAATAATAAGTATAATATATATAATATAGAGAGAGTGTGTATTTGTGTGTGTATACTATATATGTATACTATATGCATGTATGCACCTATGTCTGTGTATGTCTGTATATATGTATAGGTATAGTTGTTGGCATCCGTCTGTTTCGGAAGGCAGTTGAAGAGTGTGCCTTTGAGGGTGAAGTCGAATAGTTGGAGAGTTACAGTGCCTGCTCTGCCAGTAGAGTCTGATACAGGAGAGATATGTTTTGTTGCAGCTGGGGCAGATGAAGTTTTGCTGCTACAGGTGCACCATGGCATTTCTTCTCTCTGTGCTTTTGCCAGTGGTCATTCCTCCTCTGGTCACTGCTGTGGATACACAATGTGACTAGATGCCTACCTCCACAAGATGATTGTGTCCTTCAATGAAAACGTGCATCAGTGTCCAGTATGACAGCTTCTGACGCCTTCTCTAAAAAGAGCAATGTGAAACAGGGCTGTGTTCTCGCCCCAATTCTCTTTGGCACATTCTTCTCCCTGTTGCTCATATGCCTTCAGCTGAAGACAGGGTGCACATCCATTCCAGGAGTGGCAGGGGCCAAGAAAAAAGTGTGGTGGGTCCTTATGTTTGCAGATAACAGCCTTGACAGCACACTCCAAGGAAGCGCTACAGAGTCTCATCAAATGTTTTGCCAAACCCCACATAGAATTTGTGTGTGTGTGTGTGTGTGTATGTGTGGTTGTGGATATACACATGAAAATAGCCAAACTTGACACATCCTGCTTTGTGGAGGCTAGTGATAAATGCACCCTCCAGCATTTTATGAGATTGAATGAGAGAAGTGAGCTAATGGTAGACCCTCCTTCATTAGAGGTTTTTTAGCAGAGGTTGGGTAGCCATCTGTCATGGATGCTTTAGTTCCTGCATTGCAAAGGGTTGGACTAGATGACCCTTGGGGTCCCTTCCAACTTTACAGTTTTATGCTTCTATAAGCAGGCCCAGAAGGGCTTTAGAAGAGCTCTCCTGAGCAGCTGATAGTGGTTTCAAGGGATCCGGTGCCATTCCAACTTCCACATGAGTCTCTGTGTGTGAGAGAGAGAGAGAGACACACACACAGAGAGAGATGCTTGGCTACTGCATACTACTAAATAACCTATTAATTTCAAAAGCTGGTCATCACTTTGGTGGGAATTGTGCAGGCACCAGTGTTGTGGCATGCACTCCCTGCTGACATACCAGAGGATTCATATGTAGCAATATGAATTAAAAGGCTGTTTCTGTGATTTCTTGAACTGATCCTCCTGTTTTAATGGGATTATTTGATTGTTTATTTTAATTACTGTGTACTTTTAATTATTCTTTATCTTAACGGTATTGTGTAGTTGGTTCTTATGTTTTATAAACTGCCTAGAAGTCATTTGGAAGTTTACTATTAAAAATAATAGTAAAATGATACAATGCTTAGTACATGTATTAATCACTATTGGGTATGATGATATTAAATGGTGTATCCTATAAACTAGTGCAATATAGTGACAAGGAACTGAGCTGCCAACCCTGAAGTCCCCAGTTTAAATGCTGCCTCTGCTATGGACTTATTATTAGGCAGCCTTAGGCAAACTGCTGTCCCTCCATCTCCCCTTTCCTCACAACTCCCCTCCAAATAGTGTTATTTATTTATATAACAATATTGACGTACATGGTGTTGCTGTTTTTTTTAAAAAAATGGTTTAAGTCCCAAACCCAAGGGACTTATTCTAAAATAGACATTGAGAAGCAACACAGGAAGGGCTAAATAGAGGTGGAGTAGACAGAGAAGAGGAGATGTGCCTTGGGAAGTGTTCTTAGGACCAAATAGAGAGGCCTGGAGGGCCACTTTTGGCATGCAGGCATGAGGTCCCACACACCTGAGGCATAGGCACTAGGGGATGAGGGAGCAGAAAGGAAGTGGGGAGTGGTGTGTGAGTTCTCCATAAAATTTATAATTTGAAAAATTTCCGTTGGGTAACTTGTATCAGAATATTTTCAAATTGCATCAGAAAATTTTTCTAATCCAGACTGATCTAATTTAATATGTGTAATTTAGTTGTATTTTTTAATTGAGCTAACAGAAAGTATCCCAAGTTTTTTAAAAAATTGTCCATATCCCAGAAGTATTTAACCTCTCACAATGTGTCACATACTTACTAGGGACAATCACCTGAGAAACAAATACAACCTTGACATTTTGCTCAGCTTGCTTAATATATTTGCATTCATTGTTACTAATGAACCAATGAGACATATTTTTTAAAAAAGAGAAATAAAGTTCAGGGAAAAATCCACCCCACATCAGCCTCATGAATTTGAAATTTGATTTCCCCAGTTCTAGTACAACTCTCAACAACATTGACTCATTTATATAACCTGCCCTTTATTGTGGACTTTCATTAGGTTGAGGAAAGTTTGTTTTCCATAGAATAAGTTACTGAAAATACATTGTCTCCATTCCCTTCAATATTTCACTAGCTGAAACTGGTTGTAGCATATCTCAAATTCCCACATCACTTCCCAGAATCTGGCAGTCTTCTCAGTTTTTGATGCCAAACCACTTCAGGCTGTTTCAGGAAATTGCTTTCGTGTTTTTCCTGAGTGTTTAGGCATTCTTGAAGAAAGAACCTCTTGCTAAGACTTAATGGGTCATCCAGTTAAAATCCTGGGATTTGCTAACCCTAAAAACCTACTTGGTCTATAATCTGTATGCTTCTAGTTACAAATGTTCATGCTTAAACAGATATCAGTTTTCTCCTCTTGTTGTCCAGTTATTTTTTCAAGTCAGAAGACTTTCCTAGTATTATTCTTTGCACAGTTTGTTTTTGTTAATTGTTTTTGTCTGCTCAATAGAAAAATTAACTAATGTTTTAAAATACCATATTTTTCGCCCTATAGGGCGCACTTTTCCCCCTCCAAAAATGAAGGGGAAATGTGTGTGTGTCCTATGGGGCGAATGCAGGCTTCAGGGAGCTATCCGCAAGCCTGCGGAGCCCAGCGGGAACTCCCGTGGGCTCCGAAGGCTTGCGGATAGGTGCTTGCAGCCCGAAGTCCGGGGAGCGCAGCACTGCTTTGGATAGCAGCAAGCTCCAGGAGCGATGGCAAGGTTGAGCGCAACCTCGCCTTCGCTCCCGGACCCCCAGCCCCGAGGCTAAAAACGAAGCCAAGACAGCTAGCGGGATCTATCCTGTTCGCTGTCATGGCTTCTTTGCTCTTTGGGGCTCGGGGGGGAAATAATTTCCCCCCCTTTATTTCCCCCCCCCCCCAAAAAAATAAGTGCGCCCTATGGGCCGGTGCGCCCTATAGGGCGAAAAATACGGTACTTCTTCAAAAATTGCCTCTGCCTTTACATACACCAGTTTCCCCATTTCTGGGTTATTATAAGGAGTGCTCAAAATGGGAGAGCAAGAAGAAAAAGCAGGATGATTTAATATAAATAAGGCCACATTTAATTACATCACTTGAAAAGACGAGAAAATGTTTTAGATCTGCTTTATAAGTGGGATGGTTTCCTACTCACTTCAAGCATTGGCTTGCTGTAATGTCTGTTGGGCAAAATATGTTTGAGGCTAACTTCCAGACTACTACAGTATTTTGAAAACATGGTTTGAAGTGCATTTTCAAAATCTTTCTTTTGCAGCTAGTGCTAACTATAGTCTTTCCCTTTTGGATGTTACTGTCAAGGAAACATGGAAATGGAGAAGGGAATCTGCACATGAGGGGGCAGAGAGTGGTCATGCAAATGTGCTGTTCATTTCTAATCTGTAAAACCATGGTTTGAAGGATCATCTGAATTAAACGATTAATGCAGAATCTAAATGTTCAGTAGTTATTTATAAAGTAAGAATCTTCTGCTAAGTAACTTGTTATATATTCTGTTCTTGTAGCCCCACAGGATCACACGTTGAATGGTGCAAGCAACTCATTGCTGCTACAATTTCTAGTCAGATTTCAGGTTCTGTGCCCTCAGACAGTGTATCCAGAGAGTACCGGGTAAGTCTTAGTTATTCATTCTTTTAATTTATGTATATGGTGCCACATCAGTCCTTACCCCAAATAAGATATGCAAGGGAATGGAGAGCAAAAACAAAAAATGTATCTTTCTGTCATCTGAGAAAAGGGTTAAGATGATAACATGAAAGGGTAAGATTTTATATGTGAAGCAGTTAGATCTGATAAACTGTTACTTTTTTGTGTTAGTGCCATTTGAAATCTAAAATTGCCACTTAGTTTGGGTCTTCAGTGTGATTGATTGTGAGAAAATACTTTTATTTCATCTTTCACCTTTGCTTTTTTATTTTAAAAAGCAAGCAAATTGCCATGCATTCTTCAAGTAAAGCAGCCAAATGAATATTTGTCTTGTTTCATTTCAAGCAAATTAAGTCATTTACCAGTGTTTTGTGGATTCAAAAGGCAGTAGATTCTCTCTAGAAGTAGGAAACTCTTTAAACTCCCGTGTATAGGAAATAGATTGTTCCTATACCTAGAGATGAATCTGCTGAAGCATGCTTGATCAGATTCTATTTTTAAAATTCTCCTCTTGTGTGTTTTTCTCTATAGAAGCAGTCAGAATTTTGTACTTGGGAACTTCTGTAACATGTGGCAGCAAAATGTAATGCTTTCTCTGGACCACGGCTGCTGCCTTGGATAAATGAATGTGGCAATTTTGGCATTACAGCTATTGTACGTTACCTGTGGAATCTGAGTTTTTAGAGCTTGGATTCAATGTACTGGGGAATTCTGGTGCAGTCCTCAAGAACAGAGAATTTATTTTAACATATCTCTGTTTTTGGCAAATATCACACACGTTTGAAAAGAGAGGAATCTTTTAAAGTCAGCACCTTCAGGTATAGATGATTGAGCCACTTAACAGTCAGTTCTCTTGTACTGGGGCAAATTGCTAATGCCAGGTGTATCTGGAATAAGTACAAGTATCTCACAGCTTATGTGCCTTTAACTTTTGCACATTCAGCTTTATGCACTTACCATTTTTTTATTAAAAAAAGGGAGTGGAAAGATGGCAGACATCTAGGAAAAAAGACCTTGGCAATCCCACCTGCCATTAAACCCAATGTGTGTTGACTATACAGTGGTACCTCAAGTTACAAACGTCTCAGGTTACAAACGCTTCAGGTTACATACTCCATTAACCTGGAAGAGTTACCTCAAGTTGAGAACTTTGCCCCAGGATGAGAATGGAAATCGTGTGCCTGCAGCACAGCAGCAGCAGCAGCAGCAGCAAGAGGCCCCATTAGCGAAAGCACGCCTCTAGTTATTATTATTAGGTCATCCGTTTTGTGATTATTTGTTGGCTAAGTTGATGGTGTTCTGACCCACATTTTTTCTTCTTTGTTTGGACAGCCATGTTGTCCCTGTGATTTTTATCATTTGATTCCTTCCGCCATGGGTCTTAAAGAATATCTTGGGCCCACACAGAGCATGACTGTCTCCTTCCTTTTCATCTTTCTTGCTCTAACTTTTGGTAGGGACTATGCACTGCCAGCTTGGGTGCTCGAGGCCTACCTATAAGGTGGCTAGAAGGAGACATTTGTTTCTGATTATTTAAAAAGGCTAAAGTGGACAAAAATAAAGGACACATTATTTATGGTATGATATATATTCACTTCTAAGAAATTTTCAGGAGTAAATTTAAATTGTATCAAGCTGAGATACAATCTGTTGTCAGGTAAGCATAGGTACACAAAGCTTGCACATTATTATTTAATTTAGGGATGGTGAACTGTCATCCCCGCCCCCGTAACAGGTTGAATTGGCCCACCCAGTATTTTCCTCTGGCCTGCCAGCCCCCAAACAGTTTTTTTGCAGAGTAACAGCATCAGGAGGACTGAATGAAGCACCTCTCCTCTTCCTGCTAATGTCACTAACAGATTCGAGCACTCCTTCCTTATTCCAGAGCACTTTGATTACCTAGCAGTGATGGTGGTCACAGGTCCTTTGCTGACCTGAATTTTCTCTCTGTAACCCTGCCTCTTTCCAATTGCAGCACTGGGCACTGCAGAGGAAACTTGCACATGGGGAGGGAAACCACATTGCACACTCTCTCCCGCCCCCCACCTCAAAGACCACTCTGTTTTTCAAAGCACTTTGAAGACGGGTGTAGCTCTGATGTGTGGGGTTATGGCATGTGTGTGTGTATAAGGTGGCCACATCCATCAGGGTTTGTGATCTCCAGAAGGTTTTCTACATTCAATGTCACCCTTGGGCCAAATAAAGGTTAACTGCCCTTGATCAAATTATAGGTGAAGCCTATTTCGGCTCCATATTTTTTTAATGCATGTAGAAGCAGTGGAAACACATGCTCTTGTTAAAGTGTGAAGGTTGCATTCAGTTAAGGCCTACTTGGAGTAGACCCACTGAAATTAATGTATCTAAGTTAGTCATATCCATTAACTTTAATGCATCTTCTGTGAATAGACTAGTATTGCGTATCACCAATACCTTTTTTTTCCTGTCACAAATTAAAATCTTTTTAAACATCAGACAAACAAATGTGCGATCTTGATGGTTCCTTAAGCAGTATTACAAGATCTGCTGCCATAATATTCCACCCTTTGGGTTTGTTTATTCAGCCCACCATACTGCACCAACCTTGGAAGTGTATTGATTTGTTTTGCTTACCCTATCATCATGGATACATAGGGCCTCATGATTCATTTCTATTTAACTGTGTCACAAGTGAGCATGTAAAGAATAGCATGGTCATTGGTATGCTTCTAGTAATATGGGCCTGTAGGTGGTATTTCCCAAATGTAGGATTTGAATACGTGACTTGTTGGATAATATCTGTATTTTAACTAACAGGTATACAGGAGGCCTACTGTAAGGGTAAGAATAAATGTGGCTATTGGCAAGTCAGCCTTTTACCTGTTTTGTGTTTTTGTGCTGTGTTGAGAATCCAGTGTGCTAAGTGTTCTTCTTTACTTCATAAATGGTCGGTTTAAACCAGTCGGGCCATCTTGCTATGCAGTGCAACAGCTTGTTTGCCATAGAAATGTTTTATGTACATTACAGTGTTGTCATGAGCAGTAAAAACCAGTGTGTGAGAGTGCAGTATATTTAAGTTATGTTGGAAATGCATGGTACTAATTTAAGTTTTATTACATTAATTCTGACAAATAGGCCCCCTCAACTGATGCTTACATGTTTTGGAGCACAGAGTACTGTATTACCAGTGTTAATGTTTTCTGTGTGCTACAGATATTTGAAGGAACCAAAGAACAAACAATACATTTTAGTCTATCCTACTTAAATAAGATTTCAATCAATGCTTGTGTTTATGCACGCATTCCCATATTGGCAAGACTCTTAGTGGAAAATTATAAATCTGTGATCCAAGTTAGGCACTGCTGCAATGACATACATCTTTGTCCCATAATTGCTAAAATGTGTCATCCAGTGTTCATTCTGGATATTAAAAAAACATGTATTTTTTTTTTGTTGCCTTCAGTTTCAAATCAGCAAATGAAGTTTCAAATCAGGGCTGAGGAACAGTTGGATCCTGAGCTCCCCCATCACTTAATGTCACCATGACATCAGGTGATTTAGCTTCAAAGGAAAAAGTTAGGAACACACATCTAGCATGCTCCCATTTCTTGAGGTCAAGCCCGGGTGCAAAACAAAAATATCCGTTTGTTGGTATAGCTTGAATTGAGCTATGTCATCCAAGGAAGTATGCAAACCCCATTTGCAGAAGGGATTGACTCCTTGGGAGCTCTAGATTGGGAGTTCCCAGATGGAGCCAATCTCTGCAGGGGTTGCATTGAGCACCAAATTGAAAATGCTCTGCTTGCAGGGGAACAATCAGGAGTATATTCTAACACTCCCGATTGTTCCTTTGCAGCCTGCTTTATACCTCTTGGGCCAGATTAGGACTCTTGGTAGGCCTAATTCTGCCTTCAGGCTGGAGATTGCCTTTGCCTATTCTAGAAAATAGTGCATCCCTCCCACCCCCAGGTGAAAATATTCCTCCCACTCCTTTGCTTTGCTCCTGAGATAGCGCATAGAACAGCCAATTACCCAGTCTCCAGTGGTGAGTGAAAATAATTTCTAGGGGAACTGGCAGGCTGGCTGTTTAAAACTGATGCAGTTGGCTCCCCCACCCATTTCTATACAATAGTGTGCCATAAAGAGCTAATATTCCTGATCTAGCAACCTTTGAGGACTTATTTGGAAGGCTAGCATAGCATAGGTCTGCTTCCATTGAAATCCTAGTCTCATTTCTTGCTGGTCCTGGCATCCCTCTTCTGTATTGTTTTGTTTGGCAGAGGCACATTCTTTGGATGTTGGTGATGCTTTCAAAGGACAATAGAATGTTAGGGGCCAATGAAGCATCTGGGGCATAACTTTAGTTTCCCTCCAGCCGCTATCCAGTCATAGAATGGGAGGAAGTGGAAGGTAAATCTTGATTTAGGCTGCTCCTCAAAAAGAGGAACAGTGGGTTACTACCTGCCTTTTACAAAAAAGGCTTAAAATACAGCATTTTTTATCCTGCTCTCTAGACTCCCAGAATGCTTACGTATAATTTTATCAAACTATTATCTATTGAATAGTGATACACATAAATCTAAGGACAAGGTAAAAATGGTTACAGTTAAAATTATGTGCAATTTTTTTCTTGCTAAGCTTTTTGGTAGTTCTTTTCCAGATTGCATTGCTTTAGCCTTCTCTTCCTGATCTTTGCATCTGCATCTTCTTGTTCAAAACTAAAAAATGATAATATCTGGGACTGCCAGAATTCTTCCTGCAGTACGATGCAAGTGCATCTGTATTCTTCAGCAATATTCCTGATGTGGGGGAAATTTGATTCAAAGTATCATTCTTCTCTTTATAAATGGAAATTATAAAAATGTTGGAAATCTTAATTATCTTTAGCTACTAGCATATTTTAGGTCAACTGAACATTATTTTATGGTTTAATAGGAATTATTAAAAAAGAGTATTGTAGAACTTACGCAATTGCTTCAAAACTTGGCCCAGCAAGGTGCCACCTTGCTGGGCTTGGGCCATGTTTGCACATTATGTTTGGCAGCAAGCCAGGTGACTGAGAGAAAGCTTATGGAATTCCATGTAGGTGGGCTACTGCTGGTGGTGGAGATCATTCTGTTCCTCCTCTGCCAGCTTGTTCTGCTTGCATTCTGGCTGCTACTCCATAGCCAGTACAGAAACCAATCATGCTGACAGAGGAAGGGCAGACTGACCCATCTCTCCTCTGCTAGCCCACTGTATTTTTATTTTTTATTTTTTGCTGGATATGTCAGAATCAGAAACAGTATTGGCCTGTGGTGAAGGGGCAGTGATTCATGTCTTTATTACCAGGCTGCTGCACTCTTCTGCTGGAAACACAGGGGGATGAAGCCAGCATAAAAATCAAGTATGCAAGCTTGACTCCGTCCCCCCACCAGTCTTCTGTGTTTCTGTGTTGAACATACAGAACACAAAGTCTCTTCCTGCTCAGTCAGCATAGAAACCAAGCAGAATGCCTCCTACACCAGCCTGCTGCATTCCAGTTTACAGCCTTTTTACTACTAGCCTGATTTTTACTTGTGAGTAGGGCTGGCAAAGGAGAGATGGAGTGCTCTGTCCATATCTGTCTTTTTTATGACTAAAAAGCAGGCAAGTAAAAAATTTGTAGGCTAGTAACTTTTGGGGCCTAATTTATAGAGCTGCATTAAATTCAGCTTTGAGGTTTGAACACAAGATGTTGCCTGTTCAAATAATAATTCCTCCCATTCAACAGTTGTGACCTGGAACTCACCTGGGCTTAAAAGCAATCTCATAAAGGAAGCTGTTAATCAGCTGTCTCTATACAAAGCAAATGTTGTAAAAATATCATGGTCTCCAGTGAAGTCTCTGAAATGCAAATACTTCAGAAAGCACCTCCTTAAAGTTTTGTCTGGAGAAGGAAGAAATGCAAAGAAATGGACCTTTATATATTTTGATGAATTATGTTCTTGCTGATCCAGCTGGTGTGTGGAAAAATATTTCATGCAACCAAATCTTAAGAAACAAATGATCAGAAATGGTTAAACCTGATTCTAAAGTGTCTTGCTGGCATATCCAGCAGCAATAACAACATAGTATCAGGGTTTGTGGTAATGGGCAGATCTGCAGATGGGACCATTAAGTTCTTAGCAGTACTTCAACTGTCTTAATATCTCTATTGAGGATACAAATATTTAATTGTTTTATCTTTAAATAACTGCATGGATTCTCTCATTGGTCTATAATCAATTCCTTCTTTTATGTCAAGCATGTGGCCTACTTTATACTCTGCATTTTGTCTTTGCTATTTTAAAGATTGCTTGTTTCAAAAAAAGAAAAGAAAAGAAAAGACAGTACATACTTTGTGTTCTTTGGTACCTGGACTTACGTTTGGAAGAACAGGAATGTTCATATTCCAGATCATCCCAATATTTAAAAAAATAAACCATGACTGGATCTAATAGGTGCTAAAGTCTCTGCTTGACCTATTTGATTTTTGCAAGGAATGGAAAAGCTTACCAAATACATTTCTTTTGGAGTATCTACTGTCTCTGTTTTTAAAATTCTCTCCTTTCACCTGTTATGTGCATGTTTTTTCTCTTACTTCTGCTTGCCCACTGCTGCATCATGCTATTCAGGAGATTCAGGATGGACACAATGGCTATCCTTCTGACGCGGAAGTTGATCAGGTGGCAAGTTTTACTCATCTTTTGTTCACTAACTCTATAGAATGTCACTGTGAATGTTGGAGTTGTGAAAATTCTCATTTTTGTTACCTACTCTTCAGAAGTTCGAGAATAGTTTAAAAACTGTTTTTCAGTCCTTGTGAACAGTGGTGGACTTTGGGCTTTAAAATTTCAGCAGCACCCTTTGCGATGCCACAGTTTGGTGCCCCCCCACCTCTCACCTTCCATTGCAGTGCCCTCTTGGTTTGGTGCGCAGTGCAGGTGAATCAGTCACACACTCCCCTAAATCCTCCCCCACTTGTGAAAATTAATACTTCTCTGAAGCTCTCTCACTTGAATTGAGGATGTATAACACATAAAGGTAAAGGTACCCCTGCCCGTACGGGCCAGTCTTGCCAGACTCTAGGGTTGTGCGCTCATCTCACTCTAGAGGCCGGGAACCAGGGCTGTCCGCAGACACTTCCGGGTCACGTGGCCAGCGTGACAAGCTGCATCTGGCAAGCCAGCGCAGCACACGGAACGCCGTTTACCTTCCCGCTAGTAAGCGGTCCCTATTTATCTACTTGCACCCGGGGGTGCTTTCGAACTGCTAGGTTGGCAGGCGCTGGGACCGAGCGACGGGAACGCCCCCCGCCGCGGGGATTTGAACCGCCGACCTTTCGATCGGCAAGTCCTAGGCGCTGAGGCTTTTACCCACAGCGCCACCCGGGTCCCTCCTGTATAACACATACTCATAGCTAAATGTCCATTGAAGCTAGGGGGTAGTTTAGAGCAGTGCCATTGTCTTGAGGCACATAGCAGATTATATCTATGGTTTTCCCATAAGCATTGGTAAATATGTACAGTTCCTTTGATTACTTTTAAAATGTACTAGAACTGAGGCCATAGGCGTATCACTTCCAGTGGTATGCAGAACACAGTCATTCCAAGTGATCAATGCAGGCTGCTCCTTGTAAAAAGCACATATTTAAAGACCATTGCCGACATGCCCCATTGCATCAGGCTTTGGATTGGTAACCTAGGGTCCTGCTCCCATCTGTATTTGGCACCTGTTGACCTAGGCCATATTTCCCTCACCTCAGAGGTGTAGCTAGGGGGGCGGGGGGCACTGGGCGCCACACTGTGGGAGGCGGCACTTACTGCAGGGCCTTCAGTGCGCCTGAGCCATGCATCTCTTCTGGAAGTAATGCGTTGGCTTGGGTGCCCGCAGGCTCCGCACTGCCTGAAACGGCAGCATGGGGGTTGCATCTGCCCACCACCTCCCCCTCAGCTGTAAGGCGACTGAGATTGAGGTGCCGGGGGAACTGTGTGCAAGGTCCATGCTGCCCAAAACGGCAGTGTGGTCTTGCTTCAACCTGCTGCCTCTCCCTCAGCTGCCCTACAACTGAGAGGGAGGTGGCGGTGAGGTGCAGTGTGCCCTGCTCCTGCTTGCCCCGCCCCCAGGTGAAGGGCGCACACATCACCCTGGGTATCTGAGTGGCCAGCTACGCTGCTGCCCCCCTCCCCCAGTGTAGGTGACTCACAATAGGAACACGTGTAAGGTCCACACTAGGAGTCAGAGTAAGATTGATACTTAGCTCATTGAATGCCTGACAGGGATGGTCACAAGACTTTTAGCATTTAAGGCACATTCAGAAGGAAGGCCATTTTCTCTGAGTTGCAAGTGAGGGATAAAGTTGAGCTCTGCTGCTGTCCAGTAGCTTTCAGTAACAAGCACAGTCCAGTGATGGCATAGGTTTGCGACCATTGCAGCTGTGCAACATCTGCACTCCAGAGGACTCCTTCCTTCCTCTCATTGCACTTGGCAACAGCAGCTTGACAGTGTGGGCTGTGGGTACACTGCATCCCTGTGCTTTCCAGCTGTTGTGAAAGTAGGCAAGAGTGGGAAGTCACAATTTCTGAATGCTTTTTAAGTAACCTATTAATGTGAAACTACTTCAGTGTAAACAAGAATGGTAAATTCAGATAGAAGTAAAACGAAGCACTCCTTATTTCAATATATTAGCCAAGAGTATGTGTAACAGCTTGGACATGTGCAGAGAGACTTTTGACTCTTTTTATAATTGAAAGAGCTGGAACCCTCTTTCTTTCTTGCCATGTTTTGCTTCTTGAAGTCCCTCTGATTGCAAAAGCAGTTTGCCAGGGGGAGGTGGGGAGGGCTACTGTTCAAGAAAATAGGAAGCTTCCTTATATGGAGTCAGACCATTGGTCCATCTGGCTCAGCATTGTCTACAATGACTGGCAGCAGCTCTCCTTGCCTTGCCTTGCCTTAACTGGAATTGCTGGGGATTGAACCTGGGATCTTCTGCATGCAAAGCAGATGCTCTACCACTGAGCTATGGCTCTTCCCCTTAACTCAAGGTCAAAATCCCCTTGGTCATGAAGATCTGATTAAGCAGTTACTTGCATCTTGGTCATAAAGTCCAAACATGGATTGCTTGATTGTATAAATATATATATATATATAGTTGAGTATTGTTCAAGTTCACAAAAGGATTTTTATATCAAATAAATAGCGTTGGCTAAAAATAGTTTAGGGAGTTACCCTTTAACCATTAAGGTGCTGCTTAAAATATTACAATATCAATATAGGTGACATTTTATGATTTTCAATTATTATATGATTTTATTGATTTATACCATTTAAATAAATAAAACATATAAAAAACTAATAAATGTCCATACAGAGATGGATCCATGGTACAACAAACATCAGAATGACAAAAAAATACAAATTATTGGACTTGGAATAATATGTTATTTTGAAACAAATCTTAAATGAATTCTGTGAGTGAAGTGAGGCACAAATTTTACAAGACCAGTGGAACTGAATATGATTTAGTGGTGAGTGTTTGTAATTAAAAACTTATTAAAGTCTACATTTTAAATATGCAGTTAATGAATCAGTAAGTTAATTACACCAGTTAATATTGTATGTAGGATAAGGAGTATAAATCATAGTATGCCAGATGTCATATTAGTATTTCACATCAAAATCTGTTAATGTCAAGTGATAAATTGGCCAATTGCTTTTAAAAAAATAATTCCACCACACTTCCGCTAGAGCAGTATTGCACAGAAACAAACACTAGTTCTGTGAACATCATTTGGACATATGGGAAGGCAACTGTTGGAAGGATTGCAGTATTAATCCTGACCTGTAAATCAGAAATGCAGCAGAAGTTGTGGTGGACCTCTGCGAGCATTTATTTTTAAATTGACTGGATGTTTGTACATGCCAGAACTTAAAATGTTGCAAATTTTATTCTGAACCTTACAAGGAAATACATTGTGATCTCAAAAAAATATCTGGGCATGAACAATCCACACTATATTTCTCCCCCAAAATAGTACCAGTCAGGGGTGAACTCAAGCCATGAGCATGATCTAAAAGTATGGACATAGAGTTATTGCATCATGTGTAGTTTGATTAAAACATCAAGCCATTTGGGTGATCTGCTTATTATGGCACAGTGGTTTTATGTGGTGAAAAATTGTTCATAATCTGACTTACTGAATCTTCAGTTCTTGTAAATGCCTTAGTCAGACCTACATGTGCAAAACTGGTATTTCATCAAGATGCTGATTGATTTTCAGTGGGAGATGGCTAGAGATTATTTTAGAATGCTTTTGGTGCTTGCATAAGGGACACTTGAGGCCCCTGAGCTGAAGGAAATCCTCCTTTGCCACAGAGGACTGCCACTGTGGGGAGACCATCCATTGTTCCTTGAATTGACTCCTGAGGGCCACTTGAACGGCTCTCTCCCACTATCCTCGGTTCAGTAAATACTGCTGTGGTCATGAAGCACGATTTTAAGCAAGCAGAGCAAAAAGCTGAACAGCTCAATCAGCTCTGTTCAGCAAGAGCTGTGGCAGGGCAAAGCTGTGGAGTGTTTTAAAAATGGAGAATAAAAGCAGGCTGCACCATCAAACTGCAGAAAATAAAATGGACTAGAACAAACGTTCAGTAAAATATTTCTTTATTAAAGCTTCCAGAGTTATCTGATGTGCTTCAGTTCTGTATAGCTAGTCAACCTGCTTTTCTTTCTGGGGAATACTTTATTCTCTAGATATTGGTCTATGGACCAGATATATAGTCTGCTTCACAAACAGATCTTCTCTTGCACAGTTAGTTTCCATAGTAAAGCTAGCTGGCATTGCTAATGGACTAAATGGTCACTCACATTACATACAAATATGTATATTTACATACTGCATACCTGTTGTGTACATTAAAAAAATGTATTATGAAAGTGCAGTATCTAGTTATTGCAACTTGATATTTGCTTTTCTTATGTAAAATTTTAGCCAAATGATTTATCATTCCTTGCTTAATTTTGGGAGGGATTCTGGGGCCTGTGAGCCTCCATTAGCAGGGGGGAAATATGACACAGGGCAGGATCTGAAAAACAAACTTAAAAAGCATTGAGTAGCTAAAAAGTGAGAAAAAAACTTTGAAAACATTTGATCAGCCATATGTATAAAAAATAACACTGCGAAATACTTTGGGAGCTGTATGTCAAAATACCCAACAACTTACAATATTTGCCGAATTTTTGTGTGTCTTGTATGTGCTAATTGGAATAGTTGGTCTTACCTTTGTGTAGTTGGTCTTACCTTTGTGTGAATGCTTTGCTACTAATCCATATTGTAAATATTGACACTGTTTATTCTGTAAATCCAGTAATGCTGCATAAAATCTGAGCAGATTCTCTTAATCCATGGTTAAGAGATCAGGGACAGACCACAGTGTATCTCCCTCTCCCTCTCTACCTTTTGTATCTTGGGAACTAATTTCACCCTCTCCCATCACTTTTGCAGCAATAGTTACTATACTTAAGTCTTTACCAGGGTTCCTGATTAAACAGGCCTCCAAGCTGTTTTCAGATCCTGGCTAGATGAAAACTGGTTACGTTGATTAGCAGTTGTTGATGAAACACCACATTTCAGCAAAGGAGAGGGGGATTTTGCATCCAAGTTGGAAGGGATGGGGGAAGGAGAATAATTCACCCCTGATTTCTTTAACTTCAATTATGTGTACATTCACACTAGCCCGTAGCATTAAAGAACTCTGCTTTGAAAAGAAATCACTATCTTTTGTATTGCTACAGTAACCTCCTAGCAAAAGCACCTTGTGGTTGTTGTTGATGTTTAAGCTCTGCAGATGGAATGTAAGATTTACATTTAGCATTGGATTTCTGCCAGGCACTGAGGGATGGAAACAAGCTCGCCCAGATGGAAGAGGCTCCACTTTTTCCTGGAGAATCAATTAAAGCTATTGGTAAGTGGAGCACTGAGTGGCTGAGAACATTGTTGTTTGTGGCCAAACACAAAATGAAAGCTACTCATTTGGTTTTATATATTTCAGAATTATTACACTGATCAGTTTTTATTCTGGATCCTTAATCCTTTATACCTGGTATCTGAAGAAGTGTGCATGCACACGAAAGTTTATACCCAGAACAAACTTAGTTGGTCTCTAAGGTGCTACTGGACAATTTATTTATTTATTTCGGCCTTTATACCTGAGTTAGGCCATAGGAGATGCTAAGCACAAAAGGCAAGCATATCTGAGAATAATTTTAATAAACTATAAATTAGCTCAGAAATTAGTAGCTGTGAGACTGATGTGTCAAGTACTTGGGTACTCAATTTTTCTATGCAGCTTCAAGTACTTTTTCTTCAAGTTTTATTTTTTCCATTGTGATAATATCACAGCCCTTTGGAGTAGAATGCTAGTGGTCTAGATTGGATGGCATACAACATATTCTCCCCCTCAACACTCCCCTTCTTTGGAATAAAGGTTTGGAGTGTTCCTAAGGATTGGATTGGTTCACACATAATTTTCATGGTCTTATAAACTTTCTAAACTATCGAAGCAAGATGCCTCAGGCTTCCATGCTGCCTACCTCCTTTCATTAATTTCATTGCAATTTGCTCCTTCACTTTTAATACAAACCATAACTTGACATTATGTTCATGATCATACTCAGACCACTGTATCTTCTCCCCCATGTGCAGTAGGGGTATATGTGTGAGTATGTGATGTGCTCTGAATGCTCACAGCACTCTGTACATTATTTATTTGATTTAAAGTATTTTACCCTCCAAACTAGTCCCAAAGCAATAGAAAAATTAGAATAAAATATAATAAAAAGCAAGGAACAGTAAAGCAACAGAGAAGATTGCAGGCAAACATAGCTGGGAATGGAGTTCAATACTTTGGGAACTACTTGTGGAAAAAACACTCATTTTGGTAGCCCTCTGCCTAGCATTTGAAGGCAGAGGCTCTCACAGAAGGTAGAACTTAATTGATGTGCAGGTTTTGTTTAGAGAAAGCAGTCCTTTAGATACCTATCTTCCAGGCTGCCGAGGATTTCAGTACTTAAAAGTGAAATATTTAGAGGGGGAACATTTGACAGGTCTTGGCTTTTGAGACTGATAAGGCAGAGAGTACATGGAAGCAGCCTTGGATACAATTTAGGGACTCTGGTGTGGAATCAATGCATGCCCATTTTTCTGCTTGCTTGCTTGCTTCCAAGAATATCTTACCTGCCGTGTAGGTAAGCCCACAAAAGTTATTAGTTGCAATGTTTTTTCTTAGCCTGAATTTCCATGCTGGCAACAGAAGATTCTTTCTCCATTTCCAACATGAAGCGCAGGTTGCTAACCTTGCAGCAAGATGGGGGGGGGGGGGAATGCCTTCTGCAAAGTGGGCTGGTGGAGGAGGGATGATGTAATCTGTGCCTCTGTGTCCTCCAACCTTCTGCCGTTCTGGCCTGGCTGAAGAGAAAGGGGTCCGAAAATAAAGTAAATATTATGAAAACATAATAAAACTGTGGTGGCTGGGCTCACCCAAAGGAAACTAAACCTCGGCTTTGACCCTGGACTTCTCACTGCTAGGGGGAGTGGAGAGTGCGTAATCATATGTTTTGCCACCATGTATCACAGAACCTTTTTAGCATAACTCTCGGTATTGCTTTAGTGCAAAATGAAATTGTTAGGTCATATTTTATTCATAAGGTGCTGTCTTGAATCTGTATCTGGGCTGTGAAGTGGAAAGCCAGATTTGATGTCTGCTCATTTGCCTGCAAGAGAAGTTCTTCCATGTGACTAATTGACAGAACTTTCAGATCTGCTTCTAAATGTCGTTGTCATTGTTGGGAGGAATAGAATGGTTCCCTCAGTTGCCAAAAGTTCGGCTTTCAGTGAATGAGATGTAGTTATAAAGGTTCTGTTAAATGTCATGTTTGATTTGCCAAGCTTATGTGTTGGTCATTTTGAAATTTATGACATTGTTTGTCCACAGTGTACCCAGTTCTTCTCTGCTACCGCCATAAATATGCCTTATACAGTGGAACCCCAGGTTGCAAACGTGATCCGTGCGGGAGGCATGTTTGCAACCCGCAGCGTTCGCAACCTGCAGCGCCGCGTCTGCGTACATGCAAGTTGCAATTTGGCGCTTCTGCACATGGCGCAAAGTGCGATTTAGCGTTTCTGCGCATGCGCGAGTGCCAAAACCCGGAAGTAACCTGTTCCGGTACTTCCGGGTTCGGCGCGGTGCGCAACCCGAAAACATGTAACCTGAAGTGTCTGTCACCTGAGGTACCACTGTAGTTCTGATTTTAGCTTCCAAAGTTCTGGATTCTGAAGATATTAGTAGGGAAGTATGCACACTATGGCAGACAGTGGGACTGCAATTCAGTATATTCTTAAGTGGGAGTAAGTTCCATTGCAATCAGAAGCCTTCTGAGTATACCTATTCAGGATTGCACTGTAAGGCACCCTCAAAGTAGGATTGTGCAGTGGCGTTTATTACTGAAAATGTAGATGACTGTACAAAACTATCAACTTAAAATAAAAAATTGTGTCCTTAAAAACATTTTTAATGTCCTAGATGGTATTCTTATTTTTTGTAATCATCAAGTATTTTACAGGTGACCCATAACTTGCTAGGCTTTTGTTAATTTTTATTTTTTCAGTTATGAAAATGCCTACTTTTGAAGTGCTATGAAATAGGCATTATTTTAAAAAACTGAAATAATTGGCTGTATAAACTCAGTTCATTCCATGTGTAAATTCCAGCCTCAAAAAGGCATTTATTAGTAGAAGTTTTTTGCATCAGGTATTTTGCCTGTGTTCATACATAATAAAAATAATCCTATAGTTCGATTTTTAGTACTAATAAAGTGTCTTATTTTTTCCAGCTAAAGACGTCATGTATATCTGCCCGTTTATTGGAGCCATCAGTGGTACACTATCAGTGACAGATTTCAAAATGTATTTCAAGAATGTTGAGAGGGTGAGCCCTTTTTTCTTATTGCACGTCATGCATCTTTCTGCTACAGCCTTATTCCTGTGCTTTCCTTTTCAGAAACTGACACATGTATAAACTAAGCATAAAGTACTGTTTCAGCTTTATGTGGCCTAATATAATTGTATATTTTTATCTCAAACAGAATATTACATATTTCCTCACACCTGCAATAAAGAAATGTGGTGTTTACTTTTTCTTCAAATTTCAGGATCCACATTTTGTTCTTGATGTGCCTCTTGGAGTGATGGCCAGAGTTGAAAAGATTGGAGTGCAGAGCCATGGAGACAACTCTTGTGGAATAGAAATTGTTTGCAAGGTATCAGTTTAATTTTGCAGAAGTGTACTTAAATTGTGCTTTAATTTCATTGTGGAATCCCAGTGATATATCTTAGATATATAAGACGCTGTTACTTGCTTATTTCTTATGGCTGTTGTGAATGCACTGGTGTAACTGGTCCTAAGACCTAAAGTTTAGAACAGGTTTTTATTAATTTTCAGATAAACCTGGATTAAAAGAGGAGGTTCCTTAGTACCACTATTCAGTGCAAAAAAATCTTTTGAATAATGTTTGTAACTGCTGTAATTTTTCACTTAACATACCAAACCTTAAGATATCTTTTCACAGGATATGAGAAACTTGCGGCTTGCCTATAAACAGGAAGAACATAGACTGGAGATTTTTCAAAACCTTATTAACCGAGCATTTCCTCTTTCTCATGGGCTTGTAAGTATTACAATTAGGAGTTCTATACCCTCAACATTGGTTCACTCTTCAAACTATATAGTGGGAGGAATCTAAATATAGTATTGTGGTGCTTAAGAATTTAAAAAATCAATATGATTCTCACTCTTCTTAGTAGTGTAGTTAAAAGAACTTACATCAGTATTCAAATAAGTTTTACTCAGAGTAGACCCGTTGAAATTAATAGACCTAACTTTGTCATGTTCATTAATTTTGGTGGGTCTAAATCCATACCCACCACCTTGTGGGGCATCTTTGAGAGAAGAAAATTAAAAGGAGTAACCCCCCACACAAATCCAGAGTGGAGTCCCTAAGATGGTTGGATGGCATCTTGTACGCCTCCTTTCAGCAACACCTACAGCCAGACTGGTGCCAAACGTATTCCTCTGCTTTTCTCTGGAGTACATCAGTGAGGTTGAGAGGGGGGCCTTGTCATCTGGGCAGCCTAGGACCTCCATACACACTGCCCAGGCTTGCACCTTGGAGAGATCATAGCCACTGCAGGCACTGTGATTCTCCAGTGGTTTGGTTTCACCTCAGGAGGCACACTCCATTGTGTGGAAGTGAATGTATCATTCTTCTCTATTGTTGCTAGCCACATGCACTTGGCAGAGTTGATGAAATTAAGATTGTTGATATTTATGAAGAATGTTTTTACTGAGTTTTAATCTCAGTGTAAAATGCTCTTCTGAACTCTTAAGAAATGAAGAGAGAAATAGTGTAATTAAATAGTAGTAATGTATGCTTTTGTTTCACTGCATTTAGCCACTCTTTGCATTTACCTATAAAGAGAAATTTCCTGTTAATGGCTGGAAAGTTTATGATCCAGTGGCAGAATACAAGAGGCAGGTAGGTAATGACAATTTTCACTTTTAAAAAATAATTTGCATTGTTTTCTATTTTGCCTGAATATCCATTTGTGGAAGATCTAAAAGACTAAGTCAAGTACTTAAAAATTTGTCGGCACATTGCCGATACTAGATGGACACTGAAAAGTCAAGAACCATGCCATTTTCCCCATTGTTTTCCTGGACATAATAGTTGGACTAGAGAGTGGAACTACACATGTTAATGCCCCACATCCAGTAATGCAGCCACTTCCTGCATGACCTCACACTGCATGTCCTCTGTGTGGTGTGCCACAAGATATGTAGACTCATGCTTACTCCTCCTGCTAATTGTGAATCAATATTTGTGTGCACCTTTATATGCATATAGGCCCTGGCCTCGAGAGCAGTTAGTGGGGGGGAGTGCATGTCGCCTTGTTCTTATTTACTGTATTTACATATTGCCTGTCTGTTAATGCATTTAGTGTGAGTTACTATATACAATAGGTAAAGGTGAAGGTACAGCTACATGATCAAAAAAGGAAAGAGGAAAATAAGCAAATTCTGGCACCTCCTTTTACATAACAAACCAATATGCCAGGATTGTGTTTAAATTTCCCTTTAGCTGTTATATGTCCATCTGTAGCAAGCAAGTAGTTTGTGGAGATGCAGCAGAGCTCTGCCCCTTTCAGACTTTGAACTAAGATCTACTCGTGCATTCAGGACTAATACTGGTTTTCTATAACCTTCAGAAGCCTTGTAAAATAAAAATTAAAATTAGTTACAATATAATTGTAATGTTTTAGGTTTAATTAAATGTTTTAGGTTTAAATTAAACGTTTTAGGTTTAATTTTTGGGGACCCTGAAATCAGATGGGTAAACCTTGACTCCTTAAAACATTGTTTTGCTTCTATGCAGGGCTTACCCAATGAGAGTTGGAAAATATCCAAAATCAACAGCACATATGAATTCTGTGACACATACCCTGCTGTTCTTGTTGTGCCAGCTAGTGTAAAAGATGATGATCTCTCCAGAGTAGCAGCATTTCGGGCAAAAGGCAGAGTTCCAGTAAGTAAAAGTCCTGAGTTAGAAAACAATTGCTGGTATATGGGTTATGATGCAGCTTGACACCTAATCTGAGAGCTCCAAAACTAGTTGCCCAATTCTCTATTGGAAGGAAGACTATGTGAACTAAAAAGGAAAACAAGAAACAGTCCTAAGCTGGGAACCCAAGTGTAAAAAGGCACTTATATTCTGTCTGTGCAAAATGTGGTGGGAAGATCACATAAAATCTACTTCATAGGTTCAAAAATCAGTTGGACTGCACTTCAGCAGTCTGTGCGAAGAATAATATTTGATGTCAGAATTGGGACTAACAGAAATCAAAATTATTCCTATTGTGAAAAGCCATTTTCTGAAGATTGTCCTTCTGTGTTTAGACAATAAGCAGTAATGGTATGGGAAATAATTTTGTAGGGGGTTAATGATCCACTCCATGGTCCCATTCACTGGTAACTTCAAGACTTGATTACTGCAATTCACTCTGTGGGGTTATCCTCAAGATTAGTCTGGAAGTTAGTGCAAAATACTTCTGTGAGGTATATTCATTCAACATACTATGCTTTAGTTGAAGTAGGTCCATTGGCTGCCTCTCTGCTCCAGGATAAGATGCATGGTAGTGTTGATTGTTTACAAACCCTTAAATAACTTGGGACCAGGCTACCCTTATGCCCATGCAGGGACGATCGAAGGCTAACTGACACCCGGGGTGGGGCAAACTGCCAGCTGCACACACGTTGCATCGCTATGTAGGGCGCATGTGCGGCATCCCTACATACAGCGCGTTCATGTGACACTGCGCATGTGTTGTACATAGTGGTTTGCTGCTGGCGCCACCTGAGCACTGTACGGACGGTGGCAGGATCCTGTGCTTGCAGCTGCAGTGGTGGTGGAGGAATCCTCCACTTGCGGCTGTAGCAGTGACGGAGGGATCCTACTTCTGTTCGTACGGTGCTTGGGCGGCTCTGGCAGCAAACCGCTATGTACAGCGCATGTGTATGACACCGCAAATGTGTTGTACGTAGTGGTTTGCCACGGCCCCAGCACCGTACGGACAGTGCAGCCACGAACGGAGGATCTTCCACATGCGGCTGTGGCTGTGCGATGGCCGCTCACGCCAGTGCACCATGGGGTGAGCACCCCACAGGATACCTTCTTGTCACCCCTCCAGACATGGCACCCGGGGCGAACCCCCCCCCCCCACCTTGCGACACCACTGCGCCCGTGCCTAGCCATTAAGTTCCCTTGAGAGAATTGTGTGTGTATTGGGGAAGGGGGAATCAAACAGCAGGCAAGCAGCAGGCAAGCTATGCTGAATTGCAAAAACACTTTTGAAAGTACTATCAGTTCCAAAGGTGGTTTGCTATTGTCAGGAAACTTCATGCAGAACTGTATTATTAGTTTTGATGGCCATGTAAAAAAATATGTGTGTCTTTTGATTTTTGAACCTTTATTCTCTGTCTTCTTATGACGTTACATCTGTTGCTAATATGACTTCTGCAGTTGTTTCTACTGCATATACATTGGTGTATATATATTTTCCCCTTAACCTAGGTGTTATCCTGGATCCACCCTGAAAGCCAGGCCACCATCACACGTTGCAGCCAACCTCTAGTGGGCCCAAATGACAAGCGATGCAAAGAAGATGAGAAATATTTGCAGACGATTATGGATGCCAATGCTCAGTCCCATAAGCTCTTCATCTTTGATGCTAGACAGAACAGTGTTGCAGATACGAATAAGGTAGAACTAGCATAAGGGGAAAACATATACATTTATTTAAAATTCAAAGTGACATCCAACCAAGTCACACTTTGGAGTAGGGCAGCTGAAATTAATGGACTTAAGTGGGTCTATTCTGAGTATGACTTAGTTCAATATCGCTCTGAAATACTTAAATTTTAAAATGTTGAAATTACCTTTTTTATCTAAAATATTTTAAGGCCACTCTTTTAGCACTAAACTCTCACAGGGCATCTTCCATAAAAGATAAAATACAACATACACGATCAAAGATACAAACATGAAAAATATATTTAAAATTTGAATACCAATATTAATACAACAATCATAATTCATAAGAATGAGCAATAATAGCAGTAATAATAATAATAATAATAATAAATTAAAATAAATACCATTAGAGCTAACTAAAACATTTTAATGCTATTTCAGCCCTAGTTTATGCCAGCATAACCATAATATCTTAAGAAAAAACAATTTGAAACAGATATCTCTCTTAAATCCCACCAAAACCTTTCTATTTTGCCAGGCCAATGCAGGCAATTTAAGAATACTTATTTCCATAATGAGTATTTGACACCTGTTTTTAATCTTTTATGTGGTTTTTATTTTATGTATTATTGCTGCAAACTTCTTTGGTATTTTTCTTTTTTATGATATAGTGGTACATAAATATTTAAAGAAGTAAATAAAGGGCCATAAAGAAGGGGCCATGCACATCTCCCTTGAAATAGAATTCCGTAAGTGTGAGGCCACTGTTGAGAGAGCCCTTTCCTTCATGCTTGCCAGCTAGCTTTTTCTCCCTGGTGGGCATTCAAGAAATCTTAAATCTTAGAGATACATTTAAATTACTTAAAATGTATTTTCAGACGAAAGGTGGCGGCTATGAAAGTGAAAGTGCCTACCCAAATGTGGAGTTGGTTTTCTTGGAAATTCCAAACATCCATGTAATGAGAGAATCACTGCGTAAACTGAAGGAAATCGTTTACCCTACCATTGATGAATCTCGATGGCTGTCCAATGTGGAGAGTACACACTGGCTGGAATACATACGGGTAATTGACTTGTTGAAAATATAAATTGTGGGTTTTTTGCTTTAAAATGTTAAAATCTTTCTCCATGTGCTATTCTTTTGTCACTTCTTTATATAATCTGAAAAGGGGAAATGCCTTGATTCTTCAGAATCTGGGTTTTTCAGATTATATAAAACTACTGCTATATGCTGTTAGTGTGTATTATAGACTCCAGTAGAAGCAATCCTTATTTATTTTTTTATCTACTTAACGCTGTTTAAAACATTTGTAACCCATTTTTTTTACAGTTTGACTAGGTATGGGCTATGCCTTTCTACTGTAGGACAGAGGAACTGACGACTACTTACCCTACACCTAATTCAGCTCAAGTTTTGGGATTCTTGGCCTTGGCAATAGGATAACAAATAACACCTGCCCGCCCCCTCCCTGCCCTGGACAAAATTACAAAGCCATGTAGATAGATAATTTATTATGGTCAAAGACCAGCTCGCATAACACAATAATGACAGCGTTCATGAAGATAAAATATACAATTGAAGCAGATTGCAGCAATGGCTCATGAGTTAAAATTGAAATATATACGTACACCCATACAACTGAGATTTGGGCTACCATAAAAATTGATCCTGAGGCGCCCCAAAGGGTGACTTTAGCTTTTCCCTAGTAAGTTATTTTATTCTAGAGGATGATCTGTGCCTACAAATCTGGGTGCAGAATCTGGCTACCAGCCAGGTCGTCTTGTGATCTTTGCCTAAGAGGAGAGAATTAAGTTTAGCCATGAACGGCTGACTTAATTGCAGTTGGAAGCCTCACCACATTTAGAGTTTGCACAGCTCTTTTAGACAGTTGAGTGTTTCATAAATGTTAGTGTAGTTCCTACAACAATCTTATAAAATAGCTCAGTATTATTTTCTCCATATTGCACTTGCAGGACCAAAACTGAGCGATGATAGCTTGCCAAAAGTCATCTAGTGACTTCATAGCAGATAAGAGATGTGAATGCACTGATTGACACCTCAGTCTCACTCTGCTTCACCAGCCCTCATATTTAGGTAGGAATTACCAGGGATCATTTTCACTCTTGAACATGGCTCTGTTTCTTCACAACACAGAAAATGGGCACACACACATCTAGACAAATCCTCTGCCAGCCTCTCTCTGGCAAACTGCCACGGGAACTACAATTCTGCTTGGCTAACTACCAGAAGTGCCTTATTTGCAAACACTGCATACCTTCATGGCTTTCCAGCTAAGACATGCAGTGTCATGGTTTAGTTTGTATATTGTCTATGGATCAAAGCACAGATGCCAATAGAGATAAACACTGACTTCATTGGAAATGGGCTTCCTTTTAGTTTGTTATCTAGTGTTTTTGTTTTTTTATTTTTTATCCAGTTTATTGATTTTGAAAAGATTTTGTAGATGGTGTTTCTTAACCCCAAGCATTTCATGGCATAGCAAGATAGAACAGAATATTTATTAGTGTCTTGATAGTCTTAATAACAAGCTGCTAATAGAATTTATTGACATCAGAAAATTCAGCAAATGGTAGTTTTGTAAAGAGAAAGACGGCAACTCCATGTTATTGCTTTATAGAGAACTGAAATTGTTAATTAAATTTCCAAATCTAATGGGCAGAATGTGAAGTTTGCCCTGTCTAAATGTTAGCTTTGCGGATTTTAAAATACTTTTTTTGTGGGGATCAGCTTACATTGTATAATGGTGCTTTCAACTCTTACACAGTAAAACCTGGGTTGTTGAACATAAGCAGTTCTGGAAGACTGTTAGACTTCCGAAACATTCGACAACCGTGGCACGGCTTCTGATTAGTTGCAAGAGCTTCTTGCACTCAAGCGGAAGCCACTTCGGATGTTCGGGTTCTGAAAATCATTTGAAAACCAGAGCATTTACTTCTGGGTTTTCGGCGTTGGGGAGCTGAAATGTACAGTAACAGAGGCGTTCGGGAACTGAGGTTTGACTGTACTGCAAAGTTTACCTACAAGATCACCTTACCTTACAAGTGCCCACTCAACCACTTCAATTAGCAAAATTGGTACTATTTCAGGTGGCATATAATAACTGTTCCACATTTGTAAGGATTCAATTATCTAGTGTGGCAATGCCTACACTTTGGAAGTCCCTGCCTATTGATATCAAGCAGGTGCATTCACTGTACTCTTTTTGACACCTGCTAAAAACATTCCTATTCAGACAAGCCTACCCAGGTGCTCAGAAAGCTGAAGTAATTTTAATGTTTTAGTATTTCAACTTTTTATGTTTTAAAGCAGGGTTGTAATTTTTTCTTGATTTTACTGTTTTATCTTTTGTAATCTGTTTTTAGGCTTTTTTTTCTTTTTTACAATCAAGTGGTGTACAGTGGTACCTCGGGTTACAGACTCTTCAGGTTACAGATGCTTCAGGTTACAAGACTCCGTTAACCCAGATGGATGGATAGATAGATAGATAGATAGATAGATAGATAATTTATTACGGTCAGAGGCCAGCTTATAAAACACACTTGGGGTTACAATCCCAGAAGGAAAACAAACATTTAAAACAATGTACAACAATAAATTTAAAATTTATAAATGCGGTAAGCATATAGACACTTAAAACTTTAAGATAAGCTACCGCAGAGAGATGACCCAGAGTCACCCATGGAACCAAGTTTGGGGATTTTCTTAACAAACTAGTTTGAGTCAGGGGATGGTCTGCGCCTAGAGATCTGTACACAGAATCTGGCGACCATCCAGGTCATCTTATGATCTTTGCCTAACAGGAAAAGGTCGAATTTTTGCTTTTCCAGGAGGTCAGCAAGCCTCACCAGCAAGGGATCAATGGTCTCACTACGTGCCTCTTCATAAAAGGGACATATAAAGAACAAGTGCTCTGGGCTTCCTATATCCCCCAATGAACAGGTGCAAAGTCTCTGAGCATATGGGACTTTTTAAAAGGATCATTCCAGGACTGGCGAGGGCAGAGCCGAGCTTCTGGCGAGTGTAAAAGCCCTTATAGCATTTTTGGATATGAGAAAGAAGAGATATGCTGCCGGTGTGGCTATATATCTCTCAATTTCTCCAATTTTATAGTCGGGGCACCTTGAGCACTCTTGTTGTCTCTCGGTGTCTATGATTCTTTGCCTGACCATAGCTTTTGCCTGGCCCAACCCCAGACTTAGAAGGGCTTGAGGGGCAAAACCCAGTTTCTGAAGGGTGTTCAGGACTGCTGTCTGCCAGCCTGACTGGAACTGATCACAGAGGATCAGTGGGGCTATTCATTGGGGGAGCAGATTCAATGTCAATGTCAGTTGTAGATTGATGTTAGGCAGATATAAGCCTCCACTCTCACCATCCCCGTTTCTAGTCTAACCCATGTGTTTGAAACACATCTGGGGACTTGTAGAAAAGCTCTAAGGAATTTGGATTAAACTCTCTCAAGGGGGAGAAAGCAGAGGAAGGCGGGCCCAGAAAGGATCCATAAAGGAGCTGTGCCAACGTTTTGGCCTTGTATAAAAAAATTAAGAATACAGTTTACGGTTTTTCCCGCTGAGCTCCCAATGGAGTTTATGTGAAGTCTGTTGGTTCCTGAAGCCTGTACCACCATTCATAGATACTTATAATTTGTGACTTGTTCTAATTTATGGCCTTGAAGTTCCCAGCTTCTAAGCTTTGGTTTTTCCCCAAAAGCAAGTATCTTGGTCTTTTGATAGTTAATTTTGAGACATTCAGTTTCACAGTATGCTGCGAGCTTTCTTAGTGCTCTTTTGAGTCCAGTGGAGGTTCTAGATAAAATTACCGCATCATCTGCATATAACAGGACCGAAATATGCCGATTTGTGAGCTTTGGAGGGTGGAGTTCTAAGTCATTGAGTGCAGATACTAAATTATTTAAATAAAAATTGAATAGCACCCTTGCCTGACTCCTTTGAAGGTTTTAATGGGGTCTGTTAGGTGTCCTAGGCAGATACACCTGACTCTAAGAGCCGTGTTTGCATGCAGTGCCTGAATTAAGAACAGAAGCCTTCTATCTACAGTGGTACCTCGGGTTACATACGCTTCAGCTAAAGTGGTGCTTCAGGTTAAGAACAGTTTCAGGTTAAGAACAGACCTCCAGAACGAATTAAGTTCTTAACCTGAGGTACCACTGTATAGTGGTACCCTGGAGTCTATCCCAGAGTCTGGTTCTGGAGACTGTATCGAAGGCTGCTTTTAGATCAATGAAGGTGGCGTATAGTGAGGCCTGCCCTCCTGATTTGTATATGTCAATGAGATGTTGTAACATTAGACAGTGATCTGCCGTGGACCTTCCGGGTCTAAAGCCCACTTGTTCTATTGCCAGGATATCTTCATTCTCTAGCCATTCTGTAAACTTATTAAGGAGGTGCTTTGAGTAGAGTTTACTAATCACACTTAATAAGCTAATTGGCCTATAATTCGCTGGGTCTCCTCTGTTGCCCTTTTTATAGAATGGGACTATTATGGCTGTTCCCCATTCCCTTGGGATGTGGCCAGTGTCATCTATGTAAGTAAAGAGGATGGCTAAGAGAGGTGCCTACCAATCCGCCTGTGCTTTTATCATTTCTGGCGTAATGCCGTCCAGGCCCAGGGCTTTGGCCGTTTTCAATTGGTTTTTATATGATTTCACTTCAGTTACTGAAACTGGTGGCCATTTAGCCAGTTGTTCTATATTATAATTCTGTAACGTAGGTTCATCATCCTCATACAAAGACTGGAAGAATGAGACGCAAAGGTTAGGGGGAATTTGTGAGGTTAAGGGGGAAATAGCCTTATGGGTGCCAGAAGCTACCAGTTTCCAGAATAGTGTCTGATCTTTTGCTTTTGCCGCACTAATTAATTCCAGCCAACATTTTCTGGTATAGGCGTTCTTTTGGTGGATTATTAGGTCTTTGTACTCTTTTTTTTAGGGCACGGACAGCAAGATAGGCTTCCTGTCTGACAGAATTTTTGGCTGTCGGGGCGGTTTTGTAAGCATTTTGCAGGGCTCTCTTGGCCTCAAAACAGGTGTGATCAAACCAGGGTTTATTTGATGTTATTGGTTTAGTTGGCCTTTTCTCTGTGGTATTAAAAAGATGGGGTTTTAATTGTTGGAGCAGGCTATGGCAGGAGCCTCTATAGCCGTGCGTCACCTCTCCAGCCGGGAGAGCGCGCGCGGGGCTAAAGAAGCCATAGCCCCGCGACCCTCTCCCAGCTGAAGAGGTGATGCGTGACTATGGCAGCAGCCTCTCCGCTGCGTGCCTTTCCGCTACTCTCCGACCTGCTTTTTGGGGCTGGTGATGGGCTTCCCCCCGCCAGCCCCAAAGAGCAGGTCGAAAGGAACCTGAAGCCTGGAGAGCGAGAGGGGTTGGTGTGCACCGACCCCTCTCACTCTCCAGGGTTCAAGGCAGCCGCCTGAGGCGACGGAACGCACCTTAAACGGCACCTTTTTTAGAGGGGGAAAACAAAAGGGGGGAAATTCTCCCCCTCTCTGCGCAACGCCTCCTGCCGCTTCGCTGAAGGGGCGCTGGGCAGAGAGGGGGAGAATTTTTTTTCTTGTCCCCCCCCCCTCTAAAACAAGGTGCATCCTATTGTCTGGTGCGTCCTATAGAGAGAAAAATACAGTACTTTTCTTTGAGCATACGATGGGTGACCTTTATTTGTGGGTAGAGTTGTGAAGGCAAGTTTGTGATTATTTAACGTTAGCTTCCAGCGAATCTGTGTTGTTTTGTCCTGAACCTTTTTTGTTATGTTAGGATAGACGGGATTTCCTTGTGACGCCATGAGAAGGGTTGATTGCTTGGGAGCAGTGTGTGTTCTGCTAGGGCATGGGGCTTTTCCTCAGTGCTTTATCGGTGCACATGAGTTTGTGATTTTCTTTTGGGTTGTAGAAGCTGAGTTCTTTGTTGTTATATTCTCCAGCAGCTTAAAGAGCTTTTGGAAATTCATTTTTTTAGTATGGCGGGTCGCCGTTCCTTTCGGCCTCCCAATTTGATGTTTTTGGTCTTTTTCTTTTTTTGCATTGGGCATTTTCTCTTTAAGGCCAGTTTCCTGGGAGCAAGGGACCCTCTCTCCTGCACTGAATTGTTTCTGTTTGTTTTTTTGTAAGCGAGTCCTGGCTTGGTTTCATCTTCATTAGTCCTATTACTAGATTTCATGTGGGGGAAAGCGACCTCACGGCTCTTAATTAATTCAGTTAGGGTGGTAAGCAGGTTCAAGCTTTCCAAAAGGAAATTTTTAATTGGCTCAAGTTCTTTGCTTATCTGTGTAGAATGGATTTTGAGTAACTCTTCAAACATCCCTGACAGGTAGAAGATAAAGTTGTCCGGGTGCTGTAACCTTGGGCTGTTTGGCCATTTGTCTGTCTCAGTCGGGGGAGGGTGCCTTAATTTCTCTCCTGATAGAGAGGGGAGGGGAGGCTCGTTTAACCTGGCTTCTAGGTTTTCCAGGAGTAGCTCCTGTTCTAGACTTGCTTCAGGTCCCTCTTTGGCTAGCTCAGCTTGTTCGGTTGCCAGGTCCACTCCCTCACGTTCGTCGTTAGTTTTTTCCTCCTTTCCAATCCAGGTATGGTCAAAAGACCACTCATGAGAAGGAAGGTTTCTTGGATTATTTGCTTCATCAGCCTTGGGTTGAAAGTAGGTTGAAATCTTGGCCTGTTTTTTCTTTGGGGGAGTTGTTACAGGTTGTGTGGGTGAAATCCCCAATTCCTTGCAACATTGTCTTGTAAGTACCATGCTCGGAATCAGAAATAAATAGGGCTACATTATCCAGCCCACAGTTTTAAGGACTTTGCAAGGGGGGAGTTCAAAGTTGATTTAAGTAGCTTCAAAAGGGAGGGGAGATTTGAAAATCCGCCTGACAGCTCTCACAGTCTTTTACTGATAAAAGTTGGCAGTTACTTTCATAGGTTGAGCCTTTTTAACAGAGTAATTTGATAATTAGAGCTCCTACTCACACAGCAGAGACTCAGTGGAGACTTGACCAGGTGCCATCATCTCCCAGAAGTCAACCCAGAAATAGTACCTCGGGTTAAGAACTTTGCTTCAGGATGAGAACAAAAATCGCATGGCTGTGGTGCAGCGGCAGCAGGAGGCCCCATTAGCTAAAGCTGTACCTCAGGTTAAGGACAGTTTCAGGTTAAGAACGGACCTCCAGAACGAATTAAGTTCTTAACCTGAGGCACCACTGTACAAATTTTAGGAAGCAAGCAAACAAACTTTCCCACAGGTTAAGCAAATGATCTAATCTTGATGTGCTTTCCAGGCAGTTGTAATTGGGATTTAGTATTCATGCTTGCCATAGTTTTTAGATATATTCTGCCAAGAATCATTCACCCCATCTACCTGAGAAATGTTGATGGTAATGAGTTACACCACTGCAACAGTTTAGTGCATTGATCTGTTCAGCATTGTGTGTGCATGTAATGCTAAACCTTGGCTTAGCAGTACAAGGACATATTTCCACACACTGACTTTATAATAATAAGCCGACTTCAAGCAATGGATTGTGAAACTCTGTTATTAAAATAGGCTAGAGTATGATATATTATTATACAGTGGTACCTCGGGTTACAGACGCTTCAGGTTACAGACACTTCAGGTTACAGACTCCATTAACCCTGAAATAGTACCTCGGGTTAAGAACTTTGCTTCAGGATGAGAACAGAAATTGCACAGTGGGGGCGTGGTGGCAGCGGGAGGCCCCATTAGCTAAAGTGGTGCCTCAGGTTAAGAACAGTTTCAGGTTAAGAACAGACCTCCAGAATGAATTAAGTTCTTAACCCGAGGTACCACTGTATACCCCTTGATTGCAGTAAAACCTCTAAGTGGTTTACAAGAAATGTAACACTAAGATTCTTTTATATGCGGGACTAAGCTTTGCAGAAGCCCTCCTACTAGATGCACAGAAGGAGGTGGGGTGGGGAGTCTGCATGAGCTTGATGCTTTGTTTGGGATTGTGGAGGTTTGTCCACATAATAGTAAACCATGATTTAGCATTGGATATGAATGCAGCCTATATGTCATTTGTGGAGGTCTATCAACAGCTGTTAGTAATGATCAGGCCTGTGCAGAGCTTGTCTTAGACCCAGGGAGGGAGGCTTGCTCTTGGCATGTCAGTATAAGTCTGGCAGGCCGCTGGTGGGGGTGCCCCTGGCTGGCTTAGCCCTCCTAGGCCCAAAGCAAATGTACTTGGCTGCCCCCCTGCACGAGCCTGGCTACGGTGACTAAATCAATACTTGCATGTTTGGCAACAGGATGCCTCTAAATGCTAGGCTCTGGGGAGAAACAAGAAAAAGCCATCCCTTCTTGTAAGGTCCCTCAGGCATGCAGCTGGGCACTTCTGGAAACAGAATGCTAGACTAGAAAGGTCTTCAGTCCAATTATGCAGAGATGCTGTTTTGCTCTTATCACAAAATGTATTATAGCCGAGTTTGCTTTGGTGCGATATTTCAACTTGGAACCGTCTTTTTAAAGATGCTTCTTTCAGGAGCCGTGAGAATTGCTGACAAAATCGAATCTGGTAAAACATCAGTGGTGGTGCACTGCAGTGACGGCTGGGACCGTACAGCTCAGCTGACCTCTTTAGCCATGCTGATGCTAGACAGCCATTACAGAACTATCAAAGGCTTTGAAGTCCTCATAGAAAAGGAGTGGATGAGTTTTGGACATCGGTTTGCAATGGTAATTTCAAAAGGTTTTTGAATTTCTCCTATCTATAAAATTCTGTAAAACTTGTGCCACCTGTCTATGTAAGATCTGCTCTTTACCCACCAGGATACTAAGCATGACATGAATCAGTTTTGGTTGTTATTTCAGTGTAGCTTATTTAGTATCTAATTGTTGGAAGAAACCTAGCTTTTCTGATAACTCTTCTTAATTGTTCTGGGGCAGTTTTTTTAAAAAGCTAATTTAAATACATTTGACAAAAAAAGAAAAAGAAAAAAGGAAGTGTGGCTCCTGACACTCTTTCTTCCTCACTAGCGTGTAGGTCATGGAGATGATGATCATGCTGATGCTGACAGATCACCCATTTTCCTTCAGTTCATAGATTGCGTTTGGCAAATGACAAAGCAGGTAAGGATATTTTTCTAATTATATCTTCTCTGTTTCTAATCCACATAGGAAGTAATGCTTTCTTTCGGGGCAGTGAAATTTTGGAACTAGTTCAGTGCACACAGCAGAGTGAAATAAATGTATGCAGAGGTGAAAACATCTAAATTGGCGGGTTTTGCAAGATCAACATTAAGAAATTACCACAAAGGGGCCTGTCATCCTATGAGCAAAGTTCTCCCCATGGAAAGGCTGCTCCTAGCCTCCATTAACCAAAATGGCAGTTTTCATCAGTTCCCCCCTGCCCCAAAAGTCTGGTCCAGAGGGTTGTAGGACCCTGGACAACAGCATAGATGTTCGTGTTACTTCCCTCTTCATCAGTAGAAGCCTACATCAGATCAAAGGCCCAACTGTTCATGGAAGGATACAACTTATTTATTGGTGTTTGATACCTGAACGTTTAATAAAGTTTTCTCTGGCATGACATGATAATATAACAAAACAAAAATATTTTCTGGAGAGAAACAGAAATTTGAGAGTGAAAATTCAAAGCTTTTTGATTAACTTGAGTTCACATGGAATGGATAACCTTGCTTTTAATATGAATACAGTTTGGGAAACTGCTGTTTGTGGCCTCTCTGTGATATGTTAGCCAGTTTACATACCAAAGGCATTGTATACAAACTCTTGTGTTTTGCCTATTTAGGACCACATTAATAGTGATGCATTCTATTTATCATTGAGGTTTAGAGCAGATTTTATAAAATGGATGATGCTTGCATTTCTTTTAACAATGCACAATACCACAAATCTGTATAACTGTCATTTTATACTTAAGTTCATATTCCCAATAAATTGATTTGAGGAACTGTGAACCACATCTCAACACTGCTTCAGCATGATTGTCACAGAGAGCTTATTCTTCCAAAGGCAGTTGCTGGTGCCCTCTTGCTAGATCTAAATTAATTCTGAACTTCTGTTATGTAATTCTGTTGTGGATTTAAATAATACTTCTTTCAAACTCCTTTACAAACAACAAAATTCATCTCAAGCTGCCCTTCCTTTATATTTTGCATTGCAGCTTGAAAATTGGGACCTTGTTATACTTTGCTACTCTGCAAAAAGTCACTCACTTATTTTTCTGTGATTTGAACTTTGCATGAATGAGGTGTTTAATGTTACCTTGTTTGTTTCAGCATTCTCAGTTAAAGGATGTTGCTTCTTTTTTGGAAAGTCATGCAACTATTTTTTGCAGGAGAAAATTTTCCAAAATGCTTTGAACACCTGGAAGCAGCAAAAACCCTTTAGGCGCAGACCCTTAACTCAGAACAGCCTTGTTGTTGGGTTTTTTTGTGATCTCCCTTGTTGCTCCCTATTACTTGCTATAAACTGTTTAGTTGCCCTCTAGTAAAGGACTGTGAAATGAGTTTGCCAGTTCCACATGTGTGCAAAATCTGAATCCAGCAAGAGATTTAAAATAAACATTGAACAGTTATAGCCCTGAGAGGAGAGGAAAGTGGAATGCAATAGAACCAAAAGGGAAAACTGGGACATTGTTTATAGGGCAGACACCTCATATTTTTTCAGAGAACACAATTTCTTAATCTCATCCAAACCATTTATCAATGTCTTGATCCTGAAAGATGGTAAGAGAAAAGAGCTCTTCCCCTCATATAGTTTATTACCCTGTACTTGCAGCAGTTCAAACAGACTCAGTACCAGTTCACAGGGTTTATGGCACCTTTGTCTTTATATAACCACCTATTACACTAGCTGCTGCCAAATGGAAGTGAGCTACATGCTTACATAAAAGGTTATCCTTGACACCGGTCCACACCCAGCTGCCTTCTGGCTTTAAAATAAGTTGATATCTTATTGGGGTTTTAATGCTTGAATATCCTTATAGAAACTGCCGTGAGCACAGCACACACACATAGAGTGCAACTTGTTCTCTTGGCTACAATAGAAGACCTATTTCAAACCTCATTTTAGGAGAGGCAGGGCTGAGAGGTGGTTGAGCTCGCCAGGAGCACATGCGTACCCACAGCTGCCATGTTGATGACTACTGCTTTATAGGTTAATTCAAAATGATCGCCTAGATCAGAAGTTATGGCAATGCTTACCTAGCTATATTCCTGCCTTTTTATTGGATGAGATTGTCAAAAGCTTGAGGTGAGGTGGGAAGGAGGGCACAAAAGGGGTGTAAGGATAGAGGGGTTCAGCTTACGTGTGGTGGGCACAGCCTCCATCCAGCAGTGCTTAAAAGAGATTGCCACATATTTTTCTATTGTGGATGCAGCAAAAATACTTAAACCTACATCATATGCCACTTATCACTGCTTCATACCATAGGCAAATGTTGTAATAGCTGCCTTGTTAAACTCAGAATTGAATCCACACCCCAACAGATGTAAAAATGTTTCAAGTGACAGCACAGCCACTGAGGTCTACTTTGGATGAAGCATTGAGCTGACAACTCTTTCCAAAAACTACATTTTGAATGGTGGAGTCCCTGAAAAAGAAAATTCTAATTTCCCAGTGATAGAAGAATCCTTTTTCATTTGCAAGAGCTCAGCACACATGCACACACACAATTACACAATACCTTCCTAATCTTGATGAGCTGCAATTGAGATAGTGTATGAACTCCAGTTGATACTGTCATATGTGAAAAGTATTTTGTTACATAAAAGCGCTGCAATAAAATGTAGTTATTTGGATGTGGCTTCAATTCTCTGTGAGTCCTGCCACATTAGTCCTCCTTTGCTTCCTTTCATAAGGGAAAGAACTGAGTCTCTTGAATTCACAGAAAAGAAACTAAGAGCCTATGGGAACCTTCCTAAACAACACCCTCCCAATACAGTGCATTTGTCCAGAGTTGCCAAATGCTAGTACAACTCTCTAGTCTTACAATTTAAATGTCTCTTTGACATTTTGTAAACCTTCATACTGCATTTTACATTAGAGATTTCTCTCTCTCTCTCTCTCTCTCTCTCTCTCTCTGTGTGTGTGTGTGTGTGTGTGTGTGTGTTCAAATAAAATACAATAGGCCTGAAATCTGGCTTACATTCCAGGGATCACACCTAAATCCAAAATTGCATATAGTCAAAACACATTGGGTTCAACAACGGATGGAATTGCTAAAGTCATTTTCCCCAGAACCCCACCCCTTTCCTACACCCTCTTAAAATTTTAAACAATTTTTTGCCACACACATAAGGCTGAATGTGCACAAGCTTACTGTACTGTTTTCCCTTATCAAAAAGTATAACAAAATATTTTGTTGTTTTAGTTTCCAGCAGCATTTGAATTCAATGAGCTGTTTCTGATCACCATTTTGGATCATCTTTATAGCTGTCTTTTTGGCACCTTTTTATACAACTCTGAGCATCAGCGAATGAAAGAGGTAAAGTAAATCACCCATGTAATGGTTTTACAGGAGCCAAAAGAAAATTTGAGGCTGTTTTGCCTGTTCTGTAGAGCTGAAAGTTTTTAAATGTCACCTAGAAATGAATTTTCATATTCCTCTTGACATACCAAATAGGCACCAGATGCCACGAATACAGGCAACTTCTCCCCTCTCTTTGAATCCATTAGGTTATGTGAGCCTCTATGAAACCTGAGGGGAGCCCATGAGACAGTGATAGAGCAAGTTGAGAGTCCCATCCTCCTTCTCCATCTAAAAGGACATCAAATAGAAAGGCGAAAAAAGCCTTCTGGGCTTGGCAGGCCTTGGCGAGTTGCTTCCAGTCAGTGTAGTCAGTACTGGGCTCAATGGACTAATGTTCTCAAAATAAGGTGGTTCCATATGTTCAGCACATATGATTTTTCTCTAGCCAGGATCTTTCTGAGCATACCTCAGTTGCATGAGAAATATGAATAGTGGATTTTGAAGGATCCTGGGTACAACACCCAGCTAATGAGCCAAATCGTGCTAATTTATACCTCGAGGGAGAGCAGAGGGAAAGCACATGCTAAACTATGTCACCCCCCTTTTCCCAGGAAGAAAAAATGTTAGTACAAACATAACCTTTTGTGTTTTGGTATATATCTGACTTTAAGTGACTGATTCAGCACAGCAAATTGCACAATTGCACCACAAGATGGAGCTGAATTACATATTCTCACCAAGTATGTGCCTACCAAGCAGCTCCCTCTCATGAATGGATAATCTAATGCAGCTCCCTTTTAAAAAATGCAATTTAAGAGACAGCTGTAGTGGAAACAGATGCTTTGTAGCACTGGAGGAGTATAAAATTGCAAGATGATGCTGATAAGAATTCAGATTCTGAAACCTTGATTTAATAATGGTTTCATAATGATGTTTGTATTTGGTCATAGAATTTAAAAACTGTTAAGAATAAACCTAAACATGGACATTTAATTAGAAACATAGTATTTAGATAGGTATAGGGAGACTGGTAAAAATAGGTTATAACCCTTTTCTAAAATACTGCCTCGTTGTTTCTGTACGTAAGTGTTTATTCTTTCCTGACATCTCAATAATTTTCTTACTTTTCAGTGGGTTCCGCCCCCCTTCTGATAGCATTCAGTGTTTACCTTTACCATTTTAAGCCTATTTTTCCTTATAGGTGGAGGTAGAAATTCAGTATTTTCCAATGGAAGCTTATTTGATAACGTTAAATTTGAAAAATCATAAGAAATTATTGTTGCATCAAAATATTGCCAGTCTTTTTCTTAAAAGGAAACGAGTTTGGGACCATGATATCTCTTAAAACAGAAACTCAGTGCAAAATGTAGGGCTTGTCCACACTTCCACTTCTTCTGTGACTAGAAAGCAGGAGTCTCAGCTGTTCTCCACTTGTCTCATGTTTTGCATGAGACATTTTGCCTTTGCACTGCCACTTTCCCCCCGGAAAACTGCTCTTCAGTGCCAAATTGGAGCAAATGTCAATCTGGAGACAACCCGATTGATGTTTGCTCTGATTCAGTGGTAAGCAGTGGATTTTCCTGGGGGAAAATGGCAGGACAAGCAGAAGTGTAGATGAGCTCTTAGTAAATTCAAAACCTTCGCAAGAGATCTGCAAGTTTAATACCGGAGTGGATGTGTTTCCTATTGTGGTCCTTGTAGCTCTGGCATTCCATGTAGGTTTATTGTGGATTCCTTGGTGAAAATAAATGTTTCCCTGGAAGATGGTTTGTCCATTTTTGCCAGTCTTCCCCAGCACTGTGGCCACTGTGGGAAATTGTGAGGTTTTGTTCTGTGTCTGTTTACAGGGCAGGGTATTCTAGGTTGCATTCTAAAGACAAACAAGTGTACCCCAAACAGAGAACCTACTTTGATGCCCCAATGCACACGAGTTCCACAGAAGATGTTCCTTCAGCCAAGAGATTGATGTAAAAATGCTTCCTTAATAGTTAGAAGTTTGAAAATATTTTCATTATAATTGTTTACAAGTATTATTATTTTTCCTTCAGGAGATCAGCACAAAGACAATCTCTTTATGGTCCTACATTAATAGTCAGCTTGATGAATTCAGCAACCCTTTCTACGTAAACTACGAAAACCATGTCCTATATCCAGTTGCTAGTCTAAGCCATTTAGAATTATGGGTGAACTACTATGTACGATGGAATCCACGAATGAGACCCCAGGTATGCATTTGTTTGCTTTTCAATTGAATTTCTTTTGCCATTAAAAAAAAAAAAAAGGAAATACTAAAGAGGTCTAGAAACCGTCAGGGCTTTGATTGTTTGGTAAAATAATCAAAGGAATGTGATTCTGTCCCTTTCATCTCTGACTGGAGCAACATATTTTTAAACAACTGGCTGCTGCTCAAAATGGCCAGTTGGAGGGCTTCAGAATTTTGACTGGCCTTGATAGCTAATAATTATTTGTGATAGCCTGCAATCCTGCCCACCCCCACAAATCTGGGACATGCAGAGCTTTAGCCTGCCACTCTGTGCTACAGAGATGCTTGGGAGCTGTGTGAGTATTGCTACTTCCAAGTGCCTCCAAGGCACCTACTATAGTTCCCTGCACATGCTATTCAGTTCCGTGGAGGAGCAAAATCTCTTTCCATCCAACATAAAGTGATAGATTCCCTTTCCCAGCCCCCTCCAAAATCCTTCAAGTTCTAGACAATGTGTGGAGAACTAGGGAGGGATGAGGGACCCAGCACAAAGTAAGAGATGCAGCTCTTTAACACATTGCACACACATCACCATTTCATTCATTTTATATATATATTTTATTTTTTTGCTCAGCTTTGCTGTATTTTGTGGTGATCTGAAAGTTCTCTCTGTGGCAGATTTTCACATGTGCAAGCTGTCAGATGCTGACCAAGCAACCATGAATCAACCTCTGATCTGCTGTGAGGGAATGTTTCCTTGATGGCAGTCGTTGTGTGTGCTTTCCTTCTTGGATTTGTGACTCAAGTGCATCGTTTTGGTTTATAATTTGTGCTGATCTATTATTATTAGTCTTCTCATCTGCCACCTTTAGCAATGGGCAAGTCCCCATCTGTGTCCCCACTCATTTTTTCAGGTACCAAAGAAGTCTGTGGCAGTCCTGCAGACACTGGAGGCCAGGACCCAGGGATAATATAGGATTAAAACTACCCTTGCCTAGGGTGCAGTTCACTCAAACAAGTCAGTATTCAAAACCTAGGATAGGCAACTGTGGGTAGCACAGTGCTCCAATTTACCTGGCTGTAGCTGATTTTATAGCACCCCCCTCTCCCCGGTTTCAGTTTGATGCCCTTCTAGGATTATGCATTGTTCTTCTTTGAAATATGTATCTGCACAGTACACAATTAAAAGTTACTGGGATAGGATCCAATTGAATTTCCCAACCTTACTAGGGCTGAACATCTGAGCTGGTCATCTTCCTTCTACTCAGCTCTTTTAGAAGCCACATTTTAAGGCTTGAACTGTTACCAGTTAGCACTAAATCTTTTTACCTTTAGGTTTTGTGTTGCTGTAGGAGGAGGAAATTTTGGACATGAAAGCTGCATAATCACTAATTCTCTCATAGGACCTATTTAAAAAAGTCTCATTTTGTTGCCAGATTGGATTATCTGTTTGTGCTGACTCTTCTTTTCTCTCCCTTTTCTAAAAGCAGACTTACCTTTTACGACTGCTAGTAAAGGTACCTAACCTCTCTCTCTGGAATACCTTAGCACCTTCTGTGAGAGAGTATTTTTCAGCTTTTCTTTCCTCAGGGTGGATTCTTTCAGAAATCAGTTAAAAATGCAAATTTGCAAGAATTTTATGTTACTGATGAGATGAGAATTTTGTAAACAGATCTGGTCAGTAACTCTGAATGCCACCAATTCTAACCGTAATGAGGATTGTGCCCATGTGGTGTAGAATTCTGGGTTGTAATCATTGCTGGTCCTACTCAGAATAGACTTACTGAAGTTAATAGACATTAGTAACTTGGGTCCATTAATTTCAGTAGGTTTACTCTGAGTAGGACTAGCATCTGATAAAGCCCTCTGTTTTGGTTCTTACTAAAAGTGCCAAAACACTTTTGTACGTTCTGATGTACAAAATGTTCTGGCATTCCTTTTTTGTTGAGGAATGCACTAAGTGCTTGATAGGGAGATGTTGGATCAAGGCTACTTGGAGTGTGGCAATGTGCAGAAAAGTCTTCTGTGCAGGAAAGATCAGGCAGCCTGAGGTCAGGTCATAACATAAGAATTGCATCCCCATCTCCCCATAGTTAAGTATATGTGTTATGCATGTTTCAATAGAAATAGAGTGTAAAACAAAAACAAAAAACTCTAGTATTTACATACCACAGCTATAGACAGATAGTTAAGTCATACAATAATAAGAACTTATGAATCAGCAAACAATGGGAAACAGCAAATGGTCTTTAAAGGTTCCAGTCAGAGGCAAATGTTCATTATATAAATCATCCAATGAAACTGAATGTTGGAAGATTCCTGACAGGTAAAAGAAATGTCTTCTTTTCTTAGCAGATATCTAAATACATTCAAGGAGCATAATAGGGCTATCAAGGCCAACCAGCACAATGGCTGTATTCTACCTCCACTGTTGGAGGCAGCATGCTTTTGAATGCCACTTGCTGGGATTAATAGCAAAGGAGTCCTGTCACAGCTACACTTTGGCTCATATAGGACTAAGAGGTTTAGTCTGGACTGTGTGGCATGCTGGGAATATCCTGTCCCTAACCCCCTCTCTTGTTTTGTGACATGAGTTTATTGCTGGAAACAGCTTGACACTGAACTTCAAGAGATCTTGAACTGATGAAACTGGCAATGTGAAGGTCGTTGGGTGGAGACCTATAGCCAAAACACCTAGCCCTAACTGACATGCTCCACCTTTTTTTGTTAACTTTCCTTAGCATAGTTACTCTTTATGTTAATATGTGACCATCTTGGATGTGAGTCCTGGAGGACCAGCTCCCTGCCTTTTTCCACCTGGCCTGGAAGATAGGGGCTTTGACTGACTCCAGCTACAAAGACCAAGGCTGCTGAACAGAATCCTTGGCTGGGATTTTGTTTCGGGATTTGTTGTGGGAGGGTGGTTGTTGCTGTTGTTTCTGTTATTTTTTTGGACCTTACGATTTCATGTGGGGATTGTTCAGTTTGGTTGTGTGCTTTTTTATGTTTTATTTATTATTTATGACTACCTTTGCTATGTCTGTAGGTACGTGATTTTTTATATGTTGTAAGCTTCCTTGAGCATGGTCTTAACTTCGGAAAGGCAGTATGCAAGTAAAATGATTGATTGAAAAGGAGAAAACCATTTATCTGGCTTTTGCCATCAAGCACTTCGAGCTAAGGAAGGAGCCCCAGAATTAACTGGAACAGTGTGGCATTTGGGGGAGCTTGTATCCCACCAACAAACCTGCCTAAGCCATGCAGCTAGATCTGCTGTGCCTTCACTGGGCCTGTGACCACGCCTGTTGCAGACAGGTGGGCAGAGGGGCACTTGAAACAGGACACTGTGTCTTACCAGTGCACAAAGGGAGTACAGTGGTGCCTCGCAAGACGAAATTAATCCGTTCCGCGAGTCTCTTCGTCTTGCGGTTTTTTCGTCTTGCGAAGCACAGCTATTAGCAGCTTAGCGGCTATTAGCGGCTTAGCGGCTATTAACAGCTTAGCGGCTTTAAGAAAAAGGAAACAAACTCGCAAGACGTTTCGTCTTGCGAAGCAAGCCCATAGGGAAATTCGTCTTGCGGAACGACTCAAAAAACGGAAAACTCTTTCGTCTAGCAAGTTTTTCGTCTTGCGAGGCATTCGTCTTGCGGGGCACCACTGTATCAACAAGTGACCTGTGGAAGTGCCTCACAGAAGCAAGTCCTTGCTCTCAAGTCTCCCAGCTGAAAGTAATGCTAGTTCCATCAGTTCACTGAGCAAAACCACAGTCCCTGTATTCAAAGGCTTTAAGATGAGGAGCTGCTGAAATGGCAGCTGCTTGCTATAATGAATACCTGACAGGAGAAACCGATTTGAGAATGTGGCTACGATCTTATGCACGTTTACATGGGAAAAAGCACCATTAAACAGTGAGACTTAACTTCTGAACAAACATGAACTATGTGAGTAGGACAGTTCGAGTGTGCTCAAGTTCCACTATGAGAGAAGGGAGCAGCAACAGAGTGGAACCATTAGTAATGTCATCTAGATCTAAAGGTGGAATTCTGTGACTCAATGGAGGACTGAATATTTTGTCAGCATTTTTATAGCGAAAAACAAAATGGGTGAGCCTCAAAATATGTATAGTGCACCATTTACTAATTTTTAACATGTTGCCATTTCATGCCTGTATGTCTAGCCTATGATTATCCTGCTTTGCATACTAGTTGCCGATTTGCAGCCAATTTTATGTTCTCAGCCTCCCAAAGTTTTGAGCTGTTTCCCCCCCCCTTGTCTTCCCTGATCTTGAACTACTTTTTCTTTGCCAAAGTGACGATGCTGTGCTTCCATTCCTCAAAACACATTTGCTCTTTTGTTGCTTCTTTAATTCTCAGATTCCCTGTTCCTTTTAGGGCCTCTTAAGCTTGTAAATCACTTGGGAGATTGATCTGATATTGACATTTGCTTTTTGTGCACGTTCAGTTTGTATTTCTGCTACGTTTCAGGAGCACTCCTTTTTATGGTAGATTTAAAATGTTGATCCAATGTGACTATGATGCTTTCGTTCATGGGACTCATTGTGCAGTGTTGTTTAGGGCTTGAAATTAGTTCTAGTGGGAATATTTGCTGTTTGAAAGACTATCAAAAGCAACAACTGTAGAACATTGTCCTTTTGAGCCATCAAAGGAATGTGTCCAGACTCTATAAAATAATAGTTTTATGCTCTTCTCTACTACAGAGTTCATTGGACTGGGTCCAGAGCCTTTCATTTTTTTGTGCTGGATTCGGAACAGCAACTTTTGCCACTGTTGGAAGCTCTTAAGGAACATAATAGTGCCATGGCAGAGGTTTTGAAGGGTGACAGAATGAGTCCAAGGTTCCTAATGCTGATGTAGCCTTTTTATGTGGAGAAGAGGAGGTTCTCCTTTCTCCCCATTCTTCAGAGTTGAAAGTGCGATCATGGAGCCAACATTGTTTGTGGTGTGCAGTAGGCCTACACAACAATTTTGTGACCCACCAAATTAAACACAGCTCACCAGTCCCATGTATCAAGCCTGCTGTGTGATTGATAACCCTTGTTTTTGCAATCCCTTTCAGCCAACTAAATAAAAATGTGGCGGTGGGGCTTCCCTGCATGCCTTGTTAGTTGCTGTCACTATGGTGGATTACAAATTGTGCAAATTTGGTGCACATGCCATTATTATTATTATTATTATTATTATTATTTTAATTCTCTCACTACAGTCTCTAATCAAATTGGTTTTGCACTGCTTGAGAAATCTGCAAGAGCCTTTTGACCATAAGGATAGCAGTGGTGGTCAGGGCTTTTTTTCAGCCAGAACTCTCTGGAACTCAGTTCTGGCACCTCTCAGTTGGATGCCAGTGCCTTATACCAGAACAAAGATGAGTTCCGGCACCTCTTTTTCTAGAAAAATAGCACTGTTAGTGGTACCATTTTAAACTCTCCAGGCCCTGAGGGAAGCAGATTAGAACTTCCCTGTTGCACCACAGTAGCTACAAAAGCGGGGATAGGATCAGGCTCTACATCAGGCATAGGCAAACTCGGCCCTCCAGATGTTTTGGGGCTACAACCCCCATCATCCCTAGCTGACAGGACCAGTGGTCAGGGATGATGGGAGTTGTAGTCCCAAAATATCTGGAGGGCAGAGTTTGCCTATGCCTGCTCTACATCAAGCAATTGATTTAAAATAGTCTTTTTATTCTACTGCTGCTTTTCTTCCCAGTGCTAAAATTGTGATGTTTCTTTTTTGAAAGGGAAGGCCTATAATAGAAGATATACATTCATTGCTGAACAATTTTCTTTTGAATGGCTGTTCTTGAGCAAGTAAAAAGGAAGTGCAAGAATGCGCACTTGCTATCCATACAATTAAGAACTGGTAGTTCTGTAAGTGAGTAGCTATTATACTGCCTTTTATGCTTATCCTTGTTAGTATGGAGGATTTTGTGATCCTGACGTACTTCACAGTGCTGAGAGAACAGGGGGGAAACTGGTGCAGTCTCGCATCGTCATTGACATTTATAATTTGAAAAAGAAGGTACTCTAGCAGGCATAAAGGATCTGTGTGGGTTTGTGGTTGAGTTTGTTGGGAGTCAGAAGCTGCTTTGGCTTCATGTAGCCTCTTCCCTTGGTTTTTATTTTTCAGCCTTTCCCACCAAACTGTCATAGCAACCTCACACTTCTAAATCCACAGGTTTATTATAATTAGCTACACAGTGGCAGGCAGCAATTTTCAATATTTAGTAAATACACAATAAATAATGAAATGAAATCCTAGAATCGCTCGCCTAACTTAAAACGAGTACCTTCACTACTCAGGTGTGTTGACTGAAAGAACAACTTAAAACAGTTGCAAGGAATATAGTACACTGTGTAACCAGTGGAAATAAGCCCCCAGCTACTTTTGCAGATTAGTTAGTGTATGCTGTATGCATTTTCATCAGACATCACTCTGGGCATGGGAAATGATGACATAGAAAACAAGCAACTGCTCACATAATCAAATGCCGTATGAAGTGACCTGGTAGACCAATTGCCAGTGGTTTAGCAAACTATGCGCTTCCTTGAAACATAACAAACAGGGCATCAGTTTTTTGTTGAAGGCTCCTTGAAGATTAAATCGTGTTGGTTAGCAGATGTTTTCCCATTGTGACTTTTTCCCTCTCTTTCATCTGTGTTTGTTTTAACACATTAGTAGAACAACTGATACCTCTATAAGTAATTTAATTTCTGGAATCAAAGTGGAGGGATTCATCTTTTTGTTTATCAGTGCTAATGACTTTTCATATATTTGTAGCCTAATTATCTATAGGAAAACTGGAAGTGTTATTGAGTGATCGCCCAGTCAATTTTACAGCAAGATTAGGAAACTGATGATTCTTTCCAGCCCTGAAATTACTAGATGGAAGCAGACTGGTGTTCTTGTCCACCTCTCTGTGCAGAAAACTGAAATAGGTGTGTGGCTGTCTCACTTTCCCATATTGGGTATATTCAGCTGCAGAGTAGAAAATGTGTATTGCTTTCAAAGCGTTGCCTAGCAGCAGACTACAAGCTGTCCACAGTGACACTCATAATTCGCTAAAGGGAAATAATTCGCTAAAGGAAAGAGACCTACACGTATTTCAGGAAAGCAGGGTTGCAAAAGCTACTTGAACACAGACCAGGAATTGGTTCACATTTGTTCTTCATATCAGGCTTTAAAACCCTACCTACAAATAACACCTTCTGATATGCATGTTTCTTTGGTCTCCTTTCAGGTGTGAAAAGGGACTGGTTGCTCACTAGTGAAGGAACTGGTGTCATGCTCCAAGGTGTACCATTGTTGCCTTTATTGGGCAGCTGAGCTCAAAGATGGGCCTTTGAGCTGATCCCTTTTTGCCCCATGCTCAAGAGTTGGTTTACAGTTCCATCCCATGTTGCTTCATGCTTCTCACTTCCCCTTTCCCCAGACAGCCACCAAGAATTTTACACCAGTGTAAAATTCCTTTGGAGAACAAAGCAATGGAGAATAAATTCTCGTACCTTTGTAACAATTTTGCAAAAAAATCAAGGGTTGTCGGGTATTAAAGAATATGGAATCATGTACACAGGTTGTGCCAAATTCACAGCAACATCAGCAGTCTGAAGTCCAGTTGCCCAATTAGCAATTTTGTTGGGAATGTCCAGCTCCCACATTTCTCCTTTTCAGCTCTAGTTTTGCCCTCCACTCCCTGCCTCCCCCCCCCCCTGATTTTCCTGGAACCGATTTAATGACACTTTAACTGTAAAGGTAAAGGGACCCCTGACCATTAGGTCCAGTCGTGACCAACTCTGGGGTTGCAGTGCTCATCTCGCTTTATTGGCCGCGGGAGCCGGCGTACAGCTTCCGGGTCATGTGGCCAGCATGACTAAGCCGCTTCTGGCAAACCAGAGCAGCGCACGGAAACGCCATTTACCTTCCCACTGGAGCGGTACCTATTTATCTACTTGCACTTTGATGTGCTTTCGAATTGCTAGGTTGGCAGGAACCTTACTGGGGCCTTAATTAATGAAGGGTGCCCAGTTAAAACTGAACAAGTAAAATAAATAAGAAATATCACAAAATGTGGGGAAAGAGCAGGATTAGACCAATCTGGGGTTGAGGCCACAGTGTTACTACCGTCTTAATATAGGAGGAGGCTAGCTGTGATGAGGTTTTCCTCAGTTTCTCAGTTTCTGAAGAAGCAATTTCCATTTTCTCTGACAGTTAACAATGGTAAACCAGGTAAGAGAACACTGAAGCAGTATGCCTTTGACATCTTCCTGCCTGTCTTCCTAAGTTTTCCAAGCCTCTGCTATCTGTTTGGTAAAAGGTGTACTTTATTGGAGGGAAGAATTTATTCCAGTTTTAATATCCAAAAGGCAATTACAGACAAATAACTTAAGCCAGAGAGTTGACCTCTGTGGCTGTGCCTGCTAAGGGAGGCCCATCTTGTCCCTTCTGAGATGGCTTTCTGCCATTGTGCATAGATGCCTTTTCCTGCGTGCCTTTGCCTTTCCAAATTTCCCCAAGTTGTTAATTTAAGTGTAATTGTGTTATCTGCTATCTTTTTTTTAAACTGCTGTTTATTTTGTTGGTTTTGTATTGTTGGTTTTGACTGCCCTAAGCATTTCTTTTAACGGTGAGCCGGGATAAACCTGATTCTAATGAATGGCTGAATAATAAACATTTAATAGTAGATTTGCATTTCTTTGACTTGGAATACACTCCACCCCCCACAATCTGGCATTTTATTACTCAAACAAAATCTGTGTTCATTTCCAACAGATGCCAATTCATCAGAATCTGAAAGAACTCCTTGTCATCAGAGCTGAGCTCCAGAAGAGGGTTGAAGAGCTGCAAAGGGAAGCAGCAACACGTTCCATTTCTTCTTCATCAGACCGAGGATCTTCTCCTGCAGCCACACCAGTGCATACCTCTGTCTGATGCAAGGCTAAAACGGAGGTACACTTCTACTATGGGCATGTTCTGGGCAGTGGAATACTCTACCACCCCTGAGAGTAATATGTCAACATCAACTCTTCCTGCTGTTATGCTGAGGTAAAAAAAAGTGCTTCCTTGCGTGTAACGCTGTAGATGGTGGTTGCCAGGGTGTTTTTTTTGTAATGTGTCTTTTTGATGTCTCTAATTGAATTGGCAATTAGAAAGTTAATTTTTATCTTAAGCAACCTGCAACAGACTGCTCAGAAACTGGGAATTCATCTATCAGGTAAATGCTGCAGTGAGAATTTCCATGGAACTGCCAAGCCCAAAGTAAGCCAAAACATACCCAGAGACCATCCTTCCTAAAAGGGGAACCCCTCTGGTTTCCTTGGTACTTATTACGTTTTTTAGGGGGGGACCACAACAAATACTATATTTCTTGGGACAGTTGTAGATGATCTGATGCACTTTGAAATGGATTTAATTTTTTAATTATAGCCAGTTGTATATTTTGAATAAATATGCCATTAAAGGATGAGCAGGATCTGCCAACTGTGAGACACTTGGTAGTTATAGTATAATCTTCACAGCCAAGATTGCTAAATGAAGTTTTGCAATTTTTCTGTAGCTATTGTCCATTTATCTACCTGAGTGAGGTACTGAATTGACTCAGTTGTGTCATTCATTGCTCTGTACAAAACTTTAGTTTCAAATGGCCTTTTCACCCAGCTAGATTTTGAAATGTGTAAATTGCAGTTATTTTGTTTATCATGTCTTGTTAAAAATCTGTACACACCAAGAGCCTTCGTTTGTTCTTATTGCATACAAGTCTATGCAAGGCCAAACACTCTTCTTAAGCCGAGTTACAAGGAACTATTCTTTTCAAATGTTTGGGGGTGGAGGGTAGTAAATTGTAATGATAGTAAGTTTTTAAGGAAACACTGTCATTAATTGGTTCCTTGAAACAATAAAGACTTGTTTTAGTTCTTTTTGGTTCATTTTCTTCTGGATTTGCATTGCCCATACAACGCGAGTGACCAACCAGCATCATGTCTATTCAAGTGACAGGGATTGGAGTAAGGTGGCTCACAAACTGTGGAGAAGTAGGACTGCACTTCAGCCTACTCTCTGGCTTGTAAAAGGCTAGGCAGAACCACTGGGGGCAGTGAAGGTGGCATTTGCATTGGTGCAACAGTATTCTGTTCGGACTTCACTTGTCGCATATTTGCCAAAAAAGGCTCACAGCCACTGCCAATCACCCACTTTTCTAGCCCCTGTAAAGACATATTTGCTTTGGAATCATGAAAAGAAACTTCCTAAGAGTTAAAGCTGTTCTGCAATGGGGCAGTTTTGCTTGAGGAGGTGGCAAGCTGCCTTTTGCTGAAGGTATTAAAGTGGAGGCTGGAGAAACATCTGTCAGGAATACTCTAGTTGTAGAGCTTGTACTGAGCAGGGGGTTGGATTGGATGACCTCTTGGGTATCTTGCAGCTCTGCCACTTCAGATGCCACCTTACACCGCCATATCTGTCCCATTTTCACAGGCTTGATGCTGAAACCCCCTTTTACGTTAAGCTTCATACAAAATTCCCAACTGGCTTTTATTACATGCTCAAAAGAATACTAGCTTTCCCCATGCTAACTTTTTCCTCCTTATGAATCCCATTTTGTTTTTAGTGTCCTAGAACAGAAATACATTTCTTGAAAATTTGCAGTTCAAATGGATTTCAAAAAGGGGGAAACTCTTTTTTAACAGTTGAAGATTTTCACTTAAAATTCTAAAGCATAGCATTAATTGCTAGATACACTGAGTGTGGGGGCATACATTGTTGGTTATATTTTTCTAGTTTAGAAAATAAAGCAGGCTTTAAATATTTGGGATTAAGTGTAGAAAACCGCAAATAGTCCCTTCTAGACTTTTTGTTTCCTCAAAGAGCAGCCCCACTTTGCCATGTGGGAAGTTTCAAAAGAAACTTGTGATGTGTCAAGGACATCTGCTGCTCAAAGAAAAATGTCATGAAGTCCCACATAGTGCATGTCATGGCTTTGCAATGTTGCTTTTAGATACTGACTGCCAGATTGTTTCATGTTAACCCTGCCCTTGGTCTCCTCCAGAGTAGGCAGGGTAGCAACCAGAGCTTTAATTTTTAAAACCAACCAAAAAGGAAACAATCCTTTTCGCTCAATGTAAAAGGTAGAAAAAAATCATTCATGTGTCTCATTTGAAAGTAGGCATTGCTGCATTGGAAATCTGACTTGATGGTTGCAGAGAAAGGTATATGCTTTACAATTCCCCAGCTATTGTTTAAAAAGATTCAAGTTGCCTGCAATTTCCCTCTCCTTGCTTGCTGGCCTTGTGCTGCAAATGCACGCCCACAGAGCACACACACAGGCACATTGTTGTTGTACAAGTCTTTATTTTTTTTATTGTTTTCCAGTTTGTAGTTCAGCAATCAAGTTCGGATTTCCCTCCCCTGTAATTCTTATATGCACTTTAGCAAAATGAGTCCGCCTTTTGACAGCATAATGCACAATTTTCATCTGGGACAGATCATTTCTGTATTAGCTAAAGAATTGTAAGTATTGCTTAAATAAACGCTTGGCATCTTTTGGACACAATCTACTCTCTTAATCTGCTGTCTGGGTTCTCTTCCCCCTCCCCTCCCTTTCGCCAAGTTCATCTATTTGCTTTTGTTTCCTTCTATGTTTGTAAAGTTATGCACTTTTCTCTCGGATGAACCTCAATTCACACAACAGCAAACAATCTATTGACAATGATAATGTATAGTAAACAGGGCCATTTGCTGTTAGTTGCATGAGACAGTGACAGCTGACGCTGTGGCCTTAAAACACTTTGCCAAGAAAGACACAAGTTAAGAAAGAAAAGAGCCAAGCCAACACTTAAGTGAGTTAATGTGGCTAGATCCCTGCCAATATTCTCATAATTTTGAAAAATACAGGAAACCACTTTCCCATTCTCTAATTAGGCATCTTCTCTTTACTTGCAAGAATGTGTGTTGTGTATAAATTCAGGGCACAGGAAGGGGTCTTTTATATATATATCTTTGGCCTGATGGAAGACTTTAATGCATGTCACTTGACCTATTCTGGAACATCTGGCTGAGCTTATTTATGTGGCTTTTCAGTGCACAGATAGTTTTAATTATGAACATAAAAACACAAGAGTAGAAAAACAGAAATGGATCCCTTCTGGAGGTGTAGTACTACAAAGTTGGCACTGCTACAGAGAAATCAGCCAGGAAAAGCCAAACATATTGTTGGTTGTGTACAGACAATGGAAAGAAGGTCCCCATGGGGAGAGGTCATAGTTCAATGGTAGAGCACATGCTTTGCATGCAGAAGGTCTTGGGTTCAATCCCTGGCATCTATTTAAAAGGATTTCAGATATTAGGCCTGGAAAAGCACTCCTTCCCTCTTTGTTTGTCTCAGCCTCCTAAGGTTTTGGAGACCCACTGCCAGTCAGAGCAGACTGGGCTGAGCTAACTAGATCAATGGTTGTTTCACGTTCTATTAATAGTAATAGTGTAAGCAGAACTCTGATCAGCAGTTAGCTTTTCTGAAACGCTGCTGTAGGAGGAGATTAGTGGCCACCTGACAGGTCTCATTACTGTAGCTGCCACTTTCATCCCTGGCTGAGTGACTGAGGGTGGGGAGTGGGCAGGTAGCTCTTGGGGCCAGGCTTAGCAAAGGGGACTTCAGTTGCTGATCTAGCACAAAGAACCAGAGAACAGAGCTGCTTGTGTACTTTTGAGTGGAGAATGCAGTCAGTCCCCATTATCCGACAAAGCAGATTTCTTTGGGGATACGTTCAACTACATTTTAAAGTGGTTCTACAGGCAATAGTAATAGTGATAATTGCCCTGTATGCCTAATGCTGAATTATAGTGCTATAACATTTTAAACAGGTGTCTCCTGTTTGCTGTGCATTTCTATAGTTTTGATTTTTATATTCTACCTAAAATTTACATTAAGGCATAACCATTTACCAAATTCATATAAAAAGGCTTTGGGGAAGGAAGTAGCTTAAAGGTTAACCTACTGTCTTATCCTGAAAGCCCGATATCTTACTTATTGGAAGTATTGTGAGTTTTTGTTTTTTACACACACACAAAAGAAATCTGCAATACATACACATTTCAAATGACTAAGTGGTTAGTGGGTTATTTTCAACACTCAGATGCACTGTTTTTCAAAATTCAGATCAGTGGCTGGACAGTGCAGTAATAGAAATACAACAAAATCGACAATTTACATCTACAGAAACATTTCCCATCATTGGCAAGAAGAAATAAGGAATTATATTCATTTATCTGAGAAAATGACTCCTAGTGCAAGTACTAGCATCATAGTTACACTTATTATTTCCCCGCTATTTATCTAAAGATGCACTACTTCATCCTACTCTAATCTTTTATGTACTTGACTCAAAAAATTAAAAAAGAGATATGCTATAGTAGTTGGAAATTACCATTATGTCAATTCAGCTGTGTGGTATTGTTAGTATCTGACTAATTTGTGCTCTGCAAAAATTGCAAACCACAGCCTTCCTAAAAAACCTACTCTACAGTACTTAAGGGTAACTTCAAAACGTAGAAGCCCCCCAAACTGTTTCCATGACAGTACTCCACCAGACTGAACGCTCCTTTTCACGTGGTTTCACCTACTTGAGTGAAGACCGTCCATGGCACAGCAGGCTTCCAGGCAGAAGCAACTTTCTGTGGCTTCCGTTCTGGTGACCAGTGTATGAAGCACCCTTCAATAAGCAAGTAAGCTGCATTCCTTCTTAGATGTATTGCCCTGCTTTAGTCCCATTGAAGCCAACAGTTAAGATGAGAATTTAGGAGTAAAAGAGCTTATTGTAGCATTGTCATAGAAGCTAAATACATTCAAAATGTGTGAATTTCTTTAAAGCTACTGTAGGGCTCTTGAAATGCAAGTGGTGAAACAAAAACAGAGCAGAAGGAATTTGCACATTTGTCATCAAACGTCTAAGCTACAGTTTTAAGCACCATTTCATGGAGGCATGTTCCACTGAAATCAGTGGCACCTGCCTCAAAGAGGACATGTGTGAGGTGAGGTGAGGATCTCAGGGCAAAATTTCATCCTAGCTATACCCCTAAGACCCAAGCCAGCTTTAATCATGGGTCATAACAACTGGTGGTTCCATTTCCATTAAGAGATTTATCCACCCATGTCAGTAGAGTCCAGATGCATAGCAGCATCCCCTGCTACTTCCACCTGCAGATCTCCCTTGCTAGAGCAGGGTGCTAATGTTTCCAGATTCCTTTTAAAAAATATATCAGTAAAAATTAAGCTTGTAAACAGTCAAAAGCTAAATGGATCTTTTATCCACAAGAGTTCTTTTTCACCACCTTATGATACAGATGTGTGCATTTTTTAAAAAAGAAACAGTACTCCCTTTTTAATGACTCGCTAACATCACTGATAATTCATAATCATACGGAAGTATTCACCTTGCTACAATGGTGAAAAGTGCGACTGTTAAAAATCACCAACATGGGCCAGATTTTTGATCTAGATTACTTCAGAGCTCAGTAGTTAAGAGTGCATGCTTTGCACCAAAGGGCTCTCAGGTCATCCTTGGTATCTTGTTAGAGATCTCAGTTAGAAGGTCAGAACCCAAAGTGCAACTAAGTTGGAGGTTTTCAAGCAGAGGATGAACAGCCAACTGTTGTGGGTGCTCTCATCCTAGACTTCCTGCATCAAGGCAGAGGATGGAGTCAGTAGGTTGCATCCAGCCTTGGTTCTACTCCAAGTAGACCCATTTAAGTTAATGGACCTAACTTAATAATCTCCATTAACTTCAGTGGGTCTGCTTTGCATAGGAATAGCCTTGGTTACAACCCAATGGCCTACAAGATCACTGGGAAACTAACTGAGCTCTTGATCCATGGTTGCATCACATTTTGTGGTTTAATTTCCTAGCTGAAAGCCCGTAAGTTCTGTTCCTGGATTTTAGCCAACCCAGGAATTAGAGTCTGACAAAACGAAGAGGAGCAAGCTAACATTTGAACTGCAATATCCTCTGTCATTGCACAAGAGATTGTGCGAGTGCAACCTTCGTGATTGCCCAGTGCAGCAAGCAGACTTGCAGTCCTGGAAATGCAAGCATGTTCTAAATCTGGAGTAAAATAGAGCAAAAAACCCACGTTGTCGGCCCAAGTCTATGGGACTGAACAGGGAAGGGAAATCTTGCTTTTCTTTGCCAGCGGAAGGGCTTGGGTATAGGTTCAAATTCTGACCTCCTGAAATGTCCCTGGATTTTTAAATAGGAAACATTGCATCCACAACAACTAGCTGCATAGGGTTCTGGTAGCAAAAAAATTCAGGATGTTTGTAGAGAAGCCCAGTTGTATGGGGTCATATTCACCTGCTGTCCTCTGTCAAATGAAGACCTACCCCACAGGCACTTGTATATCTTGAGGTGTAGCTACTTAAAGGACTAAACTCCACCCTCCAACATTCATGTAACTTCCACTGTTATCAGTGGAAGCTACATGCTTATGGCTGACAGCCGGAATTTGGCTGAAAGTCATTTCATAAAGGTTTTTTAAATGGTTTGCTTTGGACTGTTAATTTACAGGCACTTCATTTGTTCTCACACCTGTAGTCACTAACTCAGCTGCTTCTCCCCCCCCCCCCCAACCTTCATGAAAATCCCTAACTCTAATGTGAAACACCAATTTGAAGCACCCTTTTGTTCTTGTATTCAACCTGACAAAACTCCTACATGACCATGTGAATGTAAACCTACAACTCTTCACGAAGAAAAGAAAAAAACCAGAATACCAGCTACCACAATAAGAAGCCTGTCTTAATCAGAAGAACGCACATTTAAATAGCTTTGGATCCAAATCAAATGTTTGTAAAAAGCTAAATTACAAGCATGTGAGAAGCGTGTGTGTGTGTGTTGCCATTGATTCTTCTCCAAACCAAGTCTGGGATTCAGACTTTTGCGTTTTCTTGCGGCGGAGGTGGCTCTGCAGTCTGTGGCTCAAGGACAGAATATTTAACTGGGAAGGAAAGAGCGAAAGTTAAGTCAGTGTGAATTAGTCTTCAACAAAATTGTTTGCCTCCTTTGAGCCTGAAAACAGTATCTTACCTTGTGGTTCTTCAGTCACCACCGCTTCCATGTTTTCTCCTTTCACGTACTCTGCATTAAGACCCTCTGAAAGCAACAACAGATGAAAAACATTGGCACTGAAAGACCATCATTTGCAATGGTGTTTAGGAATAAAGGGTTCATGCCTTGAGAAGAAGGAGTGTCATAGCAATGGGTTACAATGGGCACTCCATTCAGGCACAGCAATTATGGCAATGAGAGGATGACTCTTACATACGTGCGTGTGTGTGCGTGCGCCAACACAGGGCTGTGGGCACCTGACCCAGCTGGGAGCTTGCAGCAGCAGCAATGGTATAAACTGGCACCTGCAGAATGCCACATATATTGAAAAGCAGACCCAGCAGTCACATGCAATGGTTGCTTGTGTATTTAATGCACTTTGGCCCAGATTAATCCACGTATATTTCAAGTTATTGACTAAAATCTCCAGGTGTACTCAAAATAACCAAGCCTGCCCAATAAAGTGACTAAACTGTATATTACAAGCTGTGAAAAACACAAATGTTTGTTCCTTGAGCTGGGGTAAATAACCTGTGACCACCTAAATTTTGCTTGTACTTCCATCAGTCACAGCCAGCATGGCCAACTGTTCTTTATTTAGTTCTTTCTTTCTTTCTACACTGCTTGCATATGCCTGCTCTCCCTTTGGAGACATAAAAAACAGCAATTGTTGTTTTTACCAGGCGATTGTCCTTAGCAGGTTCTGCAGGCAGCACAGAAAAAGAAGCCCCACTCACTTTAGTAGCCTTGAGTCCCAAGTGCAAACTACAACTCTTAAAGGCACCTTTTGATATGTAGGATTTTCAGCTGGCAACTACAGTAAGGGAAAGGTTTTGTAATTTTATTGCTAAGCTTAGCAGTTCACACTATTTGTTTTTTAAAATACAATGTTTTAAAGCAGGCATAGGCAAACTCGGCCGTCCAGATGTTTGGGGACTACAACTCCCATCATCCCTAGCTAAAGGACCAGTGGTCAGGGATGATGGGAATTGTAGTCCCAAAACATCTGGACGGCCGAGTTTGCCTATGCCTGTTTTAAAATGACATCACAGGGTTTTTAAAGCTGCTTTGGGAAGTCTGAACTTAGCCAGTTTTAATGTTTCTCTTACATAACAGTCTAGGAATTTTTCAGTCTGCCTGAGCTGTTGCACTAGCCTTGCATGATAAACTTGCCTATATAGCCAGCTTGTGGCTCTTGGGTTGTATTTCAAGTGTAGGGGATCAGCTTTATAAATTTGAGCACACCTGGCTACTTCAATCAAGAACTATCAAGCTTTTAAGCATCTCATAGATATAGATTTTGGGCCAAAGTGTGGCAATTATTCATTTTATCACTCTGTTCTTAATAGTCCCTTTTTTAAAAGGGATTCCAGATGTCGCCTTGATGGTTACTCTCAATATAAGTTATGTAACGCGTATTATCTGATTCCCGCTTTATCCACTTGGTATACTGATGGTGTTCAGCACAAGCATTGTTCAAATCGTTCAGAGAACTATGATGGTGTTCCTTTATTTGTTTTTGGTTTTTTGTTGGTATTTACAGCTGCCACACTGAAGGCATTTATTGAAGCATAGGAAGCTGCCCAATTCCAAGTCCACCTAGCTCAGTGTTGCCTGCACTGACTGGCAGTGGCTCTCCAGGGTTTCAGACAGGGGACATTCACAGCCCTCCATGGAGATTGAACCTGGCACCTTCTGCATGTAAAGAAGAGTTTTGCTACTAAGCTACGGCCATTCCTTTTTTGGACAATTCATCTGTATTAACAAATTCTTCTGAAGTTCATGCAAGCTACACCTGCCAAAAATTCCCCCTTTGACACACCTATTTAAAAGGTGCAGGGATCCCATCCTGTTATTGGTGGGCCAACCTAAGCAAGCTGCAAATGAGCCTGAATATCTTTTGCTCTAGTGCCGTTCCTGCTTTTCATATCCATGTGTACATTGAACATGGGCAGAAGAGTTCCGGCTGGCCACACCCCCAGTTCAATCTTTATTCATTGGGCCAAAAAAGAGGATGCAATTTCAAAGCATGTACAACAGTTTGGTCTGAAATAAATGAGCTCTCCCCACTCTATACAAAGTTCCTTTGTTTCTGTACAAAGACAAAGACAAAGGGAAGAAGAGGCCTTCTACAACCAAGGGCAAGCAGAAAGCGGCATTCAAGTGACTTTAATTGGGTAGTACAAAGGGTGTCATTGGACAAACTGACCATGAACGCCACAACCCTACCACTCAGCTAAAGGGGAATGGCTTTAGCTGAGTGGTAGAGCATCTGCTTTGCACGAGAAGGTCTCAGGTTCAAGCCCTGGCATCTCCAGGGACCTCCAGGGCTGAGAATGTCCCCTGGTTGAAGTCTTGCTGCCTGTCAGTGTGAACAATGCTGAGCTAGATAGACCAGTGACTCAATGTAAGTATATGTTCATGGGAGGCTGCTGGTGTGATGAGTGCCCCATTAAGTGTGCTTCTTTAGGGAGCTGCCTAGTTTTGCCTCTGAGCTACTGCCCTCGTGCAAATTGTCTCCTCCTGCCATGTTTATGTAAATGGGTGTTTGCATTGGTCATTCAGAAGTGCAAAAGGGCAGCTCAGCATCACGTATGAATCTGCCTGGGAGTGTCTCCATGTGCTGCAGCCCTGTGGCTCCTGTACAGACCTCTCCCTCTTGCCATGTGTCTATGATAGCACCAAATGCAGTTTTATGTTCGTCAATAAAAAGTCACTTCAGTGGCTGACGCGCCAGCCTCCGCTGTGCATTGCAATGCATCTAAGGCATGACATTATCCCAGCACGCCATGTCTGATGGCTTAAATTAAGCCTCCTTTATAATTAACTTTAATTTCCTGCCGTCTTTCTAGGGTTTTGCCTTCTCTCAGTGCTGCCTTTATTGAAGCTTTTTTCCAGAGAGAGAAAGAGAGAGCATGTGTGTGTGTGAGAGAGAGAGAGCACAAGCAAAGAGTTTTTTGTTCTTCAAAAATATCACTGATGGGGCAAAGAAACAACACAAGTAAAGGAGGGGTTCATTTTATCACATTCCTCTTGACTTTCCTGCTGGCTTAATTTACTCAGGCACACACCTGTTTGTTTTAGAGACTCCTGTGAAAATAGCAATTTCATTGCAGGAGGCTGAGTGTGGTTCCTATCCCTGCAGCTAGCAGAGGGAGATGCACTAGGAATTTGATTTTAAAATGAGAGATTCTCACTATTATTAATAAAAGCCCTTGGAAACCCTAGATTAGTATTACCCCACAGTCTACACAATGCACACTGTCAGAGGCAGTAGCCTCTGCATGCCAGTTACTGGGGAGCGCATGCGCGCACAAACACACACACACACACACACACACACACACACACACTCTTACGTCATGCTTTGGGGGCTTCCCATTGGAGCATCTGGTTGGTCACTGTGAGTACAGGACGCTGGACTTTGCTGGGACACTGCCCTGATCCAGTGGGGCTCTTCCTATGTTTTTCGGCAGCAGCTCTTTGGGATATGCATGAAATTATGGCCAGGCCTAAGACAACCTTCCATGGGCCCCACCATGGCTGTGAGTGCTGAAGGCCACTCCCTGCAACGCCCTTTCCACCTGGCCTAGGGGGCAGGGCCCAGACTCACCAGCTCTACTAAAGAGGCACCGGGTGAAACCCGAGGGACATTGCTATGCCTGACAGCAAACCCTAACTATTGGATTATTTTGCCCCATCTTTTCGTGCCTGCCAAACAGCCGTGTCATACTTACGATAATATTTCATTCTCTTGTTAATTATGCTGTTTTAAACGTGCATTTTATATTTGATTTCATTTAGCAATGGTTTTCATTTTTCTGAAATATTTAAGATTTTTGTTGTTGTTAACTTTGTTTGCATCAAATATGTATTCTGTAGCTGACCTCCTTTGCAATGTTTTATTTTGAAATCTTTAAGATACTATTTTCGTTTTCTGTTAATTATGTTGCTTTGAATGTATAATATTTGACATTCTTCCAAAATGTTTGATTCTGGGTTGTTTTATTGATGTTTTCATATGCTGTAAACCGCCTTGAGATTTTTCTTAAAAATATAAAGTGGTATAGAAATGAAATGAAAAATTAATTAAATAATAATAATAATAATTTGCAAGCTATATATTATGCCTGGTTAGCCTTTTCTGTTCTTATTGTCCTTAAGCACCCCAATAGGCTGAATCGGACCTGGCAGGTTGGAAGTTATGCAAGCCTTCCTCACTGCCAGGACAGAAGTTCAGGAGAGAGCCAATTTTTGAACACACCCCACTTCCTATATTGGCAATGCAATGATGTTCCTTTGCTGGGCACTTTTTGTGAACAAGGTTCAAGACCCTACAGTGGATGGGAAGGCTGGTTCTTGACCCCTTCACAAATCCTTAACACCCATTTGGGGCTTCACTCCAACTTGCAGACAGGCCTTGCAAGGGCAGGAAGAGTCACTTACGTTGTATGCTGAAGCAGAACTTCTTTTGCTGGTAGGAGATGTAGCTGCTCACAGCACCAATCAGGGCCATGGCAAGGCCACTGACAATGCCAGCAATCGTTCCCGTCTCTACTACTAAGGCACCTGCAAAAGGCAAGCAGAAAATATACCAGTGCAGAAATGTGTCAAATAAAACATACAACAACAACCACCAGTTCATTATTTATACCCCACTCATCTGGCTGGGTTTCCCCAGCCACTCTGGGCAGGCAGCTTCCAACAAAATATTAAAAGTACATTAAAACATCAGTCATTAAAAACTCCTCTAAACAGGGCTGCCTTCAGATGTCTTCTAAAAGTCAGATAGTTTTTAATTTCCTTGTCATTTGATAGGAGGGCATTCCACCACCACCGGGAAGGCCCTCTGCCTGGTTCCCTATAGCTTCACTTCTCGCTCAGGTTGTGCCCAGGTTGAACAATGGGGGTGGAGACACTCCTTCAGGTATACTGGGCAGAGCCTGTTTAATATACATTTAATACAGGTCCTTCATGCAGTCATGCTTGTTAATGTACTTGTAATTGTCAACCTATTACTATGTTGATTTGTTTGCTAGGTATATCACAGAGGTCTGCTTCACATCCAATTCTGTATTACAGTTTGGCATTGTGTGAATGAACCTTTTTCATTTATGTTTTCCCCTCTGATTCAACGAGTTACTTCGTCTTTACAGAAAACCACAGTTGATGTCTGAATTAGGAAGTTATTGTTTGTACTTGAATACCATAGAAGGATCTTGCACTAAAATTTTGAAGCTGGTTTGTAATCCTGGTTTGAGGAGTGGCAACTTGCCAAAAGTGGCAACTTGCCTAATCAGACATAGCAGCTTGTCCTCCAAACCGGGATTTACAAATGAACCTCAAACTCATCTGCAGTTCAGGTGTGGAGTGTAAATCATAGTTTGCCAGTTCAGATGCAACAGTAAACTAGGGTTTGCACTAAAGAAGAAGTACAATGAATTTAGCAAGAACAAACATCTACCAAAAAGAGATGGGAACTTCTGTACTTGATTCAGCATTGAGGAGCTCCTACCTTTAGGTGGATTGAGCTTCCGCCTTGAGCAGGGATAGGCAACCTCTAGCTTGCAGGCTTCTTTTGGCCCATCAGGTGGTCCAATTTGGACCACAAAATCATTTTCTCCAAACCACACCCAGCCACCAGCTGTGTCACTGGTGTTAAATCCTGGATCGTTTGGGTCCTCAATTCCTATCAGAGAACAGGATCGCACAGCCAAAGCAGCAGGATTTAATCTCTGCAGATCAGCTGAGCAAGAGCAGCAACACCAAAAGTATGCTTTTAAGAAGCACTTTAAAACAGCCTGCTGTCCGGTTTCAGCTGAAGCAAGATCACATGGGCTGTTTTAAATAGCTTCTCAGAAGTGCTGTTTGACGCATCTGCCCCCTTGTCCTTTAAATGAAGGAGGAGATGATTCAAAAGTGCTTTTGAGAAGTGCTTTAAGGTCCCATTTCAGCTGAAAATGGGACCTTGGCAGCTACTTTCAAGTGCTTCTCAAAAGTGCTATTTGAAGCAGCTCACAAACTTATTGTGCACTGTTTTGAAGCAGCTTGTGCAGAAACACACAAGTGTCAATATTTAAGGGGTGGGGGAGAGGAATGCCTCTCCCCTTTTAAGTCCTCAATCTTGCTCTGATCTTAAAGCCTCCCCCACCCTTATCAGATCGTGATAAGGATCTTGTCTAAGGGGACGAAAAGGTTCCCCTCCCCTGAGTTTCAGGTAACAGTGCCTGTTTGCAAAGGGCCTTTGGCAAGGCTGAAATTTGACTTTACTTAAAAACTATGTGTGAGATCTAATGTCAGCTATACTCAAGAGTAAAGGTAAAGGGACCCCTGACCATTAGGTCCAGTTGTGACCGACTCTGGGGTTGCGGCGCTCATCTCACTTTATTGGCCAAGGGAGCCGGCGTACAGCTTCCAGGTCATGTGGCCAGCATGACTAAGCCGCTTCTGGCGAATCAGAGCAACGCATGGAAACGCCGTTTACCTCCCCGCCTATTTATCTACTTGCACTTTGATGTGCTTTCAAACTGCTAGGTTGGAAGGAGCAGGGACCGAGAAACAGGAGCTCACCCCGTCGCGGGGATTCGAACCGCCGACCTTCTGATCACAAGTCCTAGGCTCTGTGGTTTAACCCACAATGCCACCTGCGTCCCCTGAAATCCATGGAGAATGCCCACTGATTTCAAGGGGTCAATTCAAACAGTGGGTATAGCCCAATGATAGGGACCCTCTTGAAAAGAAATGTGAAAAGGGCGATAATTGATATTATCCGACATCACCATTTGATAACTCTTGCCCAACTGTTTCCAACACATTTATATATTATGTGGCTCATTTTACTCCCCACGTTCTTTTTGTAATCTCAAAGGGGTAATCACAAAACTTGCAATACTATATTGCGTGGTTCAGGGGCCTCCATGTGTGCCATGGATGTTAGAGTCAAGCTATTTGGGGAGCGGGGAGGTGCAAGTAGTCAGCTCAGGCACCTGCAGTTCAGCTTAGATACAGGACACAGAAAGGGATCTGTGTGAAGCAGAGATGGACTTGCAGTTTCTAGAATTCTGCTTACCGTCATTGTCACTGCCGCCACTTCCTGAACTTCCACCTGGAAATAACAATAGGTATTTATTTAAAGCAACTGTAAATGTTTGAAGCACTTCATGTATTGTCTCATTAATGTTTACAACCACTCTGGAAGAAATGTCAGGATCATTATCCCCATTTTACAGATAGGAGCCAGAAAGCTGAGGCTAAGAGAGGCAGAGACATGATCACCATACTTTGTACAATGAATTGAGCAATTTTTCAGAGCAGGTACATTTCCTAGTTGAGTCGGGGGGGTGGGGAATGGAAAGAGATGTAGTACAGTGCCATTCAGTCCAGTTAGTATGCAGAGATGGGGAAAAGTTTTCCCTTCCAGCTAGAGACAGTGGCTCCTTGGGGCAAAAGTATCTGCCTTCATTCATAACCAAGAATAATGTCAATTTTAAACATGTGAAGTTGCCTTTTATACTCAAGGTTATGCTTCTATTATGGTTCTTCAGGTGTGCTGAAAGAGAGTACAGTCATACCTCGGGTTACAGACGCTTCAGGTTGTGTTTTTTCGGGTTACAGACTGCCGAAACCCGGAAGTACCAGAACGGGTTACTTCCGGGGTTTGGCGCTTGTGCATGCGCAGAAGTGCTAAATCATGCATGCGCAGAAGTGCCGAATCGCAACCCGCGCGTGCGCAAACGCGACACTGCAATTTGCGAATGCTGCGGGTTGCAAACGTGCATCCCGCATGGATTACGTTTGCAACCTGAGCGTCCAGTGTAACACAGTGTGGCAAAGCTTTCCCCAACCCTGTGCTTTGGACTACAACTCCCATCAGCACCAGCCACCAAAACATATGGGCAAAGATGATGGGGACTGGAGTCCAAAACATTGGGCAGAACACCAGGTTGGGGAATAGCTGAGATGCAGAATCCAGCCTTTGTTAAGAAAGAAGCCAACATGTTTCTAGTGGTCATTGATGAAATGATACTCTCGAAAGCGTATTGCCAATGGCAGCCCATAGGATGGCTGAGTAAGGATTCTAGTGGCTATGGGTGGAGGACTCCTCCTGTGACTCGCAGAAGCAGGCTGATGATGCCAAACTGTCCAATAAATTATTCAAAACAATTATTATGCAACAAAAGGCAGCATAGAATTCAGCTTTTCTTGGCCTGTTTCAACTGTGCAGATAAAATGTTAGCCTATTTCTATTGGGCTGGGCCATTTCAGTTGGTCCAAGTATTATACACTCCCCCTGCCCTGGACAGAGTCTCTTCAAATCTGACCTTTTGGTTCAGAGGGACACCCCCCCCTGCCAAATAAATGGGACAAAACGTTCCAGGTGGCATGCCTACCTCCAAAGCAGCACTACGGACAGGGTGCATTGGCTGCAATCAATGTGCAGGTTAGCTCCCAACATAGCTCTGTCAGGGCTATTTCCAACAAATTGTTTCTACTTTCCAGGACTGCTTTTTGCAACAATATTCACAGAAAAAAAACACATGTGAAAAGCTGCACAGTAGGAAAGGTCTACAAACAGAATGCTAAGACCCCCACCAGGTGTTGTGCAGAGATCCCCCCCCCCCCCCGCATCCTCTAATGCACACATCGTTTTACAGCCCTGACGTCATGCCTGCCCCGAGTTTGCCTCCATGAAAATCATTCTGTCAAGAGATGGCTGATCTACATCTTGGAGTTGAAAGCAAGGACAAATTGGGGGTGGGGGGATCATGTCCTCCCTCTCACATCCCTCCTCCCAAAGCCAATTCTGAGAAGTGTGGGGGAGAATGTAGAAATCCTGGGGCAGCGTTAATTATCTTCTAAAATGTTGACGAAGGAACTTGTGTGAATAGGGCTCGACTGCTCTGCAACTGCAGCCTTGCGCATACACAGACACACACTGGTAGCCCTCATATTAATTAACCAGCTGCTGCTTCGGTAGCACTGCATTGAGCAATAAATGAGATTGATTATAAATTTAGCGCTGTGCGCAGTCAAGAGGTGGGTGGGGTTTGCAGAGACTGGAGGCTTTGTCTGCAAATTCCTGCACTCTGCAGCATAGGCAGCATTTTTCTTCCCTCTCTTTCTCTCTCCCACCCCTCCCTGCTCCACCCTACTTTGGAAAAAATGATGGGGTGGTCTGAAAAAAATGACTCCTTTGTAGGATACTGAGACTTGGGGGTGGAAGATCATCTGATGTGTCCAAAAACCGCTGGAATCCACATGGACCTTAACAGATAGCAGCAGTTTAGCACTGCAAAAGGTGCTTCCCTTGGGTTGGTAAGTCTCATTTAATCCAGAATGCGGCAGCTAGACTGGTGACTGGGAGTGGCCGCCAGGACCACATAACACTGGTCCCGAGAGATCTGTATTGGCTCCCAGTACATTTCCGGGCACAATTCAAAGTGTTGGTGCTGACCTCTACATGGTCTCAGCCCAGTATACCTGAAGGAGCCCTAAATGGTCTCAGCCCAGCATACCTGAAGGAGTGTCTTCACCCCCATTGTTCAGCCTGGACACAGAGATCCGGTGCCGAGGGCCTTCTGGTGGTTCCCTCACTGTGAAAAGTGAAGTTACAGGGAACCAGGCAGAGGGCCTTCTCGGTGGTGGCACCCGCCCTGTGGAACGCCCTCCCAGCAGATGTCAAGGAAATAAGCCATCATCCTACTTTTAAAAGACATCTGAAGGCGGCCCTGTTTAGGCAAGCTTTTAATATTTAATGCTGTATTGTTTCTAACACTTGATTGGGAGCTGCCCAGAGTGGCTGGGGAAACTCAGCCAGATGGGCAGGGTATAAATAAATTATTATTATTAGGCAAGGAGTTAAAGCGAATGCTTAAAGGTTCCTGTGATCCCAAGGTAGCCACCTCCTGAGGAGCCCCCCATTAGGCTCTGCTAGGGTCAGGTGATTCCACTGCATCTCTGCATTGGGTGTGAATCCATCGTTCCTAGAGAAGATAAGCTGAGAGCCCTGAGAAGAGGCTGTCACCTTTCATGGGTCATTGCTCTAGACTCATTCCTAGCAGGAGGCATGCCCAGAGCACTAGCTCCTGCAGAAACAGGGCTGGGAAAGCATTTTAGGCGCATCCAACTGACATGCAATTGCCAACACTCGGCTCCTTTTGGACCTGGAAGAGGGCAAAACAGGAGCAGGGCATAACAGGGTGGGCTTATGCACCCTCCGCTGGCGTGCAGAGGGGCCAGGAATGGAACCCCCATGCAAAACAGTCACTGCTTGTATTCTAAACCAGGGAAGGAAAAACATCAGGCTTGGGTTATCTACTTCCTTCCTCACTAGAACAAGAAGATCCACTTGCCAGAGCAAGGCGCAAAATGATAGGCAGGGAATGGAATCATAGAATCATAGAATTGTAAAGTAGGAAGGGAACCTGGGGGTCATCTGGTCCAATCCCTTACAATGCAGGAATCTCAACTAGACCATACATTGCATATGGCCATCCAACCTCTTCTTAAAACCCTCCAAGGAAGGAGAGTCCAGCCCCTCTCATGCGAGTCCATTCCACCACCGAACAGCTCTTAAACACAAGAAAGCTCTTCCTTATGTTTAGTCAGAATCTCCTTACTGGTAACTTGAATCTGTGCTATATATTTTTCCCATTTGTAATCAAGTTGGAGAAACTAACACACAGTGCACACAATATCTCTGACCGCAACAAATCTTTGCGGAAACTGACTCACCAATTTGACGGATGCAGGAACAGATTGTGTTCCTACAGAATCATAACTAGGGGTTTACTATAGCCCTGGTTTCAATTTAGGGCACTGAAGTAACCCCTAGGGGTCCAGTAGGAAAACCAGGAAGAGTTCTTTCCCCCCTTTTGAAGTGGGTAAGCTCATAGTAATAATGTCATCTGCATTGATGCAAATGTCTGCAGGATAGAAAGCGACGACGCGATAAATCAGTATTAGATGGAAGCTTGTGGGGGGAAATATGTTTAATCAGTGGAGGTTGGTCCATTGCGGCAAGCAGGATGCTGCCCCACCAACTCCAGTCTGCCCTTGGCCAGCCCACACCAACTGGAGCAGCTGCAATTCAGTGGCTGGGTACTTGCATGTAAAAGGACCCAGTTTCAATCCCTGGGAAGTCTAAGTAGGACTGGGAATGCCTCCTGTCTGAAACCCCTAAGAGCCACTGTCAGTCAGAGCAGACAGTACTGAGCTATGGAATACTGGTGTGAACTCAGTATAAGGGAGCTTCCTATGTTTCTGCCTGCCTTATTACTTGCAACCACTGCCTGTCAGCTTCCCCCTCCTCTTGCAGAACTCTGCAAAGTAGATGGTGGCAAAACTAGCCAAATTCGTTGGCTTCCATTCCCTTTATTGTTTGGGCTTCCTGCCTTCCAACCTACCAGCTCTAATGGGCACCAGCCACCACTGTGTTAAAGACACAACACAAGTGACTATCCACACAAGCCCATTACCCCTTTGTCCAAATGCTATCCTCATTCACGCCACTAGGACATACTATATAACTTTCACACATGCAACTGCTGACCAACGTTTCAATTACGCCGCAAACACACTTCTCTGCTGAATCCCCTTCCTACTAGTTCCAGATGTCCGCATCTGCTCTCATGCTTTGGAATGGCCTGTGCCTCTGAAACGTTGGAATGCTTGTAAACTCTCCATAACCCCTTTGGCAGCAGAGTCTACAGCTGGAGAGAAATGGCTTCAATCAACTGAAGCCAGAGTTCATACAGCCAATTGCTGTGGAGGTTTCAAATGCTGCAGCCTGTGGCTGCCTCACTTCTTTTTAAATGCTAAATATATCTGAATTAGGAGAGCAGGAAATGGGTAAGAGCAATCAAAGAAACCCATCACTGTTTTTTTCTGAAAATTCAAATGACTGGCCACCTATCAAGGAAGCTGTAGAAGTCATTTCCTGCCCACTGTTTCAGTCGGATACCTAATCTCTAAGCAGAGAAGGGGTGTAGCTATGCATATACAAAGCCCCCTCATTCAATGCTTGCCGTCCTCATAGCAAGATGAAAGGCTCCTGTCCATAGTCTGCAAAGCCATTGCCAGACTGTAAACGGCATTGAGCAAGGTGGACCCAGTGGTCTCAGCTTCCTATACCAGATGGGGGACCTGTGGTCCTGGATATGTTGCTGGACTATGATTCCCACCAGCATTAGCCAGCAATGTATCATGGACTGGTTGGACGCACAGGAATGGTGGGAGGAACCAGCTAGGGGACCCCCAAGGGAAGAAGGCTCAGAGCCTGGAGATTGGTGGTGGGACAATGATGAGCAGTCACAAGAAGAGAGAGATGACTGGGAAGAGGTGGGGTCAGATGCTGAAAAGGTAACAGGGCTCAATGAGATGGGACAGTCGGTGGCAGAGAATCAGAGGCAGAAACTGAAGCAGGGGAGGAGGCCAAAAGAGAGAGATGAGTGTGCCTGGTGAAGTGTCATGGGTCTCTCCCCCTCCTGCTGCAACAAGCTCTCCTCCCACCTGGTCTCCCAGAACCAGAAGGGGCATGAAACAGGAGAAGCAAAAGCAGACATGAAAGGACAGTCTCAGATTCCTGGGAAAAAACCCTGGGGAGAAGGGGACTTAGCAGCTGTGGGGACAGGGAGAACTTCAGTGTTAGCAACTGCTTCTTGGGGGCAAGCTCTGCACTCATTCGGCCTGACACTCTGCCAAGTTGGTGCATAAAAAGGCAGAGGTAAAGGACCGCTGACAGTTAAATCCAGTTGCAGACGACTCTGGGGTTGCGGCGCTCATCTCACTTTGTTGGCCGAGGGAGCCGGTGTACAGCTTCCGGGTCATGTGGCCAGCATGACTAAGCCGCTTCTGGCGAACAAGAGCACGCACGGAAACGCCGATTACCTTCCCGCCGGAGCGGTACCTACTTATCTACTTGCACTTTGACGTGCTTTTGAACTGCTAGGTTGGCAGGAGCAGGAACTGAGCAACGGGAGCTCACCCTGTCAGGGGGATTTGAACCGCCGACCTTCCGATCAGCAAGCCCTAGGCTCAGTGGTTTAGACCACAGTGCCACCCATGTCATAAGTTAACTCAAACTAGCGGGTATGATTTACTTCTGGCTCGCTTTTGACATAAGCGCAGTTGTCGGGGATCATGGGAGTTTTAGTCTGGAGTGCCACAGATTTCCCCATCCCTGCTCTACAGGCATTAACTTTGCAATTGGACTGCCAATATAAAAATGTACTTCGTGTCCCTTTTTGTTGGTGTCCCCTTTCTTAGCTAAGCAACAAAAAGAGAACTTACCTTTCTTTTTATCTGGCTGGTAGCCGCCCTCGTCCACAATTCCAGCCAAGTCATCATCCGAAAACCCTGAAAGGTTGGAAGGGGATGGAATTGCTTGCATTAGCCCATGAAATAGTTTTTAGGTTCAAAAAGACATTCGTTTCCTATTTGTTAAAAGGAAGATGGCTTTAAGTGCCGCATTCAGGAGGAAGAGAAGCATTTCTTAGTTGAACTGGTGCTGCTTAGGTACCGACTGGGAAACAAGGACTTAAGATGTGAGAAGAAGCAAAACAACAACAAGGGCAACTCCGAGTCAATGCCCCATCCCTCGCTTGCCATTGGCTGAGCATACTCAAATACTCAAATGATTTCTAGACTACTCTAACTTGCCCTATGTGAGGCTGCCCTTGAAGAAGGGTAGCAAAGAGCACTCTGGAATCCCATACTCTGTGGCAAGAGATTTTCTGCCATCATTTTAGTGCACACGAGACAGATATGCCCGCTTGATATTGGTGCAACTCCCATTATTCTGTCTGTCTTGTGGTCTTGCTGGATTATTTATTTGGTTGTTGCTTTTGGTGTGTGTTTTCCTGTGACGGAACTGTTCGGGTTTTTATACAGACTGCTGCTTTAGTATTTTAGTATGCATTTCTGTGCGCTGCTCTTGGGACCAGTGCAGTCAAAAGATATGGCAAAACTAAAAACAATTGTTTCTTTAAAATAACATCTACAGGTGTTACAGTGTCCCTACAGTAGAGTGGGGGGTGGACATGCAGACCTCCAGGTTCTGTTGGACTCAAACTCCGATCACCCCCCAGCCAGTATGACCAATCAGGGATGATAGGAGTTGCAGTCCAACCAACATCTGTAGGTCCACGTTCCCCCCACCTGCCCTATTGGAATTAAAGGCAGGAAGAATCCTTCTACAACTGTGTTATGGGGAACAGCATGACTATTCGTACCAAACATTTCAAATGGAAAACTCTGTGTGTGTTTTAGCAATCTGCTGAGGTTTTCTAAATTCATAAAACTGAATTAAGTGTGCAGGGTGAACTAATGGATGTGTTCCTGCAAGACATGATGATACTGGGACCTTTAGGAGGACTGGTTAGGGTGGGCAGGTGAAGAAGAGAGGGCCCCTCTACCTCTAATGCAGTGTTTCTCAAACTTGGGTCTCCAGCTGTTGTTAGACCACAACTCCCACCATCCTTAGCTAGCAGGATCAGTGGTCAGGGGTGATGGAATTTGTAGTCTGACAACAGCTGGAGACCCAAGTCTGAGAAACACTGTGCCTAATAGGTGCATTGTGTAGGTGGGGAATTTCAGAAGGTGTAGCTTCTGAATAGATGTGTAGAAATACACCTCCATTAAAGGGCAGTAGCCCTGTCCTCTTCTTCGCCTGTTGTGGTGAGCTTCAGCTGCTGAAATCCCCGCTTAACGCAACAATAAAAGTCCTGCTCTCTCTTTTTTCACTTGGCAACCCGAATGTACCATTTCAGGCTACAGGTGAGGGGGGATACACATTCTGAACGCATGCACACACAATATAAACTCGCTGCAAATGAAAACAGAACACTAGGACAATAGGGTAGATTTCTAGCCTTCTTCGTTTCATCTGCGCTAGTTTTCTATTCTCAGGGGGTTGGTTTTTTCCTGTATGTGTGTTTTCACAAAAGGGAGATTCAAAACTTCTGATTCGCCTCCCAACACCTGGAGCATTTTATCACTTCAGAACCCTGTTCTCTATTAATATTAAAGTATTTTGAGGCCACCTTCCCACTCTACAATTCTATGTGACCTATGTGCACCCTTCAGGGCATGTACTCAAACAAGGTGGCTTACAATACAAAACAATAATAAAAATAAAATTTAAAAATCTGAACAACTATTTAAAACAGGACAAAGTGATGGCAGATATCAATGTAGGTCAATATATTATTAAAAGTCAGCTGGGGGTGGGAATCAAAATGATTTCTACAGCTGTGTGTATAGTCCAGGTCTTTCTCTTCCTATGCAACCAGCTAAACCCAAAGTCAAACATTTCGGCGTTAATGCTGCGCAAAAAAAATTCCAGTAGCTAAGAAGGAAACAAATACACACCATGCTTTGGCAATGGCCAGCTGGGATAACAACAGCTCTGATCAGCCACATGCAAGATGATTCATTTTAATTGATTTTATCCACTGTATGCTTTTATAAGTCTTATGTACGCCGCTTAGAAACCTCAGAAATGAAGTGGTATAGAAAAAACTCACAAAAACTTAAGACACAGATCAATTTGTTATTGCTTGCTTAGAATTCAAGACCAAGCACATCATGTACAAATTTCCAAACTCTCCCACGTGATACTGTGGGTAGAAGCAAGCAAGCAAGGAACCCACAACGCTGGATAGCAGTGGAGAGGAGAAGGGAGCAAGCAGAGGAGAAAGCTGGGAAAGAAAAAGGAGAACTGGAAAAGCTAGATGGCAAATCCTTCTCCCAGGCCCCACTGGTTGGAGAATATAAAGACAGGCCCTTATCACAGGGGTGGATAACCTTTTATGGCCAGCAAGCTAGATCTAAATTTCCCCAGACTCTGGCAGGCCAAATTATGCAGGTGCATGGGGTCACCCATACGTCAATCACCTGACATCATGCTGCGCTTTGAAGCTCCAATTGTTAGGACTTCAAAACACAGCTCAGGGGTGTTTGTAAGCCCTTTGTAAGCATCTCCAGCCTTCTCCTTAAACCGCTGAAATTTGGAGATTTGAAGAACAGCCCTTTTCCTATCAGTCCTATCCTGCTGTGAGGTATTTTCGTTCAGTGGGAACTGCTCCACCCTCCTTGATTAAGCTGTGCTCTCACCGCGCATCAGCTGATGGGTGGTTGGGAGTCTGCCTTGTTCAAGCAGAGGAACAATTCAAAGTCAACCTGAATTCCTGTTTGTTCCTTTCACACCTCACCTTTACCCACCATAATGTCAGGTGTAGGGCATGGCTTTCTAAAAATGGCCTGGCAGGCCAAATGGAGAGACATCATAGGTCACATTTGGCCCACAAGCAAAAGGTTCCCTGTCCCTGTCTTATAATGATGCTGACAGTCAGGTCAATAGTGCAACTGGCCCACAACAACCCTGACGGGAAGCACCTCTCTCAGCTTAAAAAAAAAAGAAAAAGAGGAAGTGCTGCTTTAGGTAACAGGAAAACAAATAAAAGTGTTCCCTGGACACTCCTCCCCGTGTGCTCTCTCCACATAAATACAGGAAGGAACTGGCTCTGAACCGGGGTGAGGGATCTTCTGCCCTGCGTCACACCCAACTGGCACGGCCAATGGCCAAGGTAGTCCAGAAACAACTGGAGGGTCACAGGTTCCCCATCCCTCCTTGAAGCTTTCCAGTAGTGTGATATTAGGCCACACCTTCGCTTAAACTGTGGTTATGTCTTTCTCCATCTGTTTCATTCCTTCCCACTAGTGGGCAGAAGATACAAACCACAATTCTTGCCTTAAGGTTAAATCCAAACCAGGGACAACAGTTGGGTTTTGCTCCCTGGAAGACACAATCTGTAGTAACTGAAGATGGGTTGCTGGAGCAAAACAGACCATTGTGCCTGGCTCAGATGCACACCTAAGCTAGGGATCATGGCTTATTTCCTCTGCTTACTTGTGGGGTGGAGTGAAAGTGCCCTCTAGGAACCATGATGGTAAACTATTAGCTACAGCTTGCTGTGATGTACAAAATGGATCACTATCCGGTTTTCGATTTCGTAATGGCAGCCTTTCTTAGAGTGTTTCATTTTTGGAAAAAAGTAACACAGGGAACAGCAAACGGCCATCTCACAAGATCTGAAGTTGACCAAGTCAATAATAAATGTGAAAATTAGAGAATGCTAATTGAAAGGGAAAATTAGTAGAGGCGTTCAGCATTTAAAATCCCCCCTCGCCCCCAGTGCATTGCACAGATAAGTAACAGGATGGATTTTCCGTGCTTAGAAGGAGTGGACGGCAGAAAACAAAGGATTGTGACAGGAAGGGGAAAGGTAGCAACTGGGAGCCCATCCAAGACTCCTTACCAGGTTTTCCACCTCTTCCACCTGTACCTTTCGAGCCTGGAACAGGATTCTTTATTCATTAACTGATCACAGAAAATAGCAGCTGTTGATTTAGGTTTTGCAACACGATGAAAGCAAATTACGCATGTTTTAGGAAAAAAAGAGTGCAAGTTGGTATCAATAACATGAACATTCTGCCAACACATCTGTTTATTTCTCTAGTATTACCTATATGGATAGGGTGGAGGGAGACAAACAAGGGAGACATGAATGATCCATAAGGAAATTTATCTGGCCAAACAGGTCATATGAAGGGGAGAGGAGGTTTAAAGCTGAGGGCCATGTGTTTCTCACAGCAAAGCATCAACGTGACCACTTCTTCTATATGCAATGTTCAGGGTGCAAATGCCACCACTTATGTTGCTAAAACAGCACCAGCCGTGCACAAGTGAGAGTCCTCAGCAGATTTGGGGGAGCCCTACCACCTGCAAAAATCCAGAAAACCTTTAGAAAAAACCCTATGGAGGGGAGGGAACCCCAAATTAGCCCCACATTAGGACTAAGCATGCTCTAAGGCCACAGAATGTTGACTGCTGGGATGGGGCAGGGAACGAGGAATGGAATGCAACCCTGAACAGCAACACCCCACGCTGCAAGATTTTATTACAGGTCCTCTGTTTAAATTACTATTGTTCATCCACTCTACTATGCCTGTGCTGTTGATTCATGCAGTGAATCCCATGAACCAATAAGCACAGCCATAAAGCCAGAGGTGAAGTCACAGTGACCTACCTTTTGGCAAAAATGTGTGTTTGTGTCCCTTTCCCATTGCTATTTTAAGGACTTTCTTTGTGCAATGGGGAAGTACAACAACCCCTTCCTACGGCAGACTCAAGCGTGACTTGAACATGTCATCCAGACTTCCTGTATGCCTTTTGAGCTGTCAAGCTTTGGCCATGAGAAGGTATCCTGTTTTGTTTGCCACCCTAAGACTTTGGCTACATCAGAGGTTTGGTTCACTGTAACATCAACATGACAAAAGAGTCCTTCCTATACGCCCCACAGATGGCTCAAAATGTGAGCACGGCAGCCTTAAAGGAAGTGGATTCTTCCAACCCAGTTTTGGCTGACAAGGGGAATCTCCTTCACTCAACGAGACCTCTGTATCAACTCACCCAATCTACGTGCTAAGGTTTCTGGGCTTGAAATAAGTGGGGCCTCCTCCACCAGCTTCTCTGGGCCCAAATGCCATGGGTCCCCTCTCCCGCTTTAAGCTGGGCCCATCCACAACCACTGCACCTGGCTGCTTCAGAGGGAAAGTTGACACACAGATGCTCACCCAAGTCAACTCGCTCATCCTACGTAGGTTGGCTAGGTTTAACTTGTGAACTGCACCTCACTTGGCCTCCTGGAGAACCATCTCCTGGTGACCAGGGAGGGAAACTGTACAAAATATTTCTTTGTTTTTTAACACTGGGAAAGTGAAGGGAGAAGATATATGTTGCTAACATTGATACGTTCAGCAAGCGGCCTGGTCTGGTAGACTTCTTTTTTGTGGCTGACGGGGTCTGCACTATGGGAACCTATGGGAAGTTAGGGGCCAAGTCAAGACCCTCCTCCACAAGACTCCACTGGCATGTGGCTCCCGGGGCTGTAAAGGGTTCCCAATTCCTATTATAATGCCACTCGCGAGCCATGTGGTCTTTTCCAAGCCACCCAGTTCCATGGTATCTGGGGTCAAAGTTTGATGCATATTAAGCACCATTGAGGTTGGGGTGCTCAACCATTGTGAGAAAAATGCTGGCCAAATCATCTAAAATTTAGAAGTAAAGCACAAAGCTAATACTGATCTATCAACTTACCTCCACCAGGATTTACATTAGGCGTTCCTCCACCTTGTCCAGGGTTGTGGTCATCCAAAGCATCAGCTAAGTCGAAATCCATTGGATCTTTGGCTGTGAAATAGCACATGGATTACCTATTGAATCCATCTGTCGCTCTATAGAGCAGTGGTTACCAATTAGGGAACCTCTGGGGGGTCCACAGAACGCACCCAGGGGGTCTGTGGCCCCATCCCTGGCCTCCCCCACAACTAAATTTTTGTCATTTTTGCATGGTAGTATCACAGAATTTATGGCCTGTTTTTTTAGAATACCAAAATTATCTGCTTATTAGGGCTACCCCACATTTTGTTCAAAAAATTGCTTTGCAGAGGTAAATAAGAGTTACCAAAATTTTCAAAAGTAGGGGAGTCCATGGTTTGGCTTTTGAAAAATAAGGGGTTCTCAGTAATTAGCTAATTGGGAACCACTGCTCTAAAGCATATAATAATCTAATACAAATTCAAACTGGTAGAGACAGTATGTTCTTTTTCCTGCAGCTTGATCCACTGTGCAGGGCAACCTCTGTGCAAAGTGGTAACAGGTCATAACTGAATTACTGAGTAGTTGAAATTGCAGGAAAATATGAAGAGGTCTTTGAATGAATGAATGAATGAATGAGTGAATGAATGAATGAATGAATGAATAGGTCTATTTATACTTTTCCTCCCTCTAGGCTGGCTTTTGAAAACAAAACAAAGTAACAGAACCTTCCCAGTTTGAATTTGTATTAGATTATTATATGCTTTAGAGCTTTTAAGACATCCCACAAAAATAAAACCTACTTCCAGTTTTGCCTCTCACTGTAATATAAGGCATCCCCCCAAAAATAAGACCTCCCCGATAATAAGGCCTCCCCTAACATAAGGACTCCCTGGAATATAAGACCCCCGAAGCTACCGTAGGGCGTCTGACTCCTCTGGACCGTAGCGGCGGGCGCCGCCACGCAGCTCACTGATTGGCTGCAGCGCAGCCGGAGCTGTTCAGGCAGTGCGAGGTCTCTTTGAATCAGAGAGCCCGCGCCACCGCAAGGACAAGCTGCCACCGGCTGCTCGCTCTGCCCTGGCGGAGTCTGGCTGACTCACAATTAGACAATAAATGTATACCGTATTTGTCTTCATGGAAAAATAAGACATCCCCTGAAAATAAGACCTAGCACATCTTTGGGAGCAAAAATTACTACAAGACACTGTCTTATTTTCGGGGAAACAGGGTATATTGCAAGACACACCCTGCACTTAATAGCGTTGTCTGAACCATCATCCTCCCATTTGAGGCCAAAGCTACCGACCAAAGCATGGGAGCAGGAGAAACATTGGGACAACCTTGTCCCTGGATGTACTCTATCATGTTGGCCAAGGCTTATGCAAAGCTGGTGGGCATGGGGACGTCCACAGTTGCCCTGTTTGTGGAATGGTATGCCAGAATAGGCCCTGGAGCATCACACACTTGATTCACTTCCTAGGGAAAATAACACTATCCAGGAAGAAAAAGTGTAATAAGTCCCTTGACACATTCCTGGCATGAGCCATGGGTGTCTTGTGTGCTCTGTAGAGGTTGTCACTTACCTGGGACCTTCTTGGGTGGAGCCTTGGTAGTTTTGGGCTGCTTGGTGGTGGTGTGCATCACGTTCCAGTGGATATCATCTGAAGACAGAGGAACACAAGGGAAGGTGACTCAGAAAGTAGTGGCGATTGGGTAAAGAATGAAAAGATTGGCAGGAGCAGTTTAAGCCACAGGAGGAGCCTCTATCAGGCGGGCTGCTCTCTTCTCACTGCCCACCCACCCTAAGTACGGCCAGGGGACTGTATAAACAAAACACTATTGGGGGCGGGGTTAAGATTTTAAGAGGCGAATTTTCTCTTGAATTATATATACCCATTGTATGGAAATTGACAACAGGACAGCAGAAATGGATTCTACACACCCTAATGGTGGCCAAGAGACTGATAACTGATCAACTGGAAGAATAGAGATACGATTCCCCTTAATCAATGGCTCGACAAGATAACAGTGGCAACCTATGAATGGGCAGCTTATAGCTGCAGACTCTCTTTGGATAAATACCATGATATCTGGAATGAGTTTACACAGAATATATTAGGTTACCAACAATTATATGTGTATCAGGATATTAAGAATATACACATCTGTATATTAATGCATGGCAATTTTGCAGTATTATTTTTTTTCATTCTCACTCACTCCCCCCCTTTCTTTCCTCACTCTAGAAATGAAATTCTCTTAATAAAATATTATTGTTATTAATAAAGTACAGCCGGGGGGGGGCAGAGCCAATAGGGGACACAACAACTAGGGTGGAGTTAGGAGATACAACCCAACTCCCCGCCCCATCCCCACAAGTGATATTGGACAAAACACCCACATACAACTCTTTCCATGAGCAAAAAACAACAGCACTAGGAGCCTGTTGTGTCCATATGTGCTGGGTCATAGTACAGATCAGTGGTGAGGAACATTTTCTGGCTGCAGGTCCAGATCCTTATCTCCTGGATCCCTAGCAGGAGAAATCTGGCAGGTGGGCAAGGCCACCAACTACCTATCAGTCACCTGACGTCACTGTAATGTCAGGCGACGCTGCACTCCTGAGTTGCTGGAACTTCAAAGAGTAGCATGGGTCGGCTTGAAAGCTCTTCTGCAAAACAGCCTTGTGCAGAGAACAAGAGACTCAAAAGACCAGCATGGGGCTGTTTGCAAAAAGGGCATTGAAACAGCTCTGTGCTGCTGTTGCTCCAGGGGAAGGGGGGGCCTCTTTTTTAGCAGCTATTTTGGGGGAAACCACTTTGCACTCCTGGAACAAAGTATGGGACCAGCAAAGGAACAATCACTTCAACCTCCTGATTGTTCCTTTGAAGTCGTGACACATACGACATCAGGTGTGGGACATGTGGGTGTAGTTTGGGGGGGGAGGGAAACAGCCTTATGTGAGGAATAGGGACCCCCTAGAAGGGCAGAGAGGTTCCCCACCCCTGGTACAAACAATGCCCCCCCCACAAGAAGTAAAAGAAAAGGAGAGATGGGAGAAGGGAGAAGCAAAAGCAGAGATGGAAACGTAGGAGAGAAACCAAAATGGAGCATCAGGAAGAACTTGGGGCTCTCAATCCTGTGAAGGTTGACAGTGGGTGGCTCAGGTGTTTAGGAAACTTAGCTTTAAAACAGGGATGGGGAACCTGTGGGCCTCCCCTGCCCCATGTGCTGCTGGACTACAGCTCCCATCATCCTTTGCCATTCGCCATGCTGGCTAAAGCTGGTGGAAGTTGGAGCCCAACAATTATCTGGAGGTTCCCGCCCTTCTGCTATAATAAAGCCTAGTAGGGAAAGGAAGGACTCACCTGGTTTCCTTGGATAAGGACCAGTGGTCACCTTGGTTGATTTAGTTGTCATCTCTGGTGGGGTGTCAAAGTAGTCAGCCAAGTCCAAGTCACCTATTTAGCAGATAAATGCAGAAGCACACACAGAGAGACAAATAAGCCACAGGTGGTTGGGTTTTTCTGCACCGTGTGTATCTTCTCTTCTTCTCCAAGGAGTTCCTGGCTTATCCCATTTTACCTTCACAACTTCCCTGCAAAGCAGCCCAGGATGGCATAATGAAAGAGGGACTCCCTAAGGCAGAACAGAGAGATTCTGGCAGTGACAGCATTCCACTAAAATACAGACACTCCTGCGACTGGTGTGCCTGGTACAGTGTTTTCGTTACTGGTGTGGCTGTAAAGGTTGGAGTCAGCTGCAGGTCAGCAAGAAAGACACAGGGCTCCGTTGTCAGCGAAGTTAACTCTTTATTCAAGGAAATGGCATATTGCTTAGCAACTCAGTAGGTATTGGTATTGCCCAGTAGGTATTGCCACTATGGAGCAGTTGACAGGACTGAAGGTCCCTGCCTTCCCACCTTTCTCCTGGGTATTTCCCAAGCAGTCTCAAACTGTGCTTGCACATCTCTGACCTCTGTCCTGCCCTAATTATTCTGCGCATTCTTGGAGACTAAAGGGGAGGAAGCTTGTTGCAGCAGGAGAGGGAGACTCCCCGGATTCTTCAGCTGCCCCCTGACTCCTCTCTTCTGTTTCAGCCTGAGAGTCTGAACTGTTCCCTGCCACCAGCTCTTCCTGCTCACTAAACCCTGTTGCCCCTTCAGCATCCAGGCCCTCCTCCCAATCTTCTCCCTCTGATTGTCCCACCACCAATCTGCAGGCTTTGAGCCTTCTTCCTCTGGGATTTCCCTTGGGGGTTCCCCGGCTGTTGCCTTCCACAACTCCTTGTTGCCCAGCTAGTCCCTGGCAGTGGCCCACCTAAGGAGTCAAGTTTGTTGAGCTCAGACCCATTAACTCAGTTTCACTGCAACATTTCAAACACATGAGATCGGGGGAGGCAGAGCTGCATGCATGTGCTTCCTCCGTTGCCACATCCCCCCACCGGGTGAAAGAGGTGGAATGGGCAAGGACCAAGCCATGTGGCAATTCTGGTGGTAGCAGGAGCCTTGGGACTTCTTTGCCCAGTTGGTTCTCTGCATTGCTTCTTCATCCTGCCCCTACAACCCAACCAGAGGCCTCTACCACTCCATTAGCCAGCATCAGCCCCAAGAAGAAACAGAAAGCGTTTGCAGGGTCTGTCAGACCCCACAACCTGCAATCAATAGTTGCCATTCCTACCCAGAAACACTTAGTTGTCTCTAAATCAAATAGCAATTTCTCCTGGGTTTGGTCCCTTCTGGGTTTGCTCATGATCTGTTTGCACAAAGTACGTATGGAGTCTAGATGTTTTCAGCTATTTATCGCGCACTCATTTTGATTTGTTTGCAGGGAGGTTAGACAATGACTTGTCAAGCAAATGTGATTCCAATGCATTTCCCCATCACTTTCCTTACTGCAGAAAGTCCATTTCTTTTCTATGGAGCAAAGCAGGTTAGTTGTGCCAACAGCTTTAAATCATCTTTGATTGCAGAACTTGAATTTGCCGCTGTGTGATTAAATCCCACCTGCAAAGAGCAACTTGCCCCTGATTCACTCCACTCTTTTGCTATAAATAAGAGATAGCAAAACATCTCACCTGTTCCGCTGGAAGGCTTTTTGGGTGGCTTGGGAGTAGCTGTAGTTAAGACAAAAAGAGGGAAGGAGGACATTTTAACTGGATGAAGAATTAAAAAGTTCACTGAATCTCACAGCACAAGCACATGTGTACTCAAAAGCAAGTCCCATTGAGTTCAATAACCACTGAGTTTATTATTAAGCTGTAAATAACTGTAGGAGGTGCCTGCATCTGTGAAAACATCAATATATAATGAAGTTTGCTCTCCCCACCCAGTTCTCTCCAGCATAAGGGTGACTTACGCCGTTTCGTTGGAATGCCATCATCCAGTGCATCCTCTAAATTGAAGTCAAAATCATCAGCATATCCTAGAGACAAAGAAATCGCACATGTAAGTTATTGGCTGCATTTATATCCCACCTTTCCTCTAAGGAGCTCAAGGAGCTATACTAGTTCTCCCCATCCAAACTGCATCCTCACAACAACCCTGTGAGGTAGGTAGGCAGGCAGGCAGAGAGACAGCAACTGTTCAGGGAATTTTTAATGTTTGATGTCTTGTTGTGTTTTAATTTGTTGGAAGCTGCCCAGAGCAGCTGGAGGAACCCAGTCAGATAGCGGCATATAAACACATACATACATGCACACATAACCAGTAGGCTTCGTGGCTGAGTAGGTCCTACTCTGACACTCTAACCTAGTGGTCCTCAGAAAATTTTATCTGGACCACACTTTCAGAATAAAAATTTGCTCGATTTTTTTTATTGGGAATAAATCCATTGGAAAACAAAAAGAAACCTCTCCTAGCGGTGCTTGATTTATAACGTACCACACAACTACTTCAGAATGTAATCGTGGGGCATCCAGAATGTATAAAACAATGCAGTTATATAAGAACGTGAATCATTCCCAAAATATAAATATAAACGAGCCTCTTACATATGTACCTTAAGTAGGTATACAGACTCAATGAGAGGTGTGAGCTTGCTTTTGCTGGGTAATCTCATTTATATAAGGTCTATTTTGAGACAGAACAAGCTTTAATCTTCTCATCAGCACAAAGAAGTCTTACTCTTTTCTGGTCTTTCATATTTGTCAAGAGTTGAATATCACTGTTCACCGCAATATGTAGAAGAATAGCTAATGCTCTTGAAGAGAGGCGTGAATACCATTTCTAATTGTATAGACATTCAACACAGAAATGTTGAAATGTTTATTTGATTGCCCTTGAATCTTCCCACCAGGCTTGCCACACCCTTGGAGAACCACTGCTCTAACCACTACATGACCAGTCTCTAATCCCCAATATAGGGAGGTCATCAATTGAAAACAGAAGGTGGCAAGGCAGCATTTAGCCAGATTGCTTCAGCTTGTGACACGTTTTCAAATCTGTCCCTTCCCATTGGGTCCAGCCACTTTCCCAGAATCTCATCGCTGTGAAATTGCAGGGCAAGTCAGAGTTTAGGTTCTCTGTTTGTCTCTCTTTGTCTATAAATGCATGGGCTTCACTCATGTTTGTCAAGGCAGAGCCTACTGATTCTTCCATCTCTCAATATGCCACTCATCTGTGGATGTTCTCCTGGTTATTATACGTTTGGAGGGAAAACACTGTAAAAATATTGGCACATAATCTGACAAAACGGGGGGGGGGGGGGAAGAATGAGAAACAACACCTAGCCGATACTGCATCTTTTATCAAAACGCATTCCAAGATGAAAGATAATAATTCTATATTTGCACTGAAAGGGGTGGAAGGGAGGGAAAAATTGAGATAAGGATATTATGGCAGATCTCTGAGTGATTTACGGTAAATAAGGATTTCTGACTCTGGACGGTTTAACAATAGACACACACACACCCCTATTTCCCCAAACTAGGCTGCTGAAATGAAGAAAGCGGTTGTGGGGAGAGACCAAGGACCCCTCAAGACGGGTGCTTTATTACAGGTGTATTCTGCAATGTATTCTTGATACCACAATCGTACGCTGGAGGTGAATTTACTCTGCTTCATTCGTCGTTCTGTGATGCTTCCCCAATAAAACCAATATTATTGCTATCTGGAGGGCCTAGAGCACAACAGAAGCAGGACAAATACTATTTCTCTCAGCCCAAGGACCAAATTCGCTTGTGAACAAGCTTCCTGGGACCAACAGTGGGTGTGGCCAGAGGCAAAAAGTGCCTCTTTTGTAAAGCAAGCTACATCTCTCCCAAGTCAAAGGCGTGTCTGCAGCCTCCATCTGAGCAATGAAGAAACAATATCAGAGTTCAAGGACACAATTCAGTCAGGCAAAAGGACTTGGTGAGGCTGTGGACCAGAGCAAATGAGGGTTGGGGTCTGCGGAGGAAGCGTGGCCTGAGGAGAGTCCCAAGGGGCTGCTTTTGAGCCCCAGGTCTGAGTTCTCACTCTACTGATGGTTGCAACCTTTAATCCTTCATCTTGGGAGCCTTTTATTATTGTTACTTTTACTCCCCCATTACCGACTGTTGGCTTATCCGCTCTTGATGCGTTTTTGCCTTCATACATTCTGGATTTTACGTCTCTCGGCTCATGCGAAGTTAACGCAAAAACGAGAACGTTCAAATGGCTTCCCTTGGATTCCAGCTGCTAAATGGATTTAGCTGCTGCCACCTGAGCTCTGACATCTTCCATGAATAAATTTAAGGCTCGAATGACAAGGCCAGCAACAATGGGGGAAGGCACCGGGGCTGGCAGGAAGCAAATGTCAGCATTTCAACCGGGGGGAGGGGAGAGAGCAGGGGCAAAGGGGAGGGGTGCAAAAATGTCCGACTCCTATGTGGTTGGGACATAGCCTACATGGTCCAGTTGCAATGGTAAGGCTCACATTCCTTGCTCTGCCCACCTTTGCTTTGGTCCCACCCACTGATGTGGCATTCGGTCTCCTGGAATGGTACCCCTCCCCCAAAGAATGTAGCTCCTGGGCTGAAAAGGCTTCCCCACCCCTGGAGAACAGGATTGCAGCCATAAGGCGCAATTCCTACCACAACAACCACCAATTCTATCCTTGTGGTCACTCTGTCTGGTAGACTGGGCTACGACGTAGTTACTGGCCAACAACACCGGAATCTGGTGGGGAATCTGACCCTAGGTAAAGGGACCCCTGACCATTAGGTCCAGTTGTGGCCGACTCTGGGGTTGTGGTGCTCATCTCACTTTACTGGCCGAGGGAGCCGGCGTACAGCTTCCAGGTCATGTGGCCAGCATGACTAAGCCACTTCTGGTGAACCAGAGTAGCGCATGGAAACATGAAATTGGAAACACCGCATGGAAACACCGTTTACCTTCCCGCCGGAGTGGTACCTATTTATCTCCTTGCACTTTGACGTGCTTTCGAACTGCTAGGTTGGCAGGAGCAGGGACCGAGCAACGGGAGCTCACCCCGTCGCGGGGATTCGAACCACCGACCTTCTGATTGGCAAGTCCTAGGCTCTGTGGTTTAATCCACAGCGCCACCCGCATCCCTACTTATCTATTAATTAAATTTGTATACTGCCCTTGCATTGCAGGGGGTTAGACTGGATGACCCTCAGGACCCCTCCCGATTCTATTGATTTCAGGGCAGTTCACAACATAATAAAAGCAAAGCAAAAAATGAAACCTAGGTATCTCAAGTCCCAGTTTTCTACTCCACCCAGGCTGGCTTTACCTTTCCTTATGTGGGGGAATCCCCTCCTACATTGCAAAAAAGAGCCCTAAGGGAATACGTCTGGGGGAAAGGCAGCAGAGCATCTGCTTTGCATGCAGAAGGTCCCGGGTTCAACCCTGCCAGCCAGTGTAGGCAGTACTGAGCTAAATGGTCTCACTTGTTATAAGGGAGATTCCTGTGTTCCTGCCTTCAGACTTGCAACTAAGTCAAGTGGGTTGGCTTCCTCCTCCTCAATCTCAGGAGTGACACTGGGGAAGTCTGAGGAGGAGGACAAGCCACGCTGGTTTTCTGAGAAAACGGGACACAAGAGTTATAAAAGAATGCTAATGTGCAGCAGAAGCAGCCAGTGGGGCAGGGTGGAGCTGATCTCCCAATAGCAGCATCGCTGCAGCTTACCTGAATCCACCAATGTGCCCCCCCATGGTCCCACCCTCGCCACCGCCCTGCCCCACCCCACCCTTGTCTGAGTAAGTTGCATCAATGCTGGTGTAAAGAGGACAGATCTGACACTTTGCCGTACCAAAGCAGCTGCTATGGTTTAGGAGCCAGCTACAAAAACAGAGCAACTTTGGCCTGGTGAAGATGCAAAATGAACGTCTGCACACAGACACACCACTGCAATGCTTCTTCTAATCCTAGGATCAATAGAAACAATTTAAACCTTGCTGAAGGTAAAGGCCCAGGGGCAACCCAAAGTTTACATTTGTATGCAAGAAAAGGTTTTCTCTCCTCACCCGCCCCTTTTTCTTTTCCCTTTCCTGTCTCTCCCTGATTAAATAAATGCTAAGAACACCAATTCATTATACTCCAAGGTGATGCAATTAACAGGTTTGTTTTTAACACAGAAGAATGCAACTGTTGCAAGGAGCTGTTTCGTAAAGGCGGCTGGAGGGCTGTTGTCCAAGGGCTGCATACAGAAACCAACATCAAATCCATCTCACAGTTTGGAAGCATTTACTAAAGGGACATCTTTCTGTTTATTTGAGGGATTTGTATTCTGCCCTCCACCCTTTTTTACCTGAAAAGAAATCAATAAAAACTTAAGATACAATAGAGCCCGAGGGCCACATTCCCACCTGAGCAACTTCCCAAGGGCCACATGTCAATGGGGCCAGAGATAAAAGTTGCTGGAACATCAAATGTAATTATTATCTCTCTACAGCAGCTTCTGCTCACTCAGCCGTCTCCATCCTCCATCCGCACATACCTGGGGTAGCTCAGTCGGTACAGCATGGGACTCTGAACCCCAGGGTCAAGGGTTCGAACCTCATGTTTGGCATATATATATATATATATTCCTGTATTGCAGGGGGTTGTACTAGATGACCCTCGTGGTCCCTTCCAATTCTACGATTCGGATTCTAAACCAAAGGTCTTACTAGAATTAAAAGACACACTCCAGCCAGGCAAGACCACTTGGGTGTGTAAATTCTGGAGCACTCCAAATCATTTGCTTATGTTCACAGTGCACCGAAAATAGCAAATCTAGATGAAAAGCAACACATAGAGAGCTTATGCACTTATGATTGAAATGTGTCCGTAATTATTGCTGCTGTGTAAGATTGTATAAGCTTAGAACATTATATAATGTCAGAAGGGGGTATCGATGGAAGGACTCACAGTCGTGGGAGGAAATTACGAAGGGAGGTGTGTAGGAAGCTGCCTTTATTCTAGGTCAGGCTCTGTGTCCTACCCAACCCAGTGTTGTGTACTCTGACTGGCAGCAGGCCCTCCAGGGTCAGAGATCTCCTGCCATGGATCCTTTTAACTGGAGTTGCAGGGAACTAAACATGAGACCTTCTGCATGCAAATGATGTGCTCTAGCACTGAAAGACTGAGCTATGCTTTCCAGGCACAGTCTGCCACACACCCCTCCTTGTGTTGCCACCACTACGCACCAGGCAGAAGAGAAGCCATTTTTTTGGGACAGCGGAACAGCATTAAGCAGAGATTTCCTGGAAGTTGGCTGTGATTAATAATGCATTGCCCGCTAATTGAAGCCAAAGTCTCTGCCTTGCCCGTGGAGGTTAACGGAGACACGCGAAGCCTTTATGGATCAATAATAGGCTGTCAATATGGCAGTCACTGCTACTAGTGCATTGTTGTGCAAAGCAAAAACGGCACAGCTCTTGGGTTTAACCACTGTCAGGATTTTTATTTATTTTTGAAGGTGTGTGTGCGGAAATTGGCCTTTTCACAGCTGAATATTTGGCGGTCAGAAAACACAGGATAGAAACTTTATTCCTGCTTGTCCTGGGTCCATAAGATACCTTCATTTTCTTTATGGTGCATAGATAGAGTTGTACTGAAGTGAAAGATTTATCTTCCACTGACCAGTAAGCATTTGGCGACTTTGCTGTTCTACTCATGGTTGAGGCAAACCTGGAAAAATCCACTTGACTAGTCGCCTGTGGTGAGTGAGAACTACCTTAGGCAATCAAGCAGGAAAGAGATACCAAAATGTAGCTCTTCTCAGATGATAAATTATTATAACAGGCTTTTTATGTGTTAAGCATTAATAGGCTAGTAACTTTTGGTTGAGGGACGCGGGTGGCGCTGTGGTCTAAACCACTAAGCCTCTTGGGCTTGCCGATCAGAAGGTCGGCAGTTTGAATCCCTGTGACGGGGATGGGCTCCCGTTGCTCAGTCCCAGCTCCTGCCAACCTAGCAGTTCGAAAGCATGCCCCAAAGTGAAAGTAGATAAATAGGTACCACTCCGGTGGGAAGGTAAAAGGCGTTTCCGTGCTCTGGTTTCACCAGAAGCGGCTTAGTCATGCTGGCCACATGACTCGGGAAAAACTGTCTGCGGACAAACGCCGGCTCCCTTGGCCTGTAAAGCGAGATGAGTGCCGCAACCCCAGAGTCATCCATGACTGGACTTAACTGCCCAGGGGTCCTTTACCTTTTTAAAACTTTTGATTGAGGTGTTCAGGATGCTTAGGTATCCAGAATGACAAAATGGACCAGTGAACAAGAATGGGGTATCAGCAGGTATGCTTAATCCAAAGGCTTGTAGGTCTACACAAAACTCTTAAGCGACAACACCCCCACAAAAAAAAAAAAAACCCTAATGAGGATTGAGCATACTCAACAGCCATGGAAGACTGAATTACGGGAGTGAGTAATGGAAAATCAGGTTGGTATATATTTGCCCTCCAGGCAAGCAAGAGGAATGCTCAGAATTCCAAAGACAGCCCAGTCAGGCAAAAATACTTGGGAAGGTGTACAAAGCAGGGCAGGTGAGAGACATGGCCTGGAAGAGGGGGCATGGCTGGGAAGAGTCCTGAGGATCAGTCAGGAGAGGCCTGGAGAGCTGCATCATGCCCCCAGCCTTGGCCCTGGCCTGATTACTGTGTTTCTTCTTCTTCTTTGCATTATTCCAATCCTTGCTGCAAAGTCCAAATTCCATAGAAGTAGAACATACATTAAGACTTAAAATAGATTTCTATTTTCCATCCTATATCAGCAACATTCATGCATACCCAAACACACACACATATGAGTAGCAAGCTTTTTTGAAAAAAGGTCTCCTTTCGCATCCTGTGCCAAGAAAATGCCCTCAGCCACTGGAAGCCTGAGCAGCTGGACACATACAGTTCTGCGGAGGAACTTCTCTTCCTTGTCTAGCTAATGACCCGTAACTTCGGTATCCCTCCTTCTTTTCTTCTCTCTGCCTTGGCAGTGGATTGTTGTCTCTCCCCCCCCCCCCCAGGTTTGGCTGACATGACAGACAAACCATCATTTGCGGAGGCAGCAACAACCTGTTCCGTCAGCCGTCTACACCCTGCAAAACAGAAGCAGGCTCCTTTCAAGTCACAGTGCCGTGCCCTTGTTGGCAAGAATGTGATTGCCAAGAGTCTTGAGAATCTGATCAGGACAGCTTTTAACTAGATCTTGAGGGGGAGGGAGAAAACAATACGAACAACAAAAGAGCACCTGGCACTGGGGATAACAGCTTCATTGATGCACAGGAAACTGAGGTGGCGGTCCTGCTAAAGGGCAAAAAACTACGGGAAGGAAGCAGCTGCAGGGAACAACTCATGGTTTCAGTTGTCTCTACACAAATGCACAGAGTATGGGAAACAAGCAAGATAAACTGGAGCTTTTAATAAAGGATGGCAAATACGACCTGGTAAGTATTACTGAAACCTGGTGGGATGAGACTCAGGACTGGAATGTAGGAATTGAGGAGTATAACCTGTTTAAAAGGAATAGACCAAACAGGAAGGGAGAAGTAGCATTACAGTATATATAAAGGATGTGTACACTTGTGAAGAAATCCATGACCTGGAGCATGAAAAGCAGATGAGTGTATATGGGTAAAAATTGTAGGAGAGAGAAACAACAGTGACCTTACTGTGGGTGTCTGCTATAGACCGCCAAGGCAAACTGAAGACTTGGATGATGCCTTACTAGAGCAGATTACCAAACATTCAAAAAGGAGAGAAATAGTAATCATGGGAGACTTCAAATTCCCTGTTATCTGTTGAAATTCAAACTCTGCCAAGAGTGTAAGAGTGTAAATTCCTCCATTGCATCGCTGGCAATTTCATTTCCCAGAAGGTGGAAGAACCAACTAGTAATGCTATTCTAGGCTGCTAATGCTATTCTAGGCTGCATCAACAGAAGTATAGTGTAAGTATAGTATAAAGGGAAGTAATAGTACCACTCTATTCTGCGGGTGGTGCTGTGGCTTAAACCACAGAGCCTAGGACTTGCCGATCAGAAGGTCGGCGGTTCGAATCCCCGCGACGGGGTGAGCTCCTGTTGCTCAGTCCCTGTTCCTGCCAACCTAGCAGTTCGAAAGCACAAAGTGCAAGTAGATAAATAGGTACTGCTCCGGCGGGAAGGTAAACAGTGTTTCCCTGCACTGCTCTGGTTCGCCAGAAGCGGCTTAGTCATGCTGGCCACATGACCTGGATGTACGCCGGCTCCCTCTGCCAATAAAGTGAGATGAGCGCCGCAACCCCAGAGTCGTCTGCGACTGGACCTAATGGTTAGGGGTCCCTTTACCTTTATTCTCCCTTAGTCAAACCACACTTAGAATACTGTGTCCAATTCTGGGCATCACAATTTAAGAAGAAGAAGAAGAAAAGAAGAGTTTGGATTTGACATCCCGCTTTTTCACTACCCTAAGGAGTCTCAAAGCGGCTAACGTTCTCCTTTCCCTTCCTCCCCCACAACAAACACTCTGTGAGGTGAGTGGGGCTGAGAGACTTCAGAGAAGTGTGACTAGCCCAAGGTCACCCAGCAGCTGCATGTGGAGGAGCGGAGATGCGAACCCGGTTCACCAGATTACGAGTCTACCGCTCTTAACCACTACACCACACTGGCTCAAGGATGCTGACAAGCTGGAATGTGTGCAGAGGATGGCAACCAAGATGATCAAGGGTCTGGAAACTAAGCCTTATGAGGAGCGCTTGAAGGAGCTGGGTATGTTTAGCCTGGAAAAGAGGAGATATGATTGCCATCTTCAAATATCTTAAGGGCTGTCACATGGAAGAGGGAGCATGCTTGTTTTCTCCTGCTCTGGAGGGTAGGATTCAAACCAATGGCTTCAGGATGCAAGAAAGGAGATTCCGACTAAACATTCGGAAAAACTTTCTGACAGTCAGAGCTGTTTGGCAGTGGAATGGACTCCCACGAGAGGTGGTGGACTCTCCTTCCTTGGAGGTTTGTAAGCAGAGGTTGGATGGCAACCTGTCATGGATGCTTATTTGAGATTCCTGCATTGCAGGGGGTTGGACTAGAGGACCCTTGGGAATCTATGGAATCCATGATTCCTTGTTGATAAAAGTTCTATAGAGTGGAGCCATTCACCACACAGTGAGAAACGTTAACCCTTTGCAGCTGGAGCCTGTGCTTTAAAATGCTCACTTGTTCTGGATCTGCTTGGGCTGTTGGATTTCCACAGAACATGGGAACATGAGCAGGAGCTTCCCCCGTCACTTGTGATGGTGATGTCGTCATGTAATACAACCTGGGTCTTGTTTTCCCCCTTTTTGAAGGCAGGGGCAACATTTGCAGGGACCTCACCTGTTCTCCAAGAATTCTCAAAGATTATAGGCTGTCTGTTATTACTGTTTGTTTGCCTTAGCAATTGCCCTCACAATGCCAGCTCTGGGATGAAAGAGCATTAGGCAAATTCACTGAGGATAAGGCTATACTGGTTGCTACATTCTGCCTCTAGGCTGGAGGCTGTAATTGATTGATTGATTGATTGATTGATTGAGTGGTTGGTTATTTAATTTCTATACCGCTTAATATATTAAAATATCTCTAAGCAGTGTACAGAAAACTGAAGCTGCAACGCACAACTGAAATTATTACAAAAATACACTTACATATAGAAATGTTACATTAATACAAATATATATATTAATTCATTTTCCTTTGGACACACCCTCCCTCTTCTGAATGCCAGTTGCTGGAAACTGCAGGAGGGGAGGATGATCTTGTGCTCAACTTCCTGCTTGCAGATTTCCCACAGGCATTGGGTTGGTAACTGTGAGAACAGGATACTGCACTAGATGGGCCACTGGCCTGATCCAGAATACTCTTTTTATGCTTTTATGCTGGGTATGGACGTAGGCTTCAAAAGCAAATGGGTGGGGGGAACACCATTTCCCCCAAAAATACTGACATATGGTCTCATTCAATACAAGGGGACTTTCCATGGAATTCCTGTGTCTTGGATCTCAAGGGAAACCCATCTCTCACCAAAGCATCTATCGTTGGCACCGGTGGCAGCCCTAGCAGCAGAGAATGGTTTTGCGACAGAGGGATCAGGATGAGTTAGCAAACCATTGGGTGGTAGAGCCAGGAATTGTGCCACTGAGCTGTGACCCTGTCAGATGATCCCTTTAAGGGAAGCCTGCCAACATCTTTGGGCACGTTTGACAATGGCGAGATTGAATCAGTGTGAAGTCAATAGGCAAGATGTTTCTGAGAGGCACTTGGATTCACATCTGAGGAAAAACATTTTTCCATGCAAAATTCACTCAAGCAACTGTTAACCCCAGCCATAATTCAAAAGCTTTATTGGGGAATTTGGATTCCGAAAGAGGTTTATAGGAATGTAGCAAGATGCCTTATATGTACTGGATCTAGCCATTTAGCTCAGTACTCTCTACAGCAGCTCTCTAGAATTTCAGACAGGTGTCTCTACGGGGAGCTGGCTTCCAGCACCAAACCCGTTGGCAGACCGACTCTCGTTACAAAGATGTCTGCAAACGTGACATGAAAGCTGGCAACATCAACCCCGCCATGTGGGAATCCCTTGCAGAGACAGACAGTCAGATCTTGCATCCACAGCAGTGACCAGAGAAGGAATGACTGCTGGGAGGAGCTCAGAGAGAAGGGACGCCATGGTGCATCTGCAGCGGCACAACCAGACGCCTTCATCTGCAACAAAACAGGTCTCTCCTGTATTGGTCTCTACAGCCACAGCGGGTGCTGTAACTCTTCATCGGATTGACTTCCCCTCCAAAGGCGTACTCCTCCACTGTCTCCTGAGACAGGCAGATGCCAACAACAACGTCTCCTCCAGCCCTACCTAGATATGTTGGAGACTGAGCCTGGGATCTTCTGCATGCAAAATGGGCTCTCTGTCTCTGTGCGACACCCCTTCCCAGTTCCAGTCATGCCAAGGGGTAGCAGGTGGGGGTGGCTTTGTTCTGTGTTTTTCAAACTGCAGCACCACAACACCTCCGAAACCTTGACCCTCTTCTCAAATGTATACATCACTGATACAGATGGAACTTACTTCTAAGTAACTGGGCTTAGAGTGGCAGACTCAGCCAGCAATCCAAAACATACTTATTAAAGAGTAAGTCCCACTGAACTTCTGTGTCGATGTGCTCAGGAATACACTGCTAAGAGTCTGAGGACCAAAAGCCATTGCTCATTTAGGTATGCAGCATACTGCCCAACACCTGGGGCTTATTGCTATCTCTTTCTCTTATTTATTCTCAGAACAATTTGGTGGGTCTGATGCCTTAGATTGCTATCAGCAGCAATCTAAGAAGGTCTTTTTGTCTGGAATGGCACAGACAAATGAGAGTAAGCAAAGCAGAGCAGCTGCTAAACTAAAAGTGTATTTTACTCAGAGGTGGATTGCACACAGGAAGCAAGAGCATAAACCTGCCTTGCTAGATCAGACCAAAGGTTCCATTTAGTTATCTCCAGATGAAGTTAGCAGGATGCCCTTGGAAAGCTCACAAACAAGTCCAAGAGAGAGACAGAGGCTTCTCCTATTGTGTTTCCCCTCCACACACAAAATTGTCATTGCTAATTACTATTGATAAGATTCACCCTCCAGGCATTTCCCTAAAATTTTGTAACTCGATTAGACATACCTTGGAGCAACTGCAATACAGATAAGAAAACAGGGCTGAGGCATAAAGGTTTAATTCAGACATCACAACCAAACCATGGTTGAACAAGCATAACTGTTGTTGGACATCATGCGTATCACCCAAGGTACCACTGTACATAAATCCAGCACTGCCAATATCTACCAGTTGATCCAGATCCATATGCATTTTATCCACCTTGGTCTTTCCCACCTTTAGTACAAAACATCTGGGGAACTGCAGCCAGTTGGGGAGGCGAGAAAGGCTAAACAGAAAAGTGCAAACACTCCCTTCAGCCTTACGCCCAATCTCCACCCCCACCCCCAAATCGTAGCTGCAGCTTTGGCGTTCTCCATGCACCATTTCCTCCCAAACAATACCTTTGTCACTGTGAGTGGCTAATCCTGCTCTTGTCCTGATCTTTCCAGCACCCATCCTTGGCTGCCCCAGCCCTTATCCTGCTGGAGTTCCAGCTGCTCCGCTTACTGACATACGTTCTTGACCCCACTACCTGCACTATGCTTCCCAGTGCTCTGCCATAGGTCTCCCAATGGGGCTTGGTACAGTGCAATGCCCACTTCCTGATTAAGCCCCTCCCTGCCTCTCCAAGCTTTTTCTGTGTCTCACTCCTTGCACCACCTGAGGAGATAACAGCAGCACAGCAATGACTCAATCTGTGTTGTCCTTAGGATGCAATCCCTATCGAGCACAGCAAGGCCCACTGATTTCAACAGGACTTGCTTCTGAGCACGTATGCATAGGACTGCACTGTCAGGAATGCCTTGCAACTGGATTTGCATTTCTGTAAACCGCCTTGGTGCTTAATTCAATTGCATTTACTTTGGGGTGAGAAAACCTTTTGATGCTGTGGGCCAGATTATTGCAGGCTAAATTTGATGGGGCCTTGAAATGATATCAGGTGAGACTCTGGATTTGGACTTCCAGATTCCAGTTCAAGGCCACTACCTCACCAGAGAAAACTCTGCAACTTATTTTAGTTTTTGTTTAGTATTTTATTTTATTTAAGTTTGGCCTGAGATATGCTGACTCTCAAATGCCCGAGTTTTGCTGGACTGCAGTAAGCAGCTGCTGCATTTTATTTAGTGGCCTCTGATATCAGGTGAGTGGGTGCTTTGAAACCCCGAAGCTGGGACTTCAAAGCATTGTGTAGGGCATGGGAAGAGCTCACATTATAGTTCCCAATTGCAGCCACATAGAATCATAGAACTGTGGAGCTGGAAGAGACCCTAAGGGTCATCTAGTCCAACCTCCTGCAATGCATGTCTACCTGCCCCATATATTACATCAGGTGCAGGGCAGGTGGCTGTGGTTTGGGAGAAAACAGTCTGGTGGACCAAGTTTGGTTAGCAGGATGGAGACTTTCCACCAGTGTAAGATTAGCTGGTCTAAACTTCTCTTTTAACTGTTTATTTGTCTTTAAAGGCATTATACAGAACAATAACATGCAATAAACTCCCCCAGTAGGGGAGGAGAAATCACCCAACCAAGTTTCTAGGCTGGCATCGGTAATGGGCCCAATCCTGGGGCCCCTTGAGGGAACAGATGAGCTTTGGATCCAGCACATTCAAGCCTGCCTTTGCCCCACCTCTCACACACCCAATGATCCACTTGTATAGGAGCACAGGTAGGCTTATACCTAAGCAAACTGTCTGCCCATCTAGTCCCATGACTAGTACACTGACTGGAAGGCAACAGCCCCCCAGGATTTCAAGCAGGGGGGCATTCCCAGGGCTACCCTGGAGATGCCACTGAGAAATGAACCTTTGCATCCTTTGAATGCAAAAGCAACTTCTGTGCCACTGAGCCATCGCACTTCCCCCAACTGGAAGACTCTTGACACCTGCTTGAAAAGGAAAGTGGGTGTGGGGGTGTGGGGCAGATGTGGGCAAGATGACATAATATTTTCTTGCCTGGAATAGAAGGACCAGACACTGGGTAAAAAGAGAGGTATCCCCATTAGAACGGGGAGAGTCAAAAGGAACAAAAGGCTTTAGACTGATTGGAAAGGCAGTTAAATAAGCGCAGGAAAGAAGAGACAGTAGGAAGAATCGGCACCATGCCCGCATAGGAACCTAGAATGCTGCCTTATACCGAACTGGTTCAATGGCCCATCTAGCTCAGTACTGTCTACTCTGACTGGCAGCAGCTCTCCAGGGTTTCGGGAAAGGGCCATTCCCAGACTACCTGGAGATGCTGCTGAGGAACGAACCTGGGAACTTCTGCATGCAAAGCAGGTGCTCCACCACTGAACTACAGCTCCACCCCTTTGGGAGCCTAATGACAGCTGCCATCACTCAAAACACAGCTGGCTGTGGACCTATGCCAGCCCAATTTTCCATGGGCACAGGAGAGGCTCCGTGGTGGACATTCCTCTTCTCTCTGGAAGAACGTCTGTATCTTGGGATTTGGATTGCTCTGGCCTATATCTTTTCCCATTTTATCTTTTAATGAAAAATGTAAGCCCCCACAAATTAGGGTGGGGTTCCCCCCCTAATTTTTCGACCCTCCCCTGGCTTCCATGTCTCTAGTTTCTATATGCTATTGTTTGCTGTCGTAATATGCCCTGATATTTCTTACTATTTTCTTCTTTTTTATTGTTGTTGTTGCTATTATTATTATTACTATTATTGTTGCTGTTGTTGTTTTGTTGTTGTTGTTGTTGTTGTTATTAAATTATGGCAAATGTAAGGAACTATATGCTACCCTTTTGTTTGCAACGTTCATTCTGTTATTGCTAACTATGGGAAAAGGGCAGGACTCTGAAGCCCAACCCCTGAAAAATTTCTTCTGCCAACTCCCTAGCTTCCAAGGCTGCAGCTGGCGAGAACATCTTCGCAATATTGAGGACTGGTTACATGTGTTCAGGACAAAATGAACACAGGGATCTCTGAATTCCACACCTAATGTCACATCCCATTCTCTTTGTGTTCTCTAGTCAAACTGCAGCCTGGATTCACCACACGGAAGATCTCCTGTTAAGGGCTGCTCAAGAAAGCCACAATTTGCCTGCACATCTGTGCATAAGGTGTAAGATTAGCTAATAACGAGAAGACCTCTGTCAAAACAGTTTTCCTAGAAAGGAAGGTATGACCCAATTGTAGGGGGTGGGATTTTCACCCACCCATCTCCTTCCACCACAGAGAAAACAGGTGGCTGTGACAGTGGAAAAGAGACGGACTAGGAGAAATTCAGAAAACTTCAAAGGCAAGCTTCCATGTTTGTGAAAAGCAGCCTCTCTGTGCTTAAGCAGACAGGCTCCTCCAGCCAGACAGAGCAATCTGTCACAAAGGAAACTGTGGCAGACCCAGTCTCCCTCATTTGCAATAAAGAGAAAAAAGAAAGAAAAGGCTTTTTTTTCCCGGTGTCTTGCCCTACTTTCAGCCTTGCAGACACTGTCTTGAAGGTTTGCTGTCTGCCGAGACAGAAGACACAGCTGCTCAGCAGTTCACGTGAACAGAAGTGGCTTCTCTGTCTCTCGCAAAGCTGCAGGGATTGAAATTGGGCAGGGTACAGAGACAGCAGCCAAAGCCGGGTTTCACATCCTCAAGGGAAGGGTGTGAGCAAAATGCAGGTGGCCATGGTCATTTTTGGATGCCACATGACAGCATGGTGGTTGCTTAACAGAGCATCAAAACTCAGGCAGATCATTTTCACGGCTGTGTGTGCACATTTATTCAGTTTTATGTAGGCTGGCTTTTTAAGCACCAAAAGCAGCTTACATCTCATAATAAACACATACACATGAATAATGGGAAAAGACTGCAACACGTTTTTAAAAGCTAGCAGGTCAGTTAAAATTTTTTTAAAAACTGCAAAAAACTGGCATACATCTGAGAACAGATTGCTAAAATAACCATCTCAATTAAGAATATTTTACATTATTTGATCTGAAATGGTATTTATATAAGTTGTTATTGTTGATATTTTCTATTATTAAATGCCTTTGAAAAATAAATGAGCCTTCTAAGCCACTTATTGCATGGGGGCTTTCTGTGCCTTCATGGAGTAAGGAGTTCAATAATCTAAGGGGTCACCACAGAAAAGGCCCCGGCTCATCATGCCTGCAGACTGGATCAACCCTACTTACCAGCATGGACTCTCAAGGTAGATCTTAATGCCCAAGCAGTTTCATACATGCCTGCTAAAATAACTCGGTTCCAAACTAATTAAAGCTTTAAATATAATTAGCTTAGCACTGTGTCTGAACCCAAACGAACTGATTAGTCACAATTATAGCTGACTAAAACAAGCCAACTTCAAACCACGGCGTTAAGACTAACCACACTTTAGGGTTAATAAAAAATGGAAATGGAAATCCGCTAGCCCACGGCTCATTCGTGTAACGTAGATTAGTGTTATAACTAAACAAGGCCTCGAAGACAAATGTTTTTAAAATAATTTTAAACAATTTTAAAATTTAATTTAGGGATGCAGGGTCTGTAGCCCTCAAGATATTATTAGGCGCCAACTCTCATAATCTTGGAATATTGGTCATGCTGGCTGGGGCTGATTTTATTTTTCTTTATTTATTTAATATCCTGCCTTTCTCCCAGTGCAGGACCTAAGACAGCTCACGGCATGAGTTAAAACAAATACAGCTAAAAACACACAATTTATTCTTTTTTAAAAACACACACAAACACCAGTTAAACAAGTAATGCTATTAAAAACAGCACTGAAAACACTTAAAAGAGAATGTGCAACACCCACCCCTAGATGGGAGTCCAACAACATCCACAAATTCTTCACCCTTGCAATAAACTAGACTAATAAACTGTTACAGCATCATTTGATGAAATCCACCAAGGACAGATTTTTATCAATGGAGCTGAGAGTTGAGCGATACTAATTTCCTATTCGAGGTAATTTTGGATTCAAAAAAGAAAAAAGACCCGTCCTTCGAACCATGAACTTTGCTTACTAAATTGTCACGTTATATTGCTCTTCCTTCATCTTAATCTCAGGGTTGTGGGTCTGACAGCCCCACATTGGGCAAAAGATTCCTGCATTGCAGGAGGCCGGATGAGATGGCCCTTGGGGTCCTTTCCAACTCTACAAATCTATGATTCTATGACAAAACATTTTCCTTCAAAATGCGGGTGATTAATCAACTAAAAATCCTTTAACTGATTGGCAGCCACAATAATTTCTTGTCTAATGCAGCCATACGAATGGAATCTATCAGTGGCTGAGGATAATTATTCATTTCAACACGGTTGCAAGTTTCCCCCTATAAGCAAAAGTGCAAGTTCCAGATTTCCCCCTTCCAAATCCTGCACCTCCTATCTGCAAAGGAACAGAACAGTGTTTCAGCTTTGAAGGCCTCATTCAAAACATAAGAACTACTACTTTGTGATAAATGTGAAGACCTGGCAAATAAGCACATTCACTAGGAACGCGCAGAAGATAAATGTTTCATTTCTAGTGTGGGAAAAATAAAATATATGTGTCACTCCATTTGGAACCCTCTGGAGATATTAACAAACATGAAGGGCATGTGCTTACGAGACAAGTAATTACAGCCAAGCAGTGAGGCTCATGTGCCAAATCTGAACACTACAAACATTAGCGCTGGCAGAGCTTGAGAAACCATGTTGGTACTCTTTGGTAGTTAGCAGCATTGGCACCTGCAACAGGCAAGGTCAAGCACTTGCTAGGGGCCAAAGATGTTTTAAGGGGCTACTGAGATAAGTCCTAGACTTGACAATATTCCTGATCTGCACCCAGAAGATAGAGCAGATTATGGATCAGGGGACTGAGCAACAGATGAACTTTTTGCTGGAGAGGATCTTTTCTCCCACGTGGCTTCCTTTGAGCAAATGTCAGTGGAACCTGCTATTTAGAAACGTGGGGTGGAGCAGAGAAAGATACCACGGAAATCTCAGGAGGTAAAAATCAACTGATGTGTGAGGGGACTCTCTTACACCGCACAATTCTGTTTGCAAGTATTTCAGTCCAAAGTGAGCAGCGATCTCTGTCTAAATTTGCACACTGCACAACTTGGTGGCACTGAGACTGACAACTTTTCAGTCCACTAACAGCAGTGCTTTGGGCTGCTGTTCAATGTCCAGACATTAGCAGGTGGTGATGTTTCCTCTTCAAACTGTTGGAACAACCCAGAAGATTCTTCAAATCAAGCTGCTGTAAAAAGCACCAGAGCAGATGAGAGACTCCCTTTACGGGTCAGAAATTAGCAGGCGAAAGCTTTTAACAGCCTGTAGATTATCAGTCACCTACTGATATCCGCACACTGGCGTTCAAAGATACAGGAGAATGCTAGAGCCCTGATGGATCAGACTAAGGGCACATCTAATCAAGCATTTTGTTCTCGCAGAGGCCAAACAAATGTTTACGAGGAAACCCGCAAGTAGGACATGACAGCAACAGCACTTTCTCTACCTGGTATCCCTAGTGCCTGGCATTCAGAAGCATGCTGCCTCCAGCAGTGGAGAGAGAACATAGTCGTTCTGGCTAATAGCCAGCGATAGCTTTACCCTCGATGCATTCTGTCTAATCTTCTTTAAAGTCATCTTAGCTGGTGGCTGCTACACAGTAGCAGTCAGTGGGGCAGCCCAGGTGGAAGGGTGTTGATCAACCGCCTCCCCATGCCTAGCATCGCTATTGGTTCCCAAGACAGGTGAGGAGCAGGGAGCTCAGCATGGTACGGAGCCAATCCGATGTTCCTTTCCACTGTGGCCACCAGCAGGTACATTCAGCAATGTGAAGGCAGGGCAGCAATGTCTCCTGTCCAGCACCAGAACACTGGAAGTTCACGCAACTATGTCTTGTGGAAGTGAGTTCCACAGTTTAACCACATCAGCCAGACCGTTTTTTAACCTGGTCAGTTAGCAATCCTAAGTGGAGCTGATATCTTTGCAGCATCCCCAGATAGCAGTTGCTACTCTTGCTGCCTCAAAGGAATCTTTCTTCCAGGGACCTGCGAGTTCCAGGTGTGTAAGTGATGTGCCCATCCCCAGAAAGAAGCATGATTCCCTGGCAACCCTCCACCTGATGGTCTCCTGAGCACAATCTTTAATATCATTATTTGTTGCATTTATATCCCACCTTTCTCTCAAGGTAGTGTATATTGTTCTGTCCTTCCTTTACAACCCTGTGTGGTAGGCTAGGCTTAGGAGCAGTGACTGGCCCAAAATAACTCACCCCACCCATGCACCCAGCTCATAGCAAGAAGATCAAACTCCTGGTATCCAGGTTTGGAATTTTCTATTATAAAAGCCCATTGTGAATTTAGGATCCAGCACCTGTCATCTCTAAAGGCTTGCTCTACACCTACAGTAGAATGTAATGGCAGTGCAATGGACTCACAGAATTTTACAGCTGGCAGAGACCCCAAAGGTAATCTACTGCAAACCACTGCAACACAGGGCTCTGTTGCCCAACGTGGTGCTCGAACCCACGACCCTGAGGTTGAGAGTCTCATGCTTTACCAAGTGAGCTATCCTGCAGTGGTAGAACTAATTTTATACTTTCAGAATGTTGGTGGAGGATCACATTTTAGAATGTTTCTCAGAAGTTTCAAGAGGTAACAACTCTCATCGTGTGTGTGTGTGTGTGTGTGTGTGCATGCTGGCGCGTGCACTCTGCAGTCAGAAAACTAATACAGTGGTACCTCTGGATATGAATGGGATCCGTCCCGGAGCCCCGTTTGTATCCAGAGTAGAACGCTACCTGCGTCTGCGATTCAACGTTTCCGTGCATGTGCGTGGTGTCATTTTGCATGTCTGTGCATGCACAAGCGGTGAAACCCAGAAGTAACATGTTCCATTACATCCGGGTCGCCACGGAGCACAATCCGAAAAAGCTCAGCCTGAAGCAACTTCAACCTGAGGTATGACTGTACAGCAGGTAGTGGGGCTGCAACAGAACTTTCCTCCCTGATGTGCTAGACCCTGGGTTGCCAACCTGGTCCCTACCATCCACTACTGGGCGTTTCAGGATTCTAGGTGGGCGGTAGTGGGTTCTATGGCACAAGCTGAATCCTCCTTCCATCAAGCACTGGTGGGCAGTGAGGAAATTTTACCATCAAGAAAGATGCATTAGTGGGCAGTAGGTTTAGAAAGGTTGACTACCCCTGAGCTAGATTTACTTAACAAAAGCTATCAAAACCGGCCCCAGCCAACCACAGTGGTGGAGTTAGCAATACCCAACCATTCTGCACGCGCGCGCACACACACACACACACACACACATGGTTGCAAGTTATTGCTGGCTAACCAATCTAAGACAAGAATAGGAAACCTTTTTCAGCCCAGGGGCCACATTCCTTCATTGACACCCTTCTGGGGGGGGGGGGCACATGCAGGCAGAGGCAAAATGTGGGCAAAGCAGCTGTAGATGACATTCCTGCCATGCTAAAGCCACACATTTATCCACCAGGGGCAGCGAAGAGGCTTTATTCCAGCCAGGCGAAAGCACTGGAGGTCACAAGATCAGGGGAAAGATGGCATGGCTTGCTGGGAACTCTTTAGGGAACCAGACAGAGGGCCTTCTCGGTAGTGGCGCCTGCCCTGTGGAACGCCCTCCCAGCAGATGTCACGGAAATAAGCAGCTATCCTATCTTTAAAAGACATCTGAAGGCAGCCCTGTTTAGGGAAGTTTTTAATATTTAATGCTGTATTGTTTTTAACACACTATTGGGAGCTGCCCAGAGTGGCTGGGGAAACTCAGCCAGATGGGTGGGGTATAAATAATAAATTATTATTATTATTATTATTATTATTATTATTATTATTATTTAGAGGGCTGTACTTGCCCTTGGGCTTCCCTGGTCTAAGAGACAGAACAAAGGTAAGTTCAAAGGAGCAAACTACATGCTGCCCACCAACGGATTTAACAAGGGTCGACCGATTTGCTATGGTGGTGCTTTCTTGGGTGGCCTGCAAAGTTGCATGGAGGACAGGAGTGGAGTGCTTCACCTGAAGGGTCCTAGAAGGGTGTTCCCACCTGCTGTCTAAAACTGCAACCTCCTAAGGCTGCTTTTCGTTCTATAAAAGTGGCATTTCTTGTAAGCATTTTGCAGGCAATACTCCTCCTGCCCCCCCCACCCTTCCATTTTCCTTGCTGCAAATATTAGGCCAGTTAATCAAGCACCAGACTTGCTCCGAGGAGGCTTCAGATAGAAGAAAACCAAACCCTTTCCATAGGTCACCTGCCAGGTGAATGTCTCACATCAGGGGGTAGGCAACCTAAGGCCCATGGGCCACAAACGGCCCACGGGGGTCATTTAACTGGCCCACAAGCCACCCCTGAACCAAGCTGCCCACTCAGCGAGTTCCCATGCGCTGCGCTAAACCGGTGCGGCGCAGGGACTCGCTTCTGCAGTGCCAGAAATCGCGGGTGCGCCCGCACGCTCACAATCCAGCCCACAGAGGGATCTCCATTGGAGTGAACCGGCTCAGGCAAGGTAAACTTTGCCGCCCCCTGTCTCACATCTTCTCAGAGGGGAAACGCATTTCTTTTTTTATAAAACAAAAATTGCAAGGTTGTAACTTCTTCTTTCTGCTCTGCTTTGGAGATCGATAGTGGCAGTTGTTCCTTTTTAACAATGTGCTTTAGAGAGGAAATCTCTTGGAACTGATCTAGGAAAGCAACTCTCAGTATTTCTTTGCCTCCCGCGCAAACTGGGGGGGGGGGAGGGGTTTGCAAGCATTCCACAACTGAAATTCAAACTTTGCAATAAATAGCACTATTTGAGCACGCAGAGTAACCGCCCTGCCACACTTTCTAATTCTAATAATTGAATCCCGCATTCTGAAATTTCCAGGGAACAATCAGCCCTATTAGGGGACATTCGGCTGGTTAAGTTACTTTGGACAATTCACATCAAATAATATGTTTTGGGGGGGTGTGGTTTTTGGAAGAAACCTAAGTGGGTTGTTTTCAGCTGCCAACCATGAGAAATTCCTCCTTTCTAAATTGGGTTTTGAGGAAACAATGAAACAAAGAGATCTCGTTTGTAGTACATTCTTCTTCTGCTTCACAAAGACATTTGCATTTTCAGTCTCATTTTCTGGGTACTCTGTGAGCCTATTCTGCATATAATAAGAATCTTACATGCTTTTGTGTACTATTGTTGCAATATATTGCATTGTTTTTTTCTACCAAGTACAACAATCACCTCTTATAATGTTTACAGGTCCCATTGACTTGGTCTGTGGTTTCTGTATAATTTGGGGACACTCTATTTTGCATTTTCTGTATTTGCATAGCAATCTGCCTAATACTGTCCCAACTAGTTTTCCTGGACTATTTGCACAGGTTAGGCAACCACGGTGCATTATGATTGGGGCTGACCCTAAAGATGGTTCAGAAACTGCAGTTAATCCAGAATACACCTGGCTGGACTACTAACTGGAACTGAACCTTCTGATCATTCTACACCTGCAGTTTACCAAAGGCACTGGCTAACAGTTCACTGCTGAGCCCAGTTCTAAGTGCTAGTCTTAATCGTCAGAGCTCTTCACAACTTGGCACCTGAAAGATTGCCTGCCTGCACTTGTGCCAGCCTCTACTTTGATTTCATCATCAGAGGCTCTTCTCCAGACTCCCATGAGATACAGCAGGAGGTTACACAAGAGAGGGCCTTTTCGGTGGTGGCCTCCCAGCTTCGAAACACTCTTTCCAGGGAGATGCTCGCCTGGTGCCCAGTCAGGCAAAGACTCTTTTTATTTTTCCAGGCTGTCTAACATTTCTGGGTCTGTTTTATTTCATTTCATTTCATGGAACCGGTTGGATCCAGACTTAAGCCTTCTTTGGACATTACAGTTAGGGTGATGTCAACATGTGGAGGGGGGAAGAGAGCAACAAGCACACTAACTCTACCCCCCTCAGTCACAAGAATATGCTCAGGGACATACAAATCTTCCAAGCAGCCTTTTAACCAAGTGGCTTCCAGAAGTTTTGGACTACAACTCCCATCAGCCCCGGAGGCTTGCTGGGGCTGTTGGGAGTTGCAGTCCAAAGCATCTGGACTCTGCATTACAGAGTCAGAAGCTGCCTTATATTAAATCTATCTAGATCAGCACCTACTGTAAATTTTGAAAAGAGGGTTGTCTCTTTGTCTACTATTTGGGACACCTTTTAAAATATTGTAATCAAACTCAGCATCATGGTTCAGGTTTTCTGTCTTGTGGTTTTCTGGACACCATCTTGAATCAAGATGGCGGATGAAATCTTTCAGAGATCCATTGGTTTTAACCAGGGATTTCCAAAACTGCACTGATCGTCTGGGTTCTTTGGAATTCCCAAGCAACACTGGGTACTTTCTTCAGGTACACATTAACTGGAATTACCTCTTCAAGGTTCTGGACAGTGAATGTCCCTCAGCGATACTTGACGATGCCAGGGACTGAACCAGGGGCCTTCTGCATGCAAAGCCAGCCCTCTACCATTGAGCTACAGACCTTCCCCCAAACAGATGTGGCAGAAGCTCCTGTATTCATGAATGCTCTCTTTGCGTTCCAAGTTTCTAAGATTGGGGAGGTACCTGTCCACAAATACAGGACTTATTTCTTCCACAAGCTGGAAGGTGGACGAAATGGCAGTCAGACCAAAGTGCTCACTTCCACTGCCCTCCTTCACATGTTGATTTCACTTTTTCTGTAACTCCTGAAGAGCCTTGGTGCGTTAAATAGGTATTACTAGAGATATATAACCTGAGATTTTACTTGTTGCAAGCAGCTCTGAGCAACCCAAATGGGGAAGGGCAGGATATAAGAATGCATAAGAATAAGAAAAATTATTTCCGTGTAGCCATGGTTAGGATTCTGCTATTAGAGCAGACCCCTTGCAATCAATGGTGCTAAAATCAGTCAAGCATCCCTGATTCTCAAAAGGTCCACTCCATGTATGTATGTCTGTTTTTAAGCTGGTTTACAGATTTGCCGCTTTTAGCTCCTAATTATGCATCAAATTGTTTTTGTTGTGGGTTGTTTTTTTTAAAAGAAATTAATAGCAAAATACTCTGGCAGCTTGACTGATGGGCAGAATATACAGTCTTATTGTTAAATAAAATCCAGCTCTGTTTTATTGACTCTGGCTGGCAGGGACTCTCCAGCTGTGGTCTTCTTCAAATTTTCCTTGAATTATTCATCAAGACAACCCACCAAATTATAGGAAGCAAGAATGAGATTCTGGGCCAACACTGCCTGCAATGGCTGGAAGCCGTTATTAAGTCTAGCCAGGGACAAACTCTGGCAATCTTTCATAACATGGTGCAAGGCCAAAATTTGGTGCCACCAAGTGGATTTTATCAATTATGTACCTTCCCAATTTGGTACTCCCCTCGGCTCAGCGTCCTGTGCACGGAAACAGTCGGCACTGTCCTCAATCTGCTGCTGGTCTAGTAAAGGCATTTACTTTTTCAGTCTGAGGGCCACATTCCCTTTTGAATGACCTTCTGAGGGCCACACACCAGCGGTGGGCAGTACCAGAGTCAAACCTGGGAGGAGCAGCTGATGTAAACATTACCTCTGTGCAGCAGGCTAGTTTCTACCGCCCACCCCCACCTTGTGATTCTCCATCCAAGCAAGCAGTGGAGACATCCCAGCCAGGGACAGCAAGGGGGGCAGCCTGGGGAGCAGGGTACATCTTGGGGAGAATCCTGAGGGTCAGAAAGAGAAGCTTGGAGGGATGCATTCAGCCCTCAGAACTGAGGTCCCCCCACCCCTGGTCTAAGGTCTCCAGCAGAGGTCCTTATCAGCTCTGCAATCCTTTTATTGGACGCCATGGATTAAACTCAGGACCTTGTGCGTGACAAGGTTGTGCTCTACGACTGGGCTGTAGGTCCTTTTGAAAATCACGGGGCCTCTATGAATTTTGCAAACGTGCCTCACCTGCATTATTTCAAGTCGTGTTATCTTCTTTTGGAAAGGCAAGGAGCTCTGGAAAACCTCAGAACCCACAGCTAGGACTTTGCCACATTTTGCCCACACGTTTTATAGCCCGTTTTTTCAGCCATAAGGACCAGAAACCTTTTTTTTAATGCTATCTTGGGATGCTGAATTATTCCTTTCATCCATTTTCCTTTCTTTTTACTCATTTATTAGACTTATTGGTCACCTTTCACCTATTTACAGCAAGAGAGAGAGATGCAATACATATTATCAAAGGGGGGAAAGTGGGGAGATTAATATTAATATTGCATATAACATCCATTTAAAAAAAAAAAGAAAACACACTCAGGCAATAAAGCAATACCGTGCCCCACCTCCAGCCAAATACCATTTTTAAGCACTGTGATCAAAAAATGCACAAACAAGCGTGAAATATATTCTTCAGATTTTATCTGAGCCCCCCACACCTAGAGCAATCAAGTATTGGGCTCCAGTGCTTCATCTGAACTGGGGGCACCATTAGAATGACAACCCTTTGAGGTAGCTTCGCCAGAGAATTCCTTTGTTTCTTTCAATTTTTTTCCATCCCGCTCTTCTTCCAAGCAACCCAGAGCAAGTACAGTCATACCTCAGGTTACAGACGCTTCAGGTTGCGTTTCTTCAGGTTAAAAGGTAAAGGTAAAGGGACCCCTGACCATTAGGTCCAGTTGTGGCCATCTCTGGGGTTGCGGCGCTCATCTCGCTTTATTGGCCGAGGGAGCCGGTATACAGCTTCCGGGTCATGTGGCCAGCATGACTAAGCCGCTTCTGGCAAAACCAGAGCAGCACACGGAAACTCCATTTACCTTCCCGCTGGAGTGGTACCTATTTATCTACTTGCACTTTGACGTACTTTCGAACTGCTAGGTTATGGACCGCCAAAACCCGGACCAGTACAGGTTACTTCTAGGTTTCAGTGGTCGCGCATGAACAGAAGCGCCAAATCACAACCAGTGCGTGCGCAGACGCGGGTCATGTGGCTAGCATGACTAGCGGGTTGCGAACGTGCATCCCACACGGATCACCTTCGCAACCCGAGCGTCCACTGTATACATGACCAATCTGCCCCCCCCCCAATTCCACAGCGCTTCACAACGAGGTTGTGAGAGGGCTCGGAGTTAGCCAGAGGCGGTGCACGATGGCCGGTAACAGCGTAATGGACCCGTGGCGGCCAAATCGCATTCTCAGATACAAACCTCCATCCACAGAGAACAACCCTACCCTGGAAGACCCCACACCAGACTACATGAATCTACTGGGAATGATTTTCAGTATGTGTGGCTTGTTGCTGAAGCCAGAGTGGTGTGCCTGGATAGCTGTCTACTGCTCATTCATCAGCTTTGCCAACTCTCGGCGTTCAGAAGATACCAAACAGATGATGAGCAGCTTCATGTTGTCTATCTTGGCTGTAGTGACAACCTATCTGCAAAACCCACAACCCATGTCTCCTCCTTGGTGAGAGGATATTGCCTCTCTTCAGAGCTCCTGTTGCAAAGCAGAGGTGCACTCCCTCGACAATGAGGACTATTTTCTCAGGCAATGCAGATCCATTTGCACATGTCTTGTGAGGACTCATTTTGTTGCATTAATAAAGTGATGGTTATTAGGGGGGAGGGAACAAGGTTGTGAGAGGTGGGCTAGGCTGTGCAACAGCCCAAAATAAAGCAAATAGAAATTTAATCTAGGTCTCCCAGGTTCAACTCTAGCACTCTGTCCTCTGCACTATGTTGATTTATGTGATTTTAAAGCGGTGTTCACCTGCAGTGCACTTAAAAACACCTCCAGGCAATTAGGAAAGGAAGTATACAAAATGTTTAAAATGTTGGCCATTTTAAAAAATTCTCAATCACAAATGAGAAATAGGATGATGTACGAGAAGGGATTGTTAAAAGATGTATAGTGCCTTCTATGGATTTGCAAGCCACCCTAATTCTGACTTTCAGAAGGCTGATCCATAACATGTCCCCACTAGCAAGACACATTCACACTCTGGGTCAGAAGTGAAGCGTTCTATAAATACAACACTTCTCACTGTCATCTTGGAACACACTCAAGGGTCTTGAGACACCACAGTCATTTACCACTATAAATATGACAGAGTGGTGCCCAGATGAAAAGCACAGCTCCAATCCTGTTTCCACTGTGTGGTTCCCACAGATCGGCCAATGCTATGGGTCGCAAGGCCATGGCTGCCTTAAGAAAATCAATAGAAACACTGCAAGCTCCTGCTGAATCCCTCTTAACCATGGCCCCTCCCCTTTTACCTTTCTGTTTTGGTGTATAGAAATATTTTACTTGTATGGTTTTTTTCCACCAGGTCTTAGCCGCTATGTTAGTTTAAAAACCGTGTCTCGTGTTTATTGGCCTGATAAAGTCCCGTTTTTGTTCAAAAAGGTGTGGGGGGAGACAGAGAAAAGAAAATCCATGGAAACAACCCCACGGCCCTTTACCCTCCGACTGAATAACCATTAAGGGGTTAAAGTAAGTGGGGCACGCTGCCACTGCCCTTACAGAACGGAAGCGGAGGCTAGATTTTTAAGGATGCAACCCTAAACCCACTTGCCCTGGGGTTAGTCATTTCTGGAGTAAGCATCCTCAGGACCACTCTGTAGCGGGACCTGCAATGCAACATTTAGGTGACAAATCTGTATAGACACCTGGGGGCAGCTCCAAACGGAATGAAACCGGAGTTGACTTCTGAGTAGACATGAAGTGGATTTTGCTGTTCGTTGAATCGCCTCAATTAAAATTGTTTTGTTAGAAAGGGAGACACCATTGCAGTTAAAAAGAAGAAGAAGCAACTTATTCTTATGCAAGTTGTTGGCATTTCTCTTGTCTCATGAGAAAATGAAGTTCACCTTCTACGGTGAAGCCAAAGCACTGGAGAATCACAGCATTCAATGTGGCTGCAGAGACTGGTAACTCATAACTGCGGCGTCCCATATTGTTGATTCCTGTGTGAGCAGCACCACACTGACTCTCTGAGGCGCAAGCCTGGGCAGTGTGCATGGAGGTCCTGGACTGCCCAGACAACAAAGGAAAGTAAGATGTTTGGCTCCATCTTGACTGCAGGAGTTGCCGGAAGGAGGCGTACAAGGTGCCATCCAACCATTTTAGGGACCCCACTCCAGGTCTGAGTAGTGTTTACTCATTGGACTTTTCTTTTCCCAAAGATGTCCCGTAAAGAAGCAGGTACAGATTTTTCCTTGGGGCTCACTTCCATTCTCTTGAATTAGTATAGCCACAAGGCAGCAGAGTTTAGGATCAGTTTTTCCTTCTAGATGGGCTACCTTCCCAAGTTGACAAGCCCCATCTGCCCCTCACTTCCCTCTATAGCTCATGCAGAAACCACCTTCTTGACTGTTGGACTCACTGCAGGTTCTCATCCACTCAATCTGCCACACAGCCTGCCTTCGCATGCAGGGAAAGTCCCTAGCTCACTGAGGGTTTGAGACCCATTGGCTACCTGGCTTAGCCATTGTTGAAACCATTCCCTGGATGTGGGGGGGGGGGCACGACGGACCAGAAGCAGATAACCTACCTCAGAAAGAACATTACATGTTCCCCACCAGAGTTACTAACCACAGGACCCACATGTGGGCTAGAAGGCCGTGCTGGTGGGTCAAGACAAAACTGCTGCTGCCCAGTCAAAATCCTGATGCTTCTGGCCACTACATGTGGCATCAAGGCTCGAATTCATTCTCATTTTATCAATTTCCATGAGTACTGCAAAGCAGCAGAAGAAAGGCAACGTTTTTCAGTAAGAAAGGTATTTCTGGCAAACTGTAAGCTCCACCTTCCTATAGGTATGCTTTTAGTGATGGAGCTCTCTAGCAGGTAGGGACACTCTATTCACCTTCTAGGAGTGAATAGAGTGGCTTTGTAGGAGTTTGTCTGCTGTGGTGGGGAGAATGCAGAAAATTCCCTCCTCCACACACTAAACTCTACTCCATGACACACCAACACACATGCAGCTCACTGCAAAATTCTTCCCTTGTAACTCACCAGAACACAAACTAAAAAACAAATCTGCATGAGCATACTGTACAGGGCAAATGCAATCATTATTCACTGAGAACACAAGAGTCAGTGGAATTAGGATATGAAAAACAATTCACTGAGCTCTCTTGTGACACAACCTTTAAAAGTGCAATTTCAGCAACTAACATTACCAGGGTTTTGGATTTCAGTCAGTAAATAATACCCAGAATCGGCAAATGAAGCAATCATCCACCAGCTGCCATTTGGTACCATCTATTTTTGTGAGCAAGGCTTGTGAAACTCAGAAGAAAAGCAAAAGCAAAAAACCAGTTTAGTCGTACAAAATGAGTTGTGAGTTAGCCTTTCTAATATTACCCCTCAATGGAATAAAATCTGGAAGAACAAACATGCCTCTGAGACGTCTCAATGAAACTCAACTGTGAGAGAAATATCACCGGTTTTCAGCAGCTTCTCAGCCTTTTGGATGAGAAAAAACAATTTTCCCTTACAAGTAATACTAAGGTAACACTATGTTTATCGCTTTGTGAATTTTCATTTAAGGATTAATAATGTACCTCATTGGCATATTAAGTATAAATCGAAAGTGAATCTGTGAAAGTAGGTCCCATGGTATATGTTGGGAGTCAAGAGGCGTGTCTCGGAGCTGGACCAGCGGAAGGCCACTGTTTAATCCAACCCCTTCCATTTCTACTACTAGTAGTTGTAGTACTACTGTACTTGTTGTTGTACTGTAGTAGTTGTTGTACTGTTGTACTGTTTTATTGTTGTTAGCCGCCCTGAGCCCGGCTTCAGCTGGGGAGGGTGGGATATAAATAAAATTTATTACTATTATTGTTATTATTATTATTATTACTACTACTACTACTGATAGTAGTTGTAGTACTACTGGTACTAAAGGACCGCTGACAGTTAAGTCCAGTTGCGAACGACTCGGGATTGTGGCACTCATCTCGCTTTACAGGCCGAGAGAGCCAATGTTTGTCTGCAGACAGTTTTTCCAGGTCATGTGGCCAGCACGACTAAGCCACTTCTGGTGAACCAGAGCAGCGCATGGAAATGCTGTTTACCTTCCTGCCGGAGCGGTACCTATTCATCTACTTGCACTTTGACATGCTTTCGAACTGCTAGGTTGGCAGGAGCTGGGACCGAGCAACGGGAGCTCACCCCGTCTCGGGGATTCGAACTGCCGACCTTCTGATCTGCAAGCCCTAGGCTCAGTGGTTTAGACCACAGCACCAAATACACAATGCAGAAATAAAAATAAGTTTTATCACATATTTCCAATGGCAGTGTGCTCAGCACCGTCCACAAGAAGGACACAAAATACAAAAATCATGAATAAACAAACAATAATCTCATTGTGACAAAAGAAAGCCAACTTCCGTGTCAGTGCTGAACTCACAAATAGTGCAGGCGGTGGCAAATGTCACAGAGAAAGAGGCATTCCTTACCCTCTGGAAGACTGTCAGGGAATGCCTTTTTTTAAGATGATGCACTTCTACATTTGCAATCTAAAAATAAAGTATGTGGTCTCCCTCCCCACCCCCCGGTTGAACGAGACTTTTTTTCCTATTGCATGGAAATTCATGCAAAATTGATAGATTAGAAAACTGAAACTCACATAACTCATCAACCAAGGTATATTTAATTGAGTGGCAGCTCTAGGTAAAAGACACTCCTTGGGGCTAGCTCTAGAGCCAGGTGACATTAATTAATTCAAATTAATTACGTGATCAGTAATCTGGGATGTTACGCTGGAATTTGCTTGCTTTGGATACAAAGGCAAAATTCCTCTAGTTGCTGTTGGACTGCAACTTCTACCAGCCCCCACCAGCTTGGTCCATGGTCAGGGATGGTGGGAATTCAAGTCCAACAACATCTTGATGGCAACCATGTTGGCTACCCCTGCCCTAGAAAGCGTGTCCATTTTACTTCACTGTGTTCCATTCTGGAATGGCTTTTGTGTGTTCTGAAACTGCAGCGATATTTTAAACGTGTTTTTTTTAAAAAAAATTGTGTTGCAACCTCACACTGAAGGCATCATACCACTTTCAACAGTCATGACGCACCCCCTCCCCAAAGAATCTGGGGGGCTGTTAAAGGTGTTGAGAGTTGCTAAAGGTAAAGGTACCCCTGACCATTAGGTCCAGTCGTGGACGACTCTGGGGTTGTGGCGCTCATCTCGCTTTATTGGCCGAGGGAGGCGGCGTACAGCTTCCGGGTCATGTGGCCAGCATGACTAAGCCGCTTCTGCTGAACCAGAACAGCACACAGAAATGCCGTTTACCTTCCCGCCAGTGCGGTACCTATTTATCTACTTGCACTTTGACGTGCTTTCAAACTGCTAGGTTGGCAGGAGCTGGGACAACGGAAGCTCACCCAGTCGCAGGGATTGGAACCACCAACCTTCTGGTCAGCAAGCCCTAGGCTCTGTGGTTTAACCCACAGCGCCACCCGCGTCCCTTGAGAGTTGCTAGGAGACCCCTATTCCCCTCACTCACAGAGCTATCAGTCCCAGAGTGGTTTAAGCAATCAATTCCTCTTCCCTTTGTGTGTTGGTACGTGCATGTGTGCCTGTCATTTGCAGGTTAGGGCAAGGAGAGAGAGACCTTGACCCTTCCTGCCCCCACAAATTCTCTCCAGAAGCCTCCCCGTGTTTAGAAGGGGCTTTTCTCTGCAACCTCCCAACAGTTTGACTTCACCCCCCCCCTCCCCGCAAAGGCACATTCCACCATTTTCTCCCAAGGCAGATAATAATTATAATAATAATAATTTATTATTTATACCCCGCCCATCTGGCTGGGCTTCCCCGGCCACTCTGGGCGGCTTCCAAAAGAATATTAAAATACTATAATACATCAAACATTAAAAGCTTCCCGAAACAGGGCTGCCTTCAGATGTCTTCTAAAAGCCTGGTAGTTGTTGTTCTCTTTGACATCTGGTGGGAGGGTGTTCCACAGGGAAGGCGCCACTACCGAGAAGGCCCTCTGCCTGGTTCCCTGTAACTTGGCTTCTTGCAGTGAGGGAACCGCCAGAAGGCCCTCAGTGCTGGACCTCAGTGTCCGGGTAGAACGATGGGGGTGGAGACGCTCCTTCAGATATACTGGACCAAGGCCGTTTAGGGCTTTAAAGGTCAGCACCAACACTTTGAATTGTGCTCGGAAACGTACTGGGAGCCAATGTAGGTCTTTCAAGACCGGTGTTATGTGGTCTCTGCGGCCGCTCCCAGTCACCAGTCTAGCTGCCGCGTTCTGGATTAGTTGTAGTTTCCGGGTCACCTTCAAAGGTAGCCCCACGTAGAGCGCGTTGCAGTAATCCAAGCGGGAGATAACCAGAGCATGCACCACTCTGGCGAGGCAGTCTGCAGGCAGATAGGGTCTCAGCCTGCGTACCAGATGGAGCTGGTAAACAGCTGCCCTGGACACAGATTTGACCTGTGCCTCCATGGACAGCTGTGAGTCCAAAATGACTCCCAGGCTGCGCACCTGGTCCTTCAGGGGCACAGTTACCCCATTCAGGACCAGGGAATCCTCCACACCTGCCCGCCTCCTGTCCCCCAAAAACAGTACTTCTGTCTTGTCAGGATTCAACCTCAATCTGTTAGCCGCCATCCAACCTCCAACCGCCTCCAGGCACTCACACAGGACCTTCACTGCCTTCACTGGTTCTGATTTGAAAGAGAGGTAGAGCTGGGTATCATCTGCATACTGATGAACACCCAGCCCAAATCCCCTGATGATCTCTCCCAGCGGCTTCATGTAGATGTTGAAAAGCATGGGGAGAGGACAGAACCCTGAGGCACCCCACAAGTGAGGGCCCAGGGGTCTGAACACTCATCCCCACCACCACTTTCTGAACACGGCCCAGGAGGAAGGAGCGGAACCACTGTATAACAGTGCCCCCAGCTCCCAGCCCCCAAGACGGTCCAGAAGGATGTTATGGTCGATGGTATCAAACGCCGCTGAGAGATCCAGCAGAACTAGGAAACAGCTCTCACCTTTGTCCCTAGCCCGCCGGAGATCATCAACCAGTGCGACCAAGGCAGTTTCAGTCCCATGATGAGGCCTGAATCCCGACTGGAAGGGATCCAAATGGTCCGCTTCTTCCAGGCGTGCCTGGAGTTGTTCAGCAACCACTCGCTCAATCACCTTGCCCAAGAATGGAAGATTTGAGACTGGGCGATAGTTGGCTATCGTGGCCGCATCTAAAGATGGTTTTTTAAGAAGCGGTTTAATAACCGCCTCTTTAAGCGGGTCTGGGAAGGCTCCCTCACGGAGGGAAGCATTCACCACCCCACGAAGCCCATTGCCCAGTCCTTCCCGGCTAGCTTTTATAAGCCAGGATGGGCAAGGATCAAGGAGGCAAGTGGTTGGTTTCACTCATCCAAGCAGCCTGTCCACATCCTCGGGGGTAACAGATTGGAATTGATCCCACACAACTTGACTAGACAGGACTCTAGCACTCTCCCGCCCCGGCCCTGCTCCCACAGTGGAGTCTACCTCTTCTCGAATCTGAGCGACTTTATCTGCAAAAAACTTTGCAAAGTCATTGCAGGAGATCATGTGGCCGCTACTGGGCCCTGATGGAGCAGGCGGTTCCGCTAAATTGCGAACCACCTGAAAGAGTCTCCTGCTGCTGTTTTCCGCAGATGCAATAGAGGCGGTGAAGAAAGTCTTCTTCGCCGTCGCTATCGCCACTTGGTAGGCTCGACATTGAGCTCTAACCCGTGTCCGGTCAGATTCAGAATGGGTTATCCGCCACCGGCGCTCTAGCCGTCTCAACGATTGTTTCATTGCCCTCAGATCCGTGGAAAACCACGGGGCTGTCCGGACTCCATGCAATCGGAGAGGGCGCTTTGGAGCCAAACAGTCAATAGCCCTGGTTAACTCCACATTCCAGCGGGCCACCAGGGAATCAGCTGAAAGGCCATCAACATGGGATAAAACATCCCCTACCACTCTCTGGAAACCATTTGGATCCATTAAGTGGCGGGGCGGACCATCTGAATCGGTCCCGCCTCCCTGCAGAGGGGAAGGGTCACGGAGAAGTCCAGTTGCACCAGGAAGTGATCTGACCATGGCACTTCTTTGGTTTTGCTTTTACTTAATGTCAGATCACCAACATCCATAGAGGTGAACACCAGGTCTAAGGCATGCCCGTGGCTATGAGTTGGGCCAGACTTATTCAGGGACAGCCCCATGGAGGCCATGCTTTCCACGAAGTCCCGAGCGGATGTTAAAGTCCCCTAGGACAACCAAACTAGGTGTCTCCAGGAGGACATCCGCCACGACCTGAAGCAGCTCGGGCAGGGAATCCTTGGTGCAGCGGGAAGGTCGGTACACCAATAGGAATCCTGTACTGCCCCTATTGCCCAACTTCCAGAACATGCACTCAGAGAACTGGGTCTTTCCAATAGGACGCCTGGTGCAAACTAATGACTTCCTAAAAATCACTGCAACCCCCCCCACCCCGCCCACAAGGCCTGGGTTGCTGTGCGTAAGAGAAACCTGGTGGACAAGCAGCGGCAAGGACGGGCCCATCTGCTTCATCCAACCAGGTCTCTGTCACACATGCCAGGTCAAATCCTCCATCCACAATCAGGTCGTGGATGGCAGAGGTTTTATACATCATTGACCTGGCATTGCACAGCAACACTTTCAGGTCATGTGGGTTTCCCTTGTTGATTCCAGTATCCTTCCGGTCAGGACCAGACCTGGAGGCAGGGATAGTCCTCAAACAACGACTAAGCCTGCTTCCTCGGCAAAAAGCTTCTTCTGATTTTGGAGGGTGTGACGACGACACTTGTCTCCCTCCAATCTAATTATTCCTAAATGCTACCCATCCCCACATCGCGAGGGGAAACCCAGAGTTGAGACTCCTCCTTTCCCACACAATGTGCATTCCCAGTGAGTGCACATTGCTGAGTTATTTGCCAGGGTTTGGATGGTTGGAGGCTGAGTTGGGCAGGTCCTCCTAGCTCCATGCCAACAGTGGCTGTAGATGGTCATCCATGCCCACAAATTATTCTTGTTTGCCAAAGAATGGTCCACATTGCTGGAACAGGCATGGAAGCTGACATTTCTGGTAAGTGGTGGCTATGCCACTAGGTATCTCCTGGTTTAACTCTTTCTACTCTGACCCTTGCTCCACCCACTAAAGGCTTCTGTAAGAATGGAATGTTATTATTATTTTAAAGTTCCTGAACACTGAAGCAAATAAAGACCATGACAAACTGAGCATCCCCATCTAGTTTCAAACGCCAAATAAGCTTTTTGAGAGGAGGCTTAAGGAGCTACAATTAATAGTGCTTTATCAACAAGCATTTTGGATGCCAGATTGTTGTCACTCGAAAGCAGAGCCTTCTCTGGGGTAGGATGCCCCACTCACTGTTGTCTGACTCAACTGTTGCCTTCAAGAAAGACGTAAATGCCTTTAAAAATGATTGTTCTGCCATAGCCTATAGGACCTTGGCTGTTAGGGTGCTTTGTGCGGTCCTCAATATATTTGTGCTTTTTCTTTAACTTTATATTCCTGCATTGCAAGAGGTTGGACTAGATGACCTCTGAAATCCCTTTCCAACTCTATGACACTTTTCAGGATGGTTTGAAGTCTTTTTAAAAAAATTAAATTAAATTAAAATGTTGTTATCCTTCATCCTTCCATTCTGTCCACATATGTGAACTCCACTCACTTAGTGGAGGCATGTGGGGGGCCCCAAAGGAAATATGGCCCTCCAACGGAATCTCCTTTTATATGTGAAATTGTTTCATTTTTTTTAAAAAATACAGTCATACTTTGGATGTTGAATGCCTTGGTACTCATACGTTTCGGCTCCCGAACAATCAAAACCCAGAAGTGAGTGTTCTGGTTTTCAAACGTTCTTTTGGAAGCCAAAGTCCAATGCAGCTTCAGCTATTGCTTCCGGCGCACCTGCGCAATCGGGAGCCAGTTGGAAGCCGCGCCTTGGTTTCCGAACGTTTCGGAAGTTGAACAGCCTTTTAAGGAACACATTCTGTCCGAAAACCAAGGCATGACTGTATATGAAATTATTTTGTTTTAATCTATGGAACTGTTTTAATTGTTGGTACTTTTATAAATCACTTCAAGGTGTTGCAAAGGAACATATAAACAATAGGTAAATAAATAAATAAGGTTCACGATCACTGGTCTAAGAGAACCTTCCAGACCAGAGAAGTCCACAGCCTGGAAGCCACCACTGAGAAGTCCCTGACTTGGGCTCCTCAAAGCTCGTCCAACACTGAGGGCCAGAGTGAGCAGGTAGGTCCCACATGGGAGGCAATGGCCCTTTAGATACCCTGAGCCCAGACAATATATGCCTTTAAATCGTTGAGACCAGTACTATGAATTGAGCTATGAAAGGAAACAGGAAGCACCCAAAGACTCAAAAAGGCTCTTACGATATCCTGTAGCAGTTAGGTAAAAACTGGGTCTGTGGTGTACAGACAGAAGCAGGCTCAGCCGACTTCCGCTTTCAGGCCAGCTGGCATGTACCAGGGTGAGAATAGCTGACTAGGAAGGGAAATGTAAGCACTCTCTGGTCCAGCAGGTTATTTTCCAATCTCGGTGTTCTAGCAGCACCAAAAGGTATCCCTCTGACTAACGTTCCTCCTTTTGTATATCACTGTGTGTTTCTTGTCAATGCCCTTTAAACCTAGATTGTAAATAACCCATTGCTGGCTCCAGGCTCCAGCCATTGTCACTGGCTCCGGTTCCTCTTCATCTTCACTGCTTCTACCTGTTTGTTTGCAGGACAGAAATCCAATGAGCAAGCAGGCAGGGGCACCTCCTGCTCCTCCTTCTCACCACCATTCTCTATGACAGAGCAAGAAGCAGGTGACCAAGCAGGTTGCAATGGTGGAGTCAAACTTTGGTCCCCCAATGATGGACTACAACTCCCACCATCCACAGCCGGTTTAACCAATGGTCAAGGATGATGGGAGTTATAGCCCAACATCATATATGAACCCGAAGTTGAAGAACACCAGTGCAGAAGAGTAAGTAACATTGCTTTGCATTCTATGTGGGACCACCTTCGGTCTCTTTGTCTGGAAGCTCCAGCTGGCGCAAAACGCTCCAGTTAGCCTGTTGATGGGGCAGACTATCGCCAGCACGTTAACTCCAGTTCTCAAACACTTGCAATGGCTCCCCATATACTACCGGGTGAGGTTCCAGGCTCTTGTATTAATTTATGTCATTTAACAACTTGGGTTCAGGATAACACAGGGGCTGCCTGATCACTGAAGTCTTTGGAGGAGTCGCTGCTAGGGGTCCCCTATGGTTTGGGTGCCCAGATGCCAGCAGCCAGTCAACTGCTCATATGAACCCATGAACTGCTCAGTGCTGTGACCCCAATTTGATAGCACAACCTTCCACTTGAGGTCAGATGGGACCTTTCCCTGTTGAACTTCAGGTGCCTACTGAATGCATTTTTTTTATTATTCCAGCAGGAATTTTAACAGAATTCTGATTTTATAGTTTTAACTCATTTTTATTTTCACCGTATTCAGTTCCACGCACTGATCAAGCATTACTGTTTTTAAGCCGTATATGAATTCTTGAAGTAATGAGAAATCCAGGAGGGCTCTTATCAGTGGGCACCATGCATTTCTGTGTTAGCGGAGTCTGTAACCTGAAGCATCTGTAACCTGAAGCGTCTGTAACCCGAGGTACCACTGTATACCTAGTCTCCTACTTGCAATATACAAGATGCTTCCAGGCATCCAGACCAATGTTTTCATAAATTTGGAGAGACTCGCACCTCTGTTTATTTCAGGCTTCTGATGTGCCACCACACCTTTTGTTGATTATGTGTGGGTTGGCAGCATATATTGAAGTTGGTTTTTGCTTCTGTATTGCAGTGGAAGAACAACTGTTTGTGGAATTGTTTGCAAGCTTAGCGAGACAGAATTAGGCTGGAGGGGAAACACAGGTGTACCTATATATTTAACATATCCAGAGTAACTTATCATGCCTTCTCCCACTGGGCTCCTCAGCCAAATTGAACATCTATCTGTGCAAGGAATTCCCTGCCTGCCCATTTCATTCTGTTTAGTGAACTCTCTCCTAATCTGCCATGAAAACCCATTTTGGGGAGTTCACTGATTCTCGCTATTGTTGTTAGCTTAACTGGTTCTCCTTTGTTTACTACCACTTTGTCTACACAGTCAGCTTTCCACTTGCTTTTTGTGTCCTTTTAAAACAAAGGCCAGTTTGAAAAAGAACTAGCTTAGGTAGGCAACGCAGCTTTGGAACTGACAGAAGGACAGAGATGAATAAGGGGATTTTTAAAAAACAAAACAAAAAATGACCCACACAAAGTTTGATTCCGATTTTCAGATGCTCCCTGTGCTGTGCACTAGAAATAATTTAGCAAAGTATTAATTAAGAAAAGAAAATGCAACTAATTATTTGGATGTCAAATGCCAGTTCTACTAATCTGTTGCCCACTAAGAGGTACAATTAAAAAATAGTTCTTCTGCAATGTTTAATATCCATTCCTCTTCATCCAAAGGGGGTTGGACTCGATGGCCCTTGTGGTCTCTTCCAACTCTATGATTCTATGAAATATTCTACCTGCTGTAAGGAGAGAGGCTCTTAACCTCTTACAAAGCAAGAATAACCTGGCTGGAGTTACCTTCAGAGCTTTTCCTATGGTTAGAAGGTTGAACAAACTTTAGAAAGCCGTGCAGTGAACTAGCTCTGTAGACCATCTTCGCTTCCCTATCTCTCAGACTTGCACACCCAGCAGGGCTGTTCAAGAGGTTTCCAAGTCCCCACTTTTAAGCTCTCAGTCAAGAATCTGTTTCTTATGAAGAAAGGCTAGAGCATCAGGGCTTATGAAACTATGAATGGTGGAAGGAGAAAGTGTTCAACTTCTCTATCATGATAACAAAATTTGGGTCCACCCAGCAAAACAGACTGGGAAGGAAGAAAATGGTTCTTTTTTTACAACACAAAGTTGACTTGTATGTCACAGGTGTGAAGCCCTTCAGATGTGACTGGGCTCAGCCCCACAGCAACATGGTCAAAGGTCAGAGATGATGGGAGTTGTGGCCCAAGGACAACAGGAGGACCACAGATTCCACATTACTACTGCACACGAGAAATTGAGTGACACTAGCTTAGATAGCGTAGACCTAGAATGGAGAGTTTGGTGCCCTCCAGATGTTGTTGGACTGCAGTTCCCATCATCCCTACGTACTGGCCATGCTGGCTGTGGGTCGCAGGTTCCCAGTCTTAGCCAAGTTCATGGGCAAGAGCCTAAATAGAACATCCACTTTCCCAGGCCTATTCCCCCCATCACCTTCAAAGTCCTTTTTTTTAATCTCTGAGATACACCTGGCTGGCCACTACCGAGGGGAAAATACCAAACTAGGTGGACATTGCTGCCTTCCAAATGTGGTGGACTCCCCAGCTTCCATTAGCCCCTGCTCACATGCCCAATGGTGAGGAATAATGGGCACTGCTAGAACATAGCAAGTTGCCTAAATAAGACCATTCATTGCCCATCTTGCTCAGTGGTGTCTACCCATTTCAGACAGGGAGCCTCCCCCAACCCTAACTTGAGATGTTGGGGATTGAACCTTGGAACACTCTGCATGCAAAGTAGGTGCTCTACGACTGAGCTGTAGTCCACCAACATCTGGAGTGGCACACGACAGCCACCCTTGGTCTAATCCAACTGTTGTGTATCTCAAACGCTGGGCATGTTCTGCAAGAGTCCACGTCAATCATTATGGTAGAGATTCAGAAACATAAGCAACTTCTTTTAAGCCCTAAACATCTCAGGCCTCAAACACCTGAAATATTCCCCTTCCTTACAGATCCTCTCAGGTGTTAAGATCAGCAGAGGATGACCCTTTTGGTTGTTCTACCACCTTCTGAAACTTAGGGGGCTGTTCACCTAAGAGAGGGCATTCTCTGTAGTAGCCCCTTAGTTGTAGACCTCTCCCCCCGAGGTCCACCTGGCACCTTCACTGTACAGTTTTCATCATATGCTGAAGACACACCTCTAGACTCTTGGCTTTTTGAAACTTGAGATGTGTATTTTTGGGACCCACCTTATTTCTGTGATTGTAAGTTGTTTCAGACTGTTTTTTCACACTGTGTTTTGATTGTGGCAGCCCGTCCAGGGACCTTAGATAATGGACGGGTCATAAGTTAATAATGATGATGATGATGTAGCTGCCAGTTCTGTACCAAATGGACCCACAGGACTATTTCAAGGCCTAAGAGTGGTTCCTGTTGTGAAGCACTTAACTGTACACCGATGAACCATTTTACATATACACCAAAATATGTGAAACATAACACGCCTTCTATTCATAAGCTCATCCTGAAGCAGTTTTTTAAAAAACAAAACAAAAAATTAAAGCGAATTGTGACATTTCATGCTAGCTGACAGACCAAACAATTATTACCTGCAGAGAGTTCTTCCAAACAGTTTCTACTAATAACCCTTATTCCTTGTCCCAAGGGTGCTATTTGGGCACACCACAAAAACTTGGGACAACTTCGGCTCTCAAATTTACAGCTCAATCTGACACATGCTTTTTACTCAGAAGCAAGCCCGACCATGATGTTTATTCCTAGGTAAATGTGCAGAAGATCCTTGATCTGGATGAGCTGAAGTGGACCTGTATGGCACACTGGGGATATAAGATGAACCACTTGTAAGTGACACAGAGGAGAACATGGGTGTGTGTGGATTAGCTAAACTGCAGACCCTCAAACGCCCTACAGTCCTTTGATGCTGGAGGGCGTGCACTGTACTGGCATTTCTCTATGCCAAGTCAGTTGATATAGAGGTATTTGACAAAACTACCTATTATTTAAGTCAGCGGGAGGGGAATAATATACATGTGTTTCTACCTCTCTAATGCTTACAGAAACATGAGATGCTGTACATACAGTGTCTTAAGAGGAGGAATACTTAAGAGGAGAAAAGCAGGTCAGTACGGAGGAAGCCTCCTCTAAGTGGCTCACAAAGTGGAGATTAAATCAAGATTTGAAAATATATTTATTCTCAAACATATTTTTGGAGCACAGGGCGGAGGGTGGGGAGGTATGAAAGCAGGCACATTCCCACACAGGAGGAACCCAGTCTAGTGGGGCGGGGGCTGCTGGGCTTCAGTCAAGCTCATGGTGGATCTATTGTTCTCCAGTAAGGGAAAGATTTCCTATTAGGCGCTATTTTGGGGGCTTCCCGACCACCCCTCCTCTGAGGATGCCGGAAAGACAGGTTGGGTGCACTGTGATCGTTTATCAGAAATTATCCCCTGCTGTTTAAAAAGAAAAAAGAGCAATGATAATCGTGGAAGGTGAATGAGTCCCACAGGAGCGACAGGGCTGCAAAGATAAACGAGGCTACAAAAGGCTGCAGCTCCTGCTCTCCGTTTGGGTACGTTTCAGTCCAACGCAGTTTGAACTGATTTGTCACGCCCACCCATCCCCCGGAGGATTAGCGGGGCCCTTTCCCCGGAGGCTTAGAAGAGCCAAATCTCGCCCTTGCTTGGAAAGCTGGTGTGATCTGCAGTCCTCCCCCCCCCCCGCCCCGCCAGCTCTTTATGGAGCCCAGGCAGAGCACGCCGCGAGCCACAATAGAGGTTAGGGGAGGGGGGCGGGTCTGCGCCGATGGTTAGGCAGGCCCGCAGCCGCTTCGCCAGCCAAATGCGTTTTGTCTCACCTGATCTTTTATTTATATAATTCAATTGCATATTATTATTCGTGTGTGTGTGTACAGAGCGGGGGTGCGGGAGGGACTCATCTGCATCCGTGAGGCCTGGCTGCATCCAGCCACCGGGAGGGGGGCAGAGAGATCATGCGCAACGATGCAGTCAGCCCAACCCAGACAAGCATGGCACGGAGCCCCCCATATCCTGCCGTATATCTCCCAAGCCACGGGACGTGAGGAGAAGAATAAGCAGGAGCAGCAGGCAGAAGCGATGGACACAAAAGGAGCGCGGAGGCGACCGGTCTACTAGTTCAGGCAAGCCGGAGAGGAGCGAAGGGGAGAGGAGCTTCGATGGCCAGGGGGGATCGTCTCCCCAGTATACTTGAGGGAAAGCGCAACGCGGGCGGGATGGGCTGGTGGGTTACCCTACCGGGAGCCCGATCCTGCTTACCTCTCCCGCTCAGGGCAGCCAAGGCGACAGCGGCGAGGAGGAGGAGGCGGGGGCGCCAAAGCTTCGCGGTCATTTCGGCGGGGAGGCAGGAGCGCACGGCTAGGGCGCACGGTGCGGAGAGGGAGCTCCCGGGTCGACGTGGCGCAGATGCCCGCTTTCAGGCGGCGGCGGCGGCGGCGGCGGCTTCCTTAGGCAGGCGGTCGGGCGCTCGTTGCAGCCTCCGCGAAAGATAGGGACGAGAAGCGCCGGCAGGAGCAGAGGAGGCGGCGGCGCGGAGGGGAGGAGCGCGCCGGGGACGCGTGGAGAGGAGAGGGGGCGGGACGCGGCGAGGGCAGGGGCGCACGAGTCGCAAAAAGGCAGGCCCTGCGTGGAGAGGGGAGGGGAGGGGAAGAGGGAGAGAGTAGGGCGGGGGGAGGGAGGAGGAGGCCGGAGTTAAAAGGGGGAGAAAGAGAGATGGTCGCAGGAGACTCCCTTGGACCGGTTGGCTCTGGAAGGGCGGCGGGCTGAGAAAGAGAGAGAGCGCTAATTCTTTACGTATTTGACTTCCATCTCTAAGCTGCGGAAAGAGCCGGCGGTGTTTGGTTGCCGGCGGCTTGACCCTGAGGGACCCGACAGCCGCGAAAAAGGGCGTCTCCGGTCACCCGCCTTCGCTCCCACCCCGCAAACCCGATGCGGGGCGGGGGGGGGGAGGATCAAAGCCGGAGAGCCACTGTTTCCAGGGTGCGGGTGGGTGGGTGGGTTGCTGGCCAGGGTTCTTCCTCAGCAAACCCCCACTATCGCACTGATAATTTCTCACGTTGTATTTCGCCCAAGACAGCCAGATCCATTTCTCCCGAGTCCCTGAAGCCGGACAGCTGTTCTCTATGTGACAAAGATCTCAGATTTCTGACAAGCAGCCTGTGAAACAGATGCGCATCCTTGTTGAGTTCCATCAATGAACCTTGTCTTCTTCTTCTTCTTCTTCTTCTTCTTCTTCTTTTTCAAAAACATGTAAATACACTACTGGAGAAATGTCACAAGAGAGAGGCCAGAGGAATAAAGACCTCCGGGCTGCCTGTCGCTGTCTGATAATGGCAACGATAACAGTGGATAAGACCAAAAATAAAACAAAAGGACCACCCTGGGAAAAGGGTCATAAGAAGAGGGCTAGGGAGAAATTTGACTCAGTCCGCATTTTAAGGCAAACCTACCTAATCTTCCCTTTCCAAAACAATGCACCAGCCGAAACACAGCCACCCTTTCAAGATTCCTCCTTCTGCAAATAGGGCAGTGCAGCCAAGTAGTGTAAAAAGGCATATAAACCTGAAAATAGCATTCAAAAATGCATTATGTGAGGGTACACTAGGCAAAAATTAGGTAAGATCGCATACAGAAATGTGGTATTAGGATGAATTCACACTAATAGGTGGATGAATTTTTCATTAGGACTTCTTTTTAAAAAATCACAAACTGGTGAGAAGGTGTAAAGAGCTGAAGAGCGGGTGGACAGGAAAATCAAAATGGTCAGATCCACACATCCAGCAAGTGGACAACAAAGGGGCTCTGCCACAAAATATTGCAGAGTGGAGTTCTGCTGTTCACTATTTCAGTCACCCTCTTCCAGGATGCCCCTTCCCTCTCTCCTCTAGTTTTCCATGCACCTTCCCAACCTTTTTCTTTTTAAAAAAATAAATAACAAAATTCTGCAAATCTTGAGGGTTTGACTTCTTATTTCTCAGAGGGAGTGATGGGTGAAGCCTTTTTTGAAACCAGTGAGGCCACAGGTGCTGCGTTGTGCTCAACATTGGGGGGGGGGGGACTGATATCATACATGCGATGCACATTGCATGTGTGATGACTGTCGCATTTGGGAGAGGCTGACCAGGCATCCTCCCGATGCAACACTTGTGTGCCAAGCTGTGCTGGTCTGCAGGGAGTTTCCCAATGCTGCGCAGCCCAGGGCAACATACCAGCAGGCCTCCTCTTCCCCCTCACGATTGGGGGGCTGAGCCCTGTCCCAGTGGACATGGGGAGGGGCTGTGGAGGCCTCAGCCCCGTAGAGTTGGTACACCTGAATGAGGTGTCTATCTTTTATTTATTGCCACATTTATATCACACCATTCCACCAAGAAACTCAAGGTGGCATGCATGGTTCCCCCCTCCCAACGCCTCCCTGTTTTACCCCTGCAATAACTCTGTGAGGTAAAGGTAAAGGACCCCTGGGCAGTTAAGTCCAGTCAAAGGCTACTATGGGGTTGCGACACTCATCTCACTTTCAGGCTGAGGGAGCCGGTGTTTGTCCACAGACAGCTTTCCGGGTCATGTGGCCAGCAGGACTAAACCACTTCTGGCGCAACGGAATACTGTGATGGAAACCAGAGCAGCGCACAGAAATGCTGTTTACTTTCCCACTGCAGTGGTACCTATTTATCTACTTGCACCGGCGTGCTTTCAAACTGCTAGATTGGCAGGAGCTGGGACAGAGCAACAGGAGCTCACTCCATCGTGGGATTCAAACCTTGCCGACCTTCTGATCAGCAAGCCCAAGAGGCTCAGTGGTTCAGACCACAGTGCCACCTGCATCCTAACTCTGTGAGGTAAATAGACTGAGAGATGGTTGCTGGCACAAGGCCACCCAATTGATTTGAACCCTGGTCCTAGTCTAGCAATCTAATCACTGCGCCACACTGGTTCTTGCCATATGAAGTTAGGTAGCATTCCATAAGTGGCCGGTATAAACCACGTATTAGGTCAGGCCACAGCCCATGAGTAAGTAATTAATAGAACACAATGATTCAGATGATATTGACATGCATTCAGTGCTGAGGAAATCCCATGAGAAATGCCTGTTTAACCTTTCAGATAATGGCAACCAAGAGTTCTCATGGCAGAACAAAATATGTTGCATTAATAGCATCTTGGATAGTCTTAGAATCTTTCTAGCATTTCTTACAGGTTTGTAAGATAAGTTTACCAGAGGAAATCAAACTCATTTCAGAGTTTCATTGATAGTTTTCAGTTCCACGGTAGCAGGGTTTTTTCCATAAAAATGCAGAAGTGTGAATTCAAATCTGAATTCTGCACTTTTACTTTTTCTTTTACCCAAGAGACAAATACTTTGGGGTGTCTAGACTCCTGGATAAATGGGGTTGGCTATAATATATATTTGGTCTCAGCAGAAGGAAATGGATTAAGGGGTTTCTGGCATAGACAGATTGCTAGACATATAACATAGAGGGGATATCTACAAACAGACAGGAGAAAAAACAAACATTTTCATACCCTCTGCAAACAGTTATACATACTTTAAGTGTCCAGCCCGTTAACAGCAAAGCATCATAAAAATTAAATAGACAAAGTTTTCCTCACCGCTAGGATAAGAATTACTTTACCTTCTAAATTTCAGGAGGAGGAAAAGAATAGGTGACAGGCAGCCCAATCCTGCACCATTCAGAAATAAATTGCACTGTTCAAAACAGCTTACTTCTAAGTAGATGGGAGGAGAAATTCAATTCGCATTTTAATGCAAACCTGCCCTCCCAAAAACATTATGCAAACAGACAGCGACTATTGAAATTTGCCCGTCTAATTTTGTGATGCAGTTCTCCAACCAAATATTGTGCAGTATTAAAAATGCAATGCATATATTGGAGAAAAACTCAAAAATTCATTGTTTTTTTATTGGCAAACTGATGTGAAGAACTGAATAATGAGAAACCGAGAAAAGACAAAATGGGCAAGCCATCTCCAGGTCCGTGAAAGATTCTATCAATGGTGTCTCTGAAATTTTTTACACATCACTTGGGAAGACAGGCGAACTAAAGCCAGTGTACTGGAAGCAGCAAAGATCACCAGTGTCGAAGCAATGATTCTTCAACATCAACTTTGTTGGACTGGTCATGGTCTGGCTTACTATAAGACGGCTTCCTATGTTTCTGTGTCACTGCTCCTCAGCAGACGTGCCTAGGATTTCAACCCTAGTTAATAACTGGCAGTCCTAGGAAATAAAAATGACCCAGCAGTTTCATGTAGGTGTTAAACAACGTGGAGGATAAGATTGAACCCTGCGGAACCCCACATTGAAGGTTCCACAGGGCTAAAAAGCATTCCCTCTGGGGAACACCCTCCGGGAACGACCATCTAATTAGGACTGGAATCACTGCAATGCAGTGCCACCCACCCCTAGTTCAGAGAGTCGCTTCAGAAGGATACCTGGTCGATGGTATTGAAGCTGCTGAGAGGTCAAGAAGAATTAACAGGGACATGTTTCCCTTGTCTCTCTCTAGACACAGGTCATCATACAGGGCGACTAAAGCAGTTTCTGTGCCAAAACCAGGCCCAAACCCCTATTGAAATGGATCCAGAAAATCAGTTTCTTCCAAAAGTGCCTGGATCTGGTCCACAACCATTCACTCCAGAACCTTGCTCAGAAAAGAGAGATTAGCAACTGGCCTGTAGTTAGTTAGGCTTTCTGAATCCAGGGAAGGTTTCTTAAGTAGTGGTTCTACCACTGCCTCTCTCAGACAGGCAGGGACCACCCCCTCTTGTAAAGAGGCATTGACCACCTCCCTGGCCCAGCCAGCTGTTCCCTCCATTCTGGTTTTTATCAGCCAAGAGGGGCAGGGGTCTAGAGTGCAAGTGGTCGCCTTGCGCTCCAAGCAAGATCCAAGCTCCTTGTCCACATCCTCGAGCCTTACCAACTGAAACTAAAGCTAATGTAGTCAGGGGCGAAGCAAGGGGGTGCAGTAGGGGCGGGCAGCCCTGGGTGTCACCGCTGAGAGGGCACTAACCACGGGGCCTGCAGCGCACCAGAGCCACGTGTCTCTCCTGGGAGAGATGCGGTGGCTTTGGTGCACGCAGGCTCCGCGCTGCGCAAATGGTCCACCTGCTGCCTCCCCCCAGCTGTAGGGCAGCTGAGTAGGAGGAGGCAGGCAGACTCCGGAGGCCCCGTGGTGCGCCCTGCCCATGCGCCGTCCCAGGCACCGGAGCGTCTTCTACCCAGACATGTATTTTAATATGCAATTGCATTTTATTATGCACATTCTTAAAACTGCTGACTTTAACCTCTCTCTTTTTCAAGAATGGAAAGGGCTTGATGGACTTGGGGCAGAGGAGGAGAAAATGCAACAACTGCCAGGGTGTTGCAGCAAAGAGACCTGGAGCAGCACCATTGCCAACATGTGACAGCAGGAGGATCAAGCAGACCCTGTGCTGCTCAAGCCAAATCCCCCCTTCCCACCCCATGGAGTGGGGTGTTTTTGGAGTTCTGCTCCAAAGGATGACACCTGTGGTAGCTTCTGCTATAATTTGGGCAAGCGCATTGGGGTGGCTCTTGTTGTTGATGTTTCCCCACCAATGGTGGAACTTCACCACTGGTAAAGGTTTTTTGGGGGGGGGCTGAGCAGAGGGGCACTTCAGCTCTGCTCCATCCAAGCCCCTCCAGCATGCTGGATCTGGGGGTCTGCATTTCTCTCCCCAGCCGTTTTGAACTTGCTTGCCTTCTGCATCACATGGAACCATGTTTCAGGAAGCCTTCTGCAGCTAGTGCACGTTGCCTGCAACTATAAACAAAACTTGTACGAGAAAATGACAGTATAATCCAATTTCCAACAGGCTCAGAAAGTGATTTATTACAGAGAGAGAGAAAACTAATTGTGGTATTTCTTTATTAACTGAATGTAGATCAATACATAGTAAAACCCTGTGACTTAAATGCCATCTCATATGTTTTAAGGGTATCAAGAACTTTCTCATGAGCCCAGTCAGTTTTTCAATTAACTCGTGTGTTTTCAAAACTGAAATCAATTAAAGTTATCCAGCTGAAAAGATTAAAATTATATGCTAAGATGGATCGTCATGCCACTTCAAACCAAATTTGGGCTTTAAAGTGCAATAAGATTCATACCAAATATATTTTGCATCCTATGCTAAACTCATTCAGGGATAACAGTGCAGCGTTGGATACCAGAGGCATTTTGCTTTAAAACTGCAGGGTTTTTGATGACCAGACTGAATAAAAACTGGCCATTGTGTTATTCAATCCTTCCTTCATTCATTCATCAAGAACCCACAATAGGAGCAGATGATTTCAAAAAAAGAAGCAGCCAAGAGGAGGGGTTGCTGAACCCCTTCCATATCTTAGCACTTCTGTTCTCCAAACCCCACTCACTCCAAGTCCCTCTTGCCACCCTGTGTGGTTCTAGATGAGTATTTCCAAAGGAGGGGAATAAACAGGCTGGAGGAAAATTTGGAATAGAGTAGCAGGGGTGGGGAAAGGGTTAAGCATGTAGCACCACCTCCACCCTCACTGAAGACCTCCCCTCTCCTGTAGAAGGACTTGGGGCAAAGGGGGGGTGGAATAGTGAGGAAATGGGTGAGTTGTAAAGGGAGGGAGATTAGTCCAGTACAAAGGGAGGAGGGGTTGCTCAGGTGCATGCGAAGAACCCTGGAATAAATATCCTTAAAAAGCATAGGCTTATCCCCCTTCCCAAATAGCTGTGGCCTGGTGATATTTCCAAATTTTGTTGCTGTTGCTTTGTTAGTGTGTTTGCTTCTTTGCACAGTAAATGTGCACTGTTCTTAATTTGCCATACAGGATTTGGGTATCATGCCACAAGGCAGCACTTCAGATGCCATGAAATTACATTTTTCGTGCATATTTCCCCCCCCCCCCCCAACTTGGGAGATGTGAACCTTCCCCAGGGAATCTGCTGCTGAGGAATGAGAATCACAGGTTCCTACTGATCTGTATCAGTGACCTCCTCATGGGTGACACGACTCCCCAGCCATTTCTGGAAAAAATCCCAATATTCATGAGTTCCTGATTCATTAACCTAATACACCCATCCTTCCTCCAGGGAGATCAGGGTGGTTGGTGCCTGTTAAGTCTTCCTCAACCCATTTTACCTTCACAGTAACCCTGTAAAGTAGATTAGGCTGAGAGGTAGCGAGTTGCCCAGTAAGATTAATGGCTGGATAGGGATTTGAACCTGGCTCCCCCCAGTCCTAGTCTGACACTCTGAGGCAGAGTAGAAAACATATTTCAGCCTCAGGGCTGCAATTCCCTTCTGGAAAACCAGAGGGCCACATTCCAGCGTGGGTAGAGCAACAGATGTGAATTTTTGTGCAGTAGGCTAGCTTTTTACAAATGTGCACCTTTCTCTCTGCCTTCCACCCAGGCGTGAAAGAGGCACAATCAGACTTCAGGGGCACATTCCAGCCAGGCAGAAACACGCAGGACCAGAGTGGATGTGGCTTGGGGAGAGTTCCAAGGGCCAGTCCAGAGAGGCATGGAGGGCCGCATTCAGCCCTCAGACCCGAGGTTTCCCACCCCTGATCTTAGGCTGCACAAAGGAGAAGGGACAGGTCAGTCAGTACAGCATGAGCCTCTTAATCTGTCGTGGGTCAAAAAGGTTCTTGTATGGCAGGTGGTTGGAATAGATGACTCTCATGGTCTATTTCAGCTCTACAGTTCTACAGCTGTGGGTTAAGAAAGATTGTTGCTCGCCCTTTGCTATTGTTGGTTGGAGTCAGTCCCGAAAAAAAGAGGATGTGTTTGTGTGGGAAAAATCACGGGCATTCCAAGTAACTATGCCTAATCATTTCCCCACCACCACCCCGAGGTTTGCCTGGGGCAAAATGGGAAGCTGCTGACCCCTGCTGAAGCCTTGCTGGGGGCGGGGAGGGTCGTGGCACATGGGCAGTCCAGCCCTGCTGCCCAGGCAGTGCACATCGATCCATTTCCACTAAGTCTCTATCTCTGCGAACCTTTTGGTGAAAGCCAATGTGGACAGCCATCCTTCGCCCCTGCTTCCTTTTCTCGAGGGGGTGAGAGTCGGGGTGGGGTGGGGTGTGGTCTGGGTCTCCTGCTAATCATACTTTAGTTTCACCTGTCAGTGAATCATGGCAGCTTCTTAAGGGCCCAGCGCCTCACCTCTTACCTTGGCACAGAAATTATCACACAACGGCAGGGGCTGTGATATAAAAGCACCATGTGGAGAGAGGAAGGAAATGCATGCTGGATGAAGCTGGGGTGTTGGCCCTGCAAAAAACACACACGTTGCGTTCATTTCTGCAGCCGCTCAGTTGCCTCCTTGCTTCAAAGATGCTGATGTTAGCAGTGGGAATGCAGCAAGGCCGGGGAGACTCTCCCCAGAATACAGAGCAGCCAGTGTGAAGGAGTTGCTTGGCAGGTGGTCACGCGGGTTTGTCTAGTGCCTCTCCCCCTTTCATCTCTTTTTATGAAAAAATAATGGGGGGTGGAGAATCAAGACTCCCACTTCAGTTCAGCCTAAGGAAACTAGCTGGGCGACATTTGTGTTGCTCCCGTCTAATTCCCCTCCCTAACCTCTGTGTATCCAATTTGCATCTCAATAGACTTTGCTTCTCCCCCCCCCCATTTTTTCCTTCTTTTTCTTCTCCCCCCCCCCCCTTCCTGGAGCTTTCAGGAATCACTGAGCAGCCCCTAACAGGCCATTATGCTACAGTCAGGCCAGCTTGTGAGAGCCGAGCAAATAAGAGCATCCAGCAGCAGCAGCTGACAACATTTCGCCAAAGCAGATTGTTTGCTTTCCCCTCTGACACTGTCCTTATGTTTCACAACCATTGTTTGCAATTAGAGAATTTGGTCACAGCAACCTCCCCATCCCTGTCCCGAACCATGAATAAGTTGAGCAAAAGCACAGTAGCAACAGCACATCCAGTGACCCTGGAGACTGGGTCAAATCTGTAGAAATGAGGAAATACTATTTATTTATTTCAGTTTATGGCCCTGTCCTTCATTATAGCATCCCAGGATGCGTTGCAACCATTGAAGAACATAATAAGAACAGCATAATGGCCCATCTAGTCCAAAATCCTGTTCTCACAGTAGCCAGCTAGATGCCCAATTTGGGAAGCCCACAAACAAGACCCAGGCAAAAGAGCACTCCTCCTATTGTGGTTTCCAGCAACTGATGTTCAGAAGCTTTACTGGCTTCTGTATAGCTAACATGGCTAGAAGCCATATTCAGTCTTATCTCCATGATCGTCCAGACCCTCCTATTTTCTAGGGACAGTCCTGGATTTACAGAAGCTGTTCCGGTTTCTGATTTGATCTTGCTTTTCCTTAGGACGTCCCTATTTTCATCAGAGAAATGTTGGATGGTGTGAAATAGGACATTCCTGATTTCATCCGAAGAACGTTGGATGGTATGGTCCTCTTGGAATTTGTCCAATCTTCTTTTAAAGCCATCCAAGTTTGTAGCCATGGGGAGCAAGTTCCAAATGATCTGCACGAAGAGTAACTTTCTTTTAGCTGCCCTGAATTTAAAATTCAGTGTTTTAAGCAAGCCATGGTTACAGGAACAAAGCCTAGGTGCTCTCTTCAACATAGGACAGGATCTAGAAGCTGCCAGATGGACCTCCATGGGAATGGAATTTCACAACTTTATCTGCCATCCTCTTGAGCTTCTGAGGGCAGAAGGTAGTTCTGTTGCGTTTAACACCAGAGAAGATAAGAAGGTGGTCTTTCAGATATTTGGGACCTAAGAAATCTAGAGCTTTAAACCACAGCTTTTTTTCAGCCAGAACTCACTCTCAGATGGGCACCACTGCTGTTTATTAGAGAACAAAGGAGGTGTTCATGGTGAGTTCCAGCACCTCTTTTTCTAGAAAAATAGGACTGCTTTAAACACTGTTTTGAGTCCACTGACTTGGGCACCAAAAAATGGCAATCGACTAATTGATTACCTTTTTTTAAAAAAAAAAAAACAACTACCTTTCTCATGTCTTCCAGGCGTACAGAGTTGAGTACCTGGTTTAGGAGCCCTTTCACACACATATACAGTATGATTACAACAACCCTTTGAGGTAGGTTGCATTAGGTTAGGCCAGTTTCACTTGGGGAGCTTCATTCCTCATTGGGGATTAGAACCATTTATTCTCACAACAGCTTTGTAAGGTAGGTTAGGCCAAGAGACAGTGGCAATGCAAAGGGTCACCCAGTGATCTTCATAGCACACCCAGGTGTTCCCAGTCCTAAACTCCCCCCCACCCCCACCGATCCAAGATGCCTAACAAGCTGACACACATACATCCCTAGTATATAGTTGATCTTTAAGATCTTCCAAGGAAACCTTGCTAGCTGGTCCAAAATCAGAAGACAGTCACCTGGTGACAAGGAAGCAGCCCTTTTTGGTGGTAACACCCACTCTGTAGAATGCTTATCCTTGTTCCTGAGGTTGGAGACAGTAATTCATAGAATCATAAAATCATAGAAATGGGACCAGGAGAGTCATCTAGCAATGCGGGAATCTTTTGCCCAAGGTGTGGCTCAAATCCACGACCCTGAGATTAAGTGTCTCATGCTCTACCAAGTGAGCTACTAAGGTATGCACACTTCTCTCTCTCTCTCTCTCTCTCTCTCTCTCTCTCTGTGTGTGTGTGTGTGTTCCTGGGCCAAGCTTTCTTGGGCTCTGATTTTGTTGTTGTTGCTGCTGTTTTAGTATTGTTTCAAGACCTATTTTTAAGTGTTTCTTAATATATAATTTAATACATAATTGTAAATCGCCTTGAGGCTTATGTGAAAGGCAATTCGTTAATTATCCATTTCTGCTTCTGTTGATTGATTTTATATCCTGCCCTTTTTCTGCAAGCAGCTCAAGGCGACATACAGGACAGCCGCCCCCCCCCTTATTTTAGCTCCTTGACTACCCTGCGAGGTAGGTTAAGTTAAGAGGCAGTAGCCGGCTCAAGGTCAGTAGGGGGAATTGCACAGATAAGGACAGAGAGTGAGGCAGAAGTGCAGAAGAAAAACGTTAAGAGCCTGCCCCATCTAGTCCAGTATCCTATTTTCACAGTGGCTGACTATATCCCTGTAGTAAAGCTCACAGGCAGGACCTTTTGGCCCTGGACATCAGAACAGACAAAAAAAGGAAGTATTAATTAAAGGAGTGCATCACAGTTAACTTAAGGAATTTGCTGACAAGAGATATGGAGATAGCTTTAAAGGGGTCTGGACATATATACTAGTCATAACTAGCTATATACAGCTTTCAGGTTCACCCTGACTGGATACTGGTTGCTGCTGAGCACAAACCAGAGAGAGTTCTTGCCCTGTTTGTGGGCTTCCTGGAGGCACTTTGTTGTAAGAAGCAAGATGCTGCCCAGATGGACTTTTGGTTTGGGTTCTTAAGTTCTTATCAATGGTGGTGGGGACTTGTGGCCTTCCAGATGTTGTTGAGCTACAGCTCCCATTGTCCTTGACCACTGGCCACAGTAGCAGAGATGGGAACTGTAGTCCAAAAACATTTGGAGGGCACCGTATTTGCCATCCCTGGTCTAAACCACCTAAAAGGCATCAGATTAGGGGGATCTGAACTGCCTACTCTTGTTCATGATACAGATACCTGTGTTTTTTTAAATAGAAATGGTATAAGGCTCCTTCTCTTGATTTGAAGAATAATTCAGAGATAATGGGAGTTGGAGGGCCGCAGGTTACCTGTCCTTGGGAACAGTAGGTAGCCGTGTTGGTCTGCTGTAGTCGAAACAAAATAAAAAATTCCTTCCAGTAGCACCTTAGAGGCCAACTTAGCACACGAAAGTTCATACCGATAACAAACTTAGTTGGAAGGAATCTTTTTATTTTGTTTTGGGGAAATCACTATGTTTTAGCCAAACCTACTGAAATCACACACATACACATGCATACCTGCTGCTTGGAACTCATGTCAAACATACAGAAGGGCCTGGTGTATTCTCTCTTGATTTCTTAAAAAACAACAACCCAGCCAATCTGTTCTTTATCTCTCCAGTTTCCCCTTAAGGCAGGGAGTCCTGGCTAGCAGCATGTGCACTAAGTCCAAAGAAAATGTTAGCAGTAAGCTGGCAAATTGCTTTGGGCAAAGTTCAGAGTTCCTCTTCAGCCCAGCATCCAGCTAAACACTGCAGGGACAGTCAAAACCATTACAGAAAAAGATTAATTTCCTTTTACCTTGTGCTGAATGACAAAGTGCCATTCTTGACTATTTGCATTGTTTAGTTCTATGGGTTGTGCCATTAATGCACCTAGCATAATGTTATATATAAAATAACTTGATATACAAAGTACCCCTCAATGACCCTGGTTCTAGTCCTTATCTTAAATGTGACCTGGAAGGCTATAAGTAAATAGCCTGCCCTCCTAATACTGAATGTAGATTAGCATACTAATCTTTGCTACCAGCAAAGTTTGATTTTCACCCCCACCCCTGTAGGAAAGAATTGGGTTCCTCTTAGCCAATGGAATAATCTGCCAAAGGCAAACTCATGCAGCAATAAAGCTGCTAGCACATTTGCAAAGCTAAGCAGGGGTCTGGTCTGGTTTCAAACTGGATGGGGAACCACGTGTTGTCATTTCTCACTAGGGTCATGTCCTTGCAACATCAAACTAAATGGAATAGCAAATAGACAGGATCTTGTAGGAAATAAAACAGTGGTATAAAGGAATAAAGGTGTTATTAACATTCACCCATCAAGGAAGACCTGGCCCCTCTCCTACAGAACAGTTGGCTCCAAATCGTACTTAAACTCCAGCTTTGCAATGGTTGGGTAGTTCATATCTCCAATGGAACCCCCTCTTTGCTTCCCAAGGAACAGCCGTATGCTTCACTAAACCACAGACCAAGGAATAGGTGAGAGGTTTCTGTTCCCAGGATTTTAAAGGAAGAGCTCAGCTTTTCTTGCAGCTCGGATCTCTGATCCCAGACTTTGTGTTCCATTAGGCTCCAAGTTCAGGTATACCTCCCTTTATCCTTTCTTCTGTTAGTGTGGGTACTGTGGCAAATTGTCGCGCTCACTCTTCAGACTCGGATAATTAGGGACTCCTTTACTCTTTAAGGTCAAAGTGTATTTGTGCTGCATGATTTGCTGCCTGCATAGATGATAGATAGATAGATGATAGATAGATAGATAGATAGATAGATAGATAGATAGATCAGGGGTTGGCAAACAAAGGCCCGCGGGCTGGATCAGGCCCACCTGGGTCGTAAATCCACCCCATGCCGTGAAGCCAGAACCCGCCATGAAGCCGAGACTCCCGGCGATGGCGGCTCTGCCACTCAGTCGCCGTGCCTGGTTTACCTCAGCGTGGAGCGGGGATGTCTCTGCCAATCAAATGCTGTGTCTGGTTTACCTCAGCGGCATTTGATTGGCAGAGACGTCCCTGCACCGCACTGAGGTAAACCAGCCTGTCTGATTGGCAGAGCCGCTGCTGCTCGGCCTCTTCCTCCTGTCACAAGGAGGCAAGGCAGTGCCCACCACCGGCTCTGGCTCCTCCTGCCTCGCCACCTCCACTTTCCCTTCCCCACAAGCTTCCACCTGCACCGCCAGGAGACCACCAGGAGACGCCGCATCACGGCATGTAGCCGCACCCTGCCCTGCCGTTGGATGCACGGACTCTAAAGAGCCCTAAAGAGGCACTTTCTTGCAAGTAAGCCGCAATCGTTTCAAGGTCGCTTGTTCAGCACCTGAAGAACTGCTCAAGTCCACTGAGATGAAATGCACTACGGATTGTGCCCCTGGGAAGGTAAGCACAGTCGCTGGCCCCCCTCGCCTCTTCTTCCAGCTCCCCCCCCCCCATGCCGCTTCTCCGGCCCGCCACAAGGTCAGAGGGACAGTGGACCGGCCCGTGGCTAAAAAAATTTGCTAACCCATGAGATACAGATAGATAGATATAGATAGATGATATATAAATGATAGATAGATAGATAGATAGATGATAGATTAGATAGATAGATAGATAGATAGATAGATAGATAGATAGATGATAGATAGATAGATAGATGATATAGATAGATGATAGATAGATATAGATAGATAGATAGATGATAGATAGATAGATAGATAGATAGATGATAGATAGATAGATAGATAGATGATAGATAGATAGATAGATAGATAGATAGATAGATAGATAGAGATAGATAGATAGATAGATGATAGATAGATGATAGATAGATAGATAGATAGATAGATAGATGATAGATAGATAGATAGATAGATAGATAGATAGATGATAGATAGATGATAGATAGATAGATAGATAGATAGATAGATAGATAGATAGATAGATAGAGATAGATAGATAGATAGATAGATAGATAGATAGATATAGATAGATAGATAGATAGATAGATAGATAGATAGATAGAGATAGATAGATAGATGATAGATAGATTAGATAGATAGATAGATAGATAGATAGATAGATAGATGATAGATAGATAGATAGATAGATAGAGATAGATGATAGATGATAGATAGATAGATAGATAGATAGATAGATAGATGATAGATAGATGATAGATAGATGATAGATAGATAGATAGATAGATAGATGGATAGAGATAGATGATAGATAGATAGATAGATAGATAGATGATAGATAGATAGATAGATGATATAGATAGATGATAGATAGATATAGATAGATAGATAGATGATAGATAGATAGATAGATAGATAGATAGATAGATGATAGATAGATAGATAGATAGATGATAGAGATAGATAGATAGATAGATAGATGATAGATAGATGATAGATAGATGATAGATAGATAGATAGATAGATGATAGATAGATGATAGATAGATAGATAGATAGATAGATGATAGATAGATAGATAGATAGATAGATGATAGATAGATGATAGATAGATAGATAGATAGATAGATAGATAGATAGATAGATGATAGATAGATGATAGATAGATGATAGATAGATAGATAGATAGATGGATAGATAGATAGATAGATAGATAGATAGATGATAGATAGATAGATGATAGATAGATAGATGATAGATAGATAGATAGATAGATAGCTTGGCACCCCTATGCTCCTCTGCCTCTTTCATTTCATTGAATAAAACAACCTTTCTCTATATCCTGGTGTGTGTGACTTCTTCATGGGCCATAAGGTTATGGATAAACATGTCTTTCATAATGGATGCATGTACTGACTCCAGCAAAATATTCCAGTGCACATGGAATGCACATGGACAAGCACGTGCGTTCAGACATGCACCTCGGACCAATGGAAGTTAAAGAGTCTTCATGCCATAGATTTAATAGATAATCAGAGGAAGATTTAAGTGGAACAGAAATCTTGCAAACAAATCCTTAATTTGCAGTATTATTTTTACTTAGTATGCCAGAATATTGTTTATTTTGATGTCTGTGAACATACACATTAGGTGCTGTCAAATCAAGGCTGTTTCAAGACAAACAGTGGATGAGGGTTGTCCCTCTCTTGCCTTGCTCCCCAGGTATATATGGTTGGTTTCAATGGAGGCAGGATTCTGCACCAGTGGACTTTGTTCCAGTCCAGCAGTGCAATGCTCGCCAACGTCTC